TTTTTTTTTTTTCTAATACATACTATCTCCGTCCGGTTCTAGGGTCCCTTTTATTTTTTGCGTGTTGATTTTTTAATATTAATTATTACTCCATTCGTCTCATATCTATATATCCATTTGCTTTTTGCACGGAGTTTTAGAAATATTAGTATTGTATTGGGATAAAGTAGAAATAAAGATAAAATGACTAAATTAATCTTATTTGTATTGTATGATATAAAGGTAATGACATTTGTGTAATATTGTAAATTGGAAAGGTATTTGTAATGTTAGGTAGATAGTACAATTACTAAAAAAGGAAATAGATACTTTGTTATAAGACCAAAATAAAAAAATGGAGGGAGTATATCAAAACGTGGTACTTCCATTAGTGTCTTATAATACTTATATACATTTGTAAAAAAAAATATACAAAATAAAAAGATATTTTTAATGATAAATATAATAACACAAAATGCAAATGTGACCTTGCGGATGGAGGGGAGGAAGAATTTAGTCCTGATAACATGTAGCCAGAGACGGAACTGGGCTAGGGGGCAGTTGACCTCGGATTTTTTTAGTGTAAGAGATAATAAAATTATGTATGTTTTTTTATTATTTTGTCCCCCTGTATTTCAATATTTTTTATATTATAGTGTAAAAAGAATAAAATTTTTGTAGTTTTGTTGATTTATATTTTTATATTTAATTTTTTTTATTAGAAATTGTTGAATTTTATTAAATTTTCTTAAATATTTCTCTAAAAATTTAATTTTTAATTTTTTTTTTTTGTTTATCTAGTTGTATTATTAGAAAAAAAAAAAAAAAAAAAAAAAAAAAAAGTGAATTTACATCCCCTAAATTTTAGGGCTGGCTCCATCACTGCATGTGGCCATCACTGCGGTGGAGACTTAGAGCAGCAGAGTGGAGAAAAAGACAGAAGAAAATCTTTGATAACAATGAACCATTCTTCTTAGCAGTGCCTCAACTCAAATTGATGTTCGTCCTAACCTTCCAATCTTCTTAATTCGGCGTCCAAAGCATGGCCTGTTTGGAGATTTTCCAGCAATTTTGTAATTTACAAACATCAAACAGTAACAAATTTATAGGGATATTAAGCTTTTATTAAATTTGAATTTCGTGTTGTTTTGTGATCGTCAGACGAGTTCATTTCAAGCAGAGTGCATCGATCACCACTTGATTTAAATGTATTCGAATGAATCCCGAATTTACTTCTTCATTGAAATTAGGTCAAAAAACCTCATCATCTTGAGAGCATTACAGAATCCAGAAAAAATAAACACAGCTTGTAGTCTTGCATGGCGCGGCCATCAATTAATCCTCAGACGGATCACCGGCTTTTCGTCATTTCTTAAACCCCAGATTTTGATGTTCATGTTAACTTGAAAACCATTGTCTTCCGCAATTTGGTACCATGGCTTCCTTATGGCGTAGCAATACGTAGACGATCTGACGGACTTTTATTCATCCGCGACTTATATTTTTCCCCTCCGGGGTCGATAAGTTCGATCGAAATTAACTCTTTATTTTCCAGCATCTCCAACTGCTTCTCAGTAAATACCTTTTCAAAGTTCTTGACTTGTCTGCAATGGCATCGAGAGGCGTTCTTGATGTTTAGACATATCAATTGTCGTCAGCTCCCTCTTCAAAAGCAATTTCGGGATAAAGGCACCATCATTTCCCAGTAATTAAATCTAATTGGTTGTTACCCCTCTCAGCCTCAACAGAATTATTTGCAGGTTCCATGGCCGCTGCTGCAGGTGCCGATGATTCCTGATTTACCGATGGCGTTTCGATTATTGGCGTCGGGTGATTGATACCGCAGGAGTTCTAAAGATCAGGAGATGGATTAGGGTTAGTGTTAGGGTTAGGGTTAGGGTTAGGGTTTGGATTTAATTTGGACTGAGAGGAATTCAGTTATCTACGTTTCGGCAGGGAAACTCTCTTTTTCTTTATGCAGCTAGCGATCTTCTTCTTGACAGTCATCAGCTCTCTCTTCCTCTTCCTCGACTCCCTTATGCTCTTCGCCATTTTCTCTATCTTCCTGCGATAATATCCAAGTAGGCTCTGCAAGTATTCATCGTGGGTTGAAAAGCTTACCAAGGTATTCCGTCGATTATTCCAAGAGACTACGAAATTTTTCAGGAATTCCGTAATCGGATTAGGAAACTCCCAGGAGAATTTGCCAGCTATGAACTGCTGATCCAACAATGGCACAAACTCACGAATCATCTCTATCTCCTCTTCATTAAAGAGGTAGTAATCCTCAAAATCAATCTCCTTCTCCCTCGCCGTCGACATCTTGACGATGGAAATTGCAGAAGATTTGTTTTATTAATTGCTTATCCAATTGGGATGATGTTATTTTGTTTTGTGATCCGCAGTAAAATAATTTTTAATCTTAAAGAATTATCACAAAAAGAAAGGTAACTAACTTAGTAGTTATTAGTTATGATAATTATTTACTTACTTAAAGTTTGTTTGTTTGTTTTTCTTTTTTTTTTTTTTGAAAATTAAAAAATAAAATAAAATAAATAACCCTCACGGCCTAACCTGCCTGCTCACCATCACCGCAACGAAGTCGTTAATTATTATTTTTGTCTTTTAATTATTATTCGATTTTATATTTGATAAATTATTATAGAAATAATTTTTTTTAATATAGTTGACTTGAGGGTACTTCTTAAACTGTTAAAATTATTATATTTTTTTTTATAAAACTTTTAATTTATTTTAAAATTTTATAAATTATTTTTAAAGATCTTAAATATATTTAGTGTAAAAAAATATATTTCTAAAATTTGATTATTTATATTTTAAAATTTTGATTGAAAAATAATACTCCCTTCGTCTCATAAATTAGTTCACTTTTTTTTAGTCGTCCACGAAATTAGTATTATAGTAATAATTAATAAGTAATACTTCTAATTAAAAAAATTTAACTATATTTTATTAACTTACTAATACATTTAGTTTTATTATTTTTTAATTATAAATTTAGAAGTTTGGCTAAAATTTTGAATAATAAAAATAATAATAATTTAATATTATATAAATAAATATTCATTTAATTTTAAAATTAAATTTTAATATAATATATAATAAAAATTTGATGTTTGATTTGAAAATTTATGGCTGAAAAATTAATTAAAAATAGATTTGATATTGATTTTTTTTTTTCTTTGTTAAAAAAAAAAAATAAAAAAGAAAACTTATTTAAAATGCAAAATTATAAACTTATTTTTAATTTCGGTATTTGACATATTATATTCTAATACGATGTATACAATTCAGTTAGAGATGGTTTGAGATAGTATACCGAAAATATCGAAATATATTGTATACCGTACCAAATTTTTTAATTTATTAAAAAAAAAATATCGATATTGTATCAAATAATCAGTATATACAAAAGTACCAATTTTTTATAATTATTATACACTGAAAATATCTTATTGTATATCGTTATCATACAAAAAAAGTTATATTGTATCGAAATTTTGAAATTTTTTCGGATTTTTTTTTATGAGTATACATATTATTTCCGTAATTTGGTATTTTTTATTCGCAAATTCGGTATACCAAAATATTTGTACGGTACGGTAAAATATCATATTAAAAATTTTGTACCGTACGTATGCGATGTGGTATTAAGTTTGGTATGTCATAACGAACTATCTCTAACAACCATCAAATTCGAAAAATTTTATGTATTGTTTATATAATTTTTTTATTACATTTTTTTATTGTATAAATTACAAAGTTATTAAAATTATTTTTTTAAAAAATTGAAATGCATGTATTGATTTACAATAAATATAATAATTATTATTATTTTTAAATAATATCAGTAAATAAAAATTCAATATTTAAAAATAAAAATAAAAAATATTTTAACTTTTAATTTAACATTTTATCAAATAAAAAATATTTAATATAACACTTTATTAAATCCATTAATTAAACTAATTAACTACCTAACACAATATTTCTTAAACTGTGTGCCCAAAAGAAACTGCATTAATTTTATGGGTATGAGGGAGTATATAAATTAAAAATAAAATAATAATTTTAAATTATTTGTATTTTATAATATATTTTAAAATTTGGTATCTCGTAATTTTAAATTTTAATTTAAATATAATATATAAATTAAAAAAATAATACAATTATATCTTTTAATTTTTCTCTTAAAATATACTTCATCCGTCGTATAACAGCTTATCTATTTACTATATTTGCGTATTTGTACTTAAAAATATTTTTATATTTGTATAATTTTTTGTACAAAATGTCATTATATTAGTATTACAAGACGAATTATTTTTATCATATTCGTCTTATTCGTATTTTGATATAATAATTAATATTCAAATATCAACACGCAAAAAGGTAAATAAATACTTAATTACGGGAGAGACGAATTGACTAATATATAAATTAATTATTATTATTACTACTACTAAGCAATAATTTTAATAGACACCCTACATATATATATACTAAAATAAAGCCCAACAATTTTCAAACAGTGTTTGGACCTATGCAAACCGGGATATGGGTAGCCCAACACGATTTGAAACCAAGGCTGTGGTGGAATTAAGCTAGTCTTGCTCGATACCAAGTGCCTATCCGAGATGATAAATAAGCCGGTATATAAATTGCATTTTAAACAAAACAACCAATTCATTATTCAAATTTATTTTTTAATTTTAATTTTAATTTTTATTATATTATTTTTTTTTTTTTAATGTACATTTTGATTTATTATTTCACATAGGATTTCATTTTCTGCCATATAGTATTATTCATCAACCAATCAATCCTTCCTGCATCCATGGCTAAAGGCTAAACGATCTTCTTTTCAAGTTACAGGAACATCACCAAATGGTTCAGACATACATACTTGCTTCGTCTTCCTCTTCCAGGCATCATCCTCATTTCTTTCCATCAACAGTAAATAATTCCCATCTCAGGCAGCAAAATTCAAGAAAATACACTACACCCTAAAAATTATGTTACGCATACAACAACACAGTTCTTAGTGTTCATACAGCCAACAAGAACATCTTCAATATCATACAAGACACATTCAACAACACAAACAACTAGACAACACCAAAAGCAATTAATCCAGACAACAGAAGCATCGATGATGCATGCAACACTCGCAGCCTCAATCAGACAACATAAACAACATGAGGCGCTTTCCCATCATCGAAAGGCAAACTAACATACTCCCTTGCAAACTCCTCGGCAATCTCAAACGCCAGCTCGCCGCGCAACGCTTTGCAGTACATGAACAGCACGGCATTCGCCGCCACATTGTAAAGCATCACGATTGTCAAGGCTGCCGTGCACAGGACTGTCTGAAATATAAATGCCCAGCTAATCCACCCTTCTCTAATCCCATTCCCATCCACATTAGGCACCAAACTAGCACACAACATTGCCAGAAATCCAATCAATGCCCCAAACAGCAAGATCATCAGAACCACAACCTTCCTCATCCCTTTCACCAGATATGAGCTCCTCTTCAATGGCGATAAGCCCCATCGAGACTCCACAACCACTACAACACTCGACAAATACCACTCCACTTTCAAGAAAATCAACACGCCCAGTAGCAGGGCCACGATCACAACAAGAAGGCCTGCAAAATAAGCATTTCTGTAATCAATTTCAAACCCTAACAGCACGAAGCCGTTGTAGACCAAAGCCGTGAAACCCCCAAAAGCAGCCGCCACCAATCCCACGATGATCTGGACAAGAACTAGGGTTACAATCAAGGGGAGGATTGAAAACAGAACAGACTTAATCGAAGCAATCAGCTTCACAGGCCTGCCATAGAATCCATGGAAGGTACTGTACGTAATAGACGCCGTCCCGCAAAGCGAGAAAAGCAGCACGAAAAGGGCGTAAACACTCGGTAGGAGGAGATGGGCTTCGTCCAAGGAAGGGATGTCCGGATCCGACGACGTGTAAGAGAACAGGGATCTATGGTGGTGAGAAAGCGTCGGCGGAGACCGCCAGAGGAGAGGGTAGACGACGAGGGAGAAGGAGAGCGGGAGGAGAAAGAAAACGGATAAGGCCAAGAAATGTCGGGAGTGGGCGCTGATTATCCGCTTGGTTTCCGACAGCACCCCGCAGAGGTTTAGGCTGTGCGCGGACATGGTCGAATTCGACGGCGGATGCAGAAATCTAGGGCTTGCGTTTTTCAGAGATGCGGAGGAGTCACGAAGAAGAAGAAGATCGGCTGGGAATATAGAATAATACCCTCTTCTGGAGCCATTTGGTAATTATTTATTTACTCCCAAAAAAAATCGGGTCTTCAATTAATTTTATTCTATAATTATTATTATTTAATTAGGCTTAAAAGTAATTTTGAAATTTCTTCAACCACCCTTGTTCTAGACACAAGCAAGAATACAAGAACTTTATTCAAACACACCAATGAATCTATGCCCCGAAAAGCAGAGACAGAAAACGATCCCAAGAAATTCTTGATCAATTTTCTCAAAACAAGCCCATGGCAGTACAAGCAGCAGCAGCAATATAAACGAATTTACAGAAAGAATACACGTACAGACTGAAAACATTACACAGCCAAGCCACCATACCATACCATTTCCTGGCGATGGAAGGAAGATGCATGTACAATCAAACAGTCCTAACACCACATAGTTTTGTACTATGTTGTCATATCCAGTCGGGTAAACTGTAGCCTAGTTTCTACACGTGTTTTTTGTGTCTGTGTAAAGTGAAAAAACCAAAAAAGAAAAAAAAAAAAAATCAGGACAAAATCATTGCACATATATATATGTATAGAAACCAGAATCATTCAAATTTAAAAGTGGAAACAATTCATTGTATCTTTTTTGTTACCTATCCTCTTCAAAGAGGGTTAGGTTATCTGTTCTTCTTTGAATCGGAGTAGTGCAGCTGGCTGCCGCTCCTTGTTCCCGAATTCCGGTCTATTTGCGATGGCAGTGTTGTGTGGTCTTGATTGCGAAGAAGCAGTGGTATTGATATGGCTGCTGTTTTTAGCAGCAGGCACGTCGTGGTTGTGCTTGCCCTCGTACGTTGTTATTACAGCTTTTGGATCATTTGCAGCCCTTTCAACATGCTTCCGGACATTACACCCTGAGTTAGTGCATTTGTAATAGCTTCTGCAAATGCAAGATATGTTACAAACTATGAGAATAAGCTGAATGAGCACAAGGAACAATTGAATACCGACATTAGACAGACAGACAGACAGACAGTACCTCGGATAAGGGTTCCCTTTAACAACCTTTTGTCCATACTTCCGCCACCTATAGCCATCATCTAGAAGGTCGACTTCACTGGTGGTCTGAACGATGATTCTAGGCTCAGTAACTGTGCGATGATTTGATGCCTGCTCATAAATCTGAGTTTCAGCAATCCTGCCATTGTTGCAACGGCGAAAATTAGTATATTTTTCGAACAAAAAGATAATTAGATAGATAAACCAGTAAACAGCATTTACTTTCTTCTTTTGGACTCGGGTTCATCCTCCTCTCCACCATTCACTCCAGTTTCAGCATTACCGACTTCCTCACTGTCGCTCGAACCAGACATTTGCTCAGGCGTAACATGGCTCGATTCCATATCTTGAGGATTCACGGCCTCGCTGGTGTTTCCTGAATCTCTCGGTCGCTTACTCGGTGGATGATGATTGTGCTGGCCTTTGTATATGATCTCAGTTATCTGACCATCGAGCGACCTCTCAACCTTCTTCTTCACTGGACAGTTCGGAAAAGTGCATTTATAGTAGCTTCTTGGGAATTCACTGCCCTTCACCTGCTTCTGACCATACTTGCGCCAATTATAACCATCGTCTGAAGGTTTATCAATGACAATATTTTGAGGTTGGGGTTTCTGATCGGGGAAAGACACATCAGATGAGTCGGTCATTTTTGGGGCAGTCAGAGGAGCTTGTATTTGCTGCTGAGGTAAAGATGCAGACAAAGGAAGAGAGTGAAGCTGAGACATAGACATAGCTGGAGCAGCTGATAATGAAGCATATTCCGACTGGATATGCATCTGGCCTTGTCCTTGCGGCTGCACTTGACTAATATGGGGAAGAATAGCTTGATGTGACATCAAACCCTGTTGTTGCAAACGTATAGTGTTAAGTGTAAGAGCGCAAGCAAAGGTATTGTTCTTAGAAGACTTTTGTTTTCATTTCCAAATGACACAAATAAATGAGGGGATTTCCTCATTGTTTGTACAAGAAGGAAAGAAAAACCTTAAAAATGTCTCCGGGTTGCAATAACAAGTAACAAACTTTATCATCATTTCACAACAGAAGCAAAGGTATATGTAATAGAACTCTTACAAAGGCGAAAGGAAGACACTTTTATGGGAACTACAATCCAACTATTGCACTCAAAATCTCATTGCCCCTTGTGGCTTTTATACCGTGGAATCATAAAAACAAAATCAGACATCGGCCCTAATGCATGCCCAAGAATGGCAAGAACAACAAACTTATTCTTGTGCATTCAAAAACCTTTTAATGCCAATCAATCATTGCATTGCTATACTACTTAAGCATATGTTTTGGGCACTTCTCATTTCCAATTTCATTTGCCATGACAATAATTAAAGTTACTCCCACTGTATCTAGCATTAACTCTCTCTTTCAAGAACCTAATTTGCCAACACTACTGATTTTCGATTCCAAAATATAGTGTTTGACCCAACCCAAAAAATGTTTCTTTCTCCTTCATGTTCATGTATTATTTCACACACAAAAAGAATCATCGACGCAGCGATTCAGACATCAACACAAAATTAATATCTTTGCAACCACAATAGTGTTCCATACAGCCATTTCATGTCAGTTAAGCATAAAAGAACAAACATACATATGTAATATAGCTACAAGATTTAGATCAATAGGTAAAAAAAAAAACAAGCAAAACAAAGCATCGATTAAAATTACCTGATGCAGAGAATAGAGCGTCGGAGAATCGAGGAACCCCGCCGGACTCAACCCGGGCTGAACAGTAAACAGCGGCGGCGGTGGCGGCAGTGACGAAGCTAATCCGACCGGCCGATTCTGCTGGAACCCATAGTCGTCACTCCCACCGCCTTCGTCCTTCGGCGGGGCGAAACTGTGGCCGGCGTTTGAAACAGGCGCCGGAGACGACATGGCTCCGGCGAGGAGCTGCGAGAACGAGGAGAAATCCTGGTCCGGTTCATTTTCGGCGAAGAAACTCGAAACCAAGGACATCGGGCCTGGACTGGCGCCCGGCCCGCCTGAGAACATACTCTGCATCGAAGCCCTGGACGGCAACGCGATCGTCGGCAGAGGTTTAGACGATGACAATGGCGGTGGAGGCTTGTTCTCAGCCATTAGATCACCCTGACTTTGACTTTTCCATTTGGGCCTTTTAAAGTCGTCTCTTCCCTTGTTTTTTTTTCCTTTTCTATAATAATTAATAATACAAATCTCTTCTATAAAAATAGAAAATTGAAATATTACTTCTCAACTTTGATACTTTAACACTATTTTTGCAATGTTCTTATCGCAATAATATAGAAATTGATAAAAATTTTGGGAATGCTTTCATTAGCTAATTTTTAAGGTGATTGAAATAATCTATCTGCCTCGCCTTGTTGGTGACAGATATGGTAGTTATTGACTTTAATATTTATCAATATTTCAATAAATATTATTTTTGAAATGACAGTTATGCCCTCAATGACTCATGCAATGATGCAACTGCAATGCAATGTGGTGGCTACTCTCAAGCACGACGCCACGCCCAATTATTTTTATATAATTATTAATACTACAATAATTCTTTTAAGGGTATGTACGGTATTATTTATTTATTAATGTCAACAATAATAATTTTTGTGTAAATTAAAATGGCCTGAATGGTATGAAATTGGACACTATAGGTAAGGTAAGGTAAGGGGGCTCAAAGGGTATAGCACTTTTATTATTATTGTTATTTTTGGTTCGATGGAATTGATGAAATATGTTACTTAGGGGCCTCCATGTTAATATATTAGATGAAAAATTAAATTGCATAGTTCATATAATAAATTATTCTGATAAATGCAACATTGCTGTAGAAAGAAATGATGCATGCAAAATGGGCAGATGAAGTACAAACAAATTAAAAGCTCTATGTATATAGTATGGGGCCACCTTCAATTATTTACCTGCGATTTCAGTTTATTCAATTTTATATATATTAATGTTATTTTTTGCACTGCCAGAAAATAAATTCAAATATAATATTAAAAAAAAAAAAAAAAAGTATAATGCAGTAAGTACAATTAAATTGATCACATAATTTTAAAAGTTTTTTTTTTTTTACTAGAAAAAAAAAAAGAATGAAATTTATATTGCTATGTCACCTAGTAAAAATGTGTACATACTTTAAAATCTTTAACTAAGAAATCTTAGTAATTATTTTAATTTAAAATTTCAAACTCAACTCAAAAAAATGTGAACACTTCTCAATCTTTTTAACTTCACACACAAACACAAAATTGCTAAGATGATATTGGCTCAATACAGTGCCCAAAATCGATTTTCTACCAATGTTCTTCATGGTTTGTTTTTTTCATGGTGGAGCTTCATCTCCAACAGAAGAGATAAAGTAAAATTATACTACATCTGTAACCAGATTTAGTATATAAACCATCGATCCTTAGCATTGATCCAGTTGGAATTGGGAACTCCAAATATATATATATATATATATGTGTGTGTGTGTGTGTGTGTGATATAAAACATGTCAAGAACTGTAAGATAAAAGATAAAACATGCAAAAATTGTCAAGGAAGAAGCAGAATATAAATAAAATCCCAAGCAATACTTAGCAAAATCCATTCTTGTGTCTTGATAAATAGTAGAGGCACAAGATTTTCTGTCAAATAATTAAAGTTCAAAATCAGATTGCAATTTGGTAGGGCTTACAAGTAGGCCAAGCTATTTGGGACCGATATCTTTGAGGGCACAAATCTGCTCCTCTCCCATGGCAGACATAACACTAACAACAAGATCTTTCCCGTCATTGAAACCATCCTTGATCTGTTGTTGTACATTTACCCAAAACGAGGCAATTCAAATTATAAATTGCATTGTAGGCATGACGAATAAAATTTTAATGCCACGAAGAACATTTAAATTAACCAACCTGGGCTAGCAGATTCTCATCGGTTGGAAGCCTGAGGTCATCCTTAGTGTTTCCATTTTCAGTAAGCAAACTCACCTAAAGAAATGTAAAACTGTGAATTACTAAATGTCCACAAAAGAATGGAAAACTTAAGGAGTAAATAAAAGCATCTTACAAATCCATCTTCAGATATGTCAATCAGCTGATAATCAGTGCGATTCACGTGCGGAACCTGTAATTTAATAAATATCACTTGAATCATTCATCATCAACACATTAACATTGCAAAGAATTAATCACAAAATAAACGGTCATACATCACAGTTATGGGAGGAGGGGACAATATCCTCAAGCTTCTTTCCATTAAAGATGTCAATGGCAACAAAATGACATTTGGCGTGGCCATGCTTTCCTGTTTTTGAGGTCGAAACTTCTACAACCTGAAACAATCATCTCCTAATTAGGTAACACATAGATATAATCTGGCGTAGAGAAAACATTTTATATAATGATCAATAGAAATAAAATAAAATTCAATCTTCTATGCCACATAGGGGTATCAACTACTGGTTCTTAACACTAGTTTTGTTCTAAATCCATTTTTAATTTCTGGATTCATGTCTATCAAAACCAATTCATAAATATGAAAGCAGATAATGGCACAAAAAATTATAAAATATAAAATAGAATAAAACATCGTATCACAGTTGATTCATCAAAAGATCTATGGATCAATTGCAGACCAGCTAAAAAGGTTCCTGCTAAATCAGTGATTAGAATCATATTGAGTCCAAGTATTGAACGGAGTATCCATTTACTAAAATAATAATAATCATCATCATTCAAACAACAGCTAAACGGCAACATTCCCATCGACATTACAGATTCAACCAAAATCATCCTATTAGAAATAAATTATTCAATTAATGGCAGAGAAACAACATCAAAACAATGTGATTACAAAAGAGAACATTCCCAAAACCTTGCAAGGACGGCCTTTGATGACAATGTAACCGTTTTTCCTAATAGTGCCTGCCTGTTGCGGAAACGTCTTGGAAGCACCAGCATCGGCCTTCGACTCAAATTGGTGTTCTTCGTCCGACATGCTTTCAGGCGTCCGAACCCTCACCTGTTTGGAGATTGGCGTGAAATCGTCAGCGGAAATTTTAGGGTTTTGTTTCCAATAAAACTTGTGGGCCTATAATCCAATAGAAATAATTAAGCCCAATAAATAGATAATTTAAAAACAATTAAGAAAATAACAAAAAACAAGAAATATGGATGATTAGGCATCTCATATGTATGTCTCTCTAAATGTGACAGATAAGATTTGTTAGTAATTTAATGAAATGACAATTGGGGTAATGTGTTTGTTTGTATTTTTATGGCAAGTGACTAACTGCCCCAATTGTTGGCTCATTTTCTATGTTTGGAAATTATTTTAAATCATACAAAGTGGCCCATTTGTGTTCAAATTTTCAAACAAAGTTATAAAATTGCACACTTTTACAAAATATTGAATGTTGTTATACATATACTTTATAGATTATTGAATATGTTATATATAAACCTATCGAATAATACATTATAGTTCTTTGATTACCTTTAAATTAACATAAGTATACAGGCGGATTAAATGAGCGGATCCGGAGCGCCTTAGCTGGAGTTGAAGTCCCGGCAGCGGCTATGAAATGAGGGGCTCCTCCACACGTACATATAGATGTCGTTACAACTTAAAAGCAGATCCATATTGTACTAGCGGTAGCCAATGGAAGAATGGTAATTTAAGGTAGGTCCCACATTAATGGCTGATTAATTTAGCAGAAAAATCCTGAAAATTAAAGGTAACGCCTTCACCATTTATGCTTAGATCCTAAAAAGTAGTACCCATATGTTATATTGAGTTATTAATTTTTATAAAAAATAAAAAATAAAAAAATACTCCGTATTATATATTTTTTATTATATAAATAAAAGAATATGTCGAATTTTTTTATGAAATACTCCCTTACTTTTTCCTTAATAACAATACGACATTTCTTTCCATTTACTCAAAGAGCCCACAAGTTATATAAATATAACACAGTACATTGTGGAATATATGTATATATATGTTGAGAGAGAGAGAGAGAGAGAGAGAGAGAGAGAGAGAGAGAGAGAGAGGGGTGGGTGGGTGGGTCGGGAAGACCTGATGTTGACAAAGTTTTCATGTCACTCACTGTAGGAGAGAGTCCTGTGTTTTATGTGAAGACTACTTGTTAAGTATAAATAATTAATTAGAGGTAAATTAATAGACAGATACAGTTGCAAAATTCTTTTCTTTTTACATTCATTTTTCCTCATCTCTCTCTCTCTCTCTCTCTCTCTCTCTAGTCATAGCTTTTGTTCTAGAGGGAGATATCAGCCCAGCAGATCGAAATCTCCAATCTTTAGTTGAGTTCCATATGAGGGAGGGAGGATCTAAAGCTTCTTCCATAATTCTTGGTTTCATTTCATAGTTATTTCTATTACCTCTTGTGTTATTTTATTTATTTATATTTCTCTTTCTCTCTCTTGTTTGGCTTTGGCAAGTCAGAGACACAGACAATATGAACACCTCTGAAATTTCCCATGAATTTTCAATTAGGGTAGAACTCAATATTACCCGTTGAATGCTTCAATCCATGAATGGTTCTCGACGACAGCAGCCATTCCAGGACGTGGGGCGGTCCAAGGTAATTATTTTTATTATAATAATAATTATTATCATTATTAATTAATTAATTATCAGAGTTTCTTGTTTTTTAAGATTTACTCGCCTTTGACTGCGACTCCTGACGGAGAAAAGAGAATAATTCGTTTCATCTCTTTTTCTTACAATCTTGCCTTAAAAATTAGTCTTCTGATTAGTTGAATCAATCCTGTGTTAAATTTGGCTTCCTTGGCTGAGATTTGTTCAATTTTTTCCCTCGATTAGTTGCTGATGGTATCGAATATTCTGTTCTTGTGTGGTCTGTAATTGATGCTGTGTGATCATCTACATAGGATCTACTTTGAAATATGTTGTTTTTTTAATTCACAGACTGTGTTTACTGCATCATCTAAAAGTTTGATCTTTTTAGGCTGCATGTACTAATCCATATGTATAATGTTTTATGTCATATGTAGTAATAGGAACACAAATACATTAACTCCATGGAGAACCTTAATGAGGATTCAAGCAATGGTTTCTGGCCCTTCATGTTTGGAGACAAGATTCCGATGAATGGACACTATTACGGATTTACGCAGCGCGTCGATAATGGTTATCTGCGGCATGAGAAGGATGTCTTGAAGCAAAAAATGCTCCAACATGAGGCAGTTTTCAAGAACCAGGTATGAGTCATTACAAGGATTGTCCTAAACGTTGCTTTTGTTAATCTCCACCTGTTTAACTGAAATGCATCAGAAGAATGAAGGCTCGGAATTTCCATTCGTCGTACAGGTTTCTGAACTCCATCGTCTCTACAGAATTCAGAAGGACATGATGGATGAAGTCAAGAGGAAAGAGCCACAAAAGCATCGAGCATCGATGGAACCAGCTTCATCTTCTAGCATTCGAGGGTCTAGATTGTCTTTGAATGATGCCGGGAAATGGCACACGCTGTGCTTTACTTTCTTGAATTCAGAAGTTAAGTACAAAGATTCTCCAGCAAGTTATGCTAAAGGTTCGGAAGGATTTGATTCAAGACCCTTGAAGGCGAGGAAGAAGTTGTTTGATCTTCACTTACCGGCTGAGGAATCTGTAGATACTGAAGAAGGAGAGATATTTCAGAGGCAGAAACCAAAAAATGCTTCTGCTTCTGCTTCTCCTTCGGCCACATTGTGTGTTGATTTTCTTGGCCGTGGCTTGCGAAATGAAGAGACTAAACGAATAAGTGAGCCCACAAAACCGCGCGCTGACTGTATAGACATTGACAGAGAAACTGCGCGTGTTCGCGATGGATTCTTAATACCTACAGCTGATGACAAAACTAAAGTTGACGATAGTCGATGGTTCTTCAATGTGGATCACAAAGGTAAACATTGATGGGAGTTCGTATTTTTCAACTGCTCGAGACTAACTCAGTCCTGTTGAATGATTAGTTCATTCCTGCCTTAACATGTAGCTTTTCTTGCAGGATTCAGAAGAAGCAACCTTAGTAGTTTGGTAACTCCAGTTACGTCGCCTTTACATTCCCATCTAGGGCAATGCATCCTTAGTCCAATCCATCCTCAGCATGATTTAGATTCAGAAAGAAATCTTCGTCACCTTAATAATAGCTACTTGGATCCTGCAGCTTCTTGGACTCAAGGTTCATTCCCATTCTGTAGTCCCTCTGGTCAAGTTTCTTCGAAGATGCTTAGTAGAACACCGCAGCCGTCTACTTCGAGCCAAGTATCATTTCATGAAAAATGGCAAATCAATGCTGGTTTTAGTTTGAATCCTCCTCTGCGAAGCGAATTTAAGCCGAATGGATTTTATCAGGCCTCTACCTCAGGACCATTTGCTGGCGATGTAGCGATTGAGTGTTCGACTAAATATCAGCTGCAGAATTGTATGAATGGCTCATGTCAAGAAGATCTAAAACCAGCAATGGCTATTGACTTGAATGAAGCTCTTTCAAATAGCTCATCGAATGAGGTTGTGATCCCGCAAGATCTCAAGAGAAAAGGCGAGCCTGTAGACCCTGCGCCGGCATTGCCTTGGCTTAAACATAAGCCAAGCTCTACAGATTCGGGTAAGAAGAGAAAGAATGGAATGATCGACATTAATGTAGCTTGTGAGGCTGATGATCAGGCTGCTGCCGAAGAACTTACCATCAAAGAGACGAAAAAGAGTGCTTGTGTCCGAGACTACATTGATTTGAACACTTGTGCAAGTGATTGTGAAGATCCTTCTGCAACCTATTGTGATCGAACGTGTGCTGGTGTTAAGATAGCCTTCGAAATTGATCTCGAAGCTCCTGCATTCGCGGAGAGTGATGATGATTTTGATAGAGTGTCGAAAGAAGACCATCAAGGGGACACGCCGTTGGCGTTGTTAGAGACTAAACAAGAACAAATGCACGACAAAGTTCTTCGAAATGCTGCAGAAACAATAGCTGCAATCTCCTTATCAGGTCGACAAATCAGTAGAGATGACGAAACATTGTTAGAGATATCGGTTCACTGGTTTGTTGATGCTGTATCTTCGAACGAACTTGAGAAGGTTTCTGTCGAAGGATCGAGACTTAAGGATGGCTCGTCGCAGCAGGATTCATCCAATGAGATGGATGAGTTTGAGGTGTCGACATTGCAGCTACAAGAAGCTACAGAAGTTGACTACATGCCTCATCCTTCGGCTCCCCAAGTTGAGAAAGAAGGAGACATGGAAGTAGATACTGTTCCAAGCAGATCGCGAAGAGTTTTTTCGAGGAGAGGGAGGCAGCGGAGGGACTTCCAACGGGATATCCTTCCCGGTATGACGACATTGGCGAGGCATGAAGTGACCGAGGATATTCAGACATTTGGAGGGGTGATGAAGGCTTTGGGACATTATTGGAACCCCGGAATGGCACGAAGAAATGGTGGCACACGGGGCAGACGACGAGCTCTGTCTGAAACTATCCCTGCAGAGACACCAATCTTGGTCTGCGCTGCTCCATCGATGCAAAAATTTACCGGCGTTGAAGCTGGTCTGGAAGAGAGAAGACTAACAAGGTGGGGGAAGACAACAACCAGGCGGCCGCGGCGACAACGATGTCCTGCAGGTAATCTTCAACCAGCTGCTGTCTTAACATGACAAGGCAGGGGTTTTTGACATTGATATCGAGCTTTTAAGAACTGGCAATGGCGTCTTTGAGAATGTAATTCCTTTGGTAAAACTGAAAAACTTAATTATGATTATAAGTGCAATATAAAGATTGGAAATATTAAGTTGAGAAGGCCCTAAAATGGGCACAAAACTACACAAGAAACCGTAACTGTTGGTCATGTTGTGATTCAGCCTTCAAGCATAGCCTTGGCAGCATCAATTAGAATTGGCTGCAGTTCGCGGGTTGCTCGCCCGAGAACAGTGTACCCTTCTTTGTCCTCGGCGTCTACATCAGCCCCGTGTCTTATGAGGAGGAGAGCTACCTGCAAATCGATCACAAGAAAGATGCAGTTTTACTACCGGCTAGTTTATATTATCCTTCATTTCCATGTGGGACATAAGTTTTTGTTGAAAATGTTTAGTCCCTACTCTGCTCGGCCTCGGGTTTTAAATCACAGAAAAATCTGATTTTATAAACATTGTTGCAGCATAATTAAGTTGATGCCAGTAAGCCATTCTGCAATACTATTCAACTAGCCATGGGCGACGACATAAAATCAGAACAGCAAGACTAAAATGTCGTTGTGAAGCTTTTTTGTATTTTCTGCACAAACTAAAAACAAACTCATTGGAAAGATGAGCTATAGCATCAGTTTTTACCTCTTTGTTCTCGCATATCACGGCAGTCATGAGAGGAGTTTGCCCAGCTTTATCAACATCATCAATCTCTGCTCCTTCCTCAATCAAGAATTCACAGAGCTCCGCGTTCCCAGTACTTGCTGCACGGTGCAATGGGGTGCATCCCACCTGCACAAAAGTGTTCGATATTCAGGGATTGTGGAAATTATAAAATAGCTTGAGTGCATAATAACACATCAAACTGGTCATATGTATAGAAACTCCTAAGCAGTTGCAAACCTTGTCCTTCACGTTGATCTTTGCACCGTGTGTGACCAAAATTTCAGCTATTTTTAAGCGACCCTTGCTCGCAGCATAATGTAGAGCCGTGCGGCCGCCAGCAGTTTTCAAATTTGCATCAGCCCCTGTTTCCAAAACATTTTTGTATCCAAGTTAAAGTGAGTGCAAAGAACTGAAGCAGGATAAAATCATGTATTTTAAACACAATCAAATGTTTGAAAGATAGAAACTGAAGCTGAAACGATGATTGTTCACTGCGACAACTCGCAGATCTGTTCAACAACTAGCACAGAAATGCTAACTGGGGGATTAACAAAGACAAGATTCCTGATAAATCGGTGAAAAAGATCGACAGCAAGAAGGTGAAAGCAATCGAATTGAAAGTGAAAGCGAAAAACAGGTATCACTTTCAGGGTTCAGCTTTTATTTTCAGGCAAGATGCAAAAAAGGCTTCTGGAGTTTCTTAAAGCTTTCCTCCATCGACTAAAATTTGGAGTGCTGACCTCGATTGAGTAAAATTTCCACAATTTCAAGATTGCCACTACTCGCAGCAGAGTGCAGTGGCGCCCATCCTTCTTCGTCGGAACAGTTTATAACTGATGGATTTGCAGCTGAAAGTACTTCCACAACCTAATCCATCCACAAACACAGGCCAAACTCAGAAATGGAAGAAGATAACTACTGAACTATGGCAGCGCTTTGTGAAGTAGTAAACCAAACTACCTCTACGAATCTAAAGACAGCGTAAAGAAAGTGAAAGCAATAGAATTGAACAGACGGACCTCTTTTTGTGACGATGAAACGGCGACGTGGAGAAGAGAACGGCCGTCTTCATTGCGAAGTTCGAGGGTTTTGACGAGTTGGTCTTGAGAACGCGATCTGAATAGAGAGGAGTCGCCGGACTCGGCAGCCTTAAAGACGTCCTTGTCTTTCATTTCTCTTGCTGGATTATCGTCAATTTCCATGGCAATCGCCGCCGCCGCCTGCGTGCGATGGAGGGCTTGGCTTGGAACACGGGTAGCCCAAAAAATCAATAAATAATAATAATAAATATAATTGCCTCATATAGAAATTAAGAGATATACTTATTTAAGAGGACCGGAACTTGAGATCCCTGTTGATCATGAAGTATCCAGGAAAATGGAACGGTTCGATTTACTCCGGACCAAATTGCACGAGGACCGGGACTCTTAAATGGAGGAAGAAATGCCAACGAAGAAGAAGATGGAACTAATGGAAGTGGGACTGTTCGTTCAAACTGTGTTCTCAGCCTAAATTTGGTGCCTTTGACAATTTCCGGAAAGCCCGATTTCTTATCTCGTCCAAGAATTGCTTTCCAATATTTCCCTTATTTCTTCTCCCCTTCTTGCTCCAAATACTTCGATCCCAAAACAACAATGGATATGCTGGATAGCTTTTCGAAGAAGAAGGAGCCGGCCAAGAAGGAGGATTCCGGCAGCAAACCCGATGAGACCAACCACCATCCCACGAAGTCCGATCTCTTCCACAGCGCCCAAGTGCTGGCGGACGTGGCTAAAAGCCAGCTCCGCCACGAGCCCGGCAAGCATGACCAGGCCGAAGTCAACAACGCCACCGCCGACCTCCTCAACGCCGCCGCCGAATACGGCAAATTGGATGATAACAAGGGCATCGGAATGTTCATTGACAAGGCAGAGGATTATCTCCGGCAGCACAAGTCATAGATTTTATTGACGGCTTCTGTTCTGCGTTCTTCCGACTACACAAGATTCTTCTTTTTTTTTTTTTTCAATCTTTCAGTTGTAATCTTAGGGTTCATCCACACACGCAGTTAGGACCAGAAATAACCATACTTTACTAATGCAAGAACATCACATTGTCTAATATCTTTCACATTTCTTCATCATACGTAATAAAAGCGCACAGACAAACCAAATTATGTATAAATATCAGCTATCAAATCTTAGCCTTAAATAGCGTGAGAGAGAGACTCTTATCGACGTTGTCATTCTTCCTCGATGCTTTTTATTGCAAAGTGATCCAAGAAATGGCAATGCAGTTTCAGACACAAGCTGGGGCTTTAAATCCCTTGAGTGTGGCAAAAACTATTGAATCTGGCGCGACTTTAACAGGCAATGCGGCGGCAACGAGGCGCGGCTTCAGCGCCGGAATGTCAAACGTCGCCGTAATCCTCAAAGGCGTCCCGTTTAGCAGCAAAACATCACTAAGAATGTCACCATCTTTGGGTGTGAGATGGTATTCTTCTCTTGGAATTATGTCTCTGTATTCTTGTTGATACAATCTCGTGTCATCCGTCACCGTAACTTCAAAGCTTGTTGAATTCGACATGTTGATTATCAGCACCGAAATGCCGGTCTGAAACCAAAAGAGATTTCTACCTTGAAAAAGCTCGTGATCATTAACGTAAGATAGAATTGAAAGATTTGCTTACTGTTCTCTTCGAGCAATGAGAATAGACGCGCAAGTAAGGGGAGCTAGCGTGGGAGGCGGAGAGCACAGTCGATCCCATCAAGCGATGCCACAGAAGTGCACTGCAAAAGGGAATCCAATCTTATTACAACCAACATTTCTGCCACAAGAATGAATGCAACGAATCCTTACCCGTAGTAATCTGGATTCGGGATGAAAGAAGTTGTGTTGAGTAGACCGTAGTTTCCTCCAATTAATGATTGCCTACAGAAAACCTTGTGGTTGAATCTCGCCGTCATTCCCAATTGATCCAAGTACCTGTTACACGTCGAAAGCCAGTGTTTTTAGGCCTGATCGTTTACTAAACACTAAACAGGGCAATTTTCATCATCGAAGGATAGATGTTTACCAGAATCCGTTAACGAATGTATGCGATACATATTTGCCACCGCTGTTGTAAGCCCCGCCGGCTTCCCCAACCCAAGCTCCCGACCACGGCCCGAATAGCCTGACGCTCATTTCTACGTCTCTGTACGTCTGCGCTACTTGATCAAGATAGAAGGGGTTCTGAACCTTATCGATTAATGTTGGATCGACACCTAACAATACACATGGGAAAAGATTAGCCAAGAATTCGACTAGGACAACCTCATTCAATCCGATGTAATCCGTTGTGTGTACAAACCTGCACCAAGGTTGTAGATATGGTGTGTCACACCATTGACAACATTAGGTCCTGAGGTCTTCAGGAAGGTTTCGAACCATTGCTTGTCATAGAATCCGCCAGGACCTAAGACCTTTGGCCGCGTAAAAGGGTCGGGATATAGCTCCTGAACTATACGTTTTAGGACAACTATATCCCTTCCATATTGTTCTGGCCCTATTCTTGCAGCAACCCCACTTCCACACAGCTCATTTCCTGAGCGATAATCTAACACATGTCATGTTGTGTTTGTCAATCACTGTAGTAATGGATATATACTCATCATCTTTGTACAATTTACCAAGTTCATAAGAATCGATCTTGTGGCCGCGAGTGGCAGTGTACTTGATGAAGTCATAAGCATTTCTTGCGTTCCAGTCACCCACCATGAGCGAATCGTTAGCTGCAAACTTCCTTCGTCCCAAGAGGGCGTTCAAACTGAACGTTACCCGAGCCCTGCACAAAAATGCTACCTTATGGTATATGCTTTTCTTACAAGAACATCTAGTGCAGTAAATTTGTCAGCACTTGAAATTGTACCCGGTTTTAGTGAAGAAACTGTTTAGGACTTCCCATCTGTCCATGTCTAGACAGCCGTATGAAAATCCAAACAAACCATTATCATTTCTTCTGAAATGTGGGCATTTTAGAGCAAATGGTCCGACTTTGTACAGCACCTGATCTTGCAGAGAACCTCCAATTCTGATCCGAAGAGGACTGAATGCTGTTTTTGTAAGATCAAAACATCTTCAATCAAATTAAAATGAAGAAACTAGGCCACAGCACGAAAGAGTTTTTTTTTTTAATCCTTGAAAGTATGATGAACTTATCGAACAGTCTCCAAATCTGTTACATCATTCATCCATTACACGCCTTCAAAATGATTGAATCAATCAATGGCAAAAAAACAAGCTAACCTTTAACAGCATTTGCAAGAATCCTGTTTCCCAAATCCTGCAAGAATGGAACAGAAGAACACAGCTGCAGCTTATGCCAAGTTTCATTTCCCTGATAAAAACAGAAAAAGTACAAATTCAGACAAATCCATTACCAGAGTGAGAATGCCTGCTTTCCCCCAGGGGCACTGGTTGTAGTTGCATTTAGTCTCCGGCCACCAATCCAGAGTAGCACATATGAAGTTTTCATCGGTCCGGGCTATGGCGGCGGCTCCCCTCACAGTCAGTCTCACCTCTACTGCGCAGCACAAATGCAATAACGACAGGAGAAGTAAACAAATTAGACCTCTGAATCCCATCTCAAACCGATCCTGGAAGATAATGTAGCCTAGGAGTATTTTAAGACGTCCACATATTTGCTGTCAAAGTTTGCCAAATAGAGACAAATCTTGTACTTTTATTTCACCCTTCCCATCCTCCAATCCTTCATCAATCAATACATTTCTGTTCTTGAAAACATATATAGTTAAAAGCAGCCCAGAAGAGTAGACTTCAAGAAAAGAACAAAGGAAAAGAAATCTTGTAAGAGTATGGGATTGTAAATTGCAACTAAACCGCGCAAGATAATAGCTTTATAATCGAGACCCACCAAACATTTATTGCATTTGGAGATAAATTTAAAAAGGGTGGGCAATGAATCGATTTGAACTCATTAACAAAAAAAAAACTTTAAAGGCAGGGCATGTTGTTTGTCGCAGCTGTATTCAATAGTCACCGTAATAGTGAAGTGTAATGTCTGCCCCTGTTATTATTACAGTATATTATAAACTTCGCTCTCTTTATTACATACATACAAATTCCTCAATTCGTGAGGAAGCCGTTAAAGCAAGGTAATTAAATAAGTTATCGCACCTGGGGCCAATCAAATCTTGAAGTTTATGGGAGTCGGTGATGTCCTTTTCATGGGAAGCTCTTGAGTGAATATATATATGGATGTAATATCGGTGGCCATTAGAAGCCTCCAAATGGGGTTTCGTTTCAACGCAATGATTAAAGGGCCTTTTCTTCATCCAAAGACGAAATGAAACCCTCACGGGTTTGCATATCTGTAAAGTTATGGTGTGGGCCGAGGTAGTCTGTCTGCCCTGCCTCCTCCTGTCCTGATGACGATTGCAATCGATTTTGGCACTTGCGTGGTTGTTTGGCAGCTTCTGTAAAGTACGCTCTCCACATATCCATCTTTCTTAATTTTGCAAAACCTAGCCATGGATTTCCGAGGAGGAGTGCTAATCCAACCATGGTGTCGGGCCAGGACTCAGGACCGAGAGAGAAACCAGTTCGTTTCTCCAACACCCCCACCACGTGAGGTGTTCGATGAAATGTCTCTGAAAAAAGCTTAGTTGTAAACTAGTGTCAAAAAGATTTTTGCTTTTTGATTTGATTTTCCAGGCTGAATGTAAGCTTTGATGATCTGATCTGATCGGATTGAGACTTTCGAATTTTCCATACTCAAAAAAGTTGAAAAAGATGAGTCGGAGGTTTGGTGAAGTATTCCTATTCCTATTCCTTAGGGTTGCTGTTCAGTTTGAGCTTTTGCTTTTGGGCAATATGCACAAAGAGAGAAGCAAAGGTTGAGTTGTAATTTCCCCTTTGTTAGAAAATAAATAATACTTTCATTAATTCCAAGAAAACTTATATATATTCTATTTATAATAAATATATTTTTTATTATTATTAATTCCAAGAAAACTTACCTAAATTTATAGGTTTTGAATAAATTTATTTTTAGTTATAGATTTTCCTAGAAAAGATACCCAAGTTGGGAAATGTGATAGGCAAGTCCAACTGCAATTGGTGGCCAACAGTTGTCTCATTCTCTCTCTATCCTATTCTTGACATAGATTTAGTGAAAGAAACCATCTTGGTGCCTTCTCAAAAAAAAAAAAAAAAAAAAAAAAAAATAATTGGACCAAATCTAATAATTTATTAAGGGTGTGTTTGTTTGAAGGATTTTGGTGGATTTTCACTATTCATCCAATTTTTTCCCCCAAAAAACATCAAATCAAACACCTATTTTTCATTTTTTATATTATACTAAAAATCAATTTTACATTCAAAACATCACATCAACACCTATTTATATCACATCATACAACTATTCAAATTCAAAATTTTTGCTATTCAAATCTCAACTCAAAATCCAAACCACCAAACAAACACACCCTAAGTATGTTTGACAAACAAAATATAAATAGGATGTTGCTAATTTATTCAATCAAAACCATGACTATTTTATTTTAACTAACATTTAATTATATAATATAAAGATAAACTTGTTTAAATATTTGACCCCAGCGCATAGTAATTAGCCTTAATTATGGTATTACATAAGGTATGCATTAACGGTACAAATGTATATTAACATAATGTAGGTTGAAATATCTACTTTGATATTGGAAAAAAGAAAATGAGAGAATTAATATTATAAAAACACTTACTAAATAAAAATATATATTATATTAATGGCCCAATGAAATATTATCTTATTATTGTTATTTTCATTAAATTTAACTTTAAAAATCTTCAAAATTTTAGACTTTATTTAAGCAACACATTTTAGAATTCTAAGTATTTATTGTTTTAAAAAATATCGTATGAACAAACAAAAAAAATATATTTATGTAATTTTACTATTAATAAATTTTAAAAATCCAAAATTCTCAATCAGCATCCAAATTTAAATGTTGGGTCATTTTGGGCCTAATGATACTTTTTACAGAACAAGTGAGGCCCAATTACCCATATTTCGGGTCATGTTCTTCCTTGTTGCCCATTCCACTAATTATCTTTTATCATATATTTTTTGGTAAATTATATAAAATCCTTTCTGTTTTCATAAAAATACATAAAATATTTTTTATTTTATTTAATTTCAGATAAATGTTGTTTTATTTCTAATAAGAAAGCTGAAAATGTTTTTATTGTAAGTCACTTTTAATTTGATTCTTAAAAATAATTCTAAAAGTTTTTTTTTTTTTTTTTTTTTTTTTTTTTTTTTTTTTTTATATTTATAGCTTTACTTTATTTTGTAAAATCAACTCCTTTTGGTAATTCTCCCTCCGTGCCAATACCGTGTCTGCTGCACTATAGACACGGTATTTTAGAAGGAGTGTAATTAGTAGTTAATTAAGAATGTATTAGTGAAAATAATTATTATAGAATATAAATAATTATAAATTAAAATTAAGATAACTAATTAATTTAATTAAAATTTTTTAAAAAATAAAATTAAAATTTTTTAAATGAGATTAAAGTATATAATAATTTTTTAAAAAATAAAAGTGACATTGTATAGTATGGTACGTGGGACGGACAAAACGAAAATGTGAACATAGTAGGAGGAAGTATAAATTAAATGTTTTCTGAAAAAGTGAAGACGATTGGTAAGTGATGATTGACCATTGATTTCGTGTCGGTTGGACGTTTCTAATCAATGTCTATTTATTTCTTTTTATGTCCATTAATTGTCTCAATTAAAACTGTAGCAATTCTTTACTGGCAGATTATTAATAATAATTATTATTACATAAAAGCAACAATTCACAATAAATTAGTGCCAAAAAAAAATAAAAAGTGTAATCTGAGCAGTTTGTTAGTTAATAAAAATGAGAATATTAATTAATAATAAAGCAAAATTAAAGACATAACACGTGATTATAGTACACCAATAATTGTTGGGTATGATACTGTAGCAACAAATCATGTGAAATATATAAAATCTTAATTTAATTAATTTTAAAAGCTTGTCAAAAATTATTAATTGTAATCCAAATAATGTATTAATATATGTAACAAAACGTACATTTGCTTCATGGCTTTGGAGCTACAAAATTTAAATAAATCATTCCTATTTTTAGACACACAAATTACATTAATTATATGTCTATGATCTGACAATAATTCATTCACCATTAATCAAAATTAAAACAAAAGTGTCGCAATTAATTAGTTACATTAAACTATAAATTATTTTTCATTAGGTTTAATTAGTTCTCTAAATGCCTTTTGTATTGATTGTAATGGTACAAATGAGTCTACTATTGAAATATTATTTATAATTAAATAATAAATTTTAAATATAAAGTATGAAAATTTCAACAACAATAATCAACTTGAAATTCACTGTTACTTTTTTTAAATTTTAAAATTATAATTGTATGATCAAACTAAACAAGTAAATTAAAAAAATAATAATTATTTAAAATCGATCCACATGAATTAATTGAGTAGATTGCTGCAACAAAAATTAAAATTTCTGTATGTTAGCCCATCAACATCGAAACCAGCTATGATTTAATTAATCCTGGAGTTATTGTCACTACTTGTAAATTTATTTCATTTTAATATATTAAAGTGAAATTAATTATGGGATAAAATAAAATACATTAAATAGCTGCATGAATAATATTGTATCCGAAGTCCCTAATGGGACATAGTTTTCTTTGTATTGATTAGGGCAATGTATGTTATACGACTATTTATTATTATTATATTGAATAAATTTAATTATACTTTATAGGACTTGATTAGAGTATTAATTAAATTAAAATAATTAATATTCCACTGAAAGCATATAAAATATAAGATGTCAACTTATGGTTTGAACTATACATCGTATGTTGTATTAATTTTTATAATGTGCTATTCCTTTATATTTGATAATATTAAAATATACCATGTATTATCTTATTATTTATCTATATTTAATTTACTATTCGATTACTATTGGGATATGAAACCTGATTATATCGTAAGGGATATGATTTGGATATTATATTTTAGATTTTAAAGATATGATTTGGATATTATTGTCAAAGGCTTAGGCTATAAATATTCGTGTATTCTCACTTTAACATATGCCTGCGTACTAGAATTTCTGGCTTGGCAGCGCCCCCAGACGTAGATCATCGTGATCGAACTGGGTTACCAAATTCTTGTGTTGTTTTGTCTCTGTTGTCTCATCTTGATTTCCCGGGAATTTCCTTAACAAGTGATATCAGAGTCTGGTTCGTTGGTAAAGTGGATTGGTAGGCATCGAATATTGATTGTTGCTGTGGGAATCCCTCGTGACTTGCGGAAGCTTGCGGAAGTGCCTTGTGTCGAAAGTCTTCTGGCGGTGTTGGGTCGGTCCCGACTGGTAGGTCAGGCAGCGGTCCCTTTGTGATAGGCGGTACAAGGTAGGTAGGGAAGGATAAGGTTTCGGCAAATGCAGCGGAGAAGATATCAAAGATGTGCTCTCATATCAAGTGAGCCTTGGGTTTATTTGTAGGAGTCAAGATGGGTGATCATCATGTTGTCAAGGTATTCGATGGTATGAACTTCGGTTTCTGAAATATGCAGATAGAAGATTACATGTATGGTAAAGATCTAGATGCGGTATTGAAGAATAAATCCGAAGACATGGATGAAGCCGAATACAAGAAGATCGACAGGAAGACGATGAGTGCGGTTCCACTAACCCTTTGGAAGAATGTCTCGACTGAATTTAGATTTGAGGCAAAAGGAAACGGTGAAGATCAAGTCAAAGTTGAAGCCGAAGAATAAAGACAATGAAGATGCAAGTCAAGTGGTATGTTGGAACTGCAAAGGGCACTTGAAACGACAAGTGCAGGGCGCCGGAGAAGGATCAGGGTTCAGCAAATGCAACGGATGAGATATCCGATGCGCTGATTCTGAGCGTCAACAGTCCAATGGAGTCATGAATTTTGGTCTCAAGAGCGTCATTCCACTCATGCAATGATTCGGGAATCATGGAATCCTATGCCACATGTAATTTTGGTGTTGTCTATCTTGCAGATGATGAGACACTGAAAATTGTAGGTAAAGGAATGATTCGAATCAGAACACCTGGGGAGTGGAGATTGGATGAGGTATGTTGAAGTGGAAGATGAAATCAGTCTTCAAGTGGGAGATTATTGGGATATGAAGTCTGATTATATCCTAAAATCTAGGCATATGATTTGGATATTATATTTTAGATTTGAGAGATATGATTTGGATATTACTGTCAAATGTTTAGTCTATAAATATCATGTATTCTCACTTTAACATGGGTCTGCGTACTCTACAGTAAAATTGATCTTAATGGGTTACCAAATTCTTGTGTTGTTTTGTCGTTGTTGTGTTATCTCGATTTCTTGAGAATTTCCATAACAAGTTATTTATTGTAATCACCATGTAAATTAAAATTTATCACCACTGGAGCAGCAACCTGTTATGTATATGCATTTCATAAAAGTATATGTGATGTATTTTTATTTTTATTATTATTAATTTTTAAATAAAGAATTAGAGTAGAGAAGAATAAATATTCCACCCAATCTGCAACTTGAAATTTAATTTAATTTAAATATCAAACACGAAAGTGACACACACTTTGAGCACAATTTGCATGTGTACATAAATTACATTGATAAACTTCTTTTAATTAATTAATTTGGTTGACATTAATTTTAACGTAAGTTTAACTGTGAATATAATGCTCAATGAATAGTTATACTCGTCTGCTCATTAAATTGCAGGGTAAAAGTTTTATTTTATATTGATTTATTAACAGTAACATTATTATAACTAAAAATTTATATTAGAGTTAATATTTATTTGGTTTGTATTTCTTATCATACGTATACACACCACGTATAACTGTATTAAGTACTTTCCAACAAAAAAGAAAAAGAAAAAAAATCAAATAAAAATATTATTTTTTATCTAATACAAAAAACATTAACTAGAAAAATATAAAATGAGCACACCATATATATATATATAGTATTATTACGTCATTTTGGAATATTTATTATTTGGTTATATATTAGTCCTTTTTTCCGCTCTTAATTTTTTTTTTAAAAAAAAAAAGAAAAAGGATTAACTATTTCTGCGATTATTTATTTATTTTTTAATAAATTTTTCTCAGAAAAGAAAAATGAAAAATCAGCTGTACATGAAGAACAGTAGTGGGCGCAGTACTCTCTCTTTCTCACTCCACAGAAACCCTAACTTCCCAATTGATTCTCTTTCAAGGATCTCATCGATTCATCAGTTAATTCCTTGCGCCTACCGAAGATATGGAAGGGAAGGAGTGGACGATTCCCGATCAGTTAGGTTGGGGAATTGGCACCGAGAGCGTGGACCATGTTTCCTTTCTCGGTAGTGATTACGATGAGAGTGTCATGCTCGGCGACTTCGGGTGGACTGTTCCGGCGGATTCTGGTGACTTCTCCGGCTGCGACGGTGGTTTTTTCGATTTCTACCGGATTGAATCGGATTTGGCGGGTTCCGATTGCCGTGTTGTTGATGCCGAGGACAAATCGACTCCCAACGTAGGGGATGATTCGAATAGAAGTATTCACGAGCCTAATGACAAAAGAATCTATAGAGCTTCAGATTTGTCGCCGAGCTCGTCGGAAGATCCAACGGAAAAGCCGACGGAGCCTGGAGGCCTCGCAGTAACCGCCGCCGGAAAACCGCCATTAGACACAGAGTAAGGTTCGCTAAATGCATGCAGTTATAGTTATAAACCGTTTTTTTCTTCACAAAAGTGGAATTAAAACGCCGGCGTGCGCCATCGTCGCCGCTATTTCGGCGACGGCGTGCAATGAATTCTTCCTTTTTCGGAACCGACAAAATACAAAGTGCTTTTTTCCTATAAAAAATCCCTATTTCTTCCCCACACACTATTAATTAAATCTGAGCAAATGTTTTAACTCGTATTTACGTTCCACTTACCTCATCGTCATCATGAGGTATCTCTGAGCAAATCCTCGACATTACGTATCTCTGTAATTTGCTTTTATTTTCTGAAATGTTCTTGTATTGGCTAAACTTTACACACAATTGATTCTTGTTGGTCTCATTAAAGATGAATATCAGGACACAGATTTTAATGCTACCTCAGCTTTGCTAGACAATATAATGATGCTTACTTTTAGTGGCTCAATTTTTTTCTGCAAAATTGCAATCGAATTGTATATGAGAAACTCTTACAATGGCCTTTATCTGAAAGTAATCTATTGTTATCATTGAATTTAAGTTATTTTCTTATTGTACATAAAAGGCCACATGCTAAATGTTCTATAATCTGGAACAGTGATGATATAATTTCTCCTAATTTCAGGGTTTTTCCAAGGAAATTAGTGCCTAAAGGCTGAAATCTTTGTGCTATATCTAATTATAAACTTGTAATTGTGCAATTATCATTACACAGAAGCAAGGTTAGAAAGAAAGGGCAAAAGCGAACTCGGCAGCCGCAATTCGCCTTCGTGACAAAGAGCGAAATCGATCATCTTGAAGATGGATATCGATGGCGAAAATACGGCCAAAAGGCTGTAAAGAATAGTCCATTCCCAAGGTATATTGTGAGCATATTTATGCCTTTATACCTTATGTTAATGTTATATAGGATCTATGATCTATCTGGCTTCTTCTTCTTCTTCTTCTTCTTCTTGAATCAATGACACAATGTATTATTACATGAACAGAAGTTATTACAGGTGTACTAACAGTAAGTGCATGGTGAAAAAGAGGGTGGAAAGATCACGGGAGGATCCCACAGCTGTGATCACAACGTACGAGGGGCAGCACTGTCACTATTCTGTCGAGTTTCCCGCTAGAAGTTTTAGATGTGATGCATTTGCAAGGCCTATAGCCCCTGCTGCTGCTGCTGCTGCTGCTTCGAACAATCAATTTTGTTATCCAACTGCAACATTCTTACAACATCATATGCAGCAGACTTGTTCGATTTTGATCTCACCCCCACCACCCACCTGGCCCAGCTCTAATATTAATAAAGAGAAAGTTCTCGCAGATCAATCTGGCCTGCAGATCTCACCCACCTTATGAGGTAACTAAATGCTTATATTAGTTGCTTGAGATCGATAAATTGTGTCCATATGAATTGAGGGTTTGGGATAGTTGAGGTTGTCAATTTTAATTAATCTATATAATTTTGTATCTGCCGACAACAATCTTGGTGTGTATGTAATGATTTGTTCTTGAAAAATTTATTCTTTTTCTTCGTCTTATTTTCAGGATGATGTTGGTAGTGAGTGGCGAGGCTGTACTGTACTCTTCTTAAATCACCAAGTTCAGACACAGTCTAATTAATATTACTGCTTCTTGGGGTCCTGTATGTATATCTATCTATCTATCCATCTAATTACCTTGTGCGTATATATATACATATATGTTTGTATGTCATTGTCTGTGGTTTACATAGCAATGTGAAAGTAAAAAAATAAAAAAATTAAAATAAATTAAATTCTCTTGTTAACTGTCTGTCAGTGCAGTGCTTTGTCTGCTTCTGTCAACATTGCGTGAAAATCAATGTTGCTTCTGTCTGCCGACGCGACTTTTTTCACCGCCCTTTGACCTTATTTAAAATAAATAAATAAATAAACTTTGCTGTAAATAAACAGTGTGTTTTTACTTTATGCAATTTCCAATTAATGTTTCTCCTTTTATTTATTTCTGAAAGTGGGCAACACATAAGTTTCAAGAATTTGCAAAGCGGACATGGTCCACAAGTGATTGGGCCCACAAACCGAAGAAGTTGGTGGGCCAGAAATCACTTTTTGGGCACAACGGCCCAACTAATTCCGCAGTCACATGGCATAAATAATTAAATAGTACTCATTCCCATACACAATTGTCAATCTTTTTCGACTCTTTTCAGCTTTCAGTTTTCTTTCATCCTTATTCCCCACAAACACAGAGGTCAATTACCGGCACATTAAAAAATAAAAAAATAAAATAGTAACAACAATAATAATAACTGTAGCTTGCAAAGAAGAAGAATTGGAAGAGCATGCTTTCAAAGTTGTATGATGAAACTGGTTTGACACATGTAATATATATATATATATATATATATAATAGATCAATAATATAATGTCTTTGTTTATTATTATTGATTGGCTTTACGAATCGATGTTCAACCACCCAAAACCCCCAAAATTTATTCCCCACCAGTATGGTACCAACAAAACAATGCTGTTATTGTTGATTGTTCATACATGGTCTGCCTGCATTCTTGAACTAACCTTTAGTGACTGACTTAGTGACTACATACATAATGCAATATATATATATATATATCTTTTCCTACTCAGTTTTGTCTGTTCCGGACACAGTTCAATTTTGTAAGAGAAGCAGGCAAAGTCTGACTTTGCACCAGTAGCCATAGCATAAACACACAATACATGATGATGATGATGCAGCAACACACAACTAACTGTATATATTTACACAAGAGGATGGCTAAAAAGTCTTGTGGGGCTCCCCACCCCAAATGATCATCCTTTTTCCCCTCAACAAAAAAGAGAACCTTTAATATAAATATATGGATTCATTAATTTCTGATAGATGGATGAATGTATGGATGGATAGTGTTATCCATCATGTTCCCCTCACCCTCGTCATTTCTCATATATAGATATGCATTTTTCAGTTTCAGATTCAGACAACTCTGAGTAAGTGATGGAGGTTGTTCTATAGAAATCTAAGGAAGCTTAGAGTTAGAGGTCATTAGGACAAAAGGGATTTGGAATTTAAGCTTAGGATAAAAAAAAAAAAAAAAAAGGTTGGTTCCAGGCAATGCATTGTGCTCAACTTTCAGGCTGACAAAACCTGTAATTAAACACAATCAGCAAAACCAGAATACTTAATTTTTTTGATAACGGGGTGCAAATAAAGGCTAGCAGGAATCTTAATCATCAATGCTTTGCTATCTAAGAACTTATGTGCTAACAAATGATGTAATGTCAGCAATTTAAATTTGAAGTCTGCAAAACTTTTTTGGCTCATTAGGTAATGAATTCATGAATTCTGCTTACAGTATTATCAGCTGATGTTCTTCTTGTCTGTTCGACTCCGCCGAGGAGCTTGACATTGTTGCTGTCCGTAGATGTTTTTTGTCTTTCTTAGAGCAGCCATCTCTCTTGCATTGCCAAGAAGATCGGCGGCTCTGTTCATGATCGGCGCAAACTACCACGGCGAGAATTGGCCACTCCCATTGTTTCCGTCTTCCTCCGGCGCAGGAAGATTGAGATCGAGCAAATCAGGCTTTGCTGCAGGAGCTCGACTGTTATGTAGCTCGTGGTTATGTCCGCCGATGAAATGCGACCTTTTGTGACCACCTAAGGCCTGGCCATTCTTGAATATCCTGTTGCAGAATGGGCAAACATGTCCCTTGTTCTTTTTAGCCTTGCTGTTCTTCTTGTCGACGTAGTTTTTCGATGATGGCTTCTTGGCGCTCGATTTCCGGTTCTCGACAACCTTAACGAATTCAGCAGAGTCGTCATCATCGTCGTCGTCTTCATCATCATCATCGTCATCGTCTTGGCTGTTGTCGCCGCTGTACTGGGATTCGCAGTACACGGTGCTACGCTTGTGGCACGGCCTGTGGCCGCCGAGAGCTTGGTAGGACTTAAAAATCTTCTTACAGTTGAAGCATTCATACTTGCTTTTCTTGTAAGTGCTGCAGCTACCGAGGTTGTCCTGAGAAACACAGCTGCTTCTCCTTCGCTCATCTTCTTCGTCGTTGTATTTTTGCTTAGCTCTGTAGTAGCAGCCTCTGTCTCTGCTGTAGCCTTGTCTGAATTCAGCAGGGCTGTCCGGAGGCTTGCTGTATCGCCGGAATCCGTCGACGGATACATCGGATTCAGCTTTGCCACATTCGTCCAAGAAGTATCCAGAATCAGAATTCTCCATCTCAGCCATTTCAGCATCATAATCATCCCCTCCAATCTTGTTAACGATCTTAGCTTTAGATGACTTAGTTTCGAAGATAACAGAGTTGTTGTCCGATGATTCGACGACAGAATTCACACCTCCCTTATTCCCAGAATCTCTCGACAGCAGCATCAAGCAAATAGCAACCTCCTCTTGCTCGTCCCCATCGATCTCCGAAACAGAAGACGAGCCATTGTTAGCTGCTGCTAAAGTAGTGAAAGAAGAGGACTTGACAACGATCTTCTTGCACTTGTTATTAGCCTTAGATGATCTGGTCCGGATGAGCACCCGATCCTCGGCGGCGGCGTTGGGCTCCTCAGTGTCGGAATGGCTATCGACGGCGAGCTTATGAGTTTCACTGGTCCAAGAATGATCATCTTTAAGGAAAGCAGGCTTGTCCCTGTCGGAATGGGAAGCCATATGGCCACAGAGTGCTTTCAGTGATTGAAATCCTTTGCCACATTGCTTGCAGACTCTTTCTTGTGGCAAAGGGAAAGTTGCATCCACAGCCCTCCAAGTTTTTCTGGGATTCTCTCTCAGGCCATAGTTGGATTGCTGCTGCTGCCCAATAAGCCCAAAAGATTCATGATTCATTGCAGCAGCAGAAAAGAATGGAGAAGAAGGAACCTTGGGAGGGGGAGGGTGAAGGTGAGGGTGAGGATCAGCAATGGCGATGGAAGTTTTCTCCTCAGATTCAGCAGAATTTGCAACCACGTGAGACCTCATGTGACCCCCCAAGGACTTCCCACATGGGTACTTCTTGTTGCACAACTTGCAAACAAACCTCAGTTCTTGATCCTCCTCCATCCCTAATGACTCAACTACTCTAAAAAAAATTCTATTCTTTTAGTAATTTCTTTCTTTTGTCAAAACGAAAACCAACAAACAAGAGGATAAAGAACAATAATAAGTAAATCAAAAGATGAACAAACAGCAACAGCAACTACTTAATTCCTCACCCCCACCATTTTCTTGATCTCTCTCAAATATTTTGCCCAGAAATAAGAGAGAGCCCAGATCAGAACGAAGAGGAGAAAGAAATCTGGAGAATGGGGCACAGATCACAAAGTCTAAACTTTTGGAATCAAACAAGTGATGGAAACAGAATCATCGAAGTGGGCAGATGTGACACTTCTGGGAAAGTGAGAAAAAATAAAAACACAGTAGACAGAAAAGTCCCACAACATAAACAGAGAGAAAACACATCCTCTCCCTCTCTCTCTAAAAACCTAAATCTGTGCAATCGCGAGCAGCAGCAGAGAAGAAACAAAAACGAGCAAGACTGTAACCCACCCCTCTATTAATTAATTTCTGATATTTGAAGACTTTAATGTTGAAAAAATCAAAGCTTTTGAACAGAGATGTTCGCTAATGATGGCCTTGAACTAGCCCCAGCCTATCACCATTAAGATACAAAACAGACCTCGAAGACTCTTTCTTCCCCATATTTCTCTCCCTCCCAATGCACACAGATACACACACCTCATCCCTCATATTCTTTTATCTCTCTATCTCTCTTTCTCACTCTACATATATATATATATTTATTCTATGGTATGAGGAGAGAATTCCATGCAGGGCAGAAAAATTTGAGAAATGGGAATTAATTGAATGACGGCACGTGTGCTTGTGAGAGGAGAGATTTCTTGGAATTTATTTTATTTTATTTTTATTATTATTGTTATAGTTTTTTTTTTGGGTATTCCACAAATTTGTTTGATTTCTTGATTAAGAGAACCTTATAGAAAATAAATAAAAACAAATGAAAGGGCTGATTTAAATTTAGTCTGAAATGTAACATTACATGGTTTCAAGAACTATGCCTCACATTTGTCCCTTGCTAAAATGTCACACCTTGTGAAAGGTCCGAATCCTCAGCAGGTTGTGCAATGACTATTGTGCCCCTCAACAGAATGGGGATCATCAGTTATAATGTTGTGGTTGAAAATAATACTTAACCCACTAATCAGGTTATTACAGAGTCAAAAACTATCTATATTTGTTGTGCCTGTGGTGGCTTTCTTGGAGGAATTAAAAATAATATTTAAAGTGGGATCAAAATTAAGTATATTACTTTCTTTCTTTTAAATTAATTAAAACAGTTGCTGCTCAGGGAATAAACATATATAATTTGGATAAATAAGTCACAATTTGATTTGAATGTAGTGTAGAAGAATAGTATTCATAATAGCAAGTATTTAAAAACAAATAGTACAGAGATCATGAATGACACATTAATTTTTGAGATCTAAGTTTTCATTAATTTGGTTTGCTGTATGGGAGAAAAGAAAACATCTAAACATGGGGTGGTGCACAAGTTATCATCATAAGTAGCCTTAGAGAGAGAGAGAAAAAAAAGAGAGAGAGAGAAACCCTCATTCTTTCCTCAGTTACTACAATTCATTCCTAAATGTCTACACCAAGAGATCACTACATGTTAATTCTTAACACATTTATATTGAAACATAAATCAGATCCACTTTCTTCAAGTATTTTGTTACTTACTCATTTTTGTAAGAACAACCATGTTACAATATTGCAGTATATAACTCCACCCCCCCTCTTTCTCTCTATTCATTCAGTTAGCTAGCTTCCCCATTGATTGAATTCCAATTCATGTATAATGTGTATATGAAAAATGTAAATTCTTCCATTTTTCTGGTGTTAGCTTCTTAAATAGCAAGAACTAGGGCAGTGCCAGAAAAGTGATTGTAATGGAAAGTTGAAAAGGCAATTAAGCATGACTTGTTAATGCAGAAATCCTAATCTGAGAAAATTAAGAAAGTAAATTAGGCCTTTCTGGTATTAAAAGATAGGATACGTGTCCCAAGTGAATGGATTTGCTTTCTTGAGAGGGTTAGTTATGGAATGGCTCAACAGCCTAACACTAATTCATTACTTCTTCTTCACTTTTGAGTAATTATCTTTGGTTAAGTTAATTAATCAATTAGTTGACTTAAAAAAAAAAAAAAAAAAAGTAGTTCCTCAAACCACTTCTGTATTGTATATATACATATATACATGACAAGTGCTTTCACACACACAGTGGTCACCCTCAGATTATGCAAGCAAGCAAGTGCTATTTTGAATGTATAAATGAAAATTACAGGAATTAGCAAAGACTTGATAGAGATTCTTGATTGTGTTACATCCAAAAGGGCCCACCTCAAAACACCTACAAATTGAAAGATAATAGTGGAAGGACTCGGTGGACTCACTATTTGCAAATTGCCAGCTTTATTAATTTATCACTGCTTCTTAATAAATTGGCTCTTAATTATCTGGGCCATCACCTATTTGGTGAGAGGTTTTCTTCCAACACCTTCAAAGATCACATTAACCTCATGATAATAATAATAATAACAATAATAATAATCAACTCTTTTTCTTTCTTCTTCTTTAGTTTTAGTATTTTTTCTGTCTATTTTTCAGTGGGCTGTAGCTATATTACACCAGATTGATTGTCCTCTGGTGTTTTGAGTTTCAGTTCAGAAACCCTATCCTATCTATGGATATGTGGTTCCCCACTCAAGGTTCATAGTACCTGGGGAAGGCTAGGGTATAGGGCCTAGCTTCATTTACACCCCTAGAAAAAGAAAAGTGATGTGCCAGTTAAATTGTTGTAAAACATTTCGGCCATTATAGCTTTTATTTTTTTTAGCATGTATAATGGGCAACTGTAAATTGTCCCATTTTTGTAGCAAGTATATGTACAGCCCAGGAGATTTATGACTCAGGAGGGACAGACCAAATATGTGCACTTATTACTAGCCAATAAAGTCATCATTCAAATCACAAAGAATAGAGGCAACACACAGGATTTCCCCATGAACATAAATAAATCTACTGCTTCAATTAGATTATATTAACTGCAGTGAAACCAGGCACAGGTTTTCAATTTTTTTCTCCTTTTCCATATCATTAGATGTCTGCTTTTACACAATAATGTAAGGAGGATAAGCTTCAGAATTGAAAAAAAAAAAAAAAAAAAAGGGTATGCAATGCAATACTGCCATCATCCAATTTCTTGGTTTCTTCCATGGCTTCAATTGCTGCTACCCTTATCCCCACTGTTATTTTCAGGTTCTGACCAAAACTCATCCACCCAGCTTGTATCCAATTCTTGATCATCCAAAGACTCAACTGTGGATAAATCCTCTTCTCCAGCTAGATAGTATTCCCCTGTAAGAGTATGAGGATTCTCAATATCGGCATCTGGACCCAACGAATAAGACCCATTTAAGGGGAAATCTGCATGGGCCCCCAGTGGCTCGTCCTCCTCGTCATCACCATTATCCTCACTATCTGTCTCTGATAAATAAGATCCATTCAGGTGAAAGTTTCCATTGACAACTTTTGGCTCCTCCTCATCATCATCGCTATCTATCTTTGACATATATGCCCTGTTTTGAACAGCCCGCTTGTGGAGCATGAACACATTGAAGTAATAACTGACAAGCTCCCTCTGTGACCGAGTTGGGAATACAGCTCTAAGGGTCTTCCAAAATTTTCTACCCTGTGAGACGGGGTTAGAGAAAACAACTTTGTTAAAGATTCGTTCTTCACCTGGGGTCCATTTGCAGGCTACCACATCTCCCATTTCGTAGAATCCCAACTCTGTGAAATTCTTGTACCCAATGGTCTCACGTAACCTTTCCCTTGCTTCCTTTATGTGTTGCTGTACACATCTCATGGATAGCTTGTCCATGCAGCCACAATCGGTTCTGCCCTTTCCAGCTTTGATTCCATCAGCAGTCGAATCATTTAACTCAGGCATTTGAATTATACAAGTTCCCATTAATTTTTTCTCTAAATGTTGTTCTGCAATGCCACTAGAACATGAAGGTTCTTTCACACTCTTGTCTGGATCCCAAGGTGAAACTACAGCTTGATGTTCAGGTCCAACAGGAACTACTTTCCTGGGGTAACAGTTCAACCAGTTTACAAATGGATCCTCAAACTTTTTGGGCGGCCGACTCGGCTCATTGGAATCAGTATATTCGGGAATGTAAGATGGGAAAGAGGTATTCCCATCTCCAGCATCTTCCTCACTACTACTGCTGGTGACCAAAGATAAAGGGGCACTAGCCTCCATATCTTTATCAGCTATATCAGCATCAGCTCGGTCAAGCTGTCCATAAAACTGCAACTCACAAATGTTGCTCTTTCCTTCACCTAATATATAACATAATGACTTCAGGATCAATAAATGGTAGACTTGAGATTATGCCCATATAATGAAATAATAAGTTTCTCTGATCATATTCACCAAAAAACTTGGACACTCAAAAGGAAAACAAGGGAATATATGGAGCAAACACTAAAATAAACATAGGTAAGTAGCAGTTTCTTGTGTCTGGAGCAAATATTACAAAGTGCACAGAAAATGTTTTGATAGAGATGTATTCCATACCGAATAGCCCATATTACCTGCAGAACCAATTTCCCAAGTTACTTGAGATTCTTCTGTATTCAAGGTATGGTTTGAGGTGCAGTCCAGCTGTTTATGTTGCTTAAAAGTGTTCTCAGAGAAATTTTCCGCTTCTAAAGGACGTTTAATTCCCATCTTTTGTATGGCAGAGCGCAAGAATAAAAATTGACTCCAGTCCAATTCTGAAAAGAAACAGAGACAACCGGCAAATGATATACACAGTTGATGCACTAATTATGATACAAAGATCAGTAAACTCCCCAAAAACTGTGCAACAATAATGAACATTTGAGTGGCAACAGAAAAAATTAATCAAGTATGTTGAACAGCTACTGTAAAGCAATAAATCACTTTTTGTTACAGCAAAATCAAAACATGACCACTTCAATAAAGAAATGCTCATCAAATACGGTCAGAGGATATTACTACGGCTACCAGCAATGCACACCATAAATGCAAGGAACAAACTAGATACCACAATTACTTAAACGCATAGAAATTCAATCCTTTATTTTGTCCATCAACATGTAGCACCATAAAAGGCAAGAATAACATGGCAAAACATCCACAAAGACCAACAAAATGATGCAAACACGAAATATCAACTTCAACGTGAGTTAAAAAAGGCACTTCAATACAAAAAAACAAGTAGGTTTCGCGAGCACAGACCGACAGGCCGTTTCATTCACCTTACATAACCTCAGAATAGTCAATTGATTTTAATTTCAAGACCCATGCTATTCGTGTATGCCATAAAGAAGAAGAATCGCATAAAAAAACAGAGCTAAAAGAAAAAAAACCTATTTCGCATAAAAACCCTAACCCTAGATTCACAATCGCCCACAAAAAATTAAGAAAATGATACCAAAATTCGATTCACAAAAATACGTACCGAAACCCTAAACCAATTCCACAGATCCGACGAGTCTTAAAATCACCCACCACGGGTACGCAAACCCTAGATTCCAAAGATTGCCAGAAAAAGAAATAAAATAAAAATTAAAGGTTCAAAATCAATTGACAGAGACGAAACCAAAACTCAACGCCGAAATAGCGAAAAAAAAAAAATCAATAAATAAAAGAAATAAATCGAACAGATCGACGGATGAAAACCTAAAATTCGGGATTCCCCGAAAAAATACAGAAAGAGGGTTCAATCGAAAGAGCACAAAGCGAATTGAATCAAGAGACCATCGAATTCGAAGATCAAAACACAGATTTACAAGAATTTTCGATACCCCAATATGCTGAGATTGGAGGGAATCGGGAAAATTTTGGGGAAAATTTTTTCGTGCGGATTGCGCTATTTTGTGTGGAGATCAGATGACCCGAACCCGGTTCCCAACCCGCACGTGCCACCCTACAGAAAACCCATCACACGTGCCAACTGCCTTTGCCTCTGCCTCGGCCTGTTCTTATTATTACTAGCAGAAATCTTGTTTGAGTTTCCTTACAAGACATCAAATACTACATTACACATAAATCATCGAAAACATTCGAGGAGTACTAGATTTCTGCTACAGTCTTATCTACGAAGCCAAGAACTTCTTGAACCACTGGACAGAATCCTTTGCATATCTCTTCTTGTTCTTGTCTTTGTAATCAACGTAGTATAGCCCGAATCTGGAAGTATAACCAGATGTCCATTCCCAATTATCCAGCAACGACCACACGAAGTATCCCTTCACATTGCACCCATCTTCGCTGCGCCGCAAGAATGCATTCGGCGACACATTATTAATATATATATATACCTACACAGCTCGTCGAAGATCAAAATAACATACGTACTTGATAGCAGCTAATAGATTCACAAGGTAGCCTTTGTGATACTCGATCCGCTCCTCGTCCTTAACCGCATCTTTAATAGAGACAAACAGTCTGTTTCCATCATCCATACCTGATCAATGTCGAGATAGTTAAGGAATACGGCTGTCTGCGGCGAGCAAGCTCGTGGGAGTCATCTTATTACCATTTTCAGTGATGATCACTACCGGGTTTCCGTACTTGTACCGGATGTAGTTCATCAAGCTTCTTATGCCGCGAGGCACGATGTACAGCCATATGGAGTTTGCCTGCACCATTATTGTTTTGGAGTTTTGAAAATTTTTATCAAAGATAAAATATTAGTATTTGATTTGACATTTTGCAAATAGCGTCAAGAGTTTCAATGCTGTTTGTGTAAACAGAGCCTAAGTTATTGATCTCGCGGTGTTTCCCATACCCTGTCTGCTGCGATTGCCTTCCCGTTCTTAAATGCTGCATTCGACGTCTTAGATAAGATCGATGAAAAAGGATGAGTAATGTAATAGGGAAATGTAAATTATGGGATATGCATACGAAGAGTAACGGCGCCAGAGTCTGCAAGGGAGTTGTTGAGCAGGACATCGAGCATGTTCGAATGGTTTGCTCGGGCGAACCAGGTAGTGTAGTGGTTGACTCCTATGAAGTCAAAAGAGCCCTTCAATTGCGCAGATTCGGTAGGCGAGAATTTTGGCAACCGGCTACCTACTCGATCCCTCATCGTGACCGGATACTGTCCATAAACTATAGGCTCGATGAACCTGAAACAATGCAGCAGGCTTACATTGCCGGACTCTGTTCCGACACAAGGAGCAAATGAAGAGGTTGTCGCAGTCCTTACCAGCCTAACTGAAAATCTAGAGCCCTTTGCGTCGCTTCCAAGTCTTCCGAGGAGTTTGTCTCCGGTTCATACCAGAAGGAATTCAGCGCTATTCCGATCGATCCACTCTGCTGAGGCTGCCATAAGCAATCCAGACTATGATAGTTGCGATAAAATATATAACTTGGGTGAACACAAAATGGACAACCTGGTACTTTGTCCGGTAGATGTTGACAGCAGCCGCGTGCGAAAGGAGCGCGTTGTGTGCGACGATGTAAGGCTCGGTTGCAGAGTTTCCGGCTCTACAAATTGCGTGACGAAGAATGGAGCAGCGGCCCGGAGAATGAATCCCGAGATCGTGGCCTTGGACGGCAAAGGAATGCGGCTCGTTGAGCGTGATCCAGTGCTTTACCCTGTCACCGAACTCCCTGAAACATGTCTCGGCGTATGCTGCGAAATCTTGTCTGTCGAAATGAAGGCGTCGAATCAGTTTTCGATAATCGAATTAGTTTTGAAGCTTTTGCAGTCCTTTCCTTACATGATCTGAGGGTGTAGCCATCCCAAGTATTTGTCTTGAAGAGGTTGGGGAAGGTCCCAATGGTAGAGTGTCACATAAGGTTGGATTCCTGCGGAGAGACGTTCAGATTCAGTGTTTTGAAGATGTGTTTATGATCAAGAATTAACGTTCATTACCGTTGGATAATAAAGCGTCGATGAGTTTGTTGTAATGATCGATTCCAGCTTGGTTGATTTCCCCAATTCCATCTGACAACACAGGCAATTGAGAAAAAAGACAGCCTTTTTTATATTTGTAGTGACAATTATTACCTGGGAAAATCCGAGACCAAGCAATGGAAAACCTGTAGGCATCCATTCCCAAATCTTTCATGAGCTGTATATCGTTCTGTGATAGCAGAGAATGAGGTTTAATTAGTTTCAGTTGAGTAGAGAATATGAATGAATGTTGAAAAGAAGAGATTATTATTACAGGGTATAAGTGGTACTGATCGTTTGCTTCATCACCATTGCTGAAATCAATAATTTTCGCTGCCATGCAAATCCACTCCCATTCGATAGATCAGATCACACACACAAATATATATATATATATATATATATATGAAAAGAAAGATCAAATGGCATCATATGTATACCAAAAGAGTGTGAAAATGTGTCCCAGATTGTTTGGCCTCTTCCATCCTCTTTCACAGCTCCTTCGTACTGAAATTGTATATATATATATATATGTATGTAATGGGTATGAATAATAATTGACGATGATGATGTAATGAAGATTGCAGAAAATAATTAGTCAAGCCAATAGTTGAGAGAAGGATAATTAATAAAGCATTTCATTTGGATGCATGCGACTTTTGTTTATATTTTTATGCAAATCAGATCCAATTATATTTTGAGTAAGGAAATTAAATACAATTTTCCATATTCTTATTAATCTCAAAAAGTTGCAACTTTGTAATTATTAAAAAGGCTACATTTTATTCACATTCCTACTATTCGGTTTTATCTCTACAATGTAACATGCAGTAGTAGTAGTTGTTCCTCTCAGAGAAAAAACAAAAAGGCTTAAACCTGATAGGAAGAAGACGCGGTCCCAAAAACAAAGCCCTTTGGAAAGCTGCTTCTGCCAAGATTCTTCTGTGAAGAAAACTCTTGAGGATTTCCAGCACCTACGGCAACTGCCAATAGCATCAAAGCAATGCCTTGTTTCAGCATCTCCAGAAACTAAACTAAACTAAACTAAACCAAAACTTGATACACTTTCAGATATGTTGATCCGTAACGAAAATGGCGGCTATGTTTGATATATATATATATATATATATATGAAATGTATATATTCTTCAAGAAATGGAAGATGGGGTAGTTATGGCGTTTGCAAATAGCACGTTGGCTATTGAGTGAAGCAACAATGCCCCTCCTTCATCTGCTTGGAATTACTGGGTAAATGAGACGTATGTAAAAGGAAAGAGGAGAATCTAAGAGAAGACTTGGATTCACAGATTCTGAGCTCTGTTGAATTGTGGCTAATATCATGAACAAGTTTTTTCTACTTCTGTAAATGGTGGGGGAAATGTGTATTGGTGAGATAATCTGTCTTACCTTAAGGACGATGATGTATAAATCCCTCACGCATTCCTCTTTCCCCATGCCCATATTGCAGTCGTAAGAATCGTATTCCTTCCCCAATTTGGTAACAGATTCGAAGAAGATTTAGCCCAATTGTTTTCAGCCCAGATTTTCTGGAGCCACTCAATTCTCGTTCTGTTCGATCCCGCAAGGCCCAATTATAGATTGCTTCCATTTATGGAGGAAGCCGATTTTGAATCGAATTCCCAAAATGGGTCTGCAAGACGAAGAGGAGCCGCCCCTCGCTGTAGCTATCGACGACGGAAATCCGCCGGTAGAATTGCGCGGTAATCAACACTCCGATGCATCGCAAGCTCCGCCGGTCGGCGTCACCGTCATCACAGGATATCTCGGCGCCGGCAAGTCAACTGTAAGTAAAGCGAAAATACCTAAAAATTTGAGTCTCAGAAAATTGATGTTTTCGTCAATCCGATTACAGTTACAATTACATACTTGCAAAATTGATGCAAAATTCAGCTGTTAAACTGCATATACGATTTCCTTGCCGATGCTTTTCTTTCATCTTCCGTAGTTGGTGAATCACATACTGAATGGACAACACGGCAAGAGAATAGCAGTAATACTGAATGAGTTTGGGGAGGAGATCGGCGTGGAGAGGGCGATGATAAACGAAGGCGATGATGGCGCGCTCGTGGAGGAATGGGTTGAGCTTGCTAATGGCTGCATTTGCTGCACCGTTAAGCACAGCCTGGTTCAGGCATTGGAGCATCTTGTGCAGAGGAAAGAAAGGTTATGATTGTTTCTGTCAAAACTTCACATATTTGGAATTGAAACATCACAATTGCAATATGATTATGCTCTGTATGTAGTATTGAGTTCAGATTTTGATCCACAGACTTGATCATATCTTGCTAGAAACCACAGGGCTAGCAAACCCTGCACCGCTAGCTTCCGTGCTTTGGTTGGATGATCAGTTGGAATCTGATGTCCGGCTTGATTCGATCATCACCGTGAGCTTCTTCCTTGAAATTGATGAGTTCATTGTGAGATTTGTGGAGTACATTTACAGTTTTTGCTCCATGACAGGTTGTGGATGCCAAAAACCTTCGGTACCAACTCAAATCGCATGATGATTCGTCTTCATTCCCTGAAGCTTATCATCAGATTGCTTTTGCGGTAGTTGTTTCTTTTATGTTCATATTGCTCTGTTTTTCTGCTGTTTGTTGAAGTTTTGTCGATGACTGTTTTCATTTGGGACAGGATGTTGTGATTCTTAACAAGATTGATTTGGTCTCCTCGGATGATTCGGGAGCAGCCGTGGAAGATCTAGAAAAGGACATACATAATATCAATTCGCTTGCGCAGACTATTCGCTCGGTTCGCTGCCAAGTTGATCTGTCTGTGATTCTCGACTGCAGGGCTTATGATTCTAAAGTTAGTTTCTGGGCCGACATTCTTGTTCTTGATTCCTAACAGCTGAAACTAACTATATGAAGTTTTCTTCCAATTTACAGCACACTACTCATTTGGAGGCACTCTTAAAAGAAAGCAAAGCTCTATCCACCGGTGACATCCACGACAGTGGTGTAAGAACCTTATGTGTTTGCGCGTCTGACAAACTCGATCTTGAGAAGGTACATTGTTCTGATTAGTTAATAATGTGTAAAAATCGAATCCCTGAAGCGCATCGCATGTTTCAATCGTCTGCTCTTTGTAGGTTAGGATTTGGATCGAAGAGATTCTTTGGGAAAAGAAATACGGCATGGATGTCTATCGTTGCAAAGGAATTCTAAACATTGGAGACTCAGATCAGCTTCATACACTTCAGGTTCATGTCTCTATGCAGAATCGATGTTATAAAGCTGACAAAGATCGTCTTGCCCTGCTCAAGAACTTACATAGATTGATGATAACTTTGCAGGGTGTGAGGGAAGTATATGAGATTGTTCCAAGCCGCAATTGGAAGGATGGGGAAGAAAGAACGAACAAAATTGTATTTATAGGTAAGCAGTGATCCCATCCCCCACCCTATTCCAAGTTATCTTTTTTATTACATGGAGATGTTTCAGACACGCATCTGATTTGATTCAGGTCATTCTTTAACTGAAGAGGTTCTGATGAACACTATGAAAGCTTGCACTGTTTGATGCCGCCATGGATATGATTTTTAAGTTCTTGAGTTGGTCAGGTCTCCAATGTAACTCAGTAATTTGACGCGACAATAGTGTTTGAGACGTTATTTGAATTATTATATTATTTTCTTTTATTTTATTTTTTCTTCTGGTGAATGGGAACAATAAAATAATAGAAATAAAAAAAAAAAAAAGGTTGAACGGATCCAACTCAAGCCTTAAAAAAGAATACTGACGCACGTGTGCTTCTCCGATTTCCTAAATATTCCATCATTTTCGGCCATCTATTATATCCAACGGTCCAGATTCTCCGTCTCTGAAAATATATTATAATATATTAATATTTAATACAAAAAATATATAGCAACAGATCAACGAAAAGCTTCCCTACGTGCGTACATTTCTGGCCGCTTTCCTTTCGGACTTGGAATAGTTTCTCCGACGCGAACGGAATACAACATGTCGACAGAGAACGAGCGCGAGAACCATGTGTACATGGCGAAGCTCTCCGAGCAAGCCGAGCGTTACGACGGTATGAATATTAATTTTTACGTAGAGAGATGTATGCGTTTTAATTTGATTCGCTTTGTGTTTGTTTTGGTAGATCCATGCGTTTTGTGTGGTCGTTCGTTCGCGATGCGTTGTTGCGTGTATGTATGTGTGTTTTATGAAGCTCGTTTTGTTGTTTGTTTCTCAGAAATGGTTGAATGTATGAAGAAGGTAGCGAAATTGGATGTTGAGCTGTCGGTGGACGAGAGGAACTTACTGTCCGTCGGTTACAAAAACGTGATCGGTTCGCGCAGAGCTTCGTGGAGAATCCTATCATCGATCGAGCAGAAGGAGGAATCCAAGGGAAATGAGCACAATATCAAGCTGATTAAAGGCTATCGTCAGAAGGTGGAGAACGAGCTATCTGAGATCTGCAACGACATTCTTTTAGTCATAGAGAAACATCTAATTCCATCGTCGCGCACTGGAGAAGCTACTGTTTTCTATTACAAGATGTAAGTCGAATTACTGTGTTTTTTTTTCATCGATGCATAATGATTTCATCGTCAATTTTATTGTGAAGAGGAGATACTGAATCACTGATAAAGGAAAAGAGAAAACAGCAAATTAGTGTATTGTATAATTAACACAGTTGTGGCTTCTGATTCACTAATTCAGGAAAGGTGATTATCACCGTTACCTTGCTGAGTTTAAGGCTGATCAGGAAAGAAAAGAAGTTGCTGAACAGTCACTCAAGGGTTATGAGGCATGCTGACTTATCTGCAATCTAGTTAACATTGTAAATATTCAACCTGGATAGTTCATAAGGCTTCATTTAGTTCTCACATCTGGATCTGTATTCTTCATTGTAGGCTGCAATGGCAGTTGCGAGTACAGATCTTCCAACAACCCATCCTATCCGTCTCGGTCTAGCTTTGAACTTCTCAGTGTTCTACTATGAGATCTTGAACTCTCCTGAAAGGTTCTTTTAATTTATCAAGGCTAGGCAATTGAATTTGATACGACACTGTGAGTTCAAGTATCCTGGAATCAACCGGGTTGTTTGTGTATTACTTGCAGGGCCTGCCAATTGGCTAAACAAGCATTCGATGAAGCGATTGCTGAGTTGGATACTTTGAGTGAAGAATCTTATAAGGATAGCACCTTGATTATGCAACTGTTGCGAGACAATCTTACTCTTTGGACCTCTGATTTGCCTGAAGACGGAGGTAATCATATCCATATTTCTTTGAGCATGGTTCATTTATTTAACACACTACAAAATCAGAACTTTTGCAATCCAATTCAATTCAGTTGAATGACTATAAATCTCCATATAATTGAAGTCATGTTCCTGAATCTTGAGTTGGTTTGCAAATGCCTCATAATTCTTAATCGACATATGTTATCCTTTAGTCATCAATCAACACCAAGATATTAATGTCTAATCCTTACTGGCTCAGGCGATGATACTCCTAAGACTGGGGGGTCAAAAGAGGCAGCAGCCAATCAGGAAAGTTCCAAAGCCGAGGAGGCCAAGGAAACGGCAAAACCAGAGGTGATGATTCAGTTGATCATTATTCTTATTATTGTTCTCCTTTACATCATCAAATTCATGCTGCTCTTGCTTGCATTCATGCTATCAACACAACTCATTCACACTTGTATCGATTTTGCAACAGTAATTGCGGAACGGAAGAATCTCATCGAGTAAATTTATGCCAAGAAGCATGCCATTCGAATAGTATCATACTTTTTCACACTCGAGCACCGGTGAACTTTTTTCACGGTTCCATATATCAGGAACCGCTAGAAGATGAGGTTTTTCTTGATTAATTGCTCTTTCTTTTGCGTGAAGTTCCCTTCTTTTTAGTTTTGGATCTTGAGCTAGAAGAGGATGATATTGCACTGAGGTTAATTTATGTTCTTTTCCATGATATACATATTTTTAATTATCCAACATCTTTCTTTTAGAAATTTCTCACCATGTAATTGCATGTTGACACTTGATCTCTTGCCCCAGCCGTTGTAGGCATCATACCTCATTAATCATGCGCATCTTTCGCTTGTTTTCTTTATTCAATTAATGCCCTACACTACTTAACTAAGATGAGTCATATTATTCTTTGGATACAAATATTTTATTGATGCTGACAGTGAATGGCTTTGGTTTGGAATTTGGTCACTTTCTGTTGAAGCTAGAATCTTTCGTAGAAATAGAAAAATTCGGTTATTTCTTTTGCATTATGTTCTGAAAGCGACTTACAACTTGCTATAATTTCCCAATAAGTGCAATCAGAATTCCAAAAAGGTTGAAAGTCAGGCATCGTGGAATCAAGAAAATACAACTTCTGTTAAGGAGAGATCAAATCTCTCTCTCTCTCTCTCTCCGATCATAATCACCAGAAATTGAACTTAAGAGTTCAGTTACTAGTTATTTTCATTCTTTCAAAGCCCTCTACAGTCTCAGTGGCTGTCTGAATTCTAACCTGGTGTTTCGATCGATTAAGAATCCTTTCTTACCTTTGAGGCTTTGACATATCCAGAGTCTAGCTAAACAAACCTTGGTTTCAACGATCCATTTTGTTCCTACATAGGCCCTGTTTCTTGTTTCTGACCTGATTAATTTTCTAGTTAAATCAGAACTCTGGGCATTCAATTTCAGCCGGTGCCAAGCTCTAGTTTGGCATCATACCCCAATACTTTCGACATGGCTTCTTCAATCTCCAACTTCTCTTTGATTCATCAATCAAGGCTTTCTTCTTCTTTCCACAAATTCCATAGCAGAAATGCAGCTGCACCAATTCTGTACAGAAATGGACTTCCTTTTAATCCAAAAGCAAAGCTGGATGTCTCAAAACTGTCAGAAAAGATGGTTTCAAAACCTGTTGAGTTTTCTGGCAAGAACTTGAGAACTCCTGGTTTCACTGAAATCTTGAAGAGCAGGCCCCATTCCTCGCAAATTTTCACCCCAAAAGCCACAGCTGCTGATGCAGAGAGTTCCCATGTCAAGAGCTTTTCAGAGAGATTCCCAGCTCTCGTCACTGGTTTCTTTTTCTTCACATGGTGAGATTTTGGATACATCTCATCTATAGGAATCGGGCTCTTTTTCACTTGTACTGCTGATATGCAGGTATTTCCTGAATGTCATATTCAATATACTAAACAAGAAGGTCTACAATTACTTCCCCTATCCATAGTAAGACATTTGATATCTAAATTAATCCGCTTTTCTTACTTCTATGCAAGTTCAATATATGCATCATCAGATACCTTGTGCAGTTTTGTCTCTGTTGTTCATCTTATGGTTGGAGTAGCATATTGTCTCGTTAGCTGGGCTGTTGGTCTGCCAAAGCGTGCTGTGAGTTAGTTTACCGGAATTTAGATTACATATCCATCACCGTTTCATTAGAATGATTTTCTTTGTCGACCCGATATCATATATATGACTACCATGAGCAGCCAGTTGACAGGGAGCTCTTAGGCCTTCTCACTCCGGTAGCATTTTGTCATGCTCTTGGACACGTTATGTCCAACGTATCGTTTGCAGCTGTTGCTGTATCATTCACACATACCATCAAAGGTAAGAAAATGCAAGAATATTGATAAGATATGATTTCTTGTTTAAAATCTAATAGACATTACCAATGATAAATACTTTTTAGCTTACACTGATGAATGGAGTCTTTTGGTAGTTCTGTATGTGCGCCCTGTTTCTTTTAAGCCTAAATCTGGATATTCTGTCCAATTCATGTTCAACAGCCCTGGAACCATTTTTCAGTGCTGCAGCTTCACAATTTGTTTTAGGACACCAGATTCCATTGTCTCTGTGGCTCTCACTAGCCCCTGTTGTGATTGGTAAGTTCCAAGCATCTCTAAATAATGTGTCCCATGCCAAGCTGTTTACATGGTTTTGATGATATCTCCTCAACCCCTATCAGGAGTATCAATGGCGTCAATGACAGAACTTTCTTTCAACTGGACTGGCTTCATTAGCGCAATGATTTCGAATATTGCATTCACCTATAGAAGTATTTACTCAAAGAAAGCAATGGTGAGCCCTATCATTTACAAGTGTATCATAAGATTTTTCCTGAATGCAACCATACCAGAATTTCTTTAGACCACAGATGTTTGTTCATGGCAGACAGGAATGGACAGCACAAACGTCTATGCTTACATTTCGATAATTGCACTCCTGTTTTGCCTTCCACCTGCAATACTTGTAAGATCCCTTGAACAAAAATATGATGTAATAATGGAAAATTTACACTATATAGGGATAATGTTGACGAGGTTCCTATGTGCTTATTTCACTTTCAGATTGAAGGTCCCCAACTAATGCAGCATGGATTCCAAGATGCAATTGCTAAAGTTGGCGTCTATAAGTTCTTGTCTGACCTATTTTGGATAGGGATGTTCTACCACTTGTACAATCAGGTAATAATCATATATATATATATATATGATGTAATTTATCGACGTTACTATCTTAGATATTGCAAAATCTCAAACCATATTGCAGGTAGCTACAAACACATTGGAAAGGGTAGCACCACTTACACATGCCGTTGGAAATGTGTTGAAACGAGTCTTTGTAATTGGATTTTCCATTGTGGTGTTTGGTAATGATTTATACTATCCTATTGATTAGGTTTTATGCAACATCGTTCATCCTGCATTGACAAAAATAAAATTGCAGGTAATAAGATCTCCACACAGACTGGGATAGGCACCGGAGTAGCCATAGCAGGCGTTGCAATCTATTCGCTTATTAAGGCAAACATGGAAGAGCAACGACGTGTAAGATTTGAACTCATTGAACAAAACCACAACTAGAAATAGCTAAATTAATAAACTCTGGAACTTAGCTTATGGATTGATTATTTGTGTCATTTCAGAAAGCTGCTCAAACTCATGCAATGTGATGCTCTTCAACAAGTCCAACCAGAAGAAAAAATGATTGCAATAAGATGAATATTCTGTGTCTTGTTTAAAGAGAACAGAAAAGGCATAGGAGACATGATGCATTCACAGTTTCTCCTGCAAATTTGGATCATTCGCTGGTAACTTACTCAACCATTCATTCAAAATTTGTGAGCATTATCTCACCATTTCTCATTAAACAGCGGCGGAGATTTCTATCATTTAGAAACGAAAGGCACTCAAAGTGATTACATAGCTTGCGGAAAGTTCATCAACTTTCGATTTCCAACAAAATACCTAATAATAATTTGGAAAGTAAAAACTCAACAGCAAAGTTAAACATATAAGCACAAGCACCTGATTCGATGTCGGAGAAGCTGCCAGTCACTTGGAATTCCATCACGATTCAGTTCACCTGCAGAACGTTAATCTCCATAGAATCAAACTACAAATTTCCAAATTAAATTCATACGCTAACCAGACCTAGATAATGAAAAATAAACGTTAAATCACCAAAACAATTCTTCCAGCACGCTCGCTTACTCGAAATTCAAGATGTTGAACTCTGTACTCCATTCCAACATTCATGATTCATCTCATCCTAATGCTCATACTTCACAGAGAAGCGCCAAGATTCACAGACGGTTACTAATTGATGAAGAAAACAAAGCCGTTCGCATCCTTTAAAAAATAAAAATAATAAAATTAAATAAAGCCTATCGAGATTCTTCAGGCCCAAATTATTGGGCTCCGCGGTCCTCTATGGCCCAATACAAATAACATTTAATTCTAATTTCATTACAATAAGTTAAATTAAGAATAATCCAAGAATTAATCGAATAATTAAAATCTAAACAAGTGTAATAAGTAAGGTACGACAACTGAACTGGGTGAATCTAAATCCAGTCGAGCGAGGGCTGCTGGTGGGGATGCAATTATGTCATCTGACACTGATTATTTGCTGTCGAAGCATACAGCATCTCCAAGACAAAAGCAAAGCAAAGAATTGATCAGATCATATGTAATGAACCTGAAATCCTGAATTGTCTGTGGTGGTTAAACCAGAGATGAGGTTAAGCTGCGATCATGGTGGAATTAACTTTATGACCGTTTGAGAAAACCTATGAGAGTACAATACAGGTCAGTACTGCAGTGCAGAGAAAAAGACAAGGGAAGCACTGACGTTTGCTGCTGATGCCTCAATTTCCCAAAATCACTCATAACTAGTACAACATTACAATGGTGTCCTAATGCAGACATTACATATATATATATGTATGTATGTGTATATATGTATGTATTTGTGTATGGAAATCGCCACCGTCAATCTGACCTCCCTTTCTTGATATCTCTGTAATCTTCTTCGCTGCTCCTTCTCCTCTTTCCTTCTTTCTTTCTTTCTTTCTTTCTATAACCTTCATTTTCTGTCCTTTTCTGCTCAAGTTTACTGTACAATCTTGAACAAAAACTTGAACTGAAAACCCACCATATTTCTTCAGATTTCTTGAAACTCTTGGGACAAAACAATCATGGCTGCATTTGTAGTGGGTTTGGTGCTTCTCTTAGCCATGGCTGCCCTTTCAGGTAGAGCTTCTTTAACTGTTCATAGCTTATTCAATTTCATCCACATAATGTTATAAATTAAACTGGATTTTTGAGGTGGGGTTTGGGTTTGGATGCATCTTTTCCTCACTTTCTTCTAGCCCAACAAAAGGGTGGTTTCTACTAAAGTTCCTTTTCTTTCTTTTTTTCTTGAGAATTTTCCAGATGGTGCTTAAATTTAAATGTAATTTCAATTCTTGATGTTCATATGGTCATGGCTCTGAGGTCCTTTCCATCTTTAAAATATTTGCTCTTATGATCTGCAGATGCATCTTACTGTGTATGTAACAGTGGGGCAAGTGACCAAATTCTTCAAAAGAACATAGACTATGCTTGTGGGACTGGAGCTGATTGTTCTGCAATTCTTCAAAATGGACCATGTTATAACCCAAACACTGTAAGAGATCACTGTAATTATGCTGTGAATAGTTATTACCAGAGGAAAGGCCAGGTTGCTGGAAGCTGTGATTTCCAGGGCACTGCCACTGTCACCCAAACACCCCCTGGTAATTTCACCTTAACAAGAACCATCCTTGTTCTGTTTAATTTCTTGTCATTTATATCGAATTTTAATCATCTTTACTGATTATTTATCTAATTACAGGTACAGGTTCTGGATGTGTGTACCAGTCTAGTCCCAGGTTTGATCACTTCTTTCTCCTGTCTTGATTGATTTTCTACAGTGCATGAAATGGCTAAGATAGATAGTAATAAATTGGTGCTGGTGATGGTAGATTAGACCTACTGTCCATTCCTGGGATGTAATAAATATAAGTTATGGTTACAGTCAGCTTTTGAAGCCACAAAATAAGCCATCATGTGACCTGTCTTTCATTTTTTTTTTTCTCAACTTTCAAATTCTGCTACCAATTTTGAATACCCATTAACTAAACAGATCTTTCCATTCATGGTTTATTCAAACACACCTAAATCTATGCAGCAACGGAGTCAGCACAACACCCACTGGTCCAACAATGGGAGGAACACCAACCACTGGTGGCACAACTACAGTTCCAGGTTCATCCACAGTATCTCCCAGCGGCGGCGTCAGCCTCGGGCCGACGGGGAGTGGATTTAGCAACACAGACAGCAGCAACGGCGAGGCGACGATGAAGATCCATCGAAGCAGAAGCAGCATCCTTGTGATAGTGCCTGTCTTCCTAACTCCAGTAATTTCTGGATTAATGATGTAGCCAAGAATCTAAGTTATGGGGTGGATGGGGTGTCCAAATTTGACTGGAAAGGAATGATTCCCTTATCAAGAATTAGTTTGTTTCCATCCTGTCAACAATGGCACAGCTACCTCCACTCCACCACGCCTTTTTTCTTTTGTTTGTTTTGTTTTTTTCCCCTCTGTTGTGCACAAAAAGCAAGAGAATGTGATTCCCCTTTTCTTTTGAATGTGTGTGTTTGTTTGATCCATAATTTAAATGAACTAAAGTGAAATAGGATATGAAAAATGAGAGTCAATTCTTGAAATATACACAAAGCAAGATGATGATATATGACTGAAAATAGAATGGTTAGTGTGAGTACCATCTAGGCAGGTGAACTCACCAAACTCAGCCATTTCTCCTAACGTTTGTTGGGATCAGAGAAGTGTCCCTGCAAGACGACGAAAAAGGCGATTTCGGTTGTTTGGAAGAGCAAAGAATTTAGTAAAATTATCTATGAAAAAACAGATCGAATCATGCAACCTTCAAGACAAGATTAATCCCTTTGTGTCTTCGACGTTGCTATCTGCTTGAACAAACTCTGTAATCAACTTAGAAACTGCAGCAGGCTTCTCCACATGAGGAATGTGGCCGCAATCGGGTATTTGCCGTAAGACTGCATTTGGTAATTCGCCGTGTAGTCGCTGTTCACAGGTCATGCCATTTATTACCACTTCCATCTTTTGCATATATCAATATAGCTAAAGGAGAAGTTGCACTTACCACGGCAAGCTTATAGTCAATAATCTGATCGTCTTCGCCCCATATGATGAGTGTTTTCTGCTTTACCTGATTAATCTGTGCACCAACATTGTATCCTCCGCTGATCATAAAATTGACAGTGGCATCCTCCCACCAAGGATAGAAACAATGCAGCCGACCAATCTGCGAAACTCTCATCTAAATAAACTGGAAATAGATAGTGAATATGGCTTTCCAATTTTATTACCATATAATGTATAATAAAGATCACCGACAGACTTTTGTCCAGTCCAGGCAAATTTTCCATGGCAAACCATTAAAAGCCAACCAAGTTGCGTATAGGCGCAATGGCAAGCTCTTTAGCAAATACACCTGTTCCACGAATGAAAATAATTCGGTCATCAATATGAAAATGGGATTTCAAATCTAGCATCAAACTCAAAGTGATTTCATAATTTGGAATTCAAAATGGGATTTCAAATCCGAGTAGTCAAAATCAGTGGTTGGAAAGAAAAGAATTGAGATGCTGAGAGCATATCTACAACTGTGGAACTCACTCCAGCATATGCTATCGGTTTCGGTAACTTTGCAAGGCTTCCAGTACCCTCTGCATAGATACTTGCATCAATAAAAATAAGCTTTTCCACCTTAACACAAACGTAGACACGAAAATCTCAAAACCAATGAAGAGTTGGGAACGATATCATAGGAAGAAACATTAATCTGGTAAAAGGAAATGCATCAATGGGAACTTACAGCTTCTGGATGTCTGGCAACAAAGTCGATGGCAACTGCTGCTCCAAGACTTGGTCCTACCAATGCCATTGGTCTGTTGATATAGGTTTTCCAAAACTGAGAGAATGTATTTTAAACGTTAAGCTCAACAGACGAACAACACAACACAGTCAACAAATCAAGGGTGTACAAACCTGATAAAGATGATCACACTTTGAAGCTACATTGCATGGAGGAAGGTTCTCTAATTCAATGCAAGCGAGAAAAACAGAACTCTTTACTTCCAACTTCAAAACACAATTATCGACAAAAAAAACTAGCTATAATATCGAGAAAAATCACCCAAATTGGAGAAGCCCCATCCAAGAATATCAACAGCCCAGGTCTCTAATCCTGCCTCCTCAAGCAAAGGAAAGGCATATCTCCATTCTAAACAGGAGCTGGAGGATAATAAGTGATGAACGACAAAATGCCATGGGGGGAGCAATGTTCTCAATTAATCAAGGATATTTCAAAACACCAAACCTGTCGAAACCATGGAGGAGAACCAGGGGGCTGCCATTGAGCTGTGTTTTGGGCTTTACACAGCTACTCATAATGCAACTTTTCGACAAACTCAGCTTCAAAGAACAGAAGAGTTTTAGTTACTACAATAGTCCCTTTGATTGAAGGTGCACTGGTTCATCAACATTAGAATACATCTAAACTGGCCAAAACTTAAGAACCTTCTCAGATACTACAGTATTATTACTATAGCCATAATCAAAAGTCGAGAAATAATCTCAGCATTCATTATGCTAACAATATCAAATGAAGACAGTGAATTTTTGCAGTTCATTAGCACTGTCTTCGAAAACTAGGGTTTCGTGATTATCAAAATTTCAGGAAGAAATTTGGGAGGAGATTAAACGAGGAATTCAGCGTCCAGATGACAAATTAAGCAGCCCAATGAACACAAATTGAATCAAACATACACTTATAGAGTTCAATTACACCACAGAAATCGAAAAAACAAATAATTATATAAATAAAACTCCACATTATTGAAAAGCTTACTTGCACAGGCAATCTCTCAATCCTCGAAGCCAGCTTTCTGCCAAATGCGTCCTCAACATTCGCAACTTCCTTGGGAAGAAATACAGGAAATTCACTGGCAAACACTTTAAACATACTCTTCGCTCCCGGCGTCTGGTTCATGAGTTTGCCATCGATTAATCTAGGCCCACGCATTAACGATACCGCACAAGAACTCGCGAGCAACATTGCAGGTCTATCCTATTACCCGCCTGAACTGCCCAGCCACCGAGAAATATCACCACACAGAAATCAAAATATTTCAAGATATTGTTTGTTTCCGAACTTCAAAATATCAAATGGGCATTTGGTCTAGTGGTATGATTCTCGCTTAGGGTGCGAGAGGTCCCGAGTTCAATTCTCGGAATGCCCCAAATTTAAATTTTTGCGATGATTTGATATACGGCCGATTATAATGGGGAAATCGATAAGTAACTAAAAGTCAAGTCAATATTTCCCACTAAATAAAGTCATCTCCTGATATTTTCGTTGACCATATGAACGTATGAAAAAACTTGCACGCCTCTTTGGCGAACCAGTAACCTATGCTGTCCTATCAAATTAATAAACAAACAATTGCACAAGTCAACATCAAAGTGACAGGTTTAAAATCCCAATGAATTGATTATTATCGCTAATGTGACCTAACACGTCCTAGATATTTTATGTTTGGTTAGTGCTAATTATTGTGGGATTTATATTTATTTATGGAATAAACTAAATGGCATGTAAATAAAGCGTTGGTCTTAACCACACATTTGATTCCTTTCATAAATTTGGGCTATTTTGGGGAGGTTAAATTATTGCCAAATTTAACGATTCTTAACGGCGTCGGGGGTGGAGTTGCCTTCTTCTTCCCACAGATTTTAAATATACAGACGGGTGCACAGAATCATGCTTATATTTTGCTTTTATATTATTTAAAAATAAAAATAATCAATATTAGATTACTAAAGATTTACTAAACAACTCTGAAACAAAACAAACAATACTCCTTTGTAAGTATTTTCAAACTCTAAGTCAAATAAGCCAATTATTGCCCACTACAATCATTACCATACATAGATACAAGATACATACATACTCTGAATCTGAAAAGGCATCTTCACCAAGCCAACGAAGAGCATTAATATCAGATTCAATATCACTCCACAAAACAATAAACAGCAGATTCCTACAGATTCTTCCTCATCAGATCTTCACGCAATCCGACTTCTTACAGTGAGTATCTCCCGCCTTCAAGGAATTAAAGAGCGAGGCTGTCCTGATTGAGGTAATCCCTTTACTTTACTGTTTCTTGTTAATGGCGATTCAAATTCAATCCATCGCATGGCAAGTGGTGAAGTCAATTTTGGTGGGGTCTTTTTCAATCGAAAAAATTACCATCACTTTCTGTGGCAGATATTTTTCTATGTTGTGTTGGTGTGCTGTTGTGTTTCGAGTGATCAAAGAAAGAAAAGATTTTTAGGACAGATAAGACACACACAAAAGGTACACGTAGCAACCGTTGGTCGTGTCGAAGAATCATAAGCAAGGCTGCAACTTTTTTTCTTTTTTATTAAAATCAATCATATGAAGCTTTTGGGTTAACTAGGTTTCGTGTTTGTGCGCCTTTTTCATCTAAGTTTTTTGTTCGGCGCAGAATTGAGGGTTGAAATCTATGCTCCTTTTCTCGTCCCATTTCCAGACTTGCCGGGATTTTCTCCGATTCTTCCTCTGTCTAAAGTTTTTCATTTTTATTCATATAAAAGCACATGGTAATAAGAGGTTCTCTTCAACTTGTTCCATTTTTGTTTGTTTGTTTGTTCCTTTCCTCAGATCCCTTCAAACTTTTTGATTCTATCCCGACTCTATCTTCATAATCTCTATCGCTATCTAATTAAAGACACATCGATCTATCCTTAGCTTATTACATCTGGTTTGTCTGAATTTCTTTCTTTGATAGGATTTTTGGGGAATCCCAGAAGCAATTTCGTTACCAAGTAACGGGGATTTGAAGGTGAAGATGTATTTGGTGGATGGTAAAGCCGGCGCCATAGCTTGTATGCTCTTGTCCCTGCTGTTCTTGGGGACATGGCCTGCATTTATTACACTCCTGGAAAGGCGTGGCCGTCTCCCTCAGCACACTTATCTCGATTACACCATCACTAACCTCGTCGCCGCTGTAATAATCGCTTTTACCTTTGGTGAAATCGGACACAGTAGCAATCCTGACAGGCCCAATTTCATCGACCAGCTGTCTCAGGTATATTATAATTATACCCTCATTGTTAGGGTTCTTGTTTGGAAGAAAAAGAAATTGAGTTTGATTTGATTTTGATGTTTCTGGATTGTTTGAGTGATGTTTCTGGATATGTTTGTTAGTATTCTGTCAGGATATGCAATTGAAAGACAGAATCCTCATCATATATGACTCACTCACTGACTGATCATGAGATTGTGTCCGAATTACCGATGATCATTGATTCCTCGGATCATCAATCATCATCATCATCATCATCATCGAATAAAGCTTTTGTCCAAATTACTGCAGCATAACTTATCCAGTGTGCTGTTCGCAATGCTCGGCGGAATTTTCCTCAGCTTAGGAAACCTGTCGTCTCAATATGCCTTCGCCTTCGTCGGTTTGTCGGTAACCGAGGTTATCTCTGCCAGCATATGTGTTGTAATAGGTAATCTCCACACTGTCTTGATACCAAGTGTGGATCAGGTCCAATGCCCTTATTACATTACACGCTGTCTTCGACTTCGGCTTGTCCAGGCACGACGCTGAACTACTTCTTGGATGACAAGATCAACCGCGCCGAGATTCTTTTCCCCGGAGTCGGATGCTTCTTGATTGCAGTCTTTTTAGGCTCTGCTGTTCATAAATCCAATGCTAAGGATAATGAAGCTAAGCTCACCGGCGCATCCCATGACTACGGGAATGTGTATGTTTTTGACAATTTAATCAAATTTCGACGATTTATGTTGTAATATAACGATCATTTTTTGATTGTCGAAACCTACGCAGGATGAAAACCGAATCCGGAGGGAAACAAACGTATGCATTGAGGGGTAAGACCGCGTCATATACGCGTGTTTATGATACAAGTGAAGAAGCCACATCACCCAACTCTGTTTTTCCTTGCATAGCAGACGATCTGGAGACCGGAACTGATGCTTCCGGGAAGAAGGCGAAGTTCGGGACCGCAGGTTTTCTTATAGAGCTCGAGAACAAAAGAGCCATTAAGGTTGTCCACGTGCTTACATTGTCCGGATTCATGTTATTCGTCCTATTTATCGGTCTGTCTGTTCCATCGCAGGTGTTCGGAAGAAGCACTCTTATCGGGCTGGCCCTAACTTTCTTCGCGGGTCTCTGTTTCTCCCTGTTTTCTCCGTCGTTCAACTTGGCCACGAACGATCAGTGGCATACGTTGAAAGACGGGATCCCACATTTGAGCGTCTACACCGCATTCTTCTACTTCTCGATATCGTCTTTCACGATCGCCACCGTCCTCAACCTCAGCTTCTTGTATTACCCTGTCTTAAATCTGCCGAAATCATCGTTCAAGGCGTATCTCATGGACTGGAACGGCCGAGGCTGGGCCTTCCTGGCGGGCATACTGTGCGGGTTCGGAAATGGGCTTCAATTCATGGGCGGGCAGGCTGCGGGATACGCAGCAGCGGATGCTGTACAGGTCAGCTTCGAGACATTTATTTTATCCAAATGGTGTAACGCGATGCGACTTAAATGCGATGTGTTATTGATGCAGGCGCTTCCGCTGGTGAGCACATTTTGGGGCGTGGTGTTGTTCGGGGAGTACAGGAGATCGTCGAGGAGGACGTACATACTTTTGGTGAGCATGCTGGCGATGTTCGCCGTTGCAGTGGCGATCCTCATGGCGTCGTCGGGGCAGCGCAAGCAAGTTAAGAGTGCTTGAAGAGGTTCTTCTTCATCAATGCAGCTGTTGCAATATTGGCAGGGCTTGAGATCGGATGTCTACCTGAATGAATCAATGCCTGCAATAATAAAGACAACGTTTTTAAGGAATGGGATGGGGACGATGAATAATGTATGTATGGAAGCCTAGCTAGCTCTCTGTAGTTATAGTCCTCACTGTGTGAGATTCTTATTGTTGTTGTTACGAATTGGGTTTATCTTCTTATCTGTATTGCTATCTTTTAAATTCAAGGTTTGAGAAAAGTATCCAAAAAGTGGGGTAAAAAAGAATTTTGAAGTCCGCTAGAAGGAGGGCTTGAACCTCCGACCTTGTGGTTAACAGCCACACGCTCTAACCAACTGAGCTATTCCAGCTGTTGTTTAACATTCTTGTATTTAATTTTAAGTTTTAATTTTGACAACGTTTAATTGAATTAATATGTGAATCTGTTGAAAATAAAAACTTTGACCGGTCAAAATAGACAAACCTTATTTCCTTGTCTCCATGACAGTTGACAATCATTGTGTAATTGGGCTTTTGATGGCAAGAAAAAAGATCGAAAACTCCTGGCTGGATCCCATACTCTCCTGGCTCTGCTTTTTAGGGTCATCAGTACATATAATAATTCTTCTTTCCCGATCTTCTTCCCCCTTTTGCGCCATATCTGTTGTTCTTGCTGTAAGGATTGAACCATCAATGCTGCTTTCATGGCTGCTGTTGGTGCCCAGCTTCTTCTTGACTCGTTCGATTCTGGCGATGCCCAGCAGCATCATCCCTCTCACCGGGCCATGTCGAAACAGGTGTGGGAATATTCCGATCAAGTTCCCGTTCGGCTCCGGCTTCGGGTGCGGACATCCTGATTTTTCTCGATACGTCAAATGTGGCTCAGGGGCGGCGCTTCAGCTTTCAACCGGCTCCGGGACTTACACAATATCGTCGATCGACTACGCGGCCGCCACTCTCGTAATTGCAGACCCTCTAATGTCGACTTGCTCGTCGATGCAGAATTCCGGCAGCTTCATTCTCGACGGCGGCAGCCCTTTCGGTGTGGCGGACGACAACATATTTGTTCTTGTCGGATGCTCGACGACGTCGCCGGTGTTCGACAGGAACGCGGATTTCTGCGACAGGGGTTCGGGGATGAAGGTTTGTAGGGGTCTGTATTCTTGCAAGGGGGTCGCCGGAATTGGGCTGGAGCCGTACGCGCCGACGTCGACGTGCTGTGTGTACGAACCGCCGGCGATTGGGTATGGAATTGATCTTCCTAAGCTTCAGTGCTCATCGTATTCGGCGGTGTACGGATTTGGGGGGAGCGAAGGAGACCCCATGAAATGGCAGTATGGGATCTCATTACAGTACAACAACTCTAATTATTACACGAGTGCCTGCAAGAATTGTGAGGACAGTGGAGGGATCTGTGGCTTTTCTGCCATGGACGGTAATGAAGATGATCACTACTCCTTTTCTTGTAAATGTCCCAATGGTACCAACTCCACCATTAATTGCTATGGCCGTGGTCTCTCTCTTTCTCTCTCTCTATATCTATCTATCTATCTATATATTCATTCGTTGATGCTAACTGGTGGTTGATTATGTTATGTGGTAAGGATATGCGTGGAGCTGGGGAAGGAGACTGAATATTCCGACAGCAGTGATTGTCGCAGGTAACAATATTAATTAGTTATTAATCATGTCCTAGCAGTCGTCTTCTTCTTCTTCTTCCTATACCTGCAACTGCAAGAAAAGTTTTGATTTTTGAAAATTACAGTGGTAGTGGTTTCTTGGATGGGGAGTTCATTTTAAGAGCAGAGCAGCAGACAGCAATGGAGGAGGGTGCAGTACAGTACAACAAATTCCTGTTGATTTTGCGTTGTGCATCTGTTTGTTACCTCCCACCTTAATATATAACAAACGAATCCAACTAGCACCATATAGTTGTTTATTTTATTTATTTCATCTAGTATTAATTGTTCTTGAAATATAACTTGTCACAGTATATGAAACTAGTTTATATAATATAATGTGGCGTCAATATAATACAAATACAAAACCAAAAGTATAAAAAGTTCCTAATTAATTTCAACGACCCAAAAAAAAAAAGTATAAAAAATACTACTTGATACCATATATTTTAATAATCTATATACCAAATGTATTTAATTCTACTGGCAACTATACTTCGCGTAATTAAATTGTGGTGGTGTTCTTGCACGTGCCCAGCATGTGATACCAACGGAAAACGGTATATGCCTTTTGAAATATTTTATTTACAAGAATATCACAAAAAAGTTATTTATTTCAACTTGACATATTATAAATTTCCAATAGAATAGATTGTTTACAATATTTCACTAATTCTATATACTAAAAGACTACACAGTAAGATGACTTATTTTAACATCATTTATAATATTTTCTCTTATTCATCATTTTTTTATTATTAAATTAAATATTTATAATATTTTTCCATGTACAGCCTAGGAGAATTTTGCAAAGCCAAGTCGTAGCAATAAGGAAGTCATAACACAAAATTGTACAAGGAAATTATTTTAGACACGTTACAAAGCTGAAATAAATTTAAAAAGAAGAGAATTCTTGTGTTCTATCTTCAATGATGTGATTAGTAATCTCTAAGAAAATTTTGGATAAACTGAAAAAAGCAGTGGTTCTGAAAACAAGAGAATTCCTGCAAGAAACAAGATTCATCGTCTTTAATCAAAGATGTACAGCTGTAGATGCTGCATTTCATATACGATACTTTGTAATAAAATTTTAATTATGCAGCAATAATAGAGATTTGAAAAGAGCTTCCTGATATGAGTTGAGATTATAACACCAATTTGATTTGATTTGATTTATTTATTTATGATAAGTAAATATGAAAACACTTCACTGCAGTCTGCAAAGGGTAATCCTTTAGATATACCAAAAAATTTATCCATCTTTAATTTATTTATGCATTATATATCTCAGCTTTAATCTGTTAGTCAACATTAATAATTTCGTTGTTGCTACTGATGGTCCACTATGTCTGCAACTTGTTCTTCTCTGTCCATCTCAACTACACAAAAGTATCAAAATTTTAATTTCTTTCACTTACTTGATGTGTTGGTGTAAATCAGGTAAGAAAACGATGTTTCAGGTGGTTCAATAGCCTGCAGGAAAATAAAATTAAGAATAATATTATATATAAGGCTGTACAAAAAATTCACACACTATCTGATTATTGATTCCCAACTACTGATGGCCCAAACTTAATTAGTGAAGAAAAAAGAAAAAAGAAAAAAAAAAGTGAATAAAGCAATACAGAATAATAAAAAGAAAACCTCATAAAACCCTCAATTTCTCAATGATCTCAAGAAAAGGAAATCGATTTGTTCTTTCTTCTTCTTTAAAGGTGAACAAGAGTTGGGAAGTTGATGAGATGGTTATGTCACAATAATGCATGCATATGGGAGCAAACAATATTAAGGTCCCACTGATGATCGATCATAATATTATATATCAGATGTCATATTTCATGAGGATAAGATACCTAAAACTAGGGTTATTACGAGCCTTTGATTTGTCATCATGTAGCCATAATTAATTAATACTGTATAATTAGCTCTAATATATATCAATTTATCGTATCACCAATCCCTGTTTCAATTAATTGCACTCTTAATTATTTCAGATTGATGATTTTGGAAATTAATTGGACCCCTCAACCCAACCCCCCTATATATCCCACCCCACCTATCTAATCTATCTGTACACAATTTTCTTACTTATGATCATCTTGTTTATAATATATATATATATATATATAGTAAAAGTTGGTACAAGAAACTGAAGAAAAATATGGCAGTCTTGATGATTTATATATACATATATGAATGTATTGTATAACTTACCTGTGTTTTATTATAAACAGTAACATACATATATACTTCTTTGGATGGTGTCACAAGAAAATTTAAATAACTAATACTTAAAAATTCATAATTATCATGACTGAAAATTGGTAATAATTAATGGGGGTTTCTTAAGGGTTAGAAGCTTATGTTCACAACAAAATCAATGGTTGCCAGAAACTAATAATGATGATGTTTCAGGGAATTTATGAACTGCAATGAATGAATATTGCAAAGGCTAAGCTTTTTCTTTAAAAGGAATATCAACAGACATATCTAATCTGATGGTTGAATATTTAACACAGAAAGTGACTGGATTTTTGGGTCTCTGTCATGCCCCAATAGATAGTGACACATTATTATTATTATTATTATTATTATTATTATTTGCAGGTATTGATTCCGGTTTAGAAGAATAACAGCCCCTGAAGGAATGATCTGCATATCTCTGGTCATAAATAAACCCAATGTTTTCACTAATTCAATGTATCTGTGCTGTGCTCTTAATATTGTCTTTACTGTACATTGGCAACTAATATACATATACATATATATATCTGTGTTTGTGTATACTTGTTATTGTATGCAGAAAATGATGATAAAATTAATAACCAGGTGGTAGTAATTGGTAGTTGAGGCCAAATCTTGTGTTCTTCTGACTGAATTAATCCCAGTAAGGCCCATCTTTCTTGTGTTTGTTTATATATAATTAATTATATATCATTTTCATGGCTATTGATTTTCTTCTCTACGACTCAGCTGTGAAATGTCTCTTTCTTACAACAACAAACAAGGAAGAGAGGTGAGAATCCATGAAAGCTTAGATGAGCTGAGCAGTGGTCTGGCAGAATACATGGCTGAATTATCTGAAGCTTCTATAAAGGAAAGGGGAGCTTTCACCGTCGCCTTACCCTGCGGTTCTCTCGTTCCCTTCCTAAGGTACATTTTTATTACATACCTCATAACTGCCTCCCTCATTGAATTCACCATTGAAATTTATCAGATTTTCTGTAATCAGGAAGCTCTGTGATTCTCCTTACAACAAAACTGTTGATTGGAACAAATGGCATGTCTTTTGGACAGACGAGCGCGTCGTCGCAAAAAACCATTCGGACAGCAACTACAAGGTAGCCAAGGATGGCCTTCTGTCCAAGGTATGATGATGGATTCATCTTGTCTGAATTGGATTGTATGTATGATGCTTTCTTTCTTGTTTTCTTCAGGTGCCGATTGCTCGTGGCCACGTGCATTCCATCAACGACGCAGTGGCTGCAGACCGTGCTGCTGAGGAGTACGAGTTTGTCATAAGGCAGCTCGTCAAGAAGCGCGTTGTCAGCGCTTCCGAAACCAATGACTGCCCGAGATTCGATCTGATCATCCTAGGATTGGGTCCGGACGGCCATGTTGCGTCGCTGTTTCCTAACCACTCTGTGCTTGACGAGGAAGAGCATTGGGTGACTTTCATCACCGATTCGCCGAAACCACCGCCGGAGAGGATCACGTTCACGCTGCCCGTGATCAACTCTGCGGCCAACGTCGCTGTGATCATCTCTGGCAGCAGCAGAGCTGAGGCTGCCCGGCTGGTGATCGATGAAACTGCTCCCGACTGTCCAGAATTGCCTGCAAGAATGGTACAACCTATTAATGGCGAGCTTGTCTGGTTTGTAGACACAGCAGCTGCATCAGAACTCGAATTTGCTAAATTTCACATATAAAGCAAGCCTATGTACATATGATGTCTGTCGATTGGTCGAAACACCTTAAAAACAACAGAGCAAAGTTATAACACGGCGGTGTTGTCTTCTTCATACAAGGATTGTTCTTCAGAGTATGTGCAACAGATTTTTTCTAAGCAGGTCAGAAGCTATATGGATATTGTAAATGGCTGCCAAGAAAGAACTAAACCTTAAATATCCCCTTTGTTATAACTCAAATAAATCCATTCCAATTCTCGAACATATCATCAGTATGGAAGAATTCTCTGCTGCAATTGCTACTCTATGAGTATGACCTTAAGACCCCAAAAAATAAGAAATCAAGACTGGTCTGAAGTCTTCGACTCCGGAGAGGGATATTTCAGGCGTGCTTCTTCTTCATGTAAATGAGACCAATTGCGACGGATAGGCCAACAGCTGCAACGGTAGGGACAGCCCAGTATTGCTTGCTCAGGTTCAAGACTTTCTGAGGAAGGTTGTCTGATTCTTTCTTCTTTGATATAATTTCCATCTGGGGAATGGGTGGGGGCATTTCATCAAGCTCCCCAATGAAAAACTGCTCCATTTGTTCTCTTGCGGATTTACTGTGGCCAGCATCTTCAAATTCTTCGGTTGCATCTTTACCTTCAATGAAAATGAAGAAAGAAACTGTTAAACTCCGTCTGCCTAATGGAAACATTTTGGATTTAAAAATGAATGAGTCGCTACCAGCAGCCCTGATCAAAACATCATCTCCACCGGGATGTTCATCCAGATACGATGACACATCATACACCTGGTAGTTGAGAACCGTAAAATTGTTAAAGAGCAGGGATCTCAAAACAAGATTTGGTCTGTTAAGAATGACAGATGAAACATTGTCGAGAAAATGCTAGTAATATTGTGCCGGTTGTTAATAAAATTGCCATTACTAAAAAAGTAACAACAAATTCCCTGAATTAGATTATGCTCATCTACATAAAGTTAGTGCTTTTGTTGTTTCCCAGCATAACACAATAGTTACTAAATTCAAGAAATGCTCTATGCCACCAACACATTCATACTTTGGGATTGTATGGCAAGTTCGAAAACCAAATTCAGGGAAAGTTCATAAATTTATAGAACCAAATGCAGAGATTCCATAATAAAAAGCAATCGTAATAGAGATTCATAAGGTCAACTAACAAAGAAATTAGATAACCAAATAGACAACATCCGTAAATCAAAACAAAGCTCTTCGCAAGAACAATCCTCCAACTACTTTTTTCGCATCCAACATCATCAATTATGTAACACAACTAAAAACAAAAACAGAATGCATCCAATGGTTTTAAGATAAAAAACAAACAAACAAAAAAGGTATCTCTGAATTGTTACTTCACAGATTCCAAGCAACTGCAATGCATATACATATGCATTAAGTATTGCATAGCCCCAGCATTAAGTATTGCATAGCCCCAACTCCCAATCTGTGGTTTACAATAGTTTTCCAGTTAAGGCAAATTGATTTCTTGCAAAACAACATATACTAGACATTAATCTACTTGAGAGAGGAACTCAAAAATGATTCGAGAAATCAGATTTTGCAATAATTCAGATCAACACATATAACCATTCTACAAACCGTAGCAAGGTCCACATTCATAAACCCTAAAAATACTCGGAGCCATGAATCGAAACCAAAAATGAAAAACCATGTCCTGTCGAGAATTAAACGCGCCGCATGACTATTGAATTGGAAACCCAGCACCAATTAAACTGCAATTAAAAACTATGTGGCATGAACGCTTAACTAATATACCTTGCCATCAATGACAACCCAACAATCCCCACCGGTGTTGTGCTGAGAGGCTTCTTCCATAGTGTAAAGCTTCGTCAGCGTCGGCATTTTTATCGTCTCCGGCGAGTATGCAAATTTCGCTAAAAGAGACAAAAAGCGAGAAGAAATATCCCTAGTCAAATTCCCTTGAATCGTCTCCGCTAGCCACTGCGAGGGCTCGCGTTTCTTGACTAAGGAGCCATTACCAATTAATTTAAAAGGTCCATGGACCAAAGAACCAAGAGCCAAATCCACCATACATTCCTAAACCAATCAACGGCGTACGGATTCCCGGATCCGCGATCCCAGCTACAACACCAGAAATCTTGACTTGGGCCATCGATATAACCAATATTGGGTTCGGGCTCAAAATAAGTTGAATGGGCCCATTCAGTAAATTGTCACTTAGCCCACTTAGTTTATTCAAACCCATAAACAATAATCATAATAATAATAAACAATTAATAGTGAACTGACGATTATAACCCTAACTACATTGTCAACTTGTGTACTATGCTCTGTTTCTATTGAAATTTTTAGAACAAATTTTCAAAGAAATATTTTATATCAAAACTTTTTTCCTTCAACAAAATATTCAAATACATAACATTTTACAATATCATCAAAAAAATTTCAAACCTTCTAAAACTTCTATTTAAACGAGAGATAACTAATTATCCAACAAGAAGAAGAAATTATTACATTGAAAGAGGTCCTTTGCAATAAAAACAAATAAAAAATGTCCCACAAAAATTGAACAACGAACAGCTGCCATCCGAAACCGAAACACTTGGACAAAAACATAAAAGAAAAAGTAATCGAAACATGGACATATCAATGGGAAATAAATTAATACAAAAGAAAACTGTGGCCATAGAAATCTGCACTTATATATATATATATATATGGTTGGATTTCAGTTCATGTAAAAGTAAACAATAATTCCATAATATGCAATAGATCGTTAATTAGGTTGTCTGTATATGTAGCTACCACACATAACTTTTAGAGCACTGTACTTGTTGAATTTTTATTAGGGATGAGGATGAGGATGAGGATGAGGATGAAAGGATGGATCAGAAAGTGGGTTGGGTTGTTTGAGGAAGACGACATTAAATTAATTATATATATATATATATAGAACAATGCAAATTAAATGTTTCAATTAATTTGTTTGTAATTAATGAAATGGACACCACATTTTGGTTTGGATGTAAATGTTACATTAGAAGAAGATAAATGTCTTAACATTGCATGTGATTGACAGACTTGCATGAAAATTTAGTCTCATCTCTAATCATATAAATATGTATGCATATATTGTATGTGTAATACATACGTACGTACTGGCTAGGTACCTTATCAATTCTTTTCAAATTGTAATAATATAATTTTGAAGATTCATGGATTATATTTTATTTAAGATTCTTTTACAGATTGTTTACAATGTACTTGAATGATTTTCGATAAATAGTTTGAAGCATTTTTTTTAGAGGTATGAGATAGTATTAAAAATATGGAAGTAATTAAGCACGTGCTGTACCGATAATATATAAATTAATTTAAGTGTGTAAGAATCGCGGTGTAATATAATCATAGATATATTGCAATCACTTTTGATTTATTGGACCTCCACGAAGGCATATGCTCCTCTTTATATTTTATTTAATTAAAAAGCTAAGGGGAGCTGATTGCGCGCTTTAATTTATTTATACATATAATATTAAAATGTAGTAACAAAAGTTGAGGGGATATCATCATCATGGGTGTGTTTATTTTTTATTTTTAAAAAAAAAAAATTATCGCTAATTAATATATACAATTTTTTTTTATATAAAATATCAAATTAAAATAAAATTTAAAACAAAGTTTGTTTTATTATTATTTAAATAATTAAATGTATGCCATGAAATTAGGGTCTTTCTTCGTTTTTTAAGTACATGATTTTATATTTATAACATTGTATTAAATATTTTTATGCTTAAATAGTATACCTTAATTTGTTGCTATTTTTAAAATATTTTATTTATTTTGTTATTTGTGCCTTAAAAGGCGTGCCCAATTAGTGTCACTACTCTTTTTTTTTTTTTTTTTTCCTACAACTTTGATCATTAATTTTACTACTAATTAAATTCATTAGTATAATCTTTATTTAAGACTGGTTTTTTTCAAGAATGAATCATTACTTAACCAACCTAACGTCTAAAATAAGCAAGCAGCCAATTAATTAAATCAAACAAACCAGTAAAAGGAAAATCCAATTAAGAAGAATATATATGTACAAAATTAAACCCCCAAAAAAGAAACTCAACAATATACATTTACATGAAAAAATAAAAATGCATTTAAAAAAGTTTCTTTAATTATTATATATTTTAATTTTATCTTTTTTGTAATAACATTCATGTGGTAGCACTAGGAATTGGTGCACCCACATTGCTATTGCAATTGATTCTGCCCATATGAGTAGTCCCATAGACAGGGAGGTCCCGGGAGTAAAAGTCCAGCTCATGATTTGGTAAATCGAATAGATCAGAGCTGGAATCCGTACTGTCTCCTCCATCATCGTCTTCTTCGCTCAACTTCGTACATCGATCCCACGAATTGCTGTTCTGAAACCCTAATTTTTTCCCAATCCCTAGATCTTCCTCCATGATCTCTACAGCAGGATTCTTACAGTCAATCGCCGCCGGGCGCCGCCGATCGTGCAAGCTCAGGAATTCCCTGTACGACTTTATCGGAGTATCGACATACGCCGGCGGCGTTCGGAAACCCGAACCCGACGACGACGGAAACGCGACCTTTGATTCGGCGGCCGCCGTCGCCGCCGTGATCCGAAAATGGCTGATGCTGCTCCGTCTTTTCCGCCTCACGCCGCCGGGGCTGATTTCTTCCTCCACCGTCGCGCCGCCTCCGCCGCCACCTGATTTGGGTTTCTTCTTCTTCAACGACGCCTGGTGGAAAAGTGAGTTGAGGAAACTCGCTAGGCGGCCGCCGGGAGAGCTCGGTTGCTTGCATTTCTTTGAACTTTCCTTCTTCTGAAGCTTCTGCCGATTGTCGCGGGCGCCGGCCCCGGCGATCATCGGATTCCTCGCCCTAACATTATCCAGGCTCATCCGTGAGGGTTTCTGAACACGATCGTGCCTCTCTTCTCTGCCTGGATTAATCAGATCGTCGTTGACGGCGCCGGAGAAGTACCCGGCAGCCTCGAAAACGTCGAGCTCGTCGGAATCCTTCCGCCGGTGGAAGGAATTCTTGCAGGGCTTGTTAGGGTTTGGGACAGACGCCATTCTTGCAACCTCGTACGAGCTGATTAATCGGATCGTAATTAATTGTATATTTGTTAAGAAATGGAATGTCTGTACTGTCTGCGTTGTTGGCCATAAAAAGGGTTTGGAAATGATTGAGCATATATAATATACCTTATTTAATAACTAATTAAATATATACTAAGCACTCTTAATGATTATACTCGTGACATAAAGTTGGAATATGTAGACTCTTTTTTCTTTATTTATTATTTATTTATGTCATATATATTCAACTTTTGTTTATTTATTTTGGCAATTTCAATCAAGTTGGGTGTTTGCTGTGGTTCGTGGGGGACAGGCTAGATTTCCTACCTTGGATACTCATCTTTCTTACACGCACTATATTGGGATTCATTTTGTACCATGATCTTTCTATCTTCGTACGTATAATACTATATATATATATATAATATAATAAAAAAATTACTCTACTCATGAATTTGTTGAAAATAACGTATCGTTCCCAAAATCAATCTCAAGAATTGGACACTTGATCCAAAAACTATGGCTGAAATGTATTGTTTTCATCACTTAAATCCTCATCACTAATTTCCACAAACGGCTTTTAATTTGAAAGCACGCTTTTCAGACGGATCTCTGAAGTCGCACTTTTGAAAGCGTTACTCCCTCTATACTCTCACGTGCGAGCCTCCCTGTCTCGGCACGTGTGGGTTAAAGTTCGGTCCTATTTGAATACAGGCATACATAGTTACACTTACATACACACATGCATGTCTTGTTGCTTTCTTTATCTACAGACCATGCTTTCTTTTCTTTTTTTTTTTTTTTTTTTTTTTCAAATTATAATATTAAAAAAAAAAAAAAAAAGGTTAGTGTGCCATGGCTATTGTATTTGTATTTTTATTTGTTTGTTCCTTATTTGTAATGTACTTGGTTATGGTGTTGTTTGTCTTAATCAGTATGTTGTAATAATATATATAGCATATGGTTATTGTTTAAATAACAATATATATTTTCAATAGTGGCATATATGTGGCTGATGTATATAATACATTGTATTGTATCAATGCAAATTGTGTATTGTTTGTTTGTATTATCCTAACATGTTAGAATTCAAGAGCTGTATTTGTATTTTATTAAGATAAATTGTGTCTTGTCTCTACTTATTTATCATGGGTTTTTCGAGTATATTTGATGTGTTGTCGCCCTAAACGCCACCATATGCATACATATAATGTTTTTATAATCAAATATCAATTGACAATATATGAACGAGTACACAACATTATACTTATCCTTTCTTTAATCAAATGGACCTTATAGTGTTGTGCATATGTATTAGGGAAATGCCTAAAAAGCTAGAGCTAGGCACCATCCAAATATGTCCCCCAAACTTGCCCACAAATTTAAGATAATCCCCACCACAAATCTAATCGCATCATATCTTCAACCCTAGCTAGCTAGATCAAACACAACACATTCAAAATATCATTAATTTATTTATTTTATTTTATTTTTAAAAATAAAAAATAAAAAGAAAAAGAAACCCAAGAAGATAAGGAAGGTGAAGAAATTATTGTTATCTATTTGATGTGCTTAAGCTAAGGAGAAAGTAGTGATGAGTATATAGGCTTCCAAGTGCACATAATTCATTAGTCACATCACACAATTGTGTAAATGCAATACCAGCAGGAACCCACTCAATTATCTACAAAACAAAATAACCCTTATCTCAAATAAATTAAATATATTCTTCCAAATTCCCCAACTTCCATAACATATAGTAATATATTTGTATTTAATTTAATTTGTGACAATGTATGAGGATAGTCTCAATTTAATCCAAAAGGGCCAAGTTGGGCCTGTATATATATATGTAAGAGGAAAAAAAAAGGCATATATTTAATTCACACTTGGACCCAATGACAATAAAATTGGAAGACATACATTTCATTCACACTTGTTTCTAATATAATTAGATGCAAGCAAAACAAGAAACATACAATTACGAGCAATATTTACATCAAATATAATTAGTGGGGGGAAATATGCAAGTAATTGTAATTTCAATAGAATCACGCTCAACAGCCGAATGGGTGACACGTAAGTACTTTGTCGGAATCTGGTGGTGTGCGGCAATAAATAGGAGTGGGGCCCAGGCCCAACCTTAGTGCGGTTGTCAAAGCCCAACTTCCTCGGAGCTTCATCTTCCACCCTTAATGCACATCCGACGGTAAGAAATTTGGATTTCTATAAGGGTTTTTTTTTTTTTTTTTTTTTAAATAATAATAAATAAAAATTATTTGAATATATATAAGATTAAAATAATACTATTAATTAATTAAAAAATTAAAAGATAAAAGAATAACTTCGATACTGCATCACTCTATTGTAATTGAAAATGAACGTATAAATTATTACTTGAAATAATAATTCATCCTTTCTTGCAGATTTAATTTGTAAGCTATGAAACTCACTCTTTATGGCGTGCACATGCAAAAATTATATAACGATTGCAAGTTCTAATACATATTAGGAAACCCATGTTTTGCTTGGCTGATGAAAAATGTCATGAATAAAATCAAATAATTTGTGTCAACACCTACCATTCGATCTCCATGCATGTACGTAATTAATCATAAGGAAAATATCATGAATAAAATTCGAGATAATAACCAAAATTAAATCCTCACTGTAATAATTTGATGATAAATAAAATAAAATAAAATAAAATAAAATTTGTAACAGTGATATATATACACATATAGCAGCGCACTAGACTCTATTACATCACTTTCATTGAGAGAGATGCAGTAATAAAAACGACAAGTGATATCAGAGGTGACATGTTGTTATATGCCATCATTATTTTCTGCACACACATACACATACTGTGTGTCTCAATATATAATTTAAATAAATAAATAAATATAATGATAGCATCACCTAATTCCTGACCACAATTCTACATTCTTAGAACTATTATTAATATTACTATTAAACCCAACAGCAACTTGAAACTGGCTTAGTTAATTAATTATTGACGTAATTAACATATGATTTACGTAAATTATTATTGAGCGGATTTTGACAGCAAGTCTGAATCCGCACAGCCTGGGCTTGACACGTCATCAATGGGCCCGGAGCAGGCTACTACTCTAGAGATGGTAGGGTGAGGTGGGCCCACCACTGCCAAAAGAATAGTAGTAAAGCATAGTATAGTGATTGAGGATCGCTTTGTTTAGATTAGAGATTTATTTTTTTTTTGGAGTTTTTTGAAATTTTGAAAATTAAAAAGAATTCTAAAATATTAATATTTAATTTGATATTTTGTGAAAAAAATATATATATTTAATATGATTTATTTTTTTAAAAAATAAATAGTACTAAATAAATAAAAATATATTGTGTAAATAAAACTTTAATTAATACCGCTACTACCACTTATCTCTTGGCTTTTATTTTCTCTACCCCTCCCCCGAAAAAATCATGACCTACATATCTCAGCTATAAAAGAAAGATAACAAATTAGAGAAATATTTATTTTTTATATTAATTTAGTAATTAAATTTAAATATACTAAATTGGTAAACTCTACACGCTAATAATAAAACACAGTTGTATTTTACTCAAAAGTACAATTATACTACAATCTACTTTTATATATTTTGTTTCAATAAAATTTTATACATTAACTATTGAGTAATTAATATTTCTTCGTTTATGTACAAAAAAACAAATTAATACAAAAAATAATACGTGGTTTGTCTAGTGTGACTTGCCTTGTCAAGCCTACTCTGCAGGTTACTAGGTTTGGTTGGGGCTTTACTTAGTGCGCACTTTCGGGTAGTGGATGCGGATTCTCATATTATAAAAAATAAAAAAATATATATATTTAATTTTTTATTTAACAAGTTTATTTATTTATAGACTGTTTCTAATTTTCATTTTGTTTATTTTAAATGTCATATTAGTAAAATACTTAATTATGTTTGGAATGAGAAATTAAACAACTATTAGTATTTTTTAAACAAAAATAATAATAATAATAATAATAAGAGGTTGAATAAATAATAATTCAACAAAATTAAAATTTTAAGCAATATTTTAAATGTAAAATAAGTTACAAATTGACATTTAATTGAAACCTAAGTATTGATTGCTATATTTTTTTAGAGAAATATACCATATGTATTGCTTTAAATAAAAAGTACAAATAAAAACACACATATACATGTATATAATTGTCTCGTATGCATATACTTGATTATCAAATTTGTTTGCCAGGTCCTTATGATGGTAATAAAATTTTTTGTTTTTATTACGATGTTGTTCAGATGCAACATGAGTATATACGATGATATTTACGGTGCTGAATCGTATTGAATATATAGCATATGATGAACTACTGTAAAACACTCCATATTATTATATGAAGGATATCATTACAAAAAAATAATATATTTATAACGGAATTTCGTCCCTAAAGTTCACGCAGCTAACTTAATTTTATTATTAATTCCGCCTCTAATGTCATTAGTAACAGAAAAAATAGATTTAAAGACAAAAAAATTTTGTTACAAAAATAATTTTTTCTTGTAGTGGATATGAAAATATAAATATAACATATGAAACGTTTTTTTTATTAAACAAATATTTTAAATATAAACAAAAGATACATGATCTTATTTCCCATAACATATACTATTAGTATAATTATTTGGAAAAATCAAGACAGCTGATTTTCAATGTTACATATTCAATATTGTTGTCGAAAATAATATCGTACTAAATAATTATTATAGATAAAAAGGAAAGAATTAATGAAGGCATATCAATTAGGTATAATGCATCAAGTTGCTGGCTCGCACTATTGATGACTGAAATATTATTTAGGCAATATAGATAAAATATTCATTTTTTTAGGTTTTTAAAATACAATATTAGTATCTAATAAGAATATCTCGATTTTTTCATACAACATATACTTCACACTTTTTAAATTTAAAATCATATTTAATATTTGATTAATTTTATCTCAAAATTTTCATTTTTTTTTTCTTTTTAAAATCAAAACACAATCACGGATAATATGTGTCAGTGTATATGTATGTTTATATAAGAGTTCCCTTTTTTTTTATTATTTATTTTAGGAACAATATGTTTTATAACCATATATAATAATTACATTTTGTCTATATTATCACAGTTCACATGATTTGTAAATGTCACAACTGGTCATCATTCAATTCACAAGTAAATTCTGAATATTAGGGTTTGCTTCAGAAATCCGTTTCATGTTTATTCTTAATCATGTGCAGGTTAATTCTACATCTTTCCACTCTTTTCTTTCCCAAAATTAAAAATAAATAAATAAACAAAGTTAAAAAAATAAAAAAAAAATGATAAACCCAATTTTTATTCCCCCACATATTAATTAATTAATTAGTTTAATTAACCAAAATAATCCCACCATTAATTTCCCTAATTTTATCAAACCTATATTCTTAATAAATTATCACTGACAGACATAAAACGTCACATAGCTATCACTCTTCCACAAAAATTATTTGAAATAAATTGATAAAAAAAATAACAAAAATTCTCAACATCTAAAATTTCAAAAGAACGAGTATAAGTTCAACTGCAGATGTTTTCCGTTCAGACAAAGGAATTTCCACTTTCACTTTATGTCTCTATGTTCTTTGCCAGGACCAACAAAATTAAAAAAAAAAAAAAAAAAAAAAAAAAAAGAAGAAGAAAATAAACACAAAATAAAAAGAAGAGAGAGTACAAAATGAATATGTAAACTTATTATACATACATACGTATAGATATACATGCACTGCCCCTGCCCCTGCCCCGAATCGATAACAAAATTACGTCAATCAAACCAGATAGCGACACGTGTACACCCCCAAAAGCATATACACAAATCAATGTAAGAGACACATAAATGTACACGAGTTATACACAACAGGGAAAACCTAAGACCTGCCCCACTGCCAGACAACAGTATTTAGTTTCCTACAAGAGATAAAGGGCTGAACTTATTGAAGAACAGCATAAACAAACTCGATCATATATACGACACACACACACACACCCACATATATATATATATATACTTTTGAATTTTGTATAATTAGCTACGATCGAGATCGATCGACCGACCGACCATCGATCCATCTGAATTCTGTAATTATATACATCTTTCTTGCAGTTGGGAATCTTCAGACTTCAGGAGAGATATATATATATATATCTACCGCAGACATACTGATAAGATAGGTTGAGTTTATATATTATTATTATTTTATTGTTGGGGAGAAATTAAAAAAAAAAATGGGGAGAGGGAAGGTGGAGCTGAAAAGAATTGAGAACAAGATAAACAGGCAGGTGACCTTTGCAAAGAGGAGAAATGGATTGTTGAAAAAAGCATATGAATTATCCATTTTGTGTGATGCTGAGGTTGCTTTGATCATCTTCTCCAACAAAGGGAAGCTTTATGAGTTCTGCAGCAGTTCCAGGTCAGCTGATTAAATCATTTAATTTATTCTACATCATGTCAATTAAATTGCATTTCTTGGTTAAACTGCAGTTCTGCAATTCGAGAATTCTTTCGATATTTAATTTAATTGGGGTTGGCAGATTTGATTTGATGAGTTTCCTTGTGATTTTTTCTAATTTTTTATGTTTATCTTTGAATGATTTGCAACTTTTGATTTGTGAATATGTGTGTGTATGTATATATATATGTGAAGTAAAGAAGGGATATATAAAATATACTACTATCATTCTTGAATTATAGGTGAGAGATCTGAGCTTAGTGGTGTATGTACTTACTTCAAATATGATTTATTGCACAGATCCCAAAATATAATAGATGCATGTGCGTGAAACTGCATAAATAAGTCTTACATATGCTCAGACAAAAAATAAAATATAAAAAATAAATCTTTATCCAAAATTCTATCATAATTGAAGTGTAAAAGGATTTAATATGTGAAAGAGAGAGAGAGAGAGAGGAAGAGAGTAAAGAAATCGTATCAAAGAGCAAAAAAAAAAAATCTATGTAAGATCTTGATTTTTTTTTTTTTCAAGTTACTGAGATCTGCTTATAAATGCATTTAAAGGGAAAGTTTTCTCTTTTAGTCTTTCCTCTCTCTTAATCTTCATTTATTCTTTAATTTTAATTATGCCTAAGCTTGCCTTGACTTTCAATTAATTATCCCTGATCGATCTGCAGTCTTTCTCTCTCCCAAATATACTTATGGAGGTTCAATTTTAAGGGGCAAAATTAAAAATCTGGTAGAGATGTGATTAATTAGGGTTTCGAGTTACAGTTAATTAGCTTCATGAATTAAAGGGATCTGATCATAACTTCATTTTTGTCGATGGTAAGCTGTAACATGGTGGGTTCTGCATACGAATTAAGAACCTAGTCCATCCATTCATTGAGGTAATACGTATGCACAACCAACCATGTTGAGATATAAATCTATATCCAGACAAATTTGATTTAACCACTATCAATATGTTGGAATGACTTGATTGAATTCTGTGTTTTTCTTCTGTCCCCTTGTTTGCTGCATCTGATTGTGTTTTTTTCCATATAGTACATATTACAATCAATTTAATGAATTTAATTTATAGTATGGCCAAGACACTGGAGAGATATCACAGATGCAGCTATGGTGACCAACTCCAATCTGCCAATGATGAACAAGTAAATAATAAACTCTTCTTACATCTTATATATACAAACAATTTATTTTATCTTCTATATATGTACATTCATATATATATAACTCGATTTGTTTATGTGTCGAAGCAGAACAACTACGAAGATTATGTAAATCTCAAGGCAAGAGTCGAAGTTCTACAGCAATCTCAGAGGTAATCAAAGTTTTTTAACATTGGATTATTATGGATTGAATCAGCATTTTTATTTTTTATTTTTTTAAGGATTAGCTAATGAATTGAATTAGATCCATGATTAATTTCCTTCATTCAAATTTTTTCTTAGGCATCTTCTTGGGGAGGATTTGGGACAGTTGGGCACTGCTGAGCTGGATCAACTCGATCGCGTAATTGATACATCTTTGAAACAAATACGATCCAAAAAGGTACGTGTTGGCGCGTCCTATGGTATGTTGCAATGTTTGATTAACTGAAAATATATTGTTTTGTGATTTTTTCAGACTCAACAATTGTTTGATCAGCTTTCTGATCTTCAACAAAAGGTATGAAAATTTATTTATATTAATTGTGTTACATAAATTGAAATAATATAGCTAATTATTTGATGCCATAAGTCTGTTATATTTTTTTCTTTTTTTATGTATTTAAAATCCTCCAGGAAAGAACTTTGGTGGAGCTTAACAGTGCTTTGAGGTGCAAGGTATATATATATATATTAGTTTCTCAAAGTGAATTAAATTTGATAGTCTTTATTATATTATCCTAATATATTGAACACAGGCACAATTATATTTATACATATCATGCATTTTGTTGTAGCTTGAAAGAAGCAATGAAACACTGCAATCGACAGTACAACAAAGAGAGCTGAGTGTACAATACCAACAAGCACTGCCGCCACTGCCGCCGCCGCCGCCGCCGCAGATGCAGCCGGATATCTTCATGGAGACTACTACTCTTCAGCCCAACAACACACCTCAAACTCGGTTCATAATTTTTTGATTTTATTACATATAATATATATATTATTTAAAAACAAATATTGGCAGAATTAATAATGTTCTATGATGATGTTGTGTGGCAGATACAGCTCTTTTGAGGCACCCAGCAATGTTGCAACAGCATCAACTGAAAATGAAAATGGGATAATCCATGGGTGGATGCACTAACCCTATAAATAATTAATGTCACGATTATATATAAATACATATACTATATTGTAACAAGACAAGTCAATTAATTTCTAATTATTAATTTTGTACTCCCAAATTTTACTACTACATTATATTGTTTTCCATTTTTCTTAAAACACACAGAAAAGTAAAAATGATCTGGTATATTATTTTTTGTAACTCCAATAATTGATGAGGCATTCAAGTGAGGGCACATATATAGATAGTAATTTAATTACTTTGGATGTTGACTGAGATATTTTGTCAGGTTCAACCTTAAAAAACTGTTTCTACTGCTGACCCACTATTTATTTGCTGTCCAATTATTTCATATATATATTAACATACTGGAGGACTTTTACACTTGTAGCAGAATCAAACCCTAATTCAAGAAAATGAAGATAAATATGTATATTAAAAGTATGAAGAAACAGTAAATTAAATAATGTCTAAAATGTCATATTTCCTGGAAATTTGATATATGTGTGGCCAAAAAAGACTGTAATTGTAAAATCAATTAATTAAAAATTGTGAACAGTTGTATATAATTTTTCTAAGGCCAGATAAGTCTCTATCAAGTCTCTATCTGTCTTTGGAATTTCCAGACATGGATGGGTATGCATGTGCCTGATAATTTTCAAACTATTAGAATTATTACTGAATTTATTATTATCATAGTTTAGGAAATTTATTTGGAATTTAGGTACTGCTGCATTGCTTTATATGGTACTGATGATTCGAAATTCGAAATCTGAAAACCCTAGAAGCTACAAGGAACCTCTAATATTTGGCATAGTTGAAATCATAAAAGCTACGATATATAATTACATTTGTAGATTAGATTCTCCTGTCTTCACCTATTTTCCCTTTCTTTATATCTACAATTTTTCTGGGTGATCTGTACGTGCATGACTAATTAATCTTGATCGATCAACAATTTGCAGATTAATTTCAAATTAATTACCAGATTAAACCCCAATATATTCATGGGTTTATAATTAAATTAATGAATGATTAATTAAATGCATACATACTATATTGATAATATTGTTTCAAAACGGATATATAAAATTGTGGTCATATCATTCCATAATGGTACTGAAGTGATCTCCAAAATGTTGTCAAAAGGTTTTTTTATTTTTTATTTTTTAATTTTCAAAATAAACTGTAATTTCTCATCCAAGAATTAAACCAAAATGATCCCAATGAGTAATAATTGAATTGAAATTTATGTATATATATATATATATGTCTTTTTGCCAATTGTTACTATATTTATCGAAATCAAATAATGGGTTCTTACTTATATAAGAATAACTATTCTAATAATATAATTAGGTTACTGTCATTATTAATAAAGGAATGTGCGGTCCCAAAATATATATTTGTATTAATTGCTGCCAAAATGGTAACTCAAAATTGTCCATTGGATATTATTTCTAACTTCGTTCTGACCCCCAAAACAATACTTATATTATATATATATATATATGAAATACAACTGTAGTCCATACAATAGGCTTACACTTTAGTACGAAGGAATGAGAGTATATTGAAAAAATAATAAATAAAAATGATAGGTTGGAGAAAAGATAACGTTATATTTATTTTATTTAATGTACAGTACATTCCAAGTTCTCAATGCTTTTAAATATACATATAGCAAACCTAATGAACGCATGCATTTATGATCATTTTGTAAGATTGAATGCCTAGAAAATAAAATATTGTTTATTTATTTATTATAATTTAATCAATCTTTTATAATTTAGAAGCTCGCAGCTGCCATCTGTGCAGGTCGAAACCTTATATAATTAAACATACTCTTAGATTGTAGGACAGTATATCAGTATGGATGTAATCCTAAATTAAATTAACAGGATTTGATTGTTAAATAATTACACAATTTGTTAAAACAAAATTGTATTTTTGTAATCTAATTGTTTTAGTAGATCCAACTTAACAACATATAAATTAAAACCAAGATTCAATCCATATATCTTGCTCACACTATAACACTTCAAATTCATCAACAAAAAGCAATAAAAACCCAAATTTCATACTATACATAAAACCATAATTAAATTCAGATTATCTTAGACCCAACCCAAATCTCAAGTCACGACCCTATTAACCTAGAAAAAAAAAAAAAAAATCCCACAAAAGATTTACAGTACAGTGAGAGAGATGATATATATATATCAATGGCTGGGTAGCTAGGTGGCAGAAGAGAATGGAAGATGGAAGAGCCAATGAGCAATCGACAGCGCATCCTTAATAATCCAGGCGGTTTTGTTTTGTCTCGCCAGTTAGAATAGAATAGAATAGAATAGCAGTAAGTGTTACTACTGGGCAAAAGAAAAGATAAGAAAAGAAAAAAAAAAAAAAGAAAGAAAAGCAAAGCAAAGGCAAGTAAGTTTCACCAGAAGAGGGCACAAAAACCCATTTTTTTTCACCAAAAGGGACATTCAGATCCAGAGAGAGCACTTGTGGAAGGCAGATAGATATGTGAATCACAGAAGCTCTCCCCTACATTTACCAACAGAGTAATAACTAAAACAGATCCTCAGCTCCATCACTTTCTCCCTCACTCTTCCCTCTTCCAATTCAATTCTACACTTTCGCCGCCTGCAACATTTTTCTACTATTAATTTATCTTTTCTCATGCTTTATGGCTCCTCCTGCTTTCCATTTTTAGAGTGAGAAATAGAAAGAGAGAGGGAACCCAATTACCCCATCTTCCCATCGATTTCTATTTTTCTTCCCCTCTCTCTACCTTTTTTTTATTTGTTTATTTATTCTTCTTTTCTTGCAGAGAAGGAGTTGTAATAATATTAATAATGCGGAGAGGGAAGGTACAGCTGAGGAGAATAGAGAACAAGATCAACAGACAGGTGACTTTCTCCAAGAGAAGAGTGGGTTTGCTCAAGAAGGCTCATGAGATCTCTGTGCTTTGCGATGCTGAAGTTGCTCTCATCGTCTTCTCCCACAAGGGGAAGCTCTTCGAGTATTCTACTGATTCCTGGCAAGTTAACTTACTTTATGTATGAGATCTGTTGCTTTCTCTTTTAAAATTAGGGTTTTCTGTTTATGCACCAGTTATTTGTTGATTTGATCATTTGGGTTGGTCTGGTTCAGTGATTTCTTTTTATTAGGTTTTCCACCGATTTAATTAATTTCTTGTGATGAAACTTTCTTGATTAATTAATTTCCATTAGAATTTCTCTACAAACCTTAAACTCCATTCTCATTTTGAAGCTTTAGGTCATACTTCTCTCTCTCTCTCTCTCTCTCTCTATATATATATATATATATAATATACATTTTTTCTTTACAAATTATAGATGGGGTTTTGAGATTTGTTGATCAATTGACAGCTAGCAAGAATCTGTTACAAAAATTTTGTGTATGTTCAGAAAAAACCTTTTGGGGGATGACAGATTAGCTTTGCCTTTGCCCTGCAAAGACACATCTTTTAATCCGTCCATCAGTTCAGATTTGATCAGCTGCAGTGAAAGCACTATTATATATACTATTTTCTAATGCCCAAAGGCCACTGCAGGCAGTACACACCATTACAGTGGACAAAAGCGCTTAGCTTGCACTTCTTTATCCACTGAACAAGAAAGCTACCCTTTTTTCGATCCTGCAACTAATTATTCATTACACTAATTAATTCTAATTTCTAATCACATCCACAAAGAACTAGAGGTTAGGTTAGCTTAGCTAGCTCTTCCATGGTGGGATAGTGGAAATCACCATGTGAACCCCTACCAGAGAACCTGATAAACACCCTCCTCTTCCTCCTGCAAACCCTAAATCCCTATACAAGGGGAACACATTTTCATAAACTTATTTTCAAATTATAAATATACATTTAATTAAATTAGTTGTTTAATTCACAGACTTGATTGATTTTGTAATTATTGGTGGATGGCAGCATGGACAGGATCCTGGAGAAGTATGAAAGATACTCATTTGCTGAAAGACAATTAGTTCCTGATGAGCCTCAGTCGCCTGTAATAGATTCATTCCTAATTTCCAATTCAATTTGTGTCTATCTAATTATTTTTTATTTCAAGATTTTATTTATAAGTTTCCCCATTAAAGATTAATCCTGTAAACAAACACTCCAGGCAAATTGGACACTGGAATACAGCAAACTCAAGGCAAGAATTGAGCTCTTGCAGAGAAATCACAGGTAGCTTGCATGAGATCAATTAATCAAAATATATACTTAATTATATATATATATATATGACTTGTTTGATTCTCTTCTCAGGCATTATATGGGTGAAGAACTGGAAAACATGAGCTCAAAAGATCTTCAAAATCTGGAGCAACAACTCGACACTGCTCTTAAGAACATCCGATCTCGAAAAGTAGGATCACCAAGACATGCTTTAATTGTAAATCTTTGTCCAAATCTAGGTTGTAGTTAAATCTTAATGAGGACTGTCAATTGTGCAGAATCAGCTCTTGCATGACTCCATAGTAGAGTTGCAGAAAAAGGTAGGATTTAATTCATTCAACTGTCCTTTCACCGTAATAAACCAACCAACCCCTACACTATACATAGGACATGAAATCATTTTCTTGGATCATAATTTTTCCAATTCAATTCTCACACACACACACATATATATATATATAATTATTTGGCAGGAGAAGGCTATTCAGGAGCAAAACAGAATGCTGGAGAAGAAGGTGCTGCTGCTATTACATAACTATTATCATTACATTTATTCAATGATTATTGTACATGATTTTAGTGCAAATCATGTTTTGAATTTCTACAAAATTTTATGATTGATTTTTTAAGCAGATTAAGGAAAAGGAAATGGAAAGGCAACAGCAAACACAATGGGAACAGCCGCAGCATAACCACTGCAGCAATGCACCACAAGCTCTTGTATCGTTGCCGCCGACTCCGCCTTCCTTCTTAATGCCATCTGAGCTTTCTACCTTAAACATCAATGGGTAATGATAAAGTTACAATTTTATTTTTTTCCAAAAAAAATGAAATTAATGGAATAACATTTGTTCATACATATATATTTATTAGAGGCGGCGCATACGGAGATCAAGCAAGGAGGAACGAGCTCGACCTCACTCTCGACTCGCTCTATTCGCCGCATATGGGATGCTTCACATAATGGCAATGGCAATGGCAATTGGAAATTGAAATTTTCAGGTTGATCATGCAAATGGGAGCAATAAGGTAACCAGGGATATATGTTTGATGTTCAATAATGAATGATTAAGATGATGATCTGTGTCCTATATATATGTTGTAATTGAATTTGCTACTGCTCTTGATTATATTTCATCACTATCATTGTATGTGTCATGATTAAATGTATTCTGGGCAATATGTGTATATCCATAAAAGGCCTTCTGCTGTAAGAACATATTTATTGTTTCTATTGTCTTTTAAGATTATGTAAAATGACTCTTTATATGTTATTGGCACACTTTGGCTACAATAGGATTGTTTTTTTATGTGATCGATTAATCTTTTATTGAAATTCCAAGCTTTAATCTCAACTTGTTTTCATTAATGTCGATGTGATTTTTATTTTTGTTTATTTGACTTATTTTTTATTAAGAAGCAACCATTGGAAATGCTGTGATTGGTATTTAATTCTGGCTTTATCAGAGTCTATATCATACATTGGGTGGCCAAAATATTCAAATCCAATTTTAAATTAATCAAGAAAATTCAGTTTTAATACTATTTGTTTGGGTAATGAATTGAATTTATTTATATTAATATATCTAAACTTTACTAGTACATATATTAATAGTTATATAGTTGTTCACTTAAATTCAATTTGAAATATTGTAAATATGTTTTATTAATATGAATTTTGATTATTTATTAAATGTATTTCCTTATATTGGATTTGGTTCCAATTATTTGTAAAATATACAGTTATTTATTTTTTTCTTTTATCAATTTTTTCAGTTTAAGTATAATTCACAATTTTAAATATTTGTAAAAACCAATTCAAATATCATATACCTGTAAAAATTTACAAGTATTAAAATTTTACAACTAAAGTTAGTATGTAACTATATATTTTTATTGTCAATAATTTATAAAATATGAAATATTTGTATAATTTAATTGGAATATCAAATATTTACACATTTGCAAATAATACATTTCTCACCGTAAAAAATTTACAAAAACTAGTAACTATTAATGCATAATTTTGGAATTTAATAAATGTACGGTTAATAATATAATATAGTTTAAATAATTCGTTCTAACAACCTCTTTTTAGTGCCACCAACTAATTAGTCATTAAAAAAAAAAATCAAAAGAAGAAGAAGGTAAAAAAGGCATATGATTTCATTCTGTAATTAGTAAGGCATTTGTCCCATTTTTAATTGCTTCCTTGACTTAAGTCTTGTTTGATTGATAATTTGTCATCACTGCAATATATTTTTAAATATTTATCCACCATAATGTATCATCATTACCAATTTTTTTCCTTTTATTTATTTATTTTACACCCTTAATTACTCGTAAGTAATTTTGTCTGCAATGATTCCAGTTAAAAGTTTCTCTTTTTTTTTCCTTCTTCTTCTTCTTTACTTTCCTTTCTTTCTTTCCTATTTTTTTTTTTCACCTTCACATACTTTTAGTAAGAGCTATATATTAAGGTTTACCATGTCATGTATAAAATTCAATTTTATTCCACAGTCTATATATCATTGATTGCCCAAAAAAGGAAAGCCCATATAATAAAAATTATTTGCATATCCATAATGAAGCCCATCCATCTTCGAAATCAAATCAAACGACTTGTAAATTTTCAAATTTTGTTTACATTAATTAAGTGTGAGAATGAAATGGGTATTGATTGAAAATAATGTAAAGGAGCATTAATTAACCCCCCCCAAAAAAAAAAAAACAATTGATTTTCAAGAACATAAAAATGGCCCCTACAGTGATGATGAATGATGAGAGTCACGTTCAAAAGCAAAGCAGAAAAACCTCAAGGAAGCAAAGCTGGAATGATTAGATTCTGCAAAAGAAGAATAAATAAAAGAGAAACAACATCGGCCCCAGTTCATCATCTTCCCTCACCTTCCTTCTCCAAAATACCCCCAAATTCATTTAGTATATATCTACAAATTTGTGTCGGCTGTTTTATCCATTAAGAGTTTGGTTTAGGATGGGGAGAATCGCCACGAAAATGCCCAATTTCTGCTTGAACAGAATACGGCCGCTAATTAGGGTTCGGTCGTCGTCGTCGCCGTCGCAATCCAGGCATTGTCAGAACTCAATAGCCAACAACGCCGGCGATGGAGATGGAGATGGAGATGATAGAGAGAAAGACGGCGGCGAGAAATCCGGCGGCCGGAGAATCATGATCGTCGTGGATTCGAGCGTCGAAGCTAAGAATGCTGTGCAGTGGGCGCTCAGCCACACCGTTCAGAATCACGACGTTGTCATTCTGCTCCATGTCCTCAAGCCTTCTGCATCCAAACAAGGTTCAATTATACATACATACATACATACATATATATATAGATTATACTGATTGGGTTGCAAATTTCAGTGAATGATCAATTTCTGCAATTCTGTTTTGGCAGGGGATAAAGATTTGAAAATTCCCGAATTTCTAACGTGCATCAAAACTTCCTGCAAGATTAAAAGGCCAGAGGTTTGTCCATTATATATATATATAATGATATATATATAATTATAATGATGGTGGGATTTATGGAAGATAGGTGGAGGTGGAGGAACTGGTGGTGGCCGGGAAAGATAAGGGTCCGGCGATCGTGGAGGCGGCGAAGGCGAAGGAGGCGGCGCTGCTGGTGGTGGGGCAGAAGAAGATGAGCCTAGCGTGGCGGCTGATGTTGATGTGGGCTGGCGGCGGTGGCGGCGGTCGGGCGGCGGTGGCCGGAGGGGTGGCGGAATACTGTGTCCAAAATGCTACTTGTATGGCCATTGCAGTGAGGAGGAAGAGCAAGAAAGTTGGAGGGTATCTCATCACCACTAAAAGGCAGAAGGATTTCTGGCTATTGGCTTGACATATATGTAAATTTTTGTTTATTTAAATTTAATATATTGTGTTTAATTGAATTTGATGTGGATAGATTTGAGTTAGTTGCAATGAAATTGATCACAGATGATTCTGTATCTAAATTATTGTTTGAATGATAGGTGAGCTGCCCTGTTTGGACACATCCTATGATCCAAAAAAATGTCCTCTGTCAGCATTCAGACAAAAGGGATCATCATCTTGATCTTATGCTGGTTTCAATATCACAAATAATTCACTTGTTAACCCAATCTTGATGTCTTGTAGTAGAGCAATAATACCCATTTCATTACAAGCATACCTGATCCCTTTTCACACTTTGTTGATGATGATTTGGACTCCATTTTTCGGCTTAAGAAGGAACTCGAACGCCGGGCAATGGACATAGTTTGGCGAAAGCGCGAGGGTGTATTTCTGTAAGATCATCGAAAGTACAATCTTGGCTTCGTTGGTGGCGAAGTTTAACCCCACGCAAGTACGAGGTCCAAGCCCAAACGGAAGATACGCAGCCGTGTTGTTGTTCGTGGCTTTGGCAATCCCTTTGGAAAATCTCCCGGGGTTGAAAAAATTAGCATCTTCGCCCCAAATACGCCGGTCATGGTGCATTGCTACAATAGGGATATAAATATTTATCTTCGGAGGAATACATAAGTCCCCGATTTTCACTTCCTTTAAAACTTTCCTTGTTAGAAAAACGGCCGGTGGATATAGCCGGAGGGCCTCGTTGATGATCATGTTCATCTGTCGACGTACAAAAGAGAAAATTCAAGTTGAACCACATCATTTAAAATTTAAAATCAAGAACTAAAGGGAGCTGAATTGGCTCACAATTTTCAATCTTGAAACGCCGTCAGAATCCAGGCTGTTTTTGCCGAATACTTTCAAAACCTCGGCCCGGGCTTTGTCTTGCCAATCTGTGTTCGTAGCGAGGAATAAAATGGTCCAACTGAGCAAGTTTGTTAGTGTAAGATGACCTGCACCATAAATCGCCTTGATCTCTTCAATCATCTGCTCTGTTGAGATCCGTTTCTTCATGTCACATTCATGGGTTAACTGCACAAGCTGCCCAAGATAATCACTTCCGAATTCGCCATCTTTCCTCGCCTTTTCCTCCCTCTTTTTCGCCAGCTCGAGTATAGAGCTTTTGATCCGCTGCACAAGTTTTTCAGCTTCAATCTCATCAGCAGATTTTACGATCATCCTGATCATGTATATGAACACCAGTTATTGAATTAAATCAACTCCCAACTAAAGAATTTCTCGAAATTGTAGCAATTTTACCTGATTCCAGGAAACCTGACTTTGAAGACAGTTTGAACTGTTAATTTTGTCAAATTAGCCACCATCTCAAAGATATGTTTTCCTTCCATATAGCTACTTGCAAAGGCTGTCCTGGAAATAATCTCAGTGGTCAGCAGCCCAATCTCCTTGAACACATCAATTTCCTTTCCTTCATAAGCTTTCCAGTCATCCAACATTCTTGCAACACTTGAACTCATATCTGGAACCATTTTCTACACAGGATATTTTTTAAAGAGCATATAAATTCGATGATGGAACAGCTTGATATGTATATGGAATTACCTTCAGACTCTCTGAATGGAAAGTGTGATTGGCAATTTTTCTGATTTTTTCCCATTTTTCGCCTTCATTAAGAATAATTGAGTCCCCGAGAAGCTTCTTTGCGCTGCCTTTAATATCCATTTTAGGAAAGACGCCATCTCTGTTCATCAGTATCTCCTTTATCATCTCCGGTTCCAAGACAAACAATTGGCACTCCGTGCCTTGCCAGCATATAAATTTTGATCCTATTGCTCTCAATTAACCAAAAACCTTGTGAACAACGGCGGATTTCAACCAAAAAAAAAAAAAATTCTCAAAATTGGCCTTACCGTAAACACTGGACCATGCGTACACATGAGGATGGATCCTCGGAAGTACGTTATGTGAAATTTCCATCTCCTTATCAATGAATTGGCCGCTCATGCGAGAGATTTCCTTGGCGTTTCCATGAGGATACCTGTAAGGAGGACCTCGGACTCCCTGCGAATTCATTTTCGCTTGCAGCCGAACCGGCGTCCACCATACCTTGTCCAGGAATCTGAGAAGAATACGGAAAAGGAAGAAATAAAAAACCGCGGAAATCCAGAATACGGATGATTTAGCAACCTCCATCTTCAGAGCTTCGTCGGTGTGCTATGCAGTAATGCTTCTGGTGAAGCTTTTTTAATGGCGATCGGAATTCAAGATATAATATAAAAAGCGGGAGATAGGGACGTAGAAGTCAAACATAAGGAATTGACATATATACCCCTTATATTAGATATGTCGTATTTTGAAATTACCCAAACTGCCATAACCCAAACCCTAAAATTTCGTTCGCTTATTCACAATTCTCTCCGCTCCATTTTTCACGTTCTTTCTCCTTTACGCAATTTTCCCCTCGGTACACCCTATCGTTGTCTCGCTGTGTTTTTCTGATCTATTGTTTGGAAATATATACTGTTTGTGTAGTCGGATCCATGTGTGTGATTGTGCTCTGGTTGCGGGATTCAGTTTTCCGGTGGGGCAACCGACCGACAACGCCGTAAATACGTTTTGATAATTCCGGTGTTGATTTGGGGGAGAGTGCGAAGCGCGGATGTAAAATTGCATATTCTCAGGTGGCATTTTAGGGTTTAAATTGTAGCGGATATAATATTGCATATCCTCGGGTGGCATTTTGGGGGTTTAAATTGTATTAAATCTTTGAATGCGTGTGTTTATCTGTTGTGTGTGCGTGGAATGTGATGGAGTTTCGATGATGAGTCGTAGATTACGTTGTTAGAGTTTCGTTTTGGGATTTGAAATTAACACTGCGAAAGGGGCTTTGTGTTTTTGGTTGGAGTATTATTTCTTCTTCTTCTTCTTCTTCTTTTGCCTTCTTTGCTGAAAGGTGGAGCCGATTTTGGAACTTCAATTTATAATGCTTATTGTTAAGATTCTTCTTTCTTGCTCTTGTGTTGTTATTACTTTATTCAATTAGGTCTTTCAATGTTATATGGAATTGCTTCCTCGTATTGTTTGCAGTATATTTCATAATCTTTTTATTTTTGGGTGAATCTGCCCATGCTAAGCTGATGATGATTTCTTGAACATGTGTTTGAGATTTTCTTTTTGCAACTTAAATTGTATTCTTCTTCCCCCAAAAGGAATTGTTTAGTTTTTAGAGCAAGTGGCTATGATCAGAAAGTGGAACAATGTCTATTGTGGAACATCTGTTGTGGTTGGTCGAGAAAAAATTAAAAGTTTACATTTCTTTACATCACTCTAGATCGGATACAGTGTTTCCCTTGCCTGATGAATATGCAATTTTGTAGTTTACCAAACAGGGTCTCAAAACTTTGCAGATTATGTTGTGATGCAATTAACAAGGGTTATGCCATAGTAAATGATGTGAATGATTATTGTAGACTGTGGAGGAAAAATCATATAAATGTTGGGAATGATGATAATAGCATTTTCTATATTAATTACCAAGTAATGTTGTAGAGATTATTGTTAATATCTATAATTAGTGAATAATCTGCTTCTTACAAGCATGGTAAAAATATTAATCGGATTGGTATTATTTGGGCCGTACCATTTTAATGGGCCATCAATTGGGTCGGAATTGTATTTCTTATCGGCCAACTAATGGGCCGACACCCTACTAATCTTGAGCATATTGTACATGTATTGGGCCTGATCTGAGTTATTTATGGGCCTTGCCCTAATATCATCTGGGCCGAAACCTTGATTTGCTAGGCCGGGAAGGCCCAAATTTGCCAAGGCCGAGAGACTGCAGATATGGGTAGCATCCTATTGAGCTGGGCTGACATTATTCTGACAATACCCCTAATTCTGATGGGCCTTTGCTGACTGATTATTGATTACGGGCCTACATTTTCTGGGCCTTTTGGACTACCATATGGCCCGTTATGACTCCATACTGGATCGGACCGGTATTATACTGGGCCGCACCGACATTTTAATGGGCCATCAATTGGGTCGGCGTTGTGTTTCTTATGGGCCGACTGATCTTGAGCCGATTGTACATATATTGGGCGTGGTCTGAGTTCTTTATGGGCCTTACCCTAATATAATCTGGGCCAGATGAAACCTTCTGTCGGCTCACAGCTTTCTGGGCCACCTTGACAGTATTATGAGCCTAGGCATGTCCACCCGCGACTTTATTATATTTATTTATCCACATCGTTATTTGCCTTACATTTTACTTTTTCATTTTTTTTTTTAAAAAAAAATTATTTTATTTCTTGCTCATATTAGTCAGTTCCCAACGACTATATGCATGTTTACTTGTAAAATTTTATTTCTAATTTTATTATTCTAACTTTTTTTTTCCCTTCAAAAATATCAAATTAAACATCAAATTTTTATTTATTTTATTACACTAAAATCTAATTTTAGTGTCAAAACATCACATCTATATATATTTATATTACATCAAACTATTATTTCAATTCAAAATTTTACTATTCAAAATCAAAATCCAAAACCAAAACTTAATAAGTAAACACACCCATGTGTATATATATATATATATAATAAGTCTTAAAAAAATCTTGGCAATCACCACAATTTCTTTATTGCGGGGGACTAATGCACATATTGACGCCATTAAACTACACATAGGCATGAGCAAGATGATTAACTAAGAGCTGAGCTGAAATTATACATCCCCTTGGCTGCGTCGACAAGAGGGTCTCCACCACAGCTTCCAAACATTACACTGCATTGTTTACCAAGCAATTTGGGGCAAGAATTGTCTGTATACATGCTGAGCCAGAAGGTTAGCAGCTATAGTATCAATACAAATGGCATAATAAAAAAACATACCAAACTCTCAGGGAGCAAAACAACATGAAAAAGAACCTGGGGAAGAATACAAATTCTGGCCCCGGGAAGTAAATAAACTCCATCAAGGTGCAACAACATTTCACAGCTCGATTGAGCAAAAAGAATGGGCTCTAAAGCAAAGCATAGAATTATGCACGGGAGCAAGTACAGGACAGAGAAAAGAATTACTTGGAACACACATCGGGTGCAGTAGCTCACGCCTTAAGCATTGTACTAGAATGAAACTTCTCTTTCATTCTATTAATAAGCTTGAACTTCTCTTCAGCTTCAACTTGCAGGCGCAGATCAGATTGTGAGGCACGATCTGGGTGGAAGGTCAGCAAGGCTTTTTTATAAGCTGTCTGAACCTACAGATGTCACAATTCCAAGCAAGTTAATCAATCAACAATGTGTGGCCACCACAGATCATCTTTAACTATACAACTTATTCTATTCATCATCTAAACGATATAACAATGAAAATATGCATACAAATGCAGAAAATGTCAAGCTGCGTTGGGGACCATTATTTAAAGGCTTCACAAATGGTGAAGAAAGATAATTTTGAAGTAATTGTTGAATGAATTTACCAATCTGAAGTTAAAGTGGAAGGCATGACCAACCTGTTGTGGTAACGGATTAGGCCAACCGCTAACATGAACGCCAAGCGAATGCAATAGAGAAGCCATATTTGGGGATGTATTTTCCACTTTCATGAGCACATTCCTAACTTCAGCACGAATTGTCTCCTTTAAACTCATATTTTCCTCTTCCTAAATGTAGTATTCACTTAATCAGGTCAAAATAGAAACACTTAACCAGAATTAAAAGTTAAATGAATACATTGATCTTAAGATATTAAGAAAGCTGGCAAGTTTATGTAAGTGAAAGAATCGAAAGTTGCATACCTTCCTTTGACTGTTCCGAATTTCCTCGAGACGCTGCTTCTGTCTTCGTTCCATATCCAACAATCGCATGCTCTCTGCTTTTTTTCTCTTCTGTTGTCGCCGCAATCGCTGTGCTTCTTCAGCCTTAAAGAGAAGTACAAAGTATAAGCTATTTACCTTACTCATATAATTTATTCTTGAGCTTAATGGTGAATATAACACAACTCAAACAAACCTAAGCTATGGATGCACAAGGTAGAATTCTTTTAGGAAAAATATGCAAATACATATTAATACAACAGCCATGAATACGTATTAAAAAGAAGTAACTTTCAGAAGTTGAGAAACCATAATCAACATATACAATAATGAGGAATATTCACTTTTCATGGTCAAATTTAGGGACACCTAACTTCCAATTACACAATGGCTTGGAATTTAATCATCTCATTTTCCTAGAAGGATTAATCATATTCCACGCACCACCTCTCCTAGAGGCTAGAAATATATTTCTTATGCAATTCATTAAGCAATCATAAATATGGTTGACTTACAGGATCATAATTCAACTGAGTCCTTCAGATGCTAAAAGCAATAGACAAACATTGAATAAAAAAGAAAAAGCAAATTGAAACTTTGGCGGACTAAAAATAGTAGGAATTAGCAGACTATAAACCTGGATTGCTAGCGCTCGTTGGCGAGAAGCCCATTCTTCCTCCATTGCTCTTTTGTATTCATTTGTTTCTTTAATCTTTTCTCGTTCATTAATTATGCTGTTTTCCACAGATGGCGTAGTGTCTACATTTGGGGTAGGCACCACCAAACCATCTTCACTCTCCTCCTGATCACTACTGGACTGTGAATCATCGTCTTCAAGTATGATTTGATTGAGATCAATATTTACCCATGGCATCTCAGGAACTGGCTGCTTGTTTTCTTGATGATGACCTTGTTCAACATCTTCAAAAATAGATCTAACTGCACCGCTGGAAGATGATGGATTAGGATTAGTTTGCGAATGAGGTGATGTAGATCTTTTGGATGTGAATCTTTCGGGCATGAACTTTTCCTTCTTATTAGCCTTAAGAGTTGCCAAATGCTCATTTTCCTTAGCACTATCTGCATCCCTTTCCTCAAATTTTGGGTGGTCATTTCTTGGATTGAATTTGACAGGGTCCTTATCAGTACATGACCCAGGTCTCCGACAACAAGCTCCTTCCTTCTCACGAGAAGGTGCTTGATGATCATCCCCAAAAGCAGGTGCTGCAAGAGATTCATCACTTTCTACATTGTCACTATTAAATCCACCTGGCACATAATCTGGAAGATCAACCTGTTTGGTATAATTTGAAGGATAACCTTTCGCGTGGGAAGTAGATCTGCCAGATACTCCATTACGTAGGTGCGTTTTTTGCGCTGATTGTGTATTATCCGAATCAGTAAGATCATCAAATGCCCTGCTGCAACCAAAACCAGAGTCCTGTTTAGAAGCATATGTATATGAAGCACTGGCTTTGTTATTGGATTTCTCTTTACTGAAACAAAAGGCAGCCTCCTTCTGCTGTCTAATCACATCTTCCGTTCCAGAACTTTGATGTTGGTCCTTTCCAAGATTTTGTGAGGTACTGCCACGATATCTGAATCCTGATGGACCATTATAAGTATGTTTCCTTCGTCTGAAGGCTTTTTCCCACAATTCTTGAACCTTGCCAGAAGAATCTTCCACCAACACACAATCAGGATAATCACTGTCAGATGAATCACTTTCTGAGTCAATATGCAAACCGAAGCGATTCCCTCTGAAAGTTTTCCCAGAATAGGTACGTTTACATTTTGATAACCTAACTGGTGTTGTGTTATCTTGTGCATATTGGCATCCTTCAGCAGCATCACCAGTGGGATCAGCAGTATTTGTAGTCTCCTGGCGGGTTTCTCTATTAGAAGAGGTGTTCACGACAAAACTGGATTTGTTTGCGTCGCCAGAATGGCTGCTGCTAGGCGTTTCATCATCATCAATGTATATTACATTCTTGAGAGAACATTTGTCTTTGCGAAATCTTCCTGAACCTACCTTTCTTTTTGGGAAAGATTCAGGTGTGTCAACAACAATAACATTGTCAAAAATTTCAGAATCCGCATCTATCAGAATAACATCTTCAGCTTTTTCTCTATTGATGCACCTTCTCAAGGTTTTCTCAGCAGAACAGGGTCTATGATCTGAATGACCCATTGATACTCTATTCATTGGCTACTGCATTGAAAGAAGCATCAATAAACTTATTTTCATGAGCAAATAAATACACACACCAAACAGCAGTTCACAAAAAAAAAAAAATTGTAAAAATAGTGAAATGTCATTCATTGACTACAGGATTTCATTTCAAGTTGAGCTTCTATGATTTAGCATAGAAACTAGTCTCTTGCATACAATGAAGTTCTTAATCACGAGATCATACAAGATAGAAGAAATACAACTAATATATAAAATCAAAGGCTTCATCTACGGTTAAGAGAGAGAAAACCACTGGTAATGTCTTGTATTTCAAATTTATATTTTAGAGTTCCGCCTGGAATACATTATGCACCCTTACTGTCTAGTAGTTTAAATCCCAAAGTAGTACCAAAATATTGTCCAGAAAAATCAATTACTACATAACCAGGAGTACAAAAGGGCTCACGAAAAAAACCGACCGAACTGTCATGGAACAATTAAAACACATACACACACACAATTTTACATCACGCAAGCATGCTCACGAAATAAACAAGACTCCTACACGCTCTTTGCGCTATGGGATTCGTTAAGGGCTAGTTGCTAGCAATCGATGAAACTATATACCAAAAAATCACCAGAGACGAAACTATTAAACTTTCCTCCAAAAATCGAACCGACCGAATTCCAGCCGTGGTCAGACCCAGAAAGAAATACGAAGCCCCCGATCATGCGGGGTAAAAATTCATTCATCGTAATCCCGCATCTATAATCACCCAAAAATAATTCGAAAAACTCAATAGAAATTCAAAATCAGAAACATACAAAACAATCTTTACCTGGCAAAAAAGGGGGAAAACAATCAAATAGCATCCATAAGCTAAGCAATCAAAGGCATGAGAAATCAATAAGAATATAAACAGTAAACGGGGCGTGCAGAATCGAACTCCTTGTAGGAAATCTCTGCAGTGAAAAAATTGGGGATTCGGAGATAGGGTTTTTGAAATTTGGGGGACTAAATGGAAAACCGGTGATGCATTGATGGAGCGGTGAAAGGGATTTAGTGGGACGGGCGCTAACTATTCTCACATACTTTTTTTTTTATTATTTTCTTCTCGATCGAGTTTTAATGGGTTCGGTTGACGATAAAATATGACTCCCACCCTTTTAATATATTTATTATTTTTTTAATTTAAAACATCTAAAATATTTTTTTTTATTATATTTAAATTTTTATTGTTATAAATAAATTTAAAAGGTAGTTTAAATAAAAAATAAAAATTAAACAGTAATAGAAATTTATCAAAAATATAATGTTTCCTGTTACAATATAATTATTTTATTTTCTTAATACATAGTTTATTTATGATAAATAATTTTATCTATTTACAATTTTATTAGCATATTTTAACAAATGAATTATTTCATTACTAATTTTTTAACTTATTGTATTATTTTTTATTAAAGTCTTAACAAATTTATTGTAATATTCATACTTTTTTTTTTTTTTTTATCAATCCAAGGCATAATTACTATGATGGAAGGAATAAATATACATAAGGTGTGTTTGTGTTTGAGGATTTGGATTTTAAATTGTAGTTTAAATAATAAAAATTATTATTTGAAATAACTGTATTGTTTGATATAAATAGGTTTTGATATAATATTTTAAATATAAAATTAATTTTTAATATAATATAAAAAATAAAAAATAAGTATTTTATTTGATATTTTTTTTTTAAATATATATATTAAGTAATAATAAAATTTGAAAAAAATCTCCAAACAGATACAACCATAATGTAAATATGCATGTCTAATATGATTAGCTTATTTGTGATGCTTTTTGAAAGTAAATAAAAACAAATTTATTAAAATAGAAATTGACAAAATAAAAGTTTAAAAATCTCAAATATGACAAAATCATATGCGTGGGTAATAAATTGATAATTCACATAAGATATATTTCATATCAAAAGTAGGGAAATTTAAATTTGCTTTATTTAAAAATTATTCAATCTTATAAGATATGGCATATACTATTTAAACATAATCTCAAGTAAAAAATTTTAAATTCAAATAAAAACAAGCACACCCTAAGCTTAAAAGGTGTGTTTGTTTGGAGGATTGGATTTAAATTTAATTATTCATCCAATTTTTTATTCAAAAAAATATCAAATCAAACATCTATTTTTCATTTTTTTATACTTCCTCCGTCCCGGATACCATGTCCACGTTGCCGTTTCTGTCCGTTCCACATACTATGTCACTTTCTTTTTTTTTTATTTAAATGATTACTTTAATCTCATTTTAAATTTTTTAATTTTATTTTTTTTAATTTTAATTAAACTAATTAGTTATCTTAGTCTTTATAATTATTTATATTATAGAATAATTATTTTTACTAATACATTCTTAATTATCTACTAATTATATCTCTCCTAAAATACCGTGTCTACAGTGTAGCAGACACGGTGGACGGAGAGAGTATTATACTAAAAATTAATTTTACATTCAAAATATCACATCTAACACTTATTTATATCATATCGTACAACTATTCAAATTCAAAATTTTTAATATTCAAATCCTAATCCAAAATCCAAACCCCCAAACAAACTCACCATTAATTTATTTATGAAGAATAATAATTAATAGATAGTTTATAGCACATATTATTAGAGGAATGAATTCTATTGACGCACTAATAATATACTCCCTTCCTCATCTTCATCTCTGCAGAATTATCATGTTCAGTGTTAATTATGAAGATCAGAGTTAACAGAGAAGCTTCGTTTACCTATGCAGTTTGAGATGTGAATCCCGTTGATGATCATAGCTCCTTCTTGACTAGCTTTCGCCGACCTTTCCGGCTCCTCTTATGTTCAGTCATCACAAACGGAAACTCACTGAAAATTGCAAGGTGAAGTGCAAAAACTACCTTGAAGAAGTACTTTATGCGTGTGCTCATGTGTGCCAAAACGGATGAACAAATTCTTCGATCAATCATCGCATCAAGTGGAAGCAACTCGTACCATCGAGAAATACTTCTCGCTGTTGGAAAGCACGAAGGAAGGCGAAAGTATTGAAACTTACTCCACAACCATTCAACCTCAAACAATGCCGCTACTCGATTCATTTACAGTCCACAAGCTGTCAGCATCTAACAGGCACTGTTTACGCTAGAGGAAGAGGCGAACAAGGAACAACAAGCAATACAACGCAAACAACGTTTTGTCGCGTATTTTCATCCACTGAGACAACAACCAGTAGCGCGTAAATTCAAAATCAGCAGGACAACAGAACGCACCGTATAATTGAGGAAAATCTCCGCCCATGGAAAACACATCAGACGTTAACCGCACCCATCTTGCTGCCGCCATATCCTACCAAGGCCATTACTGAATCTAATAGTTTGATATATATTTATTGAATTTCATATCAACAAAGTTGCTGTGGTGTAGTGGTTATCACTTTAGTCTTACACACTAAAGGTCCCCAGTTCGATCCTGGGCAGCAACATTTTGGAATTAATATTTTACATATATTTTTTTGATAGGTTGAGAGCGTGGAAATGGCTGGCCGCTGATGTAGTGTAGCTGTACTGTATGTATAGGTCTGTATATATTTAACGCCAAATTGCGTGATTCCGTGTAGCCGGCTACGACTTGGATACTACAAAATTCTCTCTCGTTCAATCTTCTTGCTGCTGGACTCACTGTAATTGAATGATCGTGATCATTCTGTTGAGCGCACATACAGAGTATGACGGTATGTTTATGTGTATATTTGTTATCTCGATTTTATTGTGATCTGTGTGTATATATGGTTATCTTTTTCGTGTTGTTCCTGGTTTACTTTCTGTTACTGAGGCTTGATAGGCTTTACTATTCGAATTTCCTGTTTTCCTGGATATCTCTCTTCGTTGATCATTGCTCTGAAATGCTGCACACAAAAATAGAGAAGGCTGCATTCTTAATCATTGTTTCAGGGAAGATAAAATTGTTCATGGATACAATTGACGGTTGTATTATTTTTTATTTTTTTTCCTGCTTTTTGTGAAAGATGAGAATCTGTGAGTAGGTTATGATGAATTAATCTACAGAAACTTTATTACCTTTGATTGAGGAGAATTTGTGAAAACCAATATAATATGAAAAAAAAAAACAAAAATTAAAGTGTGAAACAGAGAGGTAAGATCAGAGATATTTGACTTTGCATGAGGAAAATAGTTTAAAAAGTATGATCCCACTTTAGCCGGTGGATGTTTGTTGGGATGTTTGAAAAGCTGTGACCTTTTCTTTTCTTGTCTTCTGTCTACTTCCTACCTTATAGAGAGACAAATGAATAATTCCAAGGCTAAGTTTACTTTATGCCTATAATAAGTTATATAGATTTTCGCCTGAAATTTTTTTCTTTATTTATTTATTTGTGTACATTCTTGTCCTTTACTTCTGCTAGTAAGGAAGATGATGTGTGGTATTCCGTTCAAGGTTCATTTATATATGATTCACTTAATTATTGTTATGCATTTTTGCTTCTTGATTTGACAGAATGAAATTGCTGTTTTTGGCACTGATATGCCTGCCTTACGTGTATTTTATGAATAAAAAATTGTTTACAGTTTGTTTCATAGGAATTGTTGTCGATGGACATGTGCCCCTCCATTGTAGTATTTATGTGATGGCTAATTAATAGCATTGTCTGAACTATATGTCTCTATGATAGAATGGTGGATTTTGGTTGTTACTATAAACAAGGTCAGCAAGTGATTTATGTGATAAAGTTAGTTTTTGATTGACATTAGTTCCACTTTTTCTTTGGGTTCCAGTTACAACTATATTGGCTTTTAGGTTGAGCAGTCTGCCATGTCTCTTACTCCCTGGTTACTGTTTTTGTCACATGGGGTGCTGAGTGTTCTTTATTCCACTTCATCTGAAACTACTCTCTTAACTGATTTGAAGGAATATTTGCCAGCTATGACTATTTCTTCATGCTGATAGGCAGAGATCCTCTCAGTCATATGTCAAGCCATCCTCCTAATTGAGAGGTATGAAATCTGGTAATATTTCTATCTCTTACCATCTATTGGCAAATTTAAGAATGCCCCTAAATTATATTCCCTTGTAAGACTAAGAGTATGTCCTCATTGATGTAAATATGTGTGAAATTTTGTATTTCAATTAAAAAAGGGACAAAGAGAACAATCGCTCCCATTGAGCTTATTAGTCCCTGTAATTTTCACACTCTGCCTCCAATTCTTAATTCTCTTCTCATACATCACTGCACTATTGAATATCATGATCCTAAACAGATATATGTGTCCCAAAGTTCACATCTATTGGACAGGTAGACTGTGTATACTATTTTTTTATTTTATGATTAAACTTTTTGAATGTGATGACAGTGTGATCAAGCAAAGCAAGAATGCTGTTTATGAAGGGAAATCAGAGAAAAATGTTTGATGATTCTAAGAATGTCAGAAATGAGACTGATCCCCTGGCTGTTGAAAGTGAAATAAATAACATGAATGAGTTTAGAAGGAATAACCATCCGTCCGAGTTTGAGGTGAATGATAGAGATAAGTTTTCGATATTAAAATTTGAGAATGGTAGTGAAGCTGAACACCAAGATTCTAGATTGCCATATATTACTGCTTCAGATTCTCTTAAGACAGAGGCCAATATACTGGAATGTGAGCTTCCTGATTTACAAACTTGCTGCAAAGTGAGAAATGATAACACTGTAAAGGACGAATACATTGAAAAGGGGATGCCTGTTCTAAACCAAAGCATTAAGGATGATCGATCTGTCAATATGACAAGCAAGGCCTCTGTAGATGCCACTTTTGTCGATGGAAAGAGTTCAATTCAGGAAGAAAGACAAGCAAGCCACTTGCTATACAACAATAAGGTGGAAAGTGGTGGCAGCATTAGCTTCAGGAATCAAATTGTTGAATCAGCAGATGTGCTCGAACACAAGGCAAATGCTAAACAAGTTCAATGGAATAACAATGAAGTCTCCATCATTGGAGGAATCCATGAACCAATTCTCAACATCAAGGATGGTTTTCCAATTGGTCTTTCTGCCACTAGCAATACACAGTGTGTTAGTGGAAAGGACACAATTCATGCAAATGATTGTAATAAACCCCATGCCGAGCATAGGGACTCTGGAAATGAGTCGATGATGATTCAAGGGAAATATGACTTGGGAGAGCCGAATTCCTCTGCTGCCAGCGACATTGCTTATTCTGGACCAATAGCATTTTCTAGAAGTCTCTCCATTCGCTCTGATAGCAGCGCGGCAACCAGTGGCAGATCATTTGCATTTCCCATGTAAACTTTGTGTTATTCTTCTTTCCCGTGTTCTGGAATTTCATCGTGTACTAAACTGACTAAACAATTGTTTTCGCTGTGCAGACTACAATCCGAATGGAATAGCAGTCCGGCAAGAATGACAAAAGCAGATGATAGACATCTCCATAAACATAAGGGCTGGAGAGCAGGCCTTCTCTGCTGTAGATTCTAAAGCCTTCTACTTATCAGGTTTTTATTGTAGCTTAGATACACAGAACTTGAAATTCAAAGCTGGGATCCTAAAACTATGAGTATGCATCTCAACCATATGCTCAATTCTCTATGCTCTGTAAATTTATATTGTTAAATCAATAAATTTATCATCTATGCCTAAAATTTTCTACTATGTAATTACTCACAATGAAAATTTTTCATTAGCATGTCTTTGGCAAGGAAAAATCTAATGTCGATATGCTCTGTAGACATTAAACGTAAGGAATTAGTACTTTCTCATGTATGAAAGAAAGATCATTGTTTTGAAGTTTTGCTAAAAGGCAAATACATCAACATGTTTCTACCCTACTTTGGAGTTTGGAGCTGTTCAATGGATATTACTTTAAGGCTTTTTAACTTGTACTCATTTTTCCTTGAGCCTCAAATTCTGCACTACTGTGCTTGGTCCTTTCACTTGAAGTCATAGGGTTCTTCCATGGCACATACAGACATGAATATATATATATATATTGTGTGAACATGATGACAGCTTAGTATATTCAAGCATATGTCTGTAACTTCTAACATCTGACATGCCCTTTCTCTTGTTATTATATATCTCTGATTCAAATAAATATGATGAACACATGATTCATGCTAATATTATATTGTACACTGTAGATACCTCCTCATCCTAGCCTATGATGACTACCTATATATATGATATAGGCTTTAGAACACAAGAAACTGAAAGAGTTTATGTCAATCCCTAATAATCTTGTAACTCACTCAGAAGCTTTTAGAATCAAATAATCCTCAGTCAATGCCATTACTGACTGAACACGATGAGTTGCTCGACACGTGACAAGTGTTGAATTGTTCAAAACCTGGGGTTCGGTGGGCCTACAATGGTTAAGGACAGAAATATCAGCCCAAATGGAGTGAAGGTTCCCAAAAAGGTGAAGTATAAAAATAAGTTATGCCTGTGTACCTTGTTTTGGAACTCTGAATTTTGTGCTTTGTGTATGTTCTTCATTTGCTGTATCTCTGAAACTCTCTTCTTTAAATTCAAGCTTCACACAAGCAAAAGAAGACCTGGAAGAAAAAGCTCTTATCTACCTATCAATGAGTACTATGGAACTTTCACCTCTGATGATGGCATTCTGTGTAGCTGTCCTTGCTCTGTTGCCACACTGCTCTTCTTATCAAACTAATGCGCAGAAAACTGTCAGACAATATGGTAAAATATTGCTGAATGGTATCTTCATGTATATGTGTTTGTATATTACTGCTCAGAATCTGCAATTATAAACTTATGATGTGTGTTTTTTCCTGATTCTTAAGGTAATAACCCTTCAGTTCAGCCCTCTCATCCATTACTGCCAAGGAAACTGAACCTCCAAGAAGTGGTAGCTTAACAATCTTTTTCTCCCACACATTTGGTTTCATCATGCTCATTATTATTATTTCCTCTCTTCTTTGTTTTTTTTTTTAAAAAAATTTTCTGATCACAGATGAATAGTTATGGTGGCAAAACTATTGAGCCCCACAGGAAGATGATGGAAGCTCCTTCAGGTACAGTGTGCTCAGTCTTTACTTGAAATAGGAATATATACTTACAATATTCATCCATTTGACTAATAGTAATGGTAATGATAAGTAATTGCTCATTCTTCCCATTTTTAATCATGAATTTCTTTTATCTTGAAGGTAAAATAATATTGATTATTAATCATAACTTGCATAAAATTCACCGCAAATTAAAAGGGGAGGCTTAATTCTCTTATAGTACGAACAACCAAGAACCCTTAAACATGCACCTAAATATCCATTGGTTTCATGTAGTACACAATTGCAAATTTACAATCCCTTCTCTTATTACTTAGAATTCTGTAAGTTCATGCAAACATATCCATGTCCATGTCCAGGTAAGAAGCAAGAAAATGTGATGCAGATGGGAAAGGGGAGAGAAGAAGGCTCCAAGGAATCAGAATACTTAAGCAGTATGGATTATGTTTGGGTGAAAAGACGACGTCCTATACATAACAAGCAAGCCCCAGTTCTGCCATGAAACATGGGTTTTTGCTCTAACCAGGTTTCTGAATTCAAGAATCACAATATTATTAATTAGTGGTCTTAGATGGTTTTAATGTATGCAACTTTTGTGTAATGTTTAATTTGTTTAATTAGGGAATTAAGAAGAACTAGAGAATAGAAAACCCTAGTTATGAGGAAATTTTCACGTTGTTTCGTGTAGGAATTGAAGTATGTATGTTGTGTTTTCAATGCAGTCAACGTGGGGTTCAAACCCCAATTTTTTGATGTGTGGGTAAATCGTATATATGGCAGGCACGTATCAATTTTGAGTTATGGTTACATATATTCATTATGCTATTCATAATCACTGACATCTATATATTATAATAATACATAAAATAATTAAATTAATTTGATTGTATGTGTAAATTAAGAGGAAATATTGTACGCTTTCATACGTGATCATTATGTAGTGAAGTCAATCGGACATAAGTGCGATTGCATGGCCAAAGGGCATATTTGGGCAACTGGGCAACCATAGTTTAATAAGATTAATAACTTAATTATTATCAAATAAATATCAAATGGCAATTTAAAATATTAAATTGTATTCGAGTAAAGCACAGAAACTATATTAAATTATATTTGGGCAAAAGACGTCTTTGCCATTTGGTTTGTTCAATAGGGTGTATTCGTTGAAGTTTTGATTTTGAATGGATAATATAAAAATAATAAAGAAGTGTAATATATGAATTTTTTTTTTTTTTTTAGAAATATGTTTTCACAAAACAAACGAATTAATAATATTTTATATAAAAAAATAGTATTAAATGTAATATTTTCAAAAAAAATATAAAATATTAAAATAAAAAATTGAATAGCGTTAGAAAACATATTTTAATATAAAATCATTCATAATTATTCAAAATTATTGAATTTCACTAATTATTACCTGAAATTTTGTCACACCCTCACAGATTCCCAGCACAATTTTTGGGTGACAAATAAGTTGCTGCATATTCAGTCATGGCATTTGCATGTGTGCAGCCTGTCGCATCTAAATACAGCCCATTCGAATAATAATAATAATAATAAGCCCACCACCTTCAGCCCATAGACAAAGAGCATTCTTCAATGAAGATTCATTGAGAAAAAAAAACAAAAAAAAACACCAGAAACTTCGAAAAGCTTACATACAAGCAGTGTCTGCATTTATTTGAATCCCACAATTAGAATGCCATCATAAGCTAACTTAGTCATCATTTCAGCCATATAAAAACTAGACAAGGAAATACGGCAATCCAACACATGTAACAATAACATAAAAGGCAAATGTCGGTATCAAAAACAAATTCGTATCCATAAATTAAGAGCTGAAAACAGACCTTTGACACCAGTTCAAAGCTTCATCCTTTTCTGCGAAGGATCAAAGTCCTCGCTGTTGTTCAAGTCTTGAAATGGCCTGTGGTTTCCCGAATGCACAGCCATATCTTGATCCTGTAAAATGCATAGTGCTCGTAAGTAAGGTTGAACTTGCATAAACCAAAATCTGATTAATGCTAAATCGAAATACAAGTGTTGAGGGACACCTTAGGAATAGATATGTTCGGATTTGATCCTCCATTTGCTCGTTTGCCAAGATTGATCTGGACAGAAACGTTTGCTTGAGAGAGATCCACACCTGTGCTCTCAAGTGCCCGCGTCAATGAATTCAGCAACCTAAACATATGCTCGATTATCAATAGTAATAAAAACACGAAAAAGAAAAGAATCGCGAGGCTTGAAAAATATGAGCACGAAGAGATCATGCAGCAGCTACCCCTGCGAATAAACACTAGAGATGCTGATTGTTCCGCCCTCAATGGTAAGCTCATCTGCAACATTTAGGGGAGCAGCAGTTGGATATTCAGCTGATTGCCTCTTGGAGGCTGCTGGCCTGGATATTGACTGTGGAAATGCACCGTCAGTTGTGCTGGGAACAGACATGCATCCTTGTGGAGGATTTTCAGTTTGAGGATCCATTGATCGACAGGGGGCTACACCAACTGGGGCAGACTCAACAAGGTTTGGTTGGCATGGATGCTGTATTGATGCAGGAAAGGAGGGGTTATTGTTTTCATCGAATGTGGCAGGAATTGTTGTGACAATTCCTGAACTGTTCTTCATGGGTTGTGGCTGACCGGAAAAGCTCTGGACTCGCCAGTGATTGTTCCTCTGTTTTAAAAAAGAAAAAATAAATAAGATGTGAAGAAGAGTTTGAACAGATCAATTTAAAAATGAAATTGACATTAAAAATGAGAGAATGTTCCCTAGTTCTTCCTCTAAGTGAAGAATCAATAAAACTAAATTAATATCATCGCCAAGTCTAAAGATTTCAACAATCAAATCAATATAACCAATCGAGGTTTTACCCAAGGCATTAACTTTGTGGGCTCTGAGCTCCAAGGTTGACATGAGCTTTCATACTTCTGTACGTTTTCCTGTAGAAACTGTACGTACTGAATAACCTGCTTCCAGAAAAACATAGTAGGGATGAATACTTGCATAAGAAAGTTCCGAGTAACACACACACACACACACATATAGCAGTTCTGTACTTATTATATAGAATACCTCTAACAAAAAGGATGCGGTGTCTCGCTTCTGATCACTATGTGGTATCAAATCTCTTAATATTTGAAATCTGAGGTACAACAATAATCATCAGAACATAATTATAAACAAGACTCGTATGTCTCACCACCACTTTATCATCAAATTCATCTCCGTTGCTGACTGCTAAATTTTACAACAAGCATAAGCATATGTGTTTGCTTTGGTTAGAAAAATCAACATACACAGTCTGCCAAATCACCACAAGGAGGACTGTTAAGAATTTAAGATTACTCGAAGCTCTAACCCACTGGAAAACTAATGCAAATAAATACTTCATAGTTCATAAAAACTGATTTAGCTTCATTCAATACGAAATTCTTGAACTGTTTACAGTAACCGGTTCTTGAATTTTAGTATACTGATAGAGCAACATACTTAATGATAGAATTAGGTAATATCGACCTAAATCCTTTTGAAAGGTCAGTATTAGAAGATTCACACATACTGAAAGCATAGTACTTATCCACAATAATGCAACTTAAAAATACTCGTACGAGTCACATCCATCACCACAAGTTTCCTTCAATTTAATCGAAACATCACCTCTCATTAATTTTGCTCCTCCTACGCTGCTCCGTCACAGAGTGTTTCGACCTTATAGCATTAGCTTTATCACCGTTCTTCACATCTGCATCCGAAAAATCAACAACAAAAAACTACAGCATACTAGAAATTCATCCAATTGCAACTACTGGGACTACAGACAACCATCCTTCCACAAATGGTAAAGACAAGGCAATCGAGATTCCAAAACGCGCAGAAACTGTACCTCGTGCGCTGTTATTCGACGCTGCGGCGTCTTTCCTGCTCCCGAACTCTTCGTCCTCCTCTTCTTCCTCTTCATGATTTCCCTTACCGAAGTTCATCGCTCTCCTTTCTCCGCGATTCGACAACAATCCCTCGCTCAAATTCTCCACCTCCACGCAAACCGATTCATCCGAAGCGACTATAAATCAACTCCTTCGAAAGGATTACAGCTCCTCCCGGCAAAAATCGGCGATTGTAGGAGAATTATTCCAGTAGCGAACGCGAATCGCAGTAACTGCTGCACTGATTGGGCAATCGACCGTACAGAAAATGCGCTGGCCAATTGCGCTCATCAGTATTAATTTAATTTAAATTTTCTAATAATACCCCAAATCTCGTATTTATACTGTCTCCGGACTCCGATACGTATTTCTATACTCTGCCTCAATCGTCAAAATCTTAAACAGAGTTAATACACACACACACTTTTAAATCACGTGATTCAAATCATGTAAAAGTAACGGTGTCACGAGATGTACTTTTTTATTATAACTATCAAGTGGATTTCATTTTCACCTTTAACATTATTGGACCTTACGTTGGCCCATAAAATTTAGTAGCCAATATATTTACTAGCCCATTATTTTGGGCCTTATGTCAGAAGTAGACCATATACAGTGGGCCTGGCCCAAATCCATTTGTGGGGTTGGGGTTGTTTATTTTTAAATGTTACAATAATTCAAGCTCAACAACCAAATAAAATAACGATCCCTATAACAGTACGGAGTTGATGCTAAAATTCGTGCTTGCCTTAACGACAAAGGCAAATTTCTGCAGGCCTTTATTGTTGCGATTTAAAATATTTAAATTTGATAATTAATGCAATTATAAAAAAATAATAATAATAGTATATGAGAGACCTGACAAAAGAGCCCACAGAAATTTCGCCAATTGGAAGTTTAACGTTAGAAAATTGGTCCCATCGTAAAACGCGGTTGCAATTGAGCAAACCCACGTGCATCGCCACCGCCCATTGTAAACATCTGACGGATAAGAATAATTCTGTTCTGGGAATACTATATTTAGATTTATTATATTTTATTATTATTATTATTTAAATTGGGATTCGGGATTCAGGACACCTAGAAACAGGCGCCGTACATTGTTTTCTTTATGGCCAATCCACTTGCTGGCGCACTGCACCTTTGGGATGACGTGGCAACGTGACATTGGGCCACCTTTTGGCATTTACGCGAGGTGCACCGAACCCGACCGGAGGGCGACCATTACTGTTGTTGATTGGTTTGGTTCATGCGCCACAACGGTGTTGGCGTGCCTAAGCTCGTGCGGATCACGTGCATCCTCATGTGTTCGTGGCAATGTGGGAATTTTTTCATTTATTTTTTTTTTTTTACATTGTTTTTTTCCAACCTAGTAGTAATACTTTAAATTTTAATATATTTTATATTTATTATACATATTAAATTTTATATATAATATATGTATAATTTTCAATAAAAATGTAATCTTATATTTAAATTAAAACTAAACACATCCAAATTTATCCATCAAACCGCTTAGATGTATTTGAAGGGAATGTTCTTTTAAGTTGTGATGTGTGTGAACTATTTTATTTTATTTTTTTTAAAAAATTGTTGTTTATAATTTTTTTAATACTATATAATTGGAAGTGTATAATTATTTACATAAACCAACTATTTAATAATAATAAGTAAAAGTATTAAAATGAAAAGATATACTTATACACAATCCTATGCAGAGTGAGGAGGGGATCAAGTTTAGGAACATGTTTTTATGGTAAAATTGACTCTCTCTGCTAATTTCACATTGGATTAAAATCTAAATGTATGTCGAAGATAAGGGGCAAAAAATAAATAAAAAAATAAAATAAAAATGGAGACATGGCAACAACTAGACTGGATAAATAAGCGAAATATTTTCTGAATTTATTTTTCAGAACTGGGGATGGGGCGGATGCCATCACGTGGGCCAGTCGCTGTCACGTGTGGGTTGGTCGACTGTCTGACTGTAGACCACATTGGATGCACCTAACCAAGGAATATATACACACAATATATATATATATATAGAAATATGATGGAATCTCGAAATCATGTTGGATAAATTTTATCTAGAAAAACATAACATTGAATAGCGTTTGAATCATACTTGCATTTCATTATGTATTTGAAAGATATTGTAAAAATATTTAAAAACAAATCATATACATAAAATTTGAATACTTCCATATGTTTCATAAAATTGAACCACTTTTTTTACCTCAAAAAAATATTTTATTTTCTTATTTAAGTAAAAAAAAAAAAAAGTTAAAAAAATTGTATCTTTTGACTATAAAAAGTAACAAAAAGTATAGCTCACATGTTAAAAAAATTGAGCATATTTTTTGTATCTTTTTACTCAAATATGGCTATATTGTTCATTTTTAAATAGAGATCATATTTGTAAAGAACAAGAAGAATCAAATTATTTATCATTAATTTAAATTTCAATACAAAAGAGATAAGTCACTCCAATTCATACAAGACTTGTCAATTATATTGTTATGTTTATTCAGAAAGTAATTAAACACACACACACACACACAAATAAATTTTGTTTTAACTCTCGGACTTCAATATATTATATACACACATATATATATATTATTCATTTACTGATATTATTATATAAATCAAATATCAGATTATTTTTTATTTTTTTATTTTTGACTTAAATCAATCACATTAAATTTCCATGTAATTGCATTATGGATAATCGTTTTTATTATATAATATATTAGAGTAATAAAAGATGCGCTACGTCATCCTGACTCTGCTCCTTATCTTCCTCACAATCAAGATATAAATGCAATCTGATAAATTAAATAATTTATGTTAATATATATATGCTCAATTATTAAATATACATCATGCATGCACGTCGTTAGAACTTAGGGTTTGATCCCCGGAACAAAATAATATATCGGTTTTATATAATTTTTAATCGGAATTTGGACCGTGACATGTAATTATTTAAATCAAACATCTTGAAAATCCACAAGAAGGTCCAGGTTTGGATGTGACATAGTATTTAATAATGGTGAACCCTGATTTTTACACTAGCAATAAAATTTAAATTACGTGTAAAAATAAAAAATAAAAAATTCTGACCAATAAATTGACAAAGTCAACATAGAAATAGTCCCTGAGAGTTACATTTCAAAAGGAGGTTTAATTGGGTTATTTTTTATTTTATTTTTATTTCCAAAATATATTAAATTTGTTAATTACCTGCAAAGTTGATTCATATCATGTGTCCGAAATCATTGATGTCTGTATTCTGTCACTGGCTTGAGATCTTTTCTATATTTTAATGCTTCAATATTTTAATAGATATATATGATACACTCATATGGATAAAGTCGTGGATAGAAAATATTTAATTACACCTCATATACAGTCGATATTCAATTTTATTAACTATAAATATCATAACGAACCATTTAAAGAATTCAAATTAAATTGCAAATTGCACATTAATAAAATATAATGAATATTATTATTATTATTATTATTATGCATTATAGATTCATTGTTAAGAAAATGAAATGACTAATTTAGCCGTTGGTCGAGCAATATTGGACTGGTCCGTGGTCCCGCTTGTCATTTAATAAATAAATAATAGTAAATGAAAAATAACAATAATTAATATACTTAATTATATGGCTCAACCGGGTCCGCAAGTCGTCTCGAATTATCTAGACCGGCCTGCCATTGACCAATAGAATCCCGTTTTCACTTTACATAAGAACGCCGGTCCACGTGGGGCCTACCACTTTCACGGACCTACCCGCACTAGGTCGAACATTAAATATATTTATTTGATTATTTAAGAATTATACTTTATATTTTTAAAATATAAATACACTACTACTATATGCTTCCAAGTTCTGCCTGCAGTAAAAATTTTAAAATGGACGGTGAACTCAAAGAGTTTCTTATAAAATCGATCTTCTACTTTTATTAAAGAAAATTATCTATTTATCTTGAATCTTTTTATTATTACTATTATTATTATTATTATTTTTCTAAAATTAAATTATTATTATATTCTGTAGAAATCAACATCAGTCGATTACTTAGAAAAATGGTGTGTCTCCATGGCAATTGGGCAAGTCTAATATGACACATCATTTGCCCAATCCCGTGTGCCCCATCACGAGCGGTTGAGATCGCTTCTGCAAGTCTCATCGAACGGCTCACATCTCGCATTCTAGACCCTTCCACGAAGAAAGGCTGTGCATTTAACTGTGGTCGGGTTAAGCTAACTCAGCTCCACGCATAGATTTGATCCCAGTAGAGTTAGCTCTGAACGTTCTGCGAAGGAGGGAGAAAGAAAGAAGGGAAGAGCTATAAGAGTAGCGCGGAGCAAGAAAGAGTATGGTGAGGGATCTTGGTGGCTTGCGGGCGAGATTATACCTTTGATTGTGGCCGTTGAGCTCTGATCGTCCGTAAAAGCTGCCGTTGGAATCTTTGGGTGTATTTGGCGTTTCTATAGCGTTGTGCTGAAACAGGGGAGACACGAGCAAGATTTCTTCAGATCTGATCATTTGGTAAGGTTATTGAATGTCTAAGTTGAAAATTTTTTATGTTAGGTTCTCTCTCTGGCTGTTCAAGATTTGGGGAAAACTGATTTTAGATACATTTTAGGTCAACTGTTTATCATTTGCCAAGAAATGAGTAATATTCAGCTCGCACTTTGTGTTTAGATGATAGATGTTTCTATTAGAAAGAAGAGGGAATTATGTTGCGAGTTTTCTCCTTGGATTAGCTGATTTCAGTTTTTCCTTGGAAGGTTTTCTTGTTTTTATCTTCTGTTCATGTGGTGCTGAGGGAAATTGATAGCCGCTAGTTTTTTGGTCAATACTTCATTCTATGCAGACACTTTCTTTAGATGTCTGATTTTAGGGTTTTCTGTACTGTTTTAAATGAAGTAATTTATCATGTATGCCATTCTATGGTCTTTCTGGAGTTCTTACTCGTGCGAAATTCCCCTTGTGAGAACTATAGAAAGTATAATTCGGTTCAAGAAGTTTCATACGAACAATTAGATGTTGCTTGCTCAAGTTGTTTATTCTTGATGAGCTGATGACTATGTTTTACTAATTTTGTTCCCACTTGGTGATCCATACACTGCAGATTTTTCTCACCTTCGAATCTTCGAAACAAATATGGCTTTCTAACAGAGCGAACTATAAATCCTCCGTCTACTCAACGTTCTTGCTGTGCTGCGTGTGGGAGTCTGGATCTTGATTGTGCTGATTGATGTCCTTTATTGATTTGGGTTAATTTCACATCCACTCACAATTGGCTTCTGATATTGGCATTCAACTGGGGGGAGCTCTCTCCTGTTGCCATATTGGTGGTTGGTTGTGAGGACAGCTGCGTTCCATCTCTGTCTGTCTTCGTTTTATGTCTCCTAACTTGGATAGCCCTGTGCAGACTGAGATGGCTGTGTCTGTTTTCAAGAGCCCTCTTGGAGGTGGTGACTACCATGGAGTGAATATGATGGAAGGAAAACCAACAGGAAGAAGACGGGTTTTTGTGCAGACTGAAACTGGTTGTGTCTTAGGGATGGAGTTGGACAGGAGTGACAATGCGCATACTGTGAAGAGGAGGCTGCAGCTTGCTCTCAATTTTCCTATAGAGGAGAGTTCTTTGACATTTGGTGATATGGTTCTTAAGAATGATCTCAGTGCTATTCGAAACGATTCCCCTCTCCTCTTGACAAGGAATTTGCTACATAGAAGCTCTTCAACTCCCTGTTTATCACCCACTGGCCGGGACATCCAGCAGCGGGACAAAAGCGGGCCTATTGAAATTCTGGGGCATTCAGCTCGTTTTACTGAGACAATACAGCATGTTAAAGATATTGTCAAGGCGATTAAGCATGGGATCGATCCAGTACCTGTTCGTAGCGGACTTGGTGGGGCATATTATTTCAGAAATGTTAGAGGTGAGAGTGTTGCCATTGTCAAGCCAACTGATGAAGAGCCATTTGCACCGAACAACCCCAAGGGCTTTGTTGGAAAAGCTCTTGGACAACCTGGCTTGAAGCGTTCCGTGAGAGTTGGCGAAACTGGATTCCGAGAAGTGGCTGCTTATCTTCTTGACTATAAGAACTTCGCAAATGTGCCGCCTACTGCGCTGGTGAAGGTCACTCACTCAATCTTCAATGTTAACGATGGTGTCCATGGAAATAAGCCTCAAAGCAAAAAGCTCGTCAGCAAGATTGCTTCATTTCAACAGTTTATTCCGCATGATTTTGATGCTAGCGATCATGGAACCTCAAGCTTCCCTGTTACTGCTGTGCATCGCATCGGGATTTTAGACATTAGGATTCTTAACACAGATAGGCACGCAGGTAATCTTTTAGTTAGGAAGCTCGACGGTGATGGGCAATTTGGTGAGGTTGAATTGATTCCCATCGATCATGGCCTCTGCTTGCCCGAGAACTTGGAAGATCCATACTTTGAATGGATTCACTGGCCACAGGCGTCTATTCCTTTCTCCGATGAAGAACTTGAGTACATCCAAAACCTCGACCCCATTCATGATTCAGAGATGCTGCGAACTGAGCTTCCCATGATCCGGGATGCTTGCTTGCGAGTTCTAACTCTCTGTACCATTTTCCTGAAGGAAGCTGCCGCATATGGCCTTTGCCTTGCTGAGATCGGGGAGATGATGAGTCGGGAGTTTCGCAGTGGGGAGGAGGAACCCAGTGAGCTTGAGGTTATCTGCATTGAGGCAAGAAGGCTTATGGCTGATGAGATGCTGTATTCTAAAACTGAGGCAGACTCAGATGAGTTTCAGTTCGACATAGACTATGAAGACAGTGGGTATGATTACGCCCCGAAAGGAGCTCCTGAATATTTAACTGAAGCAATTCCCTTCCACTTTGGATATGGTGCTAATGGCCGCACTCCACTTTCCAAACTGGATGAAAGCGTCGAGGAAGATGAAAGTGAAGGAGAAGAAGATAAGAAAGTGATCAATCTACCCACCTTAGAAAAGCAGCGCACCATTCCAAAGCTGTCTATGTCTCTGAAAAACACTAGCTTGGGCGAGAAACAGAAGATCCCAAAGATGCCTGACAACATGTATCTCGCCAGCTCCTCATCCAGCCACAGGAGTGCGAACGAGCAGCTTCCTGCCAGCGCATGCTTTGTCAAGGTTGCAGACATGAGTGATGAGGAATGGGCGGTGTTTTTGGACAAGTTTAAGGATCTCCTTGCCCCTGCATTCGCCAAGCGAAGTTCGATCACTCTTGGACAGAGGCAGTGGCAGAGGCTCGGAACTTCTTGCAAGTTTTGAAACTAGAGCAAATATTGCGTGCCTTTCTAGGTGAAGAGTAAGAGTTACAGCACTTTAGTTTTTCCTTGATGCTTTCTTCTTGCAGTCATCCGTAGGTGGTGGGAGTAGCAGCAGTTGTATGTAAATATTCTTTCTAAAGCCAGATGCGCGACGACGATCGACGATCGGCAGAATTGGTTATTTTTTTCTTTGTTTTTTTGGGGGGTTTACTCCATGTTTACTTCTTAAAATTTGTACTTTAGGTTTGTTTCCTTGAGGCCATCTCTATTGTTTGATAAATAATTTGTAGACCAGGCATGCTGTAGGATATATATATATATATATGTTATGTGTTGTAAATATTGGATCAAGTATGTTTTGAAGTTCAATTGTATGGTTTTGTTTTTATTTAGTTAAATCATGTATTGTGAAGATGACATGATTTGGGATGGGCAGGGAGGTGGCAATCTTATCAGAATAGTAACATTGACATTTATATGAGGACATTGATTTGATTGCAATTGAAGTTGTAATAATGGTGGAGGGAAGAAGACAAAATAGTCCTACTACTTTGTTGGTGGCGGGCTGGAGGGATGGTTGTCTGTCTTGTTTGTTGGTGGTGGTGGTGGTGGTGAAGGATGTGTGCCCTGTCCTGTACAGTCTGTCTATGTCTATCTCTGCACTTTTTGTTGATGAACTTTTCTTGCCATGATGCAGTGTTAGTTTTGATGATGCCAAGGTCACAATGGTTGGGTTGTCTGTAATATATATATATATATATTTAGTAGTATATATATATTTTTTGTAGAAACTAATTAGTACTGAAATGGTTAAGTAGGTGGAATGGAATGGAAGCTTTTGAGGGGAATTATTGTGGACAGCAAAGCTAAAGGGATTAAAATGGAAAAGAAAAAGAACTCAGTTGTGCTGAGCTGACCTCAACTTAGAAGATTGGGGGGATGGTTACTTATGAATAAGAATGGGAATTAGTATATAACATTTGTTTGATTCGATGTTTTTGGATTTTAAATACACTATTTATTTTATTTTTTTTTTCCTAAAATATCGAATCAAACACTTATTTTTCATTTTTTATATTATGCTAAAAATTAATTTTACATTCAAAATATCACATCAACACATATTTATATCATATTATACAACTATTCAAATTCAAAACTTTTACTATTCAAATTTCAATTTAAAATCCAACCTCCCAAACAAACACACCTATTATATTTCGTATCTTTACACTTTGCATGGAATATGGATAGTGGTTCTTGCATGGGGGAGGTTGGAATTATTTTGATGGTGTATTTGTATATATTATACAAAGATATCATTTTTTTTAATGTACATTTAAGGACAAAAAATGTTAAAATTATTTGTATATTTACGATACCTAAAAAAATATTATTATTTTTTAATATACTAAAAAGAACAAAAATGTATAATAAATTGGGACAAGAAATATTAAACACAATTTCCGAACTACTACTAAAAAGCTCAATTATGTTATAAGTTTTGTTAGTTTGTTTAAGTAAAAAATATTTTTTTATATTTACAATATCACATCAAATATTTATTTTTATTAAAATAATTATATCAAAATTTATATTTATTTAAATTAATTCAATTTTTAAAATAATAAAAACATTAAAAAATATATTTATAAATGATCAAACCTTGTGTTTGATTTATATTTCAAACACAAATCAACATTATTTTACAAATTATTGATCTAAAATGCAGTAAAGGTAACTTTTAAAAGCCTAATTAGGCCCATTAAGAACCAGCCCAAATTGCAGAAGCCCAAGATACAAAACAACGGTCACAATAGTAATAGATTGATCAACTGCAAGAAATAACAGCAGATAAAATTACATTCTATCACTTAAATTATTACCATAACAATAAAATTATTACATGCAACCCCAATACTACTTTGCTCTATCACAGTCCTCCTCCAAACTCAATAAATACATAGATAGATAAACATTTGAACTTACACATAAATAAATAAACAGCCAAAACCTCAGAACACACATAACATAAATAATACTAACGACTAACAGTAATCAGTTTCAGACATGTCTCCATGGCCTCTCTGCAAGATTGACACACTCTCCATGTCTGAAACAATCTACCAAATGGTCGATCGTCATTCCGGCAGCCTGCATGAACGAGTAAACGATCACCGGCCCGACCAGGCGGAACCCTCGCCGGACCAAATCCTTGCTGATGATCTCCGCCTTCGGGCTCCTCAACGGGACATTTCTCGGAAATCTGAACCTGTTGATCACTGCCTTGTAGCTCATCTGATCCCACATGTAGCTGCTGAATGATCCGTACTCTTCCGCAATCTGTCAGAAAGTTCGAAAATATAATAATATTCGATCTTCCATCATCAGTTTTCGTGAAAAAAAAAAAGGCGAAAACTTGCCTTTGTTATGCATTTGGCATTTTCCACAATGCACCTAACTCTGCTTTCTGATAAGGTTAGTTCTTTGTTGGAGGCTATTTCAATAATCTCTTTTTCGCCTATTTTCGCGGCGCGCTCGGGGTCGAATCCCGCGAAGGCTTCCCTGAATAACCGATTGATCATCAACAATGTGTCGAGAGAGAATGGAGGTGTAAGAATCCGAAGCAAACCTTAGGAGCTCGCGGCGTTTAAGGATTTCGGTCCAGTTGAAGTCCATCAGCATTCCACACATTGCAAGAAGCTCAAACAGCTGACTGTAATGGAACAGATTCTTCAGACATCATGAGAACTAATTTCTCCAATTCTTGATGATCATGTAATGAAACAGGGACGCAGAGACTCTACCTGTCGTCGTAGACCGGCACGCCCCAGCATTCGTCGTGGAACTGTACATAAACACTCTCTACAAACACAAAATCACTAAAAATCATTACATTGTCAAAAAATCAAGAACATGATCTATCATTAAATCGTCGATGGTGGCTAACCGCTGTTCTTTGTTATCCAGTTGCACCGTCTCGTTCCTTCCTCGCCAAGAACATTAGGAGGTTTTACTGGCGGCGGCGGCGCAGCTTCCCTTCTGTCAGGCGGAGCAATCAGGCTGAGGGCAATCGATATTTTCTGGTCAAGCGGGGTGGCCGAGTAGTCGGTCAGCGACGAATCCGTTGAGTTTTGGGACAAAGATAAGGAGAGGGAAGATAAAGAAAGAACAGAACAGGTTCTCTGCAGGCCAATGGGATAGATTTTCTTGAGATGCTTGGAGAACAAGTTATTGCCACCAGGTTGCTTCTCTTTTTGCCTGGAAATGTCTTTGGTCTTTTCCAGGGCCTGTTTCTTGGCATAGTAGTGTTTGGACATCCTGGAAAATGTTTCCATTCACAACTATGATGTGGGGTTGGAAATCAGGACAGGGAATTAGGGAGTTTTATAACATAGGGAGAGGAAATATGAATGTGTCCGAAAAAGTAGGTAGGAAGAATGTGGATTTCTTAACTCAAATTTATCCAGGGACTTTGTTTTAAAGCAAAACATATATATTAATAGTCCCCGAAAAGGACACCTGAATTTCAGCCATTATCAGTTCATAGAAATGCCACAGAGATTCACATTCAAGAACTGGAAAATTGAAAAGGGATTTTATAAAAAGTGCATAGGTCTTGACATTAAGGCACTTTTAGTTGAAGTGTTTGTCTCATGGGGTTTGCAGTTTGGGTCCCCTATGGGATTAAACTTAAGCCCCACTCATAGTGGATGAGGCAAACACATTGCCAGAAGAGACAGAGATACACCATCTTTTATATTCTGGTTTCTTGAATTGGGTGTTTCTTCACTAGGGTTTTGGCAAATTAGGGTTTTAGGGGTCAACAAAGATTTTTATTAGGGTAATTCAAAAATCAATTCTCGCCGCCGGCCGATGAAGAAGAAGAAGACGAAATGGAGGCAAACGACGCCGTTTAGCCCTGGCCATTCACTTATTAAAGAACAATATTTGGCTGAACCTCCAAGAACATATCTTCTAGAACATTAGGCCGTGGCCTGTGGAGTATCTGTTTCTTCTTTAAACCCCTTTCTTCATAATCACAATTTTTATTATTAGTAAAACAGGTAATAGTGATAAAGGGCATAATTGTACTTTCCAGTATCAAAATTTTGGATTGCATTTTATATTTTCAGCGACTTATTAAAGTCGCTGCACACGTTTCCATGGTTTCGCTGGGATTTTTGAGTAAAGCCCTAATTCTGGTGTACTATTTATTTAGAAACCCTAGCCGCCAGTTTCATCTTATTCTCTTCAGATTTACATCTCAATATTTGGGCTCTCTGCGGCTAGAAATGGATGGCTGTTTGAGAATGGTGAGATTCGGGGCATTTTGGTGCTGCAAATGGATAATATGTTTGGGATTTCATTGTCCTGTTTGTATTTCGTTTTTTGCAAATTGCGTTGTTTTGTTAGTGATTTGTTTATCCGGAGGCAAAGCAATATGATGAGGATTTCGTATCCGAATTCCAATGTGGAATGTTGTTATATATCATGGTCTTCAAAGTTCTCTGATTGCTTTTGCTGTTTTCTACACTAGTCTTTCTTTTATTGTTAAATGATTGAAAAACAACTTGATTTTCTTCATCCTTTTTCCAGATGCTGCGTTTGTGTTGCTTCTCAGTTTATTGATTTTCTGTTTTGTTTTTCTCATTAACTACTTCAAAATACTGCACCAAAATACATGGTCTGTGAAAATCTTTGATATGCAGACTTTACGAGCATGGTGCTACATTGATTGTTTGATTCCTACTCCACCATGGCTAGTTGATGCATAATCTGCCTTGGATTGGCTGCACTTTTCGAGCCATGAATGGAGACATTATATCATATCAAATCATGTTTGTAAACGCATTCTGCAGTTGTTTAACTTTGATTTGCCAGCATTAATCCCTCTCCAAATCGTTGGTTTACTTCACTCGAAACTTGCTTCTATACTTGTGTGATTTTTTATTTTTTTTTTAAAAATAAATCTTTATATTGGTTTTTAAAATTTTAGAAAAATATATCAATGGGTTAAAGACATTTTCCTATAGCTGGAAATGAGCTTACTATTAATGTGTTCTGTTTTGATTTTAATGCAGCAATTTACAAAATTTAATCTGTTCTGTTTTGATTTTAAGACTACCTTAGAGATACTCATGGTTTGTTTATTTTTTAAAATAAATTCTAAACATGTTTTCTAAAAGAAATATTTCATTTCATCTAAATTATTTTTATTATATGATAATAATTTCTTAAATGTTTTTTATGTACAACAAAGTGACATAATAACAATAATCGGGACGGAGTGTTACTTAAAAATTGAAAAAAAATAAAGAACCAAATTGTAAAGCCACCAATTTCTTGTTTCATTTGCATATATTAATTAAAAAATAAATAAATAATACTAAATACAAAAAAAAAAAAAAAAACCAAGGGTGTGTTTATTTGTGGATTTTTTATTTTTGGGTTTAAATTTTTGAACAATAATATTATGATATAAATAGAGATTAATGCGATGTTTTGAATGTAAAATAGATTTGTAGTATAATATAAAAAAGAAAAGCAATTGTTTAATTTGATATTTAAAAAAAAAAATTGAATAATAAAAATTTGTATTAAAATTTATAAAAGAACTTAATATTTTTCTCCATTTATGAATTATTTTATTAAAAAAAACTATTTTTATATTTTATGTAATATTAAAAATAATATCATCGAATGGATATAAGTTTGTTTAATTCATATATACTTTTGTTTAGTAATTATTATTTTATTAAAATATTTTTTTTTTTTGTATATATCACTTTTAATATTACAAACAATGATATTGAACAATCATATTTGCACGGAAGGTAGGGAATAGTATTTTTAAAATTTAAAATTTAAAATTAATTAATAAATTATTATTATTATTTGTTAATGTTTTGATCTACTAATATTTTATTAAAATTATTACTTAATAAAATCTAGTTTTAATTTATTTTAAAGTTTTAGTTTTATTATCAAAATACTTTTTAGTATTGTATTTCTTAATTGATAAAATAAAATATAAATACCATAATTAAAATTTTCAAAAAAAAAAAAAAAAAAAAAGAAAATACTCCTCCACAGTTAGCTCTCTCATAAATTTTGAAAAAAAAACGAAAAGCAGTGATAACCAGCCAAACACGCCCTTCTTTCTTCTCCAACGGTCGGAACAGAGAAGATTTCCATAACCAACCAAATACTCCGAGAGTGAATAAGGTAAGTTTACCAACTCCAACGGTCAAAAAATTTCATTTAAATATATACGTCGCTCTTCCTTCTACTCTCATCTTCTCGCCTCACCCTTGCATTCCATTCCTTCATTTCTATCTTTTTTTTTCTTTTTTCGAAGTTCTTCTTCACCTCGTCCGCATCAGCCATGGGGTATGACTCAGAGAGAGGATCGTCAGCCAGCCGCAATTTGCAATTGGGGTTTTTTCCCCAAGTGGTACAGGGAATATGTAATCCGGGAAGGCAAGGCATTGGGGATTCCTAGGTTTGGTTTGTTTTGACTTTTGATTGTGGAGTGGGTTTATTCTGTATTTTATTATGCAATTTCTTGTTAAGTAACAACGGGCTAGCGAACTTATCCGAATTTTACAATTCTTCTTTGATAAGGAATTCTTGAATGAGGAATAGATGAAAATGCAATCAGAAGCCATCTACAAGTTTTTAACAAAAATCGCTTTTGTTTTGCGTTTACCTTTTCTAGGGTTTGCCATTTCTTTAAAATTGCTGTTATTGTAGTTGGAAATTTGTTTATTCAAATGGTGTATAATTGGAAGATACAATTTGTCATTCTTCTTTGAATGATTTACAATCAGGTTTTGCTTTAAGGTTTTCGCTGACTGTCAATTCTTAAACTTTCAGAAGAAACACCCACTTTGAACAGGAACTCACTCTCAGCTGTGTCTGAATTTTAATCTGGATGTTTCTCACAAAACTACATTCAACGTCCCCTGTTTTCAATCCACTCCAAGCTGTCTTCAAATTCTTTTCGTCATTGGGGTTTGGGGACAGAACAATTTACATTCTTCTGCATTCCATGCCACTGCTATCGTACTTCTGGTTCGTGTTCTTCTTCGGGTTTTTTTGGTCTGGTTATTGCTCTGGCCTTGCCTTGGGTTTCAGTCTGATCTGGCTCGAGTGGTTCTAGGTTGGGTTCAAACTTTGACTTGGGTTTGGGTTTGGGTCTAGCTTGAGCTTGGACTTGGTTCTAGTTTGGGTCATGATGTGTGGATCCTGCTTGGGTGATTCTGGGTGTGTTCCCGCATCGATTGGCCTTTAACTGGGACTTACTCGGTTCTTGTTCTTGTTTTGGCTCAAATGTTTTTTTTGTGTTTGTGTTTGTTCTGGCTATATTTAGGCCTTGATTTAGATCTTTCTGGGTTGGATTTGTATTAACTCTGGCTTGGTTTTGTTCTTCTGTTTTAGTCTTGGTTTGAGTCTGAATCTTATTTGGGTGGTTCCTGTGGGTTCAAACTTGAATCTTGCTTTAAATCGGTTAGGATTTGTATTAACTCTCTTGCTTGGTTGTTCTTCTGTTTTAGTCTTGGTTTGAGTCTGAATCTTATTTGGGTGGTTCCTGTGGGTTCAAACTTGAATCTTGCTTTAAATCGGTTAGGATTTGTATTAACTCTCTTGCTTGGTTGTTCTTCTGTTTTAGTCTTGGTTTGAGTCTGAATCTTATTTGGGTGGTTCCTGTGGGTTCAAACTTGAATCTTGCTTTAAATCGGTTTGGATTTGTATTAACTCTCTTGCTTGGTTGTTCTTCTGATTTAGTCTTGGTTTGAGTCTGAATCTTATTTGGGTGGTTCGTGTTGGATTCAAACTTGAATCTTGCTTTAAATCGGTTTGTATCGAATTTGGTTCTTTGCAATGGAAGGTCTCTCTCTTGATGAATCCCATTTGTTAATAATCTGAGCCCAATCCAATAGGACATTATTCACACATACGTATGTTAGAAACGTTTTCCTTCCATTGGATCTTGAATTTTTCTTCCCATGCTTTTTGGTTTTGAACCTGTGCATGCGAGGACTGGTTCCTCTCTCATCATTGGTTTTGTTTCTTTCAAAGTCTTCATCAAACATTTTACTTTTGTTTTTTAATTAGCTCTTAAATGAATTTATTTTACTCTTTACAAACTGCAACTCATAAGAGTTTAAGAGTTTAAGCTTGTTTGATGTTGAAATTGTTGTTGAAATTGGTTCGTCGTCTCGGCCTAAAAACCGATTTTATTGGGCGGAAGGATTTTTTGGGAAGAACAAAAATTCTGTGAGGTAGGGGAGGAAGAAGAAGAAGAATAAGGCGGCCAGTGAGGTACCGCCGTTGCTGTGTGTGATATGAATATACTATATTTGTACAAAATTAATTATTTGAATTGTATATTTAATTAAATTTATATTCATCTATATAGTTTTTTTTTTAAAAAATTAAAATTAATACTACTAATTATAAGTTTATTGTTTATTATTATTATTATTTTTTTTTAATAAATGTTATATTAATTATAAAATTATCAAAATATTTGCAGTCTATATTATTGGTGATATTTGACCGATACGTACGGTTAAGGTGGATCTGCCACCACGAACCCTGTTAGTGAATCTTTTAACTAGTCAGAATTATTTGTGTTAGGAGCCGACATTGTTGTTGGCATGAATTTGGAAGCATAAGATTGAGGTTTTCTTCGACGGTAGTAGTTGTAACTCATATATATTTTGTTTTTTACTGATCTTAGTGGTATTTGACATGTTTGTGATATTTTAGGAAAATTCGAGCAGGAGAGGAATGGGTGCACCAACGAGAATTGGCCTTGCTGGTCTTGGTGTGATGGGTGAAAATTTTGCCCTAAACATTGCTGAAAAAGGATTTCCAATCTCTGTTTATAACATAACCACTCCAAGAATTGATGAGACTGTTGAGCGAGCTAAACGGGAAGGAAACCTTCCTGTTTATGGTTTTAGTGATCCTGAAGCATTTGTTCGTTCAATTCAAAGACCTCGTTTCATTATTTTACTTATCAAGGCTGGTTCACCTGTTGATCAAACCATCAAAACCCTTTCTGTTTTCATGGATAAGGGCGACTGCATCATTGATGGTGGCAATGAATGGTATGAGAATACTGAGAGGAGAGAGAGAGAAATGGCTGAATTGGGCATTTCATATCTAGGAATGGGTGTTTCTGGTGGAGAAGAAGGTGCTCGATGTGGACCCTCTTTGATGCCTGGGGGTTCTGCTGAAGCCTACAAGAATGTCGAAGACATTCTTCTTAAGGTTGCTGCTCAAGTTCCTGAAAGCGGACCGTGTGTTACTTACATTGGAGAAGGAGGGTCCGGAAACTTTGTCAAGATGGTTCACAACGGGATTGAATATGGTGATATGCAGCTGATTGCAGAAGCCTATGATGTCCTGAAATCAGTTGGGAAGCTTTCAAATGAGGAACTGCAAGAAGTGTTCTTGGAGTGGAATAAGGGTGAGCTTCTTAGCTTTTTAATTGAGATCACTGGGGAAATATTCGGCATCAAGGATGATAAGGGAAACGGGTTTCTAGTAGATAAAGTTCTTGATAAAACTGGAATGAAGGGCACTGGAAAGTGGACAGTTCAGCAAGCTGCTGATTTGTCCATTGCAGCTCCCACTATAGCTTCATCATTAGACTCAAGATTCCTCAGTGGATTGAAGGAAGAAAGGGTCGAAGCTGCCAGGATATTTAACTCTATTGAGATTGGCGACGTACTTGAAAAACAAACAGTGGACAAGAAAAGGTTAGTTGAAGATGTGAGAAAAGCACTGTATGCATCCAAAATCTGCAGCTATGCCCAAGGAATGAATTTAATCCGTGCTAAGAGCATTGAAAAGGGATGGAATTTAAAACTCGGTGAAATTGCTAGGATTTGGAAAGGTGGATGTATCATCCGTGCTGTGTTCTTAGACCGTATTAAGAAGGCCTATGATAGAAGCCCGGATCTTGCAAGTTTACTTGTGGACCCAGAGTTTGCTAAGGAAGTCATTGATCGACAATCTGCCTGGCGAAGAGTTGTTTGTCTTGCAATCAATGCTGGCATAAGTGCTCCTGGTATGACCTCAAGTCTTGCATATTTCGACACATACAGGAGGGAAAGTCTTCCTGCTAATTTGGTACAGGCTCAACGGGATTACTTTGGTGCTCACACGTATGAGAGGATTGATATGCCTGGTTCGTTCCATACTGAATGGTTTAAGATAGCCAAGCAACCGAGGCGGTGATCCTACTGCTCATGGAGATAGGGATAACAGAGAGTGAAGCAAATAATATTCTACTTTCATTACTACCCTAAATTTTTTTATTGATTGATTAGCATAATATCATCAGTTGTATCTGATGCTAAATTTTGATGTCTTCCTAACCAATCATATGTCTTAATTTTCTCCTCTCGGTTATTATAGTCCTCTTACAATTTAATTCTTGAGATAAAGCATTCAAGGTTTCTCACAAACATTTTCTCATAGTGATTTGAAGATCTAAATCCAGGGGGTATGGTTTCATCTTAATATCTGGTGAAAGAATGCTATATACAATTCTATGCATATGTTATTTGTGGTTTACATTTCTTCCAATTCATTATTTTGGGCTATTAGTTGTCTTTCTTAATATCTAAATCCAGGAATGCTTGATGATGCTGGTATTAAATTCATTTATTCACAGTTATCGACTCCTATGTATTGTTGGCAACTTGTTCCATAAATGATCATTAAGTCTTTTTTCAGATGTAACAGGTGAGACATGTGCTTGCATCTTTAAAGTTTTGGTCCAGAGCAGCACTATCATTATCCAATATCATGTTACTGGGAGAAGTTTCTTTCATTTTCTTCCATATATTTTTTAAAACATATCTGCTTCTGGTGAGTATGCAGTTAATTTGAGTTGCAAGATGAGGCAAGACATGAATCATATGTTGTATGTATTATTAGACTATATTGTATCTTAGTATAAGAACCTATTCTGCCCAAATGTTTCACCTCTTCCTGTTTGCTCGATTGTTAGTATGATTCTAGGACCTTGGATTCTACATGTCCTAGAATCCCTGGCCTTCTGTGTACATTATCTTGATGTTGTGGAGCCCTATGTTTATTGACTGGTGCAAGTTGCAGTCAGTGGTTTTGCCTGGAGATTCTGTAAGTTACTATTCATTCTAATTGGAATGTTATTTGTTCTACTGCTGTTGTATAGATAATTTATTCCATAATCACGTTGTCTTGTTCTTGTTTCTTTATGCATGTTTAAACATTGTGCAGGAGGATTACTTTTACACACTCCATTTCTATGATTTGTTAGAAGTGCATACATACACATTTGTAATATCTGTACTCATGAATTGAAAGCTCAACAGATTCTTCAAAAGAAAAGAACAAAAAGATGACACACAAGTGAGAATTCTCAAGACTTCCAATGGAAAATCAGATTTGTACCCTGTTCATAATTTCCCCAAGCATGGATCTTCATGATTTCATTGAACAGGGTATGTCTAAAAAACTACAAAAAAAACAACAAAAAAAAAAAACTATCTTTTCTACATTTCAGGGGATACCTCAATTGGAAAAGGTTCACATATGCTGTCTGGCTGTCTGCTGTCCTCAAAAAGCCATGGCTACGTTTTCTTGGATCTTTCAGCGCTGTTTGCTCTGCTGACAGGTGTACCCTTTCCCGCCTTTCCTTTTTCTTGATTATATTTATTCACTACTTGCTGTTTATGCTTCTTGCCAACATAATCTCCTTCATCCTTCTTGCCAGCATGTAATAAACTACCTCGGCTCATCCAGCCATGTCTAATTATCGGATCACTCGGCCCGGAGGATGCATCAGAAGCCATGGAGTCATCGCTTTCGACATCTTCATCAACGCCCTTCTTGTAGCCATCAATTTGATTGCCAATGACACAGTCTTCATCATCATCACTACCACCACCATCATCGTTGTCGTGGTCGGGGGAGACGATGTACAAAGTCCAACCAGACTCACTGCTGCTGCTGCATTCTCCAGTGCCTTCAGCAAACTTAGAAGGTGACTCCATCTTCACAAAATGAAATGATGATGATGATGATGATGATCGAGAGTCTCTCTTGAGGCAAAACTTGCAGGCTTCAGGTAAATGCCTCTTTTATGCACAAACACAACTTCCATCATTGATAGCACAAAAGTACTAATTGCTTAGCTGTCTCAGCACAACAATAAATTCTCTGCCCTGCCCTTTCCATGACCTTACCAGGGAGCCACTTTACAGGTGAACTATCTATCTATTTATCCTCACCTCTAGAAAAAAATTAAAAAAAAATAAAAATCTACCTATTTCATTTATTCATAAAGCTGTTTCTGAAACAAGGATACATATCAGGCCCACCCTAAACATAATCCAAAGAATGTGTAAAAACCTCATATGAGTCCAGGTAGAGGTAGCTAGCTCTATGTTAGAATCAGGAGGCCCCCTTTTTTCTTGCCCTTGTAAATTCCCTGTCAGCTGTTCATGTGAATTCCCCACCTGTGCTTTTGGCTTCTTGTGTAGTCGCTAAACTGGATGAGCATTTAGGCCTTTAATGAATAATGAGTCATCATGGTATTGCTTTTCTTGTATTTATTACCACATTCTTGGATGTTCCATTCTTGATTAGAAAAGCTAAAGAGAAAAGCAATATTTTTGGGTGTGGATCATGTCTGGTGGCCTCATTGTGCACTTGCCTCTCTGCCATGGATTTGTTCCCCACTGCAGTTTTTTTTTCCTTTTATCCCTTGTTTGGTCTCCGGATTGACTTTTCAAACTAGTGCTTTTCTGGGCTCCCCAATCAATTGGACAAGTTTCACTTAGCTGGGGATTCTTGATTAATTAGTGTCAGTTTGTTTGTAAGATTGTGACACTCAGCTGGTTTCTGTCTGCCTCTCTGTTCTTTTCATCAACATCTTCACGTGGAACTGTACAAATTTCTGTCACTCTCTGCAAAAAAAGAGCCTCTTTTGCATTTATTTTGCTCAGGTTTTTAGCTCTATAGATTATCCTGTGTGGAGGATATATTTACATTTACATTTTTTATTTAATTATTTTTATTATCTGCATAGGGTGCATCACTGCAACTGGGGCATAACGCAGGTATGCTCATGTCTTCACCAAATTTGATTTAAATTATTACTATAATTTTAAATATGTCACGTTTGCCTACTGTGTGTTTTCTTACAGGCCAAAAATTTTTGCTGAGCTTATCTGAGGATAGCCATCTGCATACTCCAAAATCCAGGTTGAATCTTGATCATTTTAAGTAATATTTGGATGAAATTTATCAATAAAAATTCTTAGGGAATTAAATAAAAATTAGAATGACCAGAAATGCCTCGTTCCGAAGTTACCATTTTGGGCTTTTCTTATACCTTAATAAATAGGAATCATGAAATTGACACATGATAGATCAAATATAAATGGGCTGACCTTTTAATTTGTACCCATCCCAGAAAGTGACACTAAAGGGCTTGTTTATTTATTTTATGAATGAACAAATATTTTATTATTTTTTAAAATTATTAAATTAAATATTTATTTATTTAAACTATCAAATTATATAGCTGACTATACTTGACCAAATCTTACTAAAATTCAAGCTTTTTTGTTCTTTTCGAACTTTAAACCCTTTCTCCAAACAAAACAACCTTAATTGTTTTTATCTATTTGATAAATGATGTAAATATTTCTTACATGTAAATATTTGATGAAGGAAATGAGAAGGCACATAATTGGAAATTAGTGTATCGTATATTTTATTTTATTGATTTTATTTATTTCTTTTATCAATATGTACATTCAAATCAATTTCAACTGCAAATCAGTTTTTAAAATTAATGATTGGATTTGTATTTTGAATACAAGTTATTGGATAATGATCTGTAACGAATAATTACAAGTAAAGTGTATTTATATTTGTAAAATACTGATGCCAATAATGACACAGTTACGAAAATACTACAATTATAAGGAATCAAAGTGGCTATGTAAGTGTACAAACAAGAATAGAAAGAAAAGGGTGTGTTTGGTCGTTGTAAATGATCTATTATACACTATATTTTTTATTTTAACTATCATATAATATTTAAAATAATATATTTTATTTTGTCTTATATATACAATATATAATCCAAAGTTTACTCTTTTTATATAGTGGGATTTAAAGTTACCGAAAATATAAAACCCCAACCAAAATTTAAGGCGACAAGCACAGGAAGAAAAAGTTATGTTTCATATATATATATATTGTTTTTATTAATACAATTTTTAATGCATTATTAAAAAATATAATATACACATAATTATTTTTTATATTAAATATATAATTCTTTGTATGAAAAAATATATATATTCATTCAGAAAAAAAAACACAAATGTGACAGTTTTTTTTAAATATTTTTTTACTCAAGTCTTCCTCAATAAAGCTCACATTGATTACTACAATCATATGGTACTAATTTCAAATTCAAATTTTAGCTGACGTGTCATTAAAAGTTATTTTTGGTCAAAATCAGAGGACGAACTCCAAAAGTCAAAAGACACATGAGTTCCAGCTCAACAAATGCAATGGCATTTTGGTAATATACTGCATTAGACATGGCCGATTAATAAGCCATTGAAAAAAAGCTAGCAGCAGCAGGCCAACGCCTCCGTTTCATCATCCTTTGCATCTCTGGGGAGAAATTAATGGCGAAAGGGCGTGAGTTCTTCTTCCTCTAACAAACTAAACGGAACTCAACAAATTTCTCTATCACATCGCCGATTCATCGCGCGTATATACATTCAATCGGGATTAGAATCAATTTTGTTACTAAACATTATTGGCGATGGGTATTCTGGAATTGGTGGATTCTATCGACTGGGAGCAGGAATCCTACCCTCGTTATGAAGATTTTGTTTTGCTCCCCGTTTTCGCTCTGTTCTTCCCGACGGTTCGATTCGTGCTCGATAGATTGGTGTTTCAGGTAAATTTGGGTTTTAATGTTGCTTGTTTTGAATTTTGTTCGTTTCGATTTGTGTTGTGCGTGTGCGTGTGCGTGTATAATTTATTAATTCATCGTTGCTTGGTGACTTTATTTTCTATTGAATAATTCTGAACATTTCGTGTGGGCAGTTTGGATTTTGGGGGTATTTCTGTGCGTGTTTTTGCAAAATTGATCGATGCTTTTGCATTGTTCGTTCGATTGATGCTCGTGGAAGTTTTGAAGTCTTACAAGGATGACTGCCTTTAGAAGTTATTTCCAAATAGAAAGTATGAGATATTTGAAGAAGAACTTTAAAACACGATATCGAAACTGGAATCAAGGCAATTTGTTTGTAATAGAAAGTGAGGATTAAGGCAATATTGTAGATTAGAATGTGCTTGATTGAAATAGGAAATAATCTTGAAATCAAGAGTCTTCAAGGCAAATTTCCTTAATCTAATTATATATATAGATGTGTGTGTGTCTGTGTTCTCTTTTACTCATCCAGGCATACGATTCATCTGTGCCAATTACAACAATTGATTTAATTGAACAAATTTATCAGTAGCAATCCTTATAGGGTTTGTGTTTTCCTGTTAAAAGCCTTGCTTCCATGAGTTTCTCATTAAAAAACTATTAATCCATCTTGGAAATATTGTTACTTTTAGTGGTTTCTTTTTTATGATATGATCTGAATATTTCTGATTCCATGACAACTTATTCACTTTTATTAGAGAGTTTTGCTTAATCTAGATTGAATGTTTGTTTTACAGAAAGTTGGAAGTCGATTAATATTTGGAAAGGCAATACAAGCAAAGGGAAATGAGACCGAAGAGCAAAATAAGAAGTTGCGGAAGTTCAAGGAGTCAGCATGGAAATTTGTATTTTATCTCTCTTCCGAGCTTTTGGCACTTGCCGTAACATACAATGAGCCTTGGTTTAAAAAGACGAGATATTTTTGGGTAGGGCCTGGAGACCAAATATGGCCAGATCAAACATACAAGTATGTCTTCTTTCTTCACTATGCTACTGAGCTAAGCATAATCCCAAGTTTGCAGAGAGAATGGAATAGCCAGCCTTGAACTCCCCACATATAGATGCATTGCCATATTCACAACATGCATATGCCAATGAAATTTAATTGCAAAAGCTGTAGCATTCACCTTTCGGGAATCTAAGTCTCTGTTTGGGTATTCAGGTTGAAACTGAGAGGCCTGTATATGTTTGCTGGAGGATTTTATACATACTCCATATTTGCTCTCGTATTTTGGGAGACAAGGCGCTCTGACTTTGGGGTTTCAATGGGTCATCATGTTGCAACGTTGATTCTCATTATGTTATCCTATTTATGCAGGTGTGTTTTTAAAGAATTCCATTTTTTGTTGTTATTTTAACTGCAGAAGCTTGTGAATAATAATAACATCAATAGAGAGAAATCAATTATATATCTAGCGGGAAGTATCAGTTTACACCTAGTGTGTTCGTGCATATTGTGATGGATTCAAAACGCTGGTGTCAATATAAAGTATTTTGAACTATGAACAGATAAAAAAAACAAAAACTCTGCTTCTTGAAATTAATTCACACCTTTGATTATTGCAGATTTGCCCGTGTTGGTTCAGTTGTTCTTGCCCTTCATGATGCTAGTGATGTATTCCTTGAAGTGGGGAAGATGTCCAAATATGCCGGCTCGGAAGGAATGGCTAGTTTCTCATTTCTTCTTTTCGTGTTGTCCTGGATTATACTTCGTCTCATATACTATCCATTTTGGATTCTTTGGAGCACAAGGTCCGTACTTTTCGCCTATTTCATAGCCCCTTCTTTTTTGTTTTTCAACTGACTGAAAATGTAGTTCACGTCATAACACGTGAATGCGTGTCTTGGCTAGCACTAGCACATTTTATTTTACATTTCCATCTTACTTTATCGAATGAATCTTTTCAGAAACATGAATCTTCTGTAGTTAAACTCGAAAGCATATATTATGCATGATTAATTTGCCTTTATTTTTTTTTTAAAGCTCAAATCTTACGGGTGTAGTGTGTTTCCATTTTCAGTCGGCTGTGGTGCTTTCATCAGAAAAAATGATTTTTTCCGAGAATAGCTCCTATATTACGCAACAGCTACGCGTGTTGTGTCATTTCCTTTGTCGTTATTTCCCCTCTTTATTCACGCCCGAGACTATCTTCTCGTATGTTCCGCCGTTTATGTATTTCTCTATATATGCAGCTATGAAGTGCTTCAGACTCTGGACAAGGAGAAGCACAAAGACGTTGGGCCAATCTATTACTACGTTTTCAATTTCCTTCTTTTCTCGTTGCTGGTTCTTCATATTTACTGGTGGGTGTTGATGTACCGGATGCTCGTCAAGCAAATCCAATCAAGAGGCCGCATCAGTGAAGACGTTAGATCTGGTAAGCAAGAATCATCCATACACCTCTACTCCATCAAATCTCCCTTACACCGATCAATAATAATTCGGGATTGTTGTTAACTATTGTAGATTCTGAAGATGAACATGAAGATTGATACCCGAAAGAAAAGAGCTTGAACACATACCCCAGCATCGCGAATTAGCAAGGTAAAGTGTCGGCAAAAGCATCTGCATAATTATAACGACACATACATAACTATACTAGCAAAGATACTAAGCCTAAAATCGTGTCGGCGCTGGATGCGCAAAGCTTGAAGAACATTGATAATTGCTGAAACTAGTTGGCATTTTTGGTTCTGAAGATTTCGATCTGAAAGTGGTACATACTTATAAGAACTAACAGTTTTAAGTTAATTTAAGTAGAGCAAGTAGTTTATACATCTTGTGTTCAAGTCAAGAAACTTGTATAAACTGCAAATTTACTTGAAAGAGCCATTACTGATAGAACATCTGGAGAAAATGGAAATAAGAATGATTGATTCTTGATTGGTGATTTCTTTTCTTTTTTGCTGAGAATCTCTTTTATTGCCTTTTTTTGTCACTACAAACTGTACCAGGATTTGATCAATTGTTTGCATATTTGCTGGTCCTAAATGAACAATCCTGGTTGCCCTGTCTTTCCTGTTCTGTGTAATGATAATGCTGAATGAATGATGTCCTTTCTTTAGCCCTATTTATTTTATGAAAATTATCATCAACAATTATTATTGGATAAATTAGTTCTTGTGAGCTATTTGATCTGATACCCTGCCTGTTTAATTATTTTCCCTTATTTTTATTCTATGTTTATGTGTTAGAAGTAACATCATATATGCATTGAATTTTGGTATAAATATCCACTCAACCAATAATTGGGTGAACCGCGACATTTAATTGAGAAACACGTTTTCTACACATAAAGCCCACTTTATGTTCCCATGTAATAATATCTGCGCAATTTTTTTATTCTGTCAAATTTAGGTGATTTTATTTCATATGGATTCACTTCCAATCTTTTCAATTTTATTATATTTTTTCACCAACTTTTTAATTTTAATTATTTCATTCTGCCTATTATCTATATTGAATTTTCTACGTGAATCTTGTGTTGGTTCGTTTTGTATGTTTTTTTTTTCTTTCATTAAATTGGTCATTTTGTTTATGTGAATGCATGATTTTTGGGTTTGTTGTGCATCTCCCATTAATTTATAACAAACATGTTTAAGTTGTACTTAAATGAATCGACATGATAAAAATGCAAAACCATTGAAAATATATATACACACACAAAATAAAAAATAAAAAATCTTTCAATCAATACGGGCGCACCAAAGTTTTGCATATTAATATTATAGTTGCCAAAGTTATGAATAATAGGACCACAAATTATACTCGATTATCTCAAAGTAATATATATATTATATAGTCATCTTTGTTTTAAGAAACTTTATTTAATAATAATAATAATAATAAAGGAAATGAAAATAACGCAACACTGAATAAAGAGGAATGATTAAATGCACCAGCGGTGTGCGTTCAAATTCAATGTCCCATCGTCGTAGCGATTTCAAGAAAAAACCCTAATTCCCAAAAATAATATACATGCCAAGCGATCCCACATTGTCCCCGAGGGATTTATGGCAACCTTTCCTTGAATATACAAATAATAATAAACTGTAGAAATCGATTAATTGATTGGAGGAAATAAATACGTGAGTTAGAGTATTCCCCTATATTATTGCCATATTGGATTTTGCACCTTCCCTTTGCATTTAGGAGGAGGTCAGTGGCCTGGCCATAGGCTCCCACCCTTTTCTCTCTTTTGCTGTGCCCCACTTGTAACCGAAAAACAGAGTATCAGCACAGGAGGTCGAGGATCTTTGGATATTTTATATATATATATATATATATATATAGATAGTCTCTATCATGTATGTGAATGAATATCTGTGTGTCTGTTGTCTGTGTTTATGTGTGCCTTCATTTAATTCTATTTCATTTCTTTTGGCAGGGTGGCTGCTTTTGTTGGGCTAAGCTTTGGTTTCTAGATCCACAGAAATATCAACAACTTGTTCCTGGACGCAATTTGCGAACTATCTCGGTTCAGTGAGTTTTTGTGATCCATTTTCAATTTGGGTCTGTGTTTGTTTCTCTGTTATTGACTCTTACAATGCTGATCATCTGCTGACGTTCTCGGTTATTATGTGTCTTTGCTTGGTTGAATATTTGTTTCATTGTGATGGTAAGACTGTATATGACGATGTTTGTTGATTAAATTGATTCTAGATGATCAAGATTGCAATTGCTTGCTTTTTTACTGGAGTTGGTGTTGCCATGTGGGTTGGAATGAAATGTGCTTGGTGTTGATGAAACGTTGAATAGTTAGGCTGAAGTGCGACCGGGTATTGAGAATGATTTCGATGCTCTATGAATTCATTACATAAGTGAATCAGAATTTATATTTTGCTGTTTCATTTGGATGGAGCATATTTATGTGTTCTCGATATGTGTGGTTGCCACAAAAGATATTATGATATGCTCTTTCCAAGAATCAAGGAATGTTAAGTTGTTTGTTTAAATCTCTGCCTTATTTTTGTTTCAAACATTCAAATGTTTATTTAGAGCTTTGCTTGTCTATCTTTTAGCATGAAATTAGTACTCTTTAAGTTTATTCTGGCAGCTAAATTTTTTTGTGGTGACATTTCAATTGTTTTTTTCCTTACTTCAGAAGAAATTTGATTACTGAACACCAATGGCCACTGATAGTACTGATGCTGAATTAGCTCACCGGAAACCTTGTCTGCTGAAAGATCAAGTTCAATTGGTGAAGAGGAAAGATTCCGATCGCTATGAGATTTCTCCTATTCCTGACAAATTGTCTTTTGAGAAAGGCTTCTTTGCTGTTGTCCGGGCCTGTCAGTTGTTGACCCAGAATAATGATGGACTAATGGTGGTAGGGATAGCTGGTCCTTCGGGTGCAGGGAAGACTGTGTTTACTGAAAAGATGCTGAATTTCATGCCGAGCATTGCTGTTATTTCAATGGATAATTACAATGATGCAAGTCGACTTGTTGATGGAAACTTTGATGGTAAGCGTAAGATATTGTCATTGGTGTTCCTTTATTTTGATGTTGTTCTATATGTCCAGCCTTTGATTTGTGCTTTTCTTTCTATCATTTCTTTAATCGAAATCTGGAAAGTACCTGCAGTGATAAATTAGTTGCACAATCTTTTTAGGTGATAAAGCTTGTGAATGTAATTTAGCATTGGAGGCTCAATAGAGACAAGCTATGTTTCATAGTTCGAAAATGAATGTTTGACCGAAGAAAGACACATTTTTTGTTGGTCGGTACCAGTGAAATTATTTGTTACTACTTTCAATAGAAAACTATAATTGAATCACATTAGAATTGCGTCAAATATCCGGAGTTGCAATTGTTATTCCTAAGACACTTCCGCTTTAATCTCTCTCTACCTTATTTTTTAAGCTAACTGAACTTTGTACACAAGTTCATTACATGTTCTGTGAAGCATGCCAAAAATTTATGGCCTTAAGTGATTGGCAGTTCCTTGTCAGTGAACTGATAAGTTTATTTGGATGTATTGCACAAACAGACCCCCGATTGACAGATTATGATACTTTGCTGAAAAACATTGAAGATCTAAAGGCAGGGATGCCAGCTGAAGTCCCAGTATACGACTTCAAAACCAGCTCCCGCATCAGTTACAGGTTCAGATTCTTTATTGCCATGTTTGAATCGTTTTCATATTTGTGTGGATTTTGTGAAGCTGCCATTGCTACTAAGGACACCATTGCAAGGTTATTGCTTTGCTGCTTTTCTTAATTGGTCTAGTTTCCGCATCATTTGATTGCTAATGAATTTTGAACAATTGTTTTTATATAAGGTTCTTCAAGTTTGAACTCCTCTTCGCACTAAGTTACATGTATTGTTTTCTGGCATCATCCTATTTTTATCATAGTATTTAGTTGTTCATCTTTCTTGCTCTGACAAAACCGTTACACAGTGCTCACAATATCGAGCTTAGATTAGTCATTTTACGCAATCTGCCTGTTAAGTTTAATCGTATATTGCTTATGGAACAACATGTTGACGACAGGACAGTTGAAGTCCCAAGCTCCCGCATTCTGATTATCGAGGGCATTTATGCTTTAAGTGAAAAACTACGTCCGTTACTAGACCTCAGGGTATCTGTGACAGGCGGTGTTCACTTTGATCTAGTTAAACGGGTTTTGCGGGACATACAGCGTGCTGGGCAGGAACCAGAAGAAATAATACACCAAATATCGGAAACGGTTTGTATTCCTGATTTTAAACTAACAATGAATTCGAACACCTAATATCTCATTGGAAGTTCTCACTTAGCTTCTCAACAGGTTTATCCAATGTACAAGGCTTTCATTGAGCCCGACCTCCGTACTGCACATATAAAAATCATCAACAAGTTCAATCCCTTCACTGGATTTCAGAGTCCTACTTATATACTTAAGGTAACCTCCAAACTATTGGATGCCGTATTGATCAATTGTGCGATTCAGCGCTCTGCCTGCAACATTTAGCTCATATTTGAATTTATAGTAGATATAACTGTGTGGAGTTTTGTTGTTTTTAGTCTATGAGGAATGTAACTACAGAGCAAGTCAAATTTGTAATGTCTGAGGGACATTCAGAAAGTACAGAGCAGACTTACGACATATATCTTTTGCCGCCTGGTGAAGATCCAGACACATGCCAATCTTACCTAAGGATGAGGAATAAAGATGGAAAATACAATCTCATGTTCGAGGTCGATTACTTTCCTAAAAGTTACATACATGAATTTTTCGTTATCTTGATGCTCTTACACTTTATATTATGGATTTCAAGATCTGCTGAAAGCTACTAGGTGTATACAAACACGAATTCCAGTTTAAGTTGATTAATTTCTCTAATAATTTTTGCTCCTGAATTTCAGGAATGGGTCACCGATCCTCCCTTCGTCATATCTCCAAGAATCACTTTTGAAGTTAGTGTCCGACTCCTTGGTGGATTAATGGCACTGGGATACACAATAGCTGCCATACTCAAACGAAGCAGTCATGTCTTCTGCAATGAAAGGGTCTGCGTGAAACTTGATTGGCTCGAGCAATTAAACCGCCATTATGTTCAGGTGGCCTTTGTGTCCTATTCTTGCTGTCTTAAGCATCTGTTGTCTGTCAAGTCTATTCTCTGTTATTTAATGTGTTGAGTACGGTTAGTAACTTCTTGTTCGAGACAGGTACAAGGTAGAGATCGCAATACCATAAGATGCGTAGCAGAACAGCTGGGGTTGGAAGGTTCCTATATTCCAAGGACGTACATCGAGCAAATACAGCTGGAGAAGCTTGTCAATGAGGTTATGGTATGCCTAACTGCCGCAACTCGAGCTTTAGAAAATACGTGTTCTTTTCTTACTGTCATGACCTGGGGACATCTAACAGGCTTTGCCAGATGATTTGAAATCCAAGCTTAGCATAGACGAGGAACTTGTCTCAAGCCCACGAGAGGCATTTTCTCGAGCCTCGGCACAAAGGATCAAGGATCTAAGCAGGTTCACTTTTTGATCCTTTTTAATTGTTTCATCGCTCCATTATTTTTGTTTCTGATTAATTGGTTTGACAGTGGTATGTCGCATTCATATTCGACAAATGGCGATGCAAATCTGTCCAAAATCAAGAGGAGGTTCGATGATGGACCATTGGGGAAACGAGCAGCGTTACCAAATGAGGTATAAATTCAACCACTGGCATAGCCGAACTATCGAAGAACTTTTACACACGCTAAAAAATACACTGCTTTCAAATGTGTTGCAGGGAGTTCTTACACAGCTTTCAGAACAAATCTCGACGCTACATGATCGGATGGATGACTTCACTTCTCGGATTGAAGAGTTAAATTCAAAGCTATCGTATAAAAAGTCCTCTCCTACTTCACCAAAGCTGCCATCGACGTCTGAAGCCTGCAACGGATCTGCTCCGACTTCCTACTTCATTTCAGGTTTAGGGACAGGCTCCATATTGCCAAATTCTGCATCGTCTTCCCAGTTGTTGAAAGATCCATCTTTAATCGAAGAGGTAACGCATTTTTATCCCTTCACATTGTCGAAAACTTGTTTTAAACTTCGATTTCATTATGTTCTTTTAACAGGTTTCAAACATTTCCCGGAGCCAACGCCAAGTTATGCATCAGCTGGACAATCTCAACAGCTTTTTACGCGGAAACCTGGTGGAAGTCACAGATTCCAACAGTCGATATCGCGGAGTTGAGAAGAAGGAAAATAGCGCAGCTAGAACTTCGATGATCTTAGCGTCTGTGGTAGTCGGAGGATTAGCGATTCTTTTGCTCAAGGGGCTTCCATCCATGCGTTGAGCTAGCACTGTAACTGTTTCTATCGCTTCTCGACCCCTTTAACAGATTTCGAATATTCAACTGTTTTATAATACAATACTTCCTTGTATCCCCCGGGAACATCGATATCGAAAATAATTTTGCCATTGTCATCTCGGTTTTGCCTTGGAGATTAACGTTCTCTGTAGAGCTGTGCAATTGAAGGGTGTGGATTTGCAGATTCTCTTCTTGTTGGGCAAATTTTTTGAGTTTAGGTTTGATCATTACTTCGATATTTAGAACTAACTAAATGAAAATACCGTAGATTATTACAAACTTCAGGCTGATGAAAACAGACAATGCAATTATGGTTAAAACTACTAATTCTCCCTGACAATTGACAAAAATTCAATAATCTTAAATGTATTTCCAATTGATGTCGACTCTCCACAAAAAAGTTCATTCAATTGAAGATTTAGTTGACTATATGTACCATTTCATTTCTCATTTATTATTATTACTATTTTAATTATTTGGATGAATTTGTGGGATTTTTATTATTTTCTTAAATTATCGAACAAAGTATTTAATTTTTCATAATTACTCACTTTGATATACTCAGTCACCCGCCACGTTACGGGAATATATATATATATATATATATATATATATAATGTGTTAAAAAAAAAAGGGAGTGACGACAAAACAAAAGCGTGTAATAAAAGCGTTCATTTTTCTATTTCCGTATCGGAAGCGCTTTTAATCAACGGTCGGCAGAGACAGTGCCGCTGTAGCCTTTGTTTAATGCTTTTTAGTTTTCGCTCCGAATCAGAATAATATTATTCAGGGAAGATATTTTGATTTTCTTCGTTTCGTCTCCGGCGATTGCACCGAAGGTGAAATTTCTTTCTTTTATGCCTTCTAGGTTAATTATTGCACCACAAGGAAGCAGATCGTTCTGAATTGCGTAAGTGATCATCAAGATTTATGTGTATATATGTGTGTAAATATATGCGCGAATTTCCATGGCCTTGTATTGTTTACCCGATTCGTTTTCCGATGCCCTACCTCGTGTTCTTGTTTATTGGTTTGGGTGTTTCTTTGGCCTAAATTTGATCTCTCGATTCAGGTTATAGGGATTCCCGGATTTCTGAGATTTATTCGTTCGTACTGTAGTTTCTCGTTGTAGAATTTGTTTAGAGATAAGGAGAATGGGATACATAGGAGCGCATGGAGTTGCAGCTCTTCATCGTTACAAGTATAGTGGGGTGGATCACTCTTATTTGGCAAAATACGTGCTGCAGCCCTTTTGGACTCGCTGTGTGACCTTTTTCCCACTTTGGATGCCGTAAGTTTTCATTTTCCCTTTCTAGGTAGGGTCTTTCGATATTTTTTATTGATTTTTATTTTTTATTTTTTTCATGGATATCACTGATGCATTCTGTTGGTTGGCCGTTAATGATTGTTTTACTGTTGGGGTGATTATATATTAGCGGCTTTCCTGTTCTTGCGATTTTTTATTCATGATGAGGAGTGTTGGTTTCTAGAAATATTTGGACTCTTTCAGTTATATTGAAGAATGAGTGGTAGGAAATTTGGGGGGAGTTTTGTAATTTTTTCAAAGATGTGAAGCTTTGTTGTTAGGCAAAAGTACTGTTTTTAAATCGCTGTGAATACTACTTGATCACGAATCCTCAAAATATGACACAATTATTAACTGCCGCAAAATATAGAGTTTAAAGATTGTGTCAATTGTGGGAGTGATACTGAATAGCCGAAATTTTGAAAATCAGCAAAGCATACAAAATATTGCTGACCAGTGGAAATTAAAACTATGCAAGGTTCATTATGTTTAACGAGTTAGTAAAAGCATTGATTGCTGAAACTTATACTACTAGTATTTTTAATTTATGTCTATTGATGAATGCATCAGTTACCTTTTTGCAGTGTATTTTATTTAATTTCTGATGTTTTATGGTTACTAACTAAGTCTTGTTATCCTTCTGTGGGTGGCTGCTGTCCAGACCCAACATGGTAAGTCTACATCGAATGCTATCTCTTTTGTCATGTGTTACTACAGTATCCAAATTTTATTCTGTCTATATTCTTATATTTTACATGTTCTATTAATTTCTAGATCACACTCATGGGATTTATGTTTCTGCTTTTGTCGGCATTGCTTGGATACGTGAGCTCTCTCTCTCTCTCTCTCTCTCTCTCACACACACACACACACACGCGCGCGAGATTTACAAATTTTTTTGAATCCTTAAAATATAAAAAGTTACTGTTTGAAAGCTTATTAGATACATAACCCCTTTTAAGTATGTTCCAAGTTTCAATGCCCTTTTTGACTTCTTAGATTTTCACCTGACATTTTGAAAGACTTTCTTTCTCTTTTTTCGCTGACTACCTAACACCTTTGGCAGATATATTCACCTCAATTGGATTCACCTCCACCGAGATGGGTTCATTTTGCCCATGGGCTACTACTCTTCTTATATCAAGTATGCTCATTTTTCCTTTTATTTTTAATTACGTTGGGATTGAAGCATTAGCATAATTAATATAGGGTATTGAGAAGTAAAAGTCTAAAATATATTGAACAAGTTGGGGTACCTCATTTTGACTCTCCATCGTATTTCCTTTCCTGTTTATATATATATATATATATATTTGTTTTCTACATGTATGTTAGACGTTTGATGCTGTTGATGGAAAACAAGCCAGAAGAACCAGTTCCTCTAGTCCATTGGGAGAACTATTTGACCATGGTGATTTTTTTTCTATCATATAAACTTCCATTGGCTCATCTATGCAATTACTTTTGTTCATTTAGTTCTGACCATGTTGTTCACAAATTTCTGTTGCAACAAAATTGCAGGATGTGATGCTCTGGCTTGTGCAGTATGTTTTGAAATCTTTTTCTTTTCTTTTTTTCTTTTTTCTTTTTTTTTTTTTTTTTTTTTGTGATAGTGATGCTTGAGTTTGATTCGTCTTCTTCTTAAAAAAAAAAAATTAGTTTGAGGCCTTGGCCTTTGGAAGCACTGCAATGTGTGGGCGGGATACTTTCTGGTTCTGGGTCATATCAGCCGTACCTTTCTACTGTGCAACATGGGAACAGTAAGTGGATTTCCAGCCGTGAGTATTGGTTTTACGTTGCTGAGGAAAATTTGTTGTTGACATGAGTTTCTGAGCTTGTCTTGTTAGAAACCATAATAAGAAAACATTACAATATATACCAGATAAAAAGGTCTTGCTCGCAAAAATTGGCTGAACCTGTTTTATTGACTGTTATGGTGCATATCTGTACTTAGACAACGTTCTTTTTTCATTTTTCAGAGCTCCAAGGAATTATTTTCTTATCCTTTGGAACATTCTTTTTTTTAAAAAAATGTTTTTCTGGTTAATTTGAATTTATTTGCTTTCCTGCAGCTTTTTTACTAATACTCTCATTCTTCCGGTCATCAATGGACCTACAGAAGGCCTTATGCTGATATATGTAGCTCATTGCTTTACAGCTATTGTTGGTATTGTTTTCTGTACCCTACGCAAAAGCTTTCTTTCTAATTTCTCCCATGCATAATTATTAATATGCATTTAGAGACACTGAGCTTGGATGGATTTATTTCAGGCGCTGAGTGGTGGGCTCAACCATTTGGAAAGTCCATCCCATTATTGAGTTGGTTGCCATTTATAAATGGTAAGTCTTGCAATGGAAACAAATAAGAGAAAGTGATGGTTGATCAGCTAAATTGATTCATCTCTCAAGTAGTGTTTTTGGTTTCTGGGTAAATTTAATGCCCTCTGTATGGTGCTGTTGCACTTGATGTATGATGATTACAATTGCCACCATCACTTTTGCTCTTTTTCGTCCTTTTTACTCTTCCTTAGCTGGTATATCCTGCTAATTCTTATGTTTTCACTCACCTTGTCTGTCTCTTGTAATTCCATTTTTCTTTTGATCTGGCTCCTTATTTATAAGTTCATGATGGACTTTATTTTTTTTTTTTGCAGAAGTTGCAATGTATAAAGCTGTTTTGTTCCTAATGATAGCCTTTGGTGTCATACCAACAGTTTCATTCAAGTAAGTTATATAGTGTTAGTCGATAAGAGTTCTTTTTCCTATCCTTTTACCGCATTAAACTTTCTGCTATTCACGTTGGTGTGCACAGAGTGTGTGTTTGCTTTGAGGAGCTCAGACAGCTCTTTAACAAATTACTTTCCTTTATTAATAAATTGTTACTCAGTGTATTATGTATTCTCTCTGTGCGCTGTGCAGTTTTCTTCTACATCATTGATCTTATGATGTAATCTTTGATTGGAGTAACTATTTTGTGCAGTGTGTCCAATGTTCATAAGGTTGTTCAAGCAAGAAAAGGAAACATGCTGCTAGCATTGGCTATGGTAACTATGATGATGAATAATATCATGCCTTTTCTAATGCTACTTTGGAACTAAACTCTTCTATTTCTTGACAGCTTTACCCTTTTGTTGTGCTATTGGCTGGAGTTCTTGCATGGTTTGTCTCTGTTTACAATGGATGTGTGTGTTCATTTCATTATGCTTTATTCATTGTTCCATTGCTGACTATAACTTCACAGGGATTACTTATCTCCGATTGATCTTATTGGCAAACACCCGCATCTGGTTGTAGTTGGTACAGGACTTGCATTTGGGTTTCTTGTGGTAAGAACACTGTGTTTTGGATAGATGCTCAGATTTTGTTTGATGCAATCACTTTGAAATTAGGAACTTCACCATTTTGCACTGGTCAAACTTCTAATTTTAAGAACAGCTAAGTTTTATATGAAGACATATAGAGAGATATTTTATATCCTTTTCACTTTCTGCCATCTATCCATTCATCGTTGAACGTCCCTGTCAAAATTGGTTTTGAAGATTGCTTTTATAAATATTGTGTTTTAGCTGCTAATTCATATTTTATCATGATTCAGATAACATAAACTATATTTCTAAGCCTATGTGTAGTTCTCTCCACAGTTGATATTCTTGAGATCACCAAGTGCTGAATGAGCTTATTATTTACCATTGAAATTTTGTTTTGCAGGGAAGAATGATTCTCGCTCACTTATGTGATGAACCTAAGGGCTTGAAAACAAACATGTGCATGGTAATGCGCGCCAGTTTGAAAGATTACTTTCAAACGTCTAGCCCTAATCTTATTATTAATTAGTTTGAAAGACTCCCTTTGATGGATTAGTTCAGTTTGTGGATGATGATGCACTAGCAATTAAGATTCCTTTGCTGTAAACTATCCCTTTATGTTACACTGCCATTTTCTTGAGTCTATTATGATTCTATTCTATAAATTCTGCAGTCTTTGTTCTACCTGCCTTTTGCCATTGCAAATGCTCTCACTGCCCGGCTAAATGATGGGTATGTATATGGCATCTTCAATTCTACATTATTGCATTTATATTGGCGTAGCCATACTGTTTTTCCTCATTATTATACCACTTACAAGGCCTTTATACTATGGCAGAGTCCCTCTAGTTGACGAGTTCATGGTTCTTCTTGGTTATTGTGCATACACTGGTATAACATTTTTTACATTTCTGAATTACATCCTAGATATGTAATGCAATCCTCTTTACTGAATGGTTCTAAAACCACCAATGTCAAGGCTACATTTTCCTTAACATTTGATTTCAATTGCATGCTAGGGACTCATTTTTATTTTTTTTCTCTTTCCAGTTGTACTCTATCTTCATTTTGCGACTTCAGTCATTCATGAAATAACTTCAGCGTTGGGGATCTACTGCTTCAGGTACCGAATTTTAGCACTTGATTAGAGGCAAATAACTACATTTAAGGCCACTAAGTAGCATCAGGACAAATTAATATTTTGAACCAAACCAATCATATGTTTATATAAGCATTTTCTTATTTGCATTCTGTGAAGTAACTATCTATGCACTTTTTGTCTGTTCGTCCACATCAAATAATCGAGTTCACTTCCCTATCGAACAATATGTCCAGGATAACAAGGAAAGAAGCTTGAGCTGCATTCATTACACAATACCTTGGTTGGGCAATGGGTGTCTTGATGGCACCTTTGAATGAACAGGTTGCGCGGTATCGACGACAATTTTGTTGGCTAAGCACTTGTTAAAATTGTTTATATGCATTCGAGAGTAACTAGGCCTATTAATTATTGTTGGTTGGTTGTGGTTATTTTATGTATACCCTTAGACAACAACTACTGTCGTTTCTTGTTTTGAATATGGTTTTAAGACACAATAGGGGATAACTTTGATGAGTTGATCTATTTACAGTGTCTGGTGTCATGTTAAATGTGATTTATATTTATGTATGTATGTATGTATGTATTTACAGTGAAGGTTCATGAATTAGAACACGCTTTAAAAATCGTTATATATTAAATATATTTGCATTTTTATATGTGGAATATATAATATAAAATTTATGCAAAATAATAATATTGAGAGAAAGGGCCTTAACAATTGGGCTAGAAGAATCATATCTAAATACTCTTATTGGGCTTACTCGTTGTACTTTGGGCCTTCTTCTGTTGGGATTTCCATTGGGCCATTGTGTGAGAGAACAATTATTTGGGCTAGTATAAATACAGTAGCCCGCTATGTCATTGACTGTATCTGCACAATTTCCAGACGCCAATTCGCCACGAAAAAGTTCCTGAATTTCGGAAACAGACGAGATCAGAAGCAAGAAAAAGGCTAATTTGGGGAAGGAGACGAGTGAAGTGATTTTCTGTTCTCGTTGCAAGAGCAGCGAAAGTAGAATTGTGCTGAAAATTTTCGGGCTTGGAACTTTTGCTTGAACGCCAACAATGGTGTCTATAGCGGCAGCTAAAGCAAACCCTTACTCGTATTCTCGTAATCAGTTTCAGAGATTGAAGTTTTCCCAAAGCCTCTCTGTCAGAATACCTTTCTTCTCTGAGTTTTCAAGCCCGAGGCTCGTTTCGGTTAATGCTCATAATCCCAACCTCGATTCGAACAAAACTGATCAAAGTGTTTCGGAGTTTGGATCTGGAACTGGAAGCGTGGCCCATTCACAAGCATGCACATCCCCGTCTGCCGTCATTGATTTTCTCACGCTCTGCCATCGCTTGAAGGTGCGTGCATCTGGAGTAACTTGTATTGATTACAATTTTATTTATAAATGTCTTTTTTTTTTTTTTTTGTTTTTTTCGCGTGTTGAAAATGGTGTTTGATGTTAAAATGCTTTTGTTCGTGAGTGCAAATTTGTTTGAGGCGTTCATTTTCTAGTTAGGGGATAGGTTTTGGTGAAGCTTTAATTAGCACTTTTACGGTACGATGATTGTAACATCTGGCTCTATTTCTGTCTTGCAGTCTACGAAACGGAAAGGATGGCTCAATCATGGCATAAAGGGTCCTGAATCTATAGCTGATCATATGTATCGTATGGCATTGATGGCTCTAATTTTTGACGATATTCCTGGTGTTAACCGGGACAGGTTAAACCTAAGTAGATTTCTGGTCTTTCATTTTCCTTTTTGCCTCCTGTATGTTGGTCATATAACTTGAGGTTGTGTTTATCATTTATAGAGCTGAAAGATTAGTATGTGCAACATGATCATGACAATATCTAATTGAAGTTTAACTGTAACTACAGTAGATATTTCTAGATGGAAAATTATAAAACAAAACTTAGATTGCACTTGTTTAAGTGTTGGTTATATTCTAACATTGTATCACTGTTTGACACTTAACATAAAAATATGAATACAGCTACAAAAGTTTGTGGAATATATTGTGAGTGACCCTTTTCAAGTGGTTAAGGAGAGATTTTTTTTCCCTTTTCAATGTCTAGATTATTGCAGTAGCTACTTATCTCTCTCTTGTCTCGAAGATCTTTTGTTCTCTAAATAATGCTGGGTAATATTGCCATGCCTATATTGGCTTAGCCGGTCCATATGGTGACCAGTGAGTGAAATATGTTGTGCTGTGTGCGTATCAAGTCTTTTGAATTAGTTTTGTCTCATTATCAATGCTGAATGTGATTCTTGAATCTTATCTTTAATGGACAAATGTTTGGACATGGCCATTGAACATGAAGACAACACAGTAGCACTTGTGGGCTGTGGCTTTTCCCAACTTTCAAATGAATATTTTATATCTCTGTAATTCTCTTTGAAGTCCTCTCAAAATATTATGTCTATTTCAAATGAACGCACCAGTGGTACTTTATTTAGTGTTACATTCAGTGTTATGATATTGTTCTTAATAATACTGTAACAGGTGCATCAAGATAGCAATTGTTCATGACATTGCAGAAGGTATTTGTTTCTTGCTTCATTTTTTCTTTTTCTCCATTTTTTTTGAATGGCTCGATTAGTTATCTCTTGTTTCTCGTTTCACAAAGTATATTTGTGTATATGTATATTCCATATATAAGTATGCATGTTCAGACTAGTAATGCAAAGTCATAAAACCATTCTATGAATGATTATCATGGTGTCAATATGATAATTTTAGGTATCATGTATACCCTTGTTCCAGTGTTATATTCTAACTGCATCTTGGTGTGTTTGCCTTTTTAACATTGCATTCCATTGGAAATACTGCTAAATAATACTGTATTGTTTGTGTAAGTTTATTTAGCAACTAAAAGTCTTCATTAGCTCTTTGGGCTGAAATGTAAGGTAAGTTAAAAAGGTCAAATTGCACGATGAGGACTTGGCGAGAATATGGTCCTAACTATGCCCTGTGTTTACTCCAGAATGATGAACTTTCTGTGCGATATATGATCTCATCCTAGAGTACTAAGGGTTTCAAACATTATTGATGTTGAGCTTCCACATAACTATGTGACTTTCTGCTCATTCCTTTTTACATTTAATGATTTTGAATGTTTTTACTTAATAAGTTGTCATCAGTTCTGTACTGTGCCTTTAATCCCATCCCGTTTGCTTAATACATGTGATTATTCTATTTTGTAGCTATCGTTGGAGATATAACTCCATCAGATGGTGTACCAAAGGAAGAAAAGAGCAAAATGGAGCAAGCGGCATTGGAAGAAATGTGCAAGCTCCTTGGTGGTGGAATGAGAGGTGTTTATTAAGGCCTAAAACTTGTACATAATATTTATTCATTATACGATCTTGTATTGATTGTAATATATATCTTCATGACAGCTGAAGAAATCAAAGAACTTTGGCAAGAGTATGAGAACAACACGTCTGTGGAAGCTTCTCTTGTTAAAGATTTTGACAAAGTATATAATACTGAATCTATATGCCATTTTATTATAGAGTTGATACAATTTAATTCTTTTAGTTCTAGTCTCGAGTCCTTCAAGTCTTCTTACAAGCATATGATACAGCCTTTCCGATTATGCTTGCCTCCCTAAATAACTGTCTTCTACTTGACAATATATATATATATGAATATATACATACACAATGTGGGTGTGTGTGCTCTGAAACTAGCTAATAGTGCTTCAGACAAATTTTGTGAAGACCACCTCACATGTCATCTTATTCACATCTACAACTATATTTCTTTTCATATACCTAACTGTTGTAATTCATCTTCAGGTTGAGATGATTCTGCAAGCATTGGAATATGAAACAGGTCAGTTCGCACTTTTAAGTATGGCCTTACAATTTACTCCTCAACATTTTGTAACATTGCAGCCAAATTTCAGTCATACACTGCTCCATACTCTCCATCTTTGTTATATATATGACTGTCAGTTCTAAAGATTTTGAGTCTATGAGGTGTCTTGTTTATCCTGCACTAAAAAGACATTCGATTTTGCTGGCGTGACTTTATGACTGGATGATCTAATGGTGACTTTGTTTCTTGATCCTCTATGGCAGAGCATGGGAAGATCCTGGATGAATTTTTTCTATCAACTGCAGGTAAATCAGTGTTTTGATTCGATTCTGAGTGCAAGATTAGATCAGCAGTAACTAATTGCTTGTGTTTGTTGAATGAAGGCAAAATCCATAGTACAGTCGGTAAAAAATGGGCAGCAGAAATCACTAGTAGAAGAAATTCAGGACTGGCCAAAAGGGCTAACTAATCATCTTCTACTCCAATTACTTGGTTGGCCTGTTGTAATAACTTGGTCCCGACAGATGAGAATGTAAGAAAATACTACTAGATAGCAGCAATAATCACAAAAAAGTTGCAGTTGAATCATAAGGTAAGACAAGACAGACACTCATCTTTTTTAACACTCTGCAGCCCATGAGAGAGCAATATTAATATTATTACATTTGGGACAGTATTGTTGACTTGATCCCTATCCCTATCAATTAGTTATGTCTTAAACCAACATTTTTTTGTTTAATTAAGCTTTTGCTTTTGTGGAATGAAATCTCATGCCCAATAATGCGTGTTTTGCCACTGGCGGTGCAAAAACTATTACTATTACTCCTAATAATAATTATAATAAAAATTGGATTTTTAGGTCAAGACTGCAGTGTAGTGTATTGTAAGTACAGGTGTGCTGTCTGTTTCCCAACTTGTGTATATATTTTGATGAAATTCACCGAATGCTACTTGATTGATCATTTATTCATTAATTTCTTTCACTTCACTTCTACCTACGCTCGCTCAATTCATTGAATTTGACCAAATTATTTTTTTAGTGTGCTACCCATCTGGTGCAAAAGTCCCGGGACCTTCAAACAATTGCCCGGACCTCACCTTCCTTCCTCTTTCACACGACGCGGTTTCGAACCATTTTTATTTTTTTTATTTTTTTTTGGTCTGCGTCGTCGATTCTTTCTCAAATCTCAAGTCCCACAACATTAAATTCTCCAAAAAAAAAAAGAAGAAACCCTAGAATTGAAATAAATCAAATCCCCAGATTTAATTGGATGTCGTCGGCGATCCCCTCCGATCAGATGAAACAGCTGAAAGACATCTTCAACCGGTTCGACATGGACCGGGACGGCAGCCTGACCCACCTGGAGCTGGCGGCCCTACTCCGGTCCCTCGGCCTAAAACCCTCGGGCGAGCAGGTCCACCGGCTCCTGGCCAACATCGACGCCAACGACAACGGCGCCGTCGAGTTCGAGGAGCTGGTGGGCGCCATTCTGCCGGACCTGAACGAGCAGGTTTTGGTCAACCAGGAGCAGCTGATGGAGGTCTTCCGCTCCTTCGACCGCGACGGCAACGGCTACATCACCGCGGCGGAGCTCGCCGGACAGATGGCCAAGATTGGGCGGCCCCTCACCTACCGAGAGCTCAGCGACATGATGCGCGAAGCCGACGCCAACGGCGACGGCGTCATCAGCTTCGCCGAATTCGCTAATGTAATGGGCAGATCCGCCGTCGATCACCTCCACCTTTCTGTTTCCTGATTATCATCAGGTTAATTAATAATTAATTAAATAATTGTACATTTTCTTTTCTTTTCTTGCTGATCGATTATTCCCAGTTAATTAAAGATGACTTAGTAGTCTGATTAGTTTCACTTGAATTCTCTCCATCGTTTTCCCTTTTCCCCTGATTTTTATTTATTTTGTCTGAATTAGTACAGCTGAAAATTGGCAAGAAACGCCCCCGGTTCTTGTTAAAATAAGCACCGTTCTTGTATCTGTTGTCTCTGTGATTATAAATAAACTATCCTTCTTGTTTGAATATACGAAACAAGCACATGTACGGTACAGTCTCAGCTAAAAGATTCCTCAATTGTCAATGTTAGTTACAGACAGCTGAAAATTGATGTAATAGATTCTGCTTTATTATTCTCTTTCCAAGATTCCCCAATTGTTCTAATAACTTCTCATATCAATCAGGAGCAAACAAAATGAGCCTATCAGCACATTGGTTGAATCAATAGGTGGTATACCATATGTAGATTGCTATAATAATGTGTTGTTATATTATACTCCTTTTATAGATAATATATTTGTATTCATATATTTTGTGATAAAATCAATAATGTGTTGCTAAATTAGCTACACACTATTTGTCCTTTTTTTTTTTTTCTCGTGTAAATGTGTTTTTGTTATGTATGAGACAACAAAATACAAAAAATACAACAAAATTGTATGTATGAATCTCCCTCCCCTAACCTCAAACTATACAAAATGTGTAAAGACAACTGCACAAACCCACCGGAGAATCATACTCCGGCGGCCCTACCGGCGGCTCGTTTTGTCGTGCAAAGGATTCGTCCGCGCCAACGAGCGCGCCGTAAATCCAACGGTAGTCGGTCTTATCGACCTCTGCCTCACCATGTTGCAGAACTCCGGGTCGTCTGCGCGACCCTCATGCCGTATCCACTGTATCATCCCATGGTACATTGGAAAAAATCTCATCCGAACAGCCTTGTACGAGAAGTACGGCGTCAACGCAGAAACAACCGTGTAGAGCGTGACGACGTAGAAAGACGGAGTCGGGGCGAGGCAATCGACAAACACTCTATACGCCGTCGTCGAAAAGTTGATAGGCATCGACCCGTAGATCACGAGGAAGAGGTACCAAAACGCGATCCCGCCCCAGATGAAAACATGCTGTATCAACGTGAAGTAGCTGATCGCGAGCGCCATCTGGCAGTTCACGACCCAGACGACGCACGTGTACATCGTAGCCCCGACAACCTGGTACTCCGCTATCTTACCGTTTTCGTCGAATGCTTGAGGATTCAGCGCCTTCGTGCAGAAAAAGAATATTATTACAGCGCTGACCGCACCGTTGAGCATCCACCCGATTATTCGTCGCCAGGTGAAAAGAACATTTTGCACTCCTTCTTGGTACAACAACGGAAACTGGCAACGAATGTATTAAATGATCATCTCACCTAAAAATTTAATCTTAACAGTCGAATATAATGGTAATAAAAGAGCGAGCGATCTTTGCGCACCTTTAGGCAGAACCGAGCAGAAACATCCTGGTCAAAGACTCCGAGAGCAATCACCGGTAGCGATGTGAAGAACACGTTGTAGAGGGACAGGAACCAGTCGTTGTACGCAGGTTGTCCGGAGAAGGATGTGTAAGCTTCGTATATGAAGACGGTGATCCCGAACGTTACGTTCTTGTAGAAGAAGTAGCAAATCTGCACCAAACCTTACACTGTTAAGTCGCAAAGTTTCGTCGTGTTTAGTAACACCTTGTCTTAGTTCTTACCATCGAAGCGATCCTTCGGTAACACCAATGTCCGTGCACGAGAAGTAGTCGCTCCAAAAATCTGAACTGCGCTATCGCAACATCGCTCGACATTACAGCCTGCATTCCTTCGACGCCGCTGATTCCAATCCCGATATCCGCTTCTTGAAGCATTCCAACGTCGTTGGCTCCATCGCCGATCGCCAGAGTAGTCTTTTTCGTACCTTCTTTGACAAGCCTTGTTACCTTGTAAGATTCAGACAACAATCATCAGTTCTAACAATCCGATCATAATCCTACTTACAGTACAAAATCAAGACATCCTCGGACTTACCAGCGCCTTCTGTTTAGGCGACGAACGGCAACATATTACCGAAGCGCAGACAATCGCCAGTTCGAGGAACATTTTCTTGACATCGTCCTCCAGCGCGAATGCAAGAGATTTCCCATCAATGATCAAAGCAAAAGCCTCGGACTCCGATTTTGCAACCTGATTCTTCCCTTCGATGACCTGCTGGACAACGCTTTTCTTCGAGGCCTAAAAGAATCGATAAGGAGCATTCGATGGCGCTATTACACACAAATGCTCGATGAACGAATGTCATATATAAGACCGTAATCGAATGCTTACCTTGGCAATGGCATCCTTTTCACCGATTTTCTCCAAGCCGACAATCTCAGGGGTGTCCAATGTAATAGTAATCTGTTTCATTCCTTGTCTGAGCAAGCTACAAGCATAGCTGAAGAGACAAGCAAACAAACAGGCAAAGTCGATAGTATCGAATGTTTACTAGGTTGTAAGAAACTAGAGCTTCATCGTAAAGTACCCAATGTTGATCGCTGTTTCCATTTTATCCCCTGTCAAAACCCATATCTTTATTCCTGCCTGCGCAAGCTTGTCGATACACTCGGAAACCTGTCGCGGAGAGGCGTATCAATTCAGCTGTAATGATATCTATACAGAGATTGAACATGGTTCCTATGTGTGGTTTTATTACAACCACCGTACCCCTTGTTGTAGCCTGTCCTCGACAGCTGTCGCTCCGAGAAGAATCAGCTCCCTTTCGACTTCTTCAGTCACTTTTTCGATCAGCTCGTCACGATCAGCGCTGACTGAATTTTTGGCCTGCATAAAATTTTTATCGAACGCGTTGTATTCTTCTTCATTCAGCTCCCGGTATGCAATTATCAATGTCCTCAGCCCGGCATCGGCATACTCATGCACGTGCTCTCTTGTCTCCATTTCGTAATCCCTTCCGTTCTTAGCGAGTCTCTCGAACATGACACTGTAATAAAAGAACACAACGAGGTTCTCACCGAACAGCTGAGATCGAAACTTCTATGACGCAATACATATGTAATAAATTCAGCATACCTATCAGCTCCTTTGCTGAGTAAGAGTATCTTCCCATCCTCGTCTCTTAATATAACCGACATTCGCTTCCTCGCGCTGTTGAACTCCAAAACATTCAGTATCTTGTACGACCTGCATCAGAACACATCGTTTAGGACAATCTATGATGCAATAAAAATGTAAGCTTTTTAACATACCGACCTTTCGACATATTCCCCCGACACGGGGTCTAAGTCACGGACATGAACGCTATTCTGTGTCCTTTTAAAGAACTCGAAACCGATCTCTCTAGCTGCAATAACGAAAGCAGCCTCGTCCGGCGATTCTGCCTCGTACGTAACCTTCCCCGTGCTCTCATCCTTATCGGGTATCGCCGTATGACAAAGCGCCAGCAGCCTAAAGAACTTCTGGATGTCGTTTGAGCGAGGCTCCTTCACCCAATTCCCGTTCATGATCCGTTCGTCGTCAAAATTAAATCCCTTAACGGATGGCCTTCGCGGTGTCCCTGGACGATGCTCGTCATCCTCTTTCCCGTTCCCGTTCACCAATGGCGACCCTTTCCTCTTCGCCATAGCCTTCTCGACTTCTGTGATCCCGTGCCCGTAAGCAGTCCCCGCCACCGAGCACTTGATGAACTCCATCGAGTTGCACGTCAACGTGCCCGTCTTGTCTGAAAGTATCGTGTCTACCTGCCCTAACTCCTCATTCAGATTCGATGTCCGGGCATGAGCCGGCTTGTCAGCTTCCTCGTAGTACATATTCACATCCTGATTGATGAAGATGCTTTGAAGCACCTTAACGATTTCGATCGACACATACAGAGAAATCGGTATCAAGTAACTGTACAGCAACAGGGCTGTCAAGAAGTGCAGTACAGCAGCAGCCGGAGCGTTGCTCGGATCAAAATACCGTCTCGTATTATCGGGTCTGAGGTACCATCTTCGATGCCCGACGTCCAAGTCCTCTTTCGTAACGATCCCGAAGTAAACCGAGCCGACAAAAGCCATCGAAAATAGAAGCCCGAATAGAAAGTAGACGATCTTGTCCGTTTTCCTTTCGATATTGCTTCTCTTGGAGGGAGGAGGAGTCGAATTCTGAATCACCTTCGTGTCGTGTCCCGTAAAAATAACGGCTCCGTATATGTGGTCCGTGTTTCGCAGCTTCGAGTCTCGGAGGAGAAGCTGCTGAGGAGACAGGGGATGCTGATGTTCCCCGATTTCCATGGTTCCGACAAAGCTGTACAGATGAGCGTTAGGATCTTCGCATCTTATTACAGCCCTGAAATCTTTAACGTCCTCCTCCTCATTTATCGTACTTGATGTCACTTCTAACGCTTGTTTGAGCTTTAAATTCGTCTCACCGTCGAGGTTCATTGTCTCGACGTAGCAGACGGCGTCTTCGTAGCTCGACGAAAGGAGAACTAAATCTGCAGGGAAGAACTCATCCTTCTGTACCTTAACTATGTCTCCCACTCTTAGATGTCTCCATTCGGTTTGTTTGAACTTGCCGCCGACTTCATGAACCTTCACCTTTCGGTTGTTGACCTCAATGTCCTAAAAGTTACAGATGAATGAATGATCGTCGTGTTTAAAACGATGGAACTGTTTGAGAAACAATTTGATAAAAATAATATAAAGTGTGTGGATGAATGCATCTGGTTGAGTATTAGGGAAGTCCGAAAACAGCGACGGAGAATCTACGAGGCACTTGACAAAACCAAAACTTATGTCAAAGTTACGACAACATTAAAATCAAATCCAGTTCATAGATTCCTCAACTGACAAAAAACAGAAACATTCTTATCCTATCGATCACTTCCGGCGATTCCCAACATGCACTCAAAGTTGTTTGGACAATTTCCAGTTCAAGAGAATCCAAGGCAGGATAGGCAGACAAAATTAATCGAGGGGATTAAGGATAAATACCTGCTGTTTACGGCGCCAGTCTTCGATGCCTTCTTTAATCATGGTGGCTCCGATGACGATAATGAGGGGAACAATGGCGCTGACTGCAGAGTAAGGGGCGAGGGAGGTGAAGGACAGGATTCCGGTGACGAGGAAGTAGAAATTGGCGACTCTCCGGAACTGTTCGAACAGAGACTTGGGTAAGAAGGTTGCGGCGGTGTACTTGGTTGTCCGAACGTAATTTGTAGCGTAGTTTCGGAGGGCGGCGTCGGCGCGGTCCGGTTCGTTGCAGTGAACCACTCTGGAAAAACCCGGTCCGCCAATCTGGGAATGTTGTTCTTCATCTTTGGATGATCTCTTGTCACGTTTGAATGAGAACTTGCTCAAGTTGAGCCTCTTCTTCTTACCTGTTCTCATACTTCTCCTCTGGAAATCAACAAATAGAAGAGGAAGAAAGAAGATCTTGGTGTAATAATGAAATTCAGCTTAATTGAGAATGGATATTTAGCTGATTTCTTTTCTTTTTCTTCCAGATACCAAAAACCTAAAGGGAATAAAAATCAGAAAGGTGGTCTTTCTCCCAACTACCCAGTAATAAACAAATATTTGTGCAGACAACCAAGGAGTTTGTCCTCGACCCCCAATAACTCGAAAATGGAAAACCCAGTTGGTAAAAGGGGATTTATAAAAAATAGAAAAAGGAAATCAAGATGTAAGAATATTACAAGCTACCCCCAAAAAAAAAAAAAAAAATCGAGGCAAGAAAAACCGACAAATGGTGCCGCCATGAATTCCCCGAAGGATTCGATCTTGACGATCCTCTTCAGCTGCCTCGAATTCAGTCATCAGCTGAAGAACATGTGAAGGGTCGAATTCGATCGAAGCCGAGGAAGAATTGTTGTGGGAATTGAGGAAGAAATGGAGATGGAATTGTTGGTGGATATTTGCAAAAACGACTCTAATGCAAACGATTGACTTGGATCCCTCCCACCCTCGATCATTTTCTTATGCCTTAATTGACTTTTTAGGCCGTTGGATTTGCGCTTCGGACACGCGGAATGTTGGAAGAACGTTTCAAAACTCAACGAACAACCGTTTCCTAGAAAATTAGTGAGTAAAATTAGACACAGACAATCACAGCACCCGTGTAATAAGTAATATCAGTACCATCATACAATTCTGCCATTACTAAATAATCCCAATCAGTAAAAGTAAAACGATGTGTGTGTAGATGCTAACTTGTCTTTACCTTTTCTGGATAATCTCCCTTCTCGATGTTTCTGGAGGAAATTTACAGAATAAAAAGGAAAAGAAAAAACCAGGAAAGAACGACGACGTATTAATGAGAACGAAGGAGTACTAACGTGAGAAATTATTAATTATTTCTTGACAAACTATTTCTGGAGAAATTGAGAAATTCTTAAGATGTTTATCGGAAAAGAGGGATCAAGGGATTGTAAATTGTAATGGAAATTCTTTTTCTATTTTTGGGGTTAATTACGATCGGAGAAGATAAGAATTCAGTGCCGGCGAGCTTTGGGAGTGACGCGACGGCTGCGCCACGGCGGCGATATATGATCGAGATCATGACATAATTACGGTCAAAAAAGCTTCGTTGTCGTTCAAATACTGTGCGATGATCTTAGGCCCTTTACGAGGAGGAGCCCCCACACCGAATGTATATTTACCATCTGTTCTTCTTGCACAGTGCCTACGCTTTTCTTGCAGGCGTTTAACGGATATGTTTTCTTCGGGTCCTGGGACCTCCGATCCGGATTGAATTTACGACGTGGATAATGTGGGGTCTGAGATGAACGGTTCAGATTTAATTTAGGATTTGCATCACCCGGGCAGGGAAGAATTGTTCCCAGCAGACATACTCCATAGGACATCACAAATTTACATGTATTCAATTCCATTTTTGTCAATCAATTACATTTGGTCTTTAATAACAGAATTCAGTACCTGTGAATTTCATGTAACAAAAATTTTGTATGTTTTTGTTGAATAAAATTTTAAATAATTCAACGCATATAGCGTTTAGCATGATATTATATATATATATATTATATTTTTAGCATATTTAATACAAAATTATATATTTAGTTATTATTATTATAAAATAAGAATAATAAATTAAGAGTTGATATATATATATATATATGTGTATATATAGTATAATTCAATAGTACAATTATGAAATAAATTAAACACGTAATCTACTAACTTGGCAAATATTTAGAGCTTAGGTTGAAAAAAAGATGTATAAAGTTGCGTATTATAAAAATAAAATATTGAACTATACTTCAATTTAATTTAATTTAATTTAATTGAACTAGAACATATATGTGTGTTGATAAAATTCAAGGTTACAACAATCAGTTAATTAATGAATTATTGCAATTTTATTCAACAAACTAATTTAAGACAGTTCATAAATGATATTGAAAACCCTAAATCGGTTGATGTCCCATGTCTTGAACTTGACTTTATAACCCAACAATTAATAGGGAAGTCGTTTTTGAGTTTATTTAATTTTACTGTATCAATATGTTACACCTACAAAATATTATATTCAAATTAAACTCCAAATAAATAAATCAAAAAGTCTTTACTATTTATTTTCAAATACTCTAATTTGATCGTGGCCACTGGTCAAAAAAATATTGGTGTGTAATTGAATTACCAAGCACCACAATTTGTAAACATACACTTATTCAATATATACACATATATAAATAGATAGATAAGTAGACGTATTGACTTGCTAAATTACTAGTAATATTTTATAATTAAAATATTAAATATTATTTAATATTCCACGTATGGGTTTATATGCCAACTACTCTTTCTACAGCTTCAATAATAATTAATATTTTTCAAAATTAAATATATATGTGTATATATATATATATATTGATTAGTATATGGAAGTAGGTCGCAGCAGCCAGCGAGACTCATTGATTGCCATTTGATGAATGAATACATTACTATTTTTTATTTTTATTTTTATTTTTTTTCATTATATATTTCTGTTATAATTAAAATTGATCAATTATTTAACTGCTTCAGGATTTTTTTTTTTTATATTTAAATAATAAATGTTAATGACAGCACGCACAAGTCAACCACGCTACTGGCTAGAACTTAGAAGTCGTGGTGTTTGAAGTTAATTACTCTCAAATAAATAACTATTAATATAATTTATACATTAGATATTTTTTCTACAATATCTTATGTACGTCATATTTTAAATTTTTTGTTATTTTATTCTTAAATTATCTTGAGTTTTGAGAAAAGACGCAGTAACTAACATTTGTCATCTGTGCAATAATAATAGAATTCTTTAGTAGTAATTATTAATTGCAATTTCTAAAAAAATATAAAAATAAAACCTAGAGGGGTGGGCCCCATAGCCACGTGTACACGTGTGTTTTTTTGCAGTTTGGATGGATTGGAAACAACACAGGCAGGCAGAAAAGCAACGTAAGCATTTGCAATTTACTTTTATGGCTTTATGCTACAATCAATCAAATTCATATATAGTATATATATAAATAATTATTTAAATGTTATTATTTTTTTAATAAAAATAATATCTAAATTAATTTAAATATAAACTAAGATACAAATGATCATACCAATCATTATAGATGTCCATCTAGAACTCAATTAATCAAATCAAATTAAATTAAATTGAATTAACCCTTGTATTGATTGATAATTTAATAATTATAAATGTGAGTGAGTCCAAGTTTTTAATTGGTTATTATGTATTATGATGATTCCATCAGTTCGTTAGACTTGATCAATTCCAGATCAGCTGCCCTAATTATATATTCAATTAATTAAAAAACTTTTTTAATAATAATTCTTCATATATGTATATATATATATATATATATACAACTTAATTAATTTATATGTCCTAATTGCCTATGTAGGTTAGGCATTGATCATAAACTTAAAGTCGGCATGCATGCAAGTGATCTAATTGACTTTCTTACACCATAGACTTAAAATAAATAAATAAATAAAATTCTAGTAATATACATATATAGTTGCCAATTAATAAGTTGTCTATTTAAATGCATTAATTGGTTCCCCCACACACTGTAGCCCCTAACATATCAATGCCCACAAAAAATTAAAATTAAAATAAATACTTCATATATATATTTATTTATTTATTTAATATACATAAGCATGACTGAATGAATAGATATGAATGAAATTAAATAATTTATAACCATAATCCAACCACTTCAAATCGCCAATTTCATACCAACCACCACTCATCCTCTTATATCTGTATCAGAAATCAACCAAAATTAAATGACATAAGAAAAAATATCCTCATCACCACAAGTGGATTTAATCAATTAAATAATTAATTAATAACGACAACGAACAAGAACGTCTTCAAAGTATACCGAAGATAATTTAGGTTAAAATAACCTATTTTTTTTTGTTACTAATATAACCTATACAGTTTGTTGTAATAAAAAGAAAAGGACCCATGAATGAACAATTGGTCTCTATTTATGTGAGAAATTTTGTTTGCTCATTATTTTGGGTCACTTTCAATTTTTGCAGTATTTATTTAAAAATAAATAAATAAATAGATTATAATATTCTATGGCATATTCATTTTTAAATAAAATTGAAAGCCCCACCAGCTAAGGATTAAATTAAATTAAATATTGGGTTTGTGAATATAATTTTGTAATGATTGTGATTAATATGACTTTTTAGAATGAATACAAACTTTTTGACGTGATGATATGAGCTGCGGTTCTTCGAGGGTCTGTTACTTTCCATCATTGGTAGTCAATCTTTAATTCAAGATATAGGAAAATAAAAAATTTATGTGATACTTATCATCTCTTAAATTAATTTAAGGAAAAAAAAAATCAAAATGAAGATGCTTTTATATTTGTACAAAGGAGATTGAGAGATTGTTTACTATTTCATTAGTTAATTTAATTTGTCGATATTTTGAAGAACGTGTCACTGGGTAATTGGGGGAAAATGATGCACCGATTTTGGAGTATTCAGACAACGAAAACTGTATTAATTAAATTTCGTGGGACAAGAAATGTTGTTACACGAGGCTATTATAATATTCAACAATTAGAATATCGAAATAAAAATAAATAAATAAGTTGATATTTGGCCTATTTCTGTTACTCTGTCTTGATTGGGCCATTAATTGGGCTGGAACACTACAACTAATCTGCTGCTTTGGGCCCACTTTAATTGGGCTTAATGGGCCTTAATTTAATCGTTAAAAAAAATTAAAAATGGAAATTGAAATTTGCTGAGCTCCCGCCGACATGCGTTCACTGAGATTCCCTGCATTGAAGCAAAGATCAAAGAAGATTCTCGTCAATCTCTCGCGAAGGTAATGATCATTTGGTTAACCTTCTTGAGAGTGAGCTTTGTGTAACACTTGTGTAACGTCAGCAATCCGGTACGACTACCGAGCGAAAGGTTCGATTCCGAGGTCATTCAGTTGCTGCACGCATTGCTCAAATGAGGGCCAGTATGCTGATTCGCTACTGAGAACATGAGATGTAAATGTGAGGTCAGCAACAAGTGTGGGACTGGGAGTGAGAAAGGAGGGGTGAATTTAGTTGTTTTGGAGAGTGGACTTAAGCATGGACATGATTTGGTAGTTTGTTCCCATCTTCTTCAAGAGTTCTAGGAAGAGGTTCACAAGCAATCGGACTGCCTTCTGGATTAAATGAGAAAACAGAGCGAACTTAAGCATGGACATGATTTGGTAGTTTTGATAATAGGTTGCGGATGCAATCTGTAAGCTTCTGCTAATTGCTCTGTTTCTATTATTGTCGTATATATGAAAGTTTAAATTATCTTATTTCCTGCCAATATTCGGCATCGAAGAGACGTGTTACTCCACTGCCAATGCTGAAATGATTTGCATAAGGGAAGCATCAAGCATGCTCCAGACATGGAAAGCTTTCAGTAATATTCGCCCATTTTTCGGTTAGCATATCCTATTGTCTTGCTACTAACTTAATTTAGGTGTTTGGAAGATAGTTGTCTGTCATTAGCTGTTGAACCAAATTATTGTTCTTGGTTACTGATTCCTTTTTGTGCATAGTCTTTCCACTTAGTTTCATTTACATTAATTAGTGATGCCTAATACAAGCTTTTTTTGTAATCGGTTTATATTTTCTTCTACAGGAAACCACACTTAATGTAACACTAGAATGATGCCATTAATGGGAAATTCCACGAGTTTGCCTCCTTCCATTTCAATTTTCTAAAAGAAAGATGAACAGTTTCGATAGTAAATGACATTCAGCAACAATGGCAGAAATTTGGTCTCTTTAACACATGCTTTCATTCAGTTGTAAATCTCTATTTAGTTTTAACAAGTTTGTCATTTTTGTGCATTCTAAATGCCGACAGTGAACAGTTTCGTCAACGTACAGCAGTGATTATGCTATTGATGCTTGGCTTGGCAAACTTACATGGCCAACCCATTGGATGACCTTTCTAAGAAAAGACATCATTGGAGAATTGAGCATTTTGCCCAGGTAATATTGTTTGATGTGTCTATAAATGATGTTGACATGTAATATCACTATCTTGTTTCCATTGCTGAACACTCATGCAGCCTTCTGTTCCTTCTAGAACCCAGGAAAGAGTAGGTGTTCATTCAGGTGTTACCTTCTTAATGTACTAATGAAGTATTTGCTGAACAATTGACTCTTAACGTAGTTTCATTTTGAGCTTATTGTTGGTTTTCATTGATAGAGACATCCGACCATAGTTGGGTGTCCAGCCATAATCGAAGATTTTGGTTGAAACCAACAGTTTGGTTCGAGATTTCCCTGTATGGATGGCACATCTTTGTCATAACTAGAAATTTAGGTTTGTTTTTGTGGTTGAAAATCCTCTAATGTCCCTTTGAATGTCGTTAGAATTATATTAAATGTTCACATCCAGAATTGAGGCTGCTGTATTTATCAATCTTTGTTGTTCAATTCACTCGTCTTATGCCCTGATTGAATTTCTTGTTCATATAATAACCAAAAGGGCTCTTTAAGGAAATCAAGAATGGCAAATTGAAGAAGTTTGATGCTAAAGCATGACACTTTATAATCCTTTTTTCTTGCATGATTATATTTAGTAAGTAGAAATGTATTTTGCTTTACTCTAAAGGAAACCCTTAAAGTTCAACAACTCTATGCCTTAATATCATTACTGGCTGTCAAAGATTACTTTGATCTATCTATCTAATATAGGAAGATTGATGATAGCTACATTGCCCCAATTTTACTCATTTTTGATTGAGCAGTTAAGCATTGAACACCTGCTGTTAGCAACTATATCAAAGGCACTTTCATCATTACATCTGTTAATTGACATCCCACCAAACTCTAACATACATTTATCTGTACATACATACATACATGCATACATATATATATATAGACAGGTAGAAGATCTGATCAGCTCCAGACATCAGCAAAATGGCTAAATTGCTATGGACTTACATTTCTTGCTTCTGCATTTTTCTGACAGCTGTCAACAGCCAAGCTCCGGCAGGTTCGCCTCCGGCGACACCATCCACAGCTCCACCGCCAACAAGCCCTGTCGCAGCATCACCGCCACAAGCAGCAACCCCGACTGCAGCTCCTCCAGCCACCCCTGCCGCAGCAACGCCACCACCAGCAGCATCAACACCTCCAACCACCGCGCCGCCTGTCTCGTCACCACCACCCACCTCAGCAGCCACCCCATCCACTGCGCCATCAGTCTCCCCCACCACACCACCACCAAATCCACCTGTATCAACCCCTGCTCAACCGCCAGCATCGCCACCACCTTCACCAGTCAGTTCTCCACCAGCACCACCACCGGCAGTGCCTCCTCCTAAAGCCTCCCCGGCACCAGCACCAGCCCCGCCAGTAAAAGCACCCGCCCCAGCACCAGTGCCACCACCGCCACCACCACCAGTCCCCGCCCCGGCCCCATCCATTGCATCGCCAGTGCCAGCTCCTGCACCGAGCAAGCACAAGAAGAGGAAACACAAGCACAAGCACCACCATGCTCCGGCACCAGCGCCGACAGTTCAAAGCCCTCCGGCGCCCCCTACAGTGCAAGATACAGAGGAAACTACACCGGCGCCGTCTCCGACTCTAAATTTGGTACGAATCCAAAACCATCTCTAATCCATTACATTACATTCGAATAGATCAAGATTGTATAGTTTCTCATCCTACATTGGATTGCAGAACGGAGGCACGTCGATCGATCAGAATGGAAGAACTAAGATGCAAGTCACTGCTGGAGTTGCATTGGTAGCCTTCTGGGCTATCTCTATCTCCAGCTTGTGTTCTTGAAATTGTACCAGACATGATCAAGTTTCCTACATATACTTACACGCACATACGCACAGAATGGAAACATTTTGAATGAGAGAGAGGTGTATTGACATACACCAGAGCATCACTGCATTTTTAACCACTATTTTATTCTTCCCTTATATATGACATTGTTTTATTTAAATAGAAGAGGAGATCTTAATTTTTATTATTCAATATTTGTGGTATCTAATAATTTATTTATTTAATAAAGTGTCGCATTGAATTATTATTTCAGCCAAGATCAAACTCCTAAACCCAAAAGAAAACAAACCATGAAAAGAGATATTTAAACATGATATTTATAATCAAGATAATCAAATCCTAGTTTCATCAAAAAGGCAAAGTACAACATAATGAATGTAACACAGCAAGGCTGAGAGTATCAATTGGAACCCTAATCCAATCCTCACAGTATCCTTTCAGTAACTTGCAGAAGTTTGAAAAAAAAAAAAAAACTGCAGAAGTTAGATAGGGAACACATGAGATGAACAATATCATAGTGTTAGGATCTAAGGAATAATGTATGTATGTATGTGTTGTATATATACATATAAGCAGCTCATTGTCAAGAACATCTAAGAAATTGGCACACCCCCAGTATTTTTTAGCTCTCTGAAGTATCAGGGAATGGAGAGTATAAAGTCTCAGTTGAGCTACAAAAGCAGAGACAAAAATAGTACTGAATTTCTAACTCAAGATATTGGCTTATTGATTCAATCATTGCATAGTTTTCACGTAGATACATTTCATGGCATATCCCAACCACAACCTAGGACATTTCCCGAAACCGAGCAATGGCTTTCTTCTGAATGACGGCTTTGTAGCTATCCCCGGCCTGCACCTCCAAGCTTGGATCAACTTTCTTTGGTTGGTGGCTCCCCAATCCAGCTCGGGTTTCTACAGACTGTGCCTGAACAGGCTCTACCATACCACTGCCGTCTTTCCCAAGTCCCTGGATGAAGATTCAAACAAACAACCAGACAAGGAAGATACCAGCACACAAAATCAGATGAAGATGGTGGCTATAAACATGGTTGCTGGCGACAATATACTGACTGATGCATCTCAACAGCTTACACTGTTGTTGCAGGCAATCGAAGAAAATGCAGTTAGTGAGGAAAAGCTATGGAGCTAGTAGCATGGAAGGTAGAGTTTAATTGCTTAAATTATTGGCAGAACTTTAATGGTGTGATCTAGGACAAACAATTTGTACAGTATGGAAATGTAGGGATAGGGATGGTACCGAGCCTTCATGCCAGCCCATATTGCGTAGCATCCGATTGCCCACGTTGCTTTCATCAATTGCCCTGTCCGCCGTAATCACGTCATAAGTATTTGCATCTGCAGCACTTCTCCCACCACCAACGCCAGGAGGGAAAGGAATGGAGGAGTCTATAACACCCCTTCTATACATTGGATCTCGATCTTCAAGTCCCCGATGACAAGAACATAAAGTTTCTCACAAGTTAATACAGAGTCTGTAGAGATATTAAACTAGCAATTCGACCATTGGAATCTCATCCTCGATAATTTCACACATAATTTGGTAGTCAAAGCTTGAAGTTAAGGGTTTAGATATTAGGGATCAAGCTTGAAGATCAAGGCCAAGCTATATTCCAACTATTGCCTTTCACGCCTTAATTCTGTCAAAACCCAAGAATCATATACCGCCAACGAGTAAAGCTAGCACAGTATCTGACTATCTGTTCTTATCTACAGCTAACAACACCCAGACAGAGTATAAGATGAAAGGTGGAATATACGGGAAGTCAAAGATCACTTACTTGAATCTCCAACTCCAGAGTTATCCCCAAAGCCTGGGGATGAACCATACAAACTTCTTCGCTCAGCTGCCCGGTCTCTATATGGAGTTTGAGACTGATCTTTATTGCCAACTGATGAAGCTGGCATCTCCGAAAACCTTCGTTTACCAGTTCCAGCAGAAGAAGCTGGAGCATAAGAACCTAATGCAGAAGCATCTGTTCTGAATGGCATCGACATTGAGGATGCCTCTGCCAGCGAAGCAGATCCCACAGAAGGCATACCAAATGATGAACTGGGGGTAACTTCCCCCGCACCTCCATAAACAGTATCTGATTTCACCACCCCCATTCCAGAACCCCTGATAACCCCTTTCAGACCTCCCCCTGAACTCGAAATAACCGTCCTTGACCTGTCTTGGGATTCCAGACCAGTTGATTGAGTTGAGGTAGCTGTATTTCCTGATGGAACCATAATGTTATCTTTTGCTGCAGGTCCTTCATTTTTGAACTTGGTCTTTGCAGATGAAGTAGGCCCAGCTCTCTCTACAGCAGAAGCTGAGAGTTGGCTGTCATCAACGGCCACACGTGGTGCTTGACCCTCATGACTTCTTTGCTTCCACATGTTCAAGAAATTGTTCATCTTCTTCTTGTTAGCCAGGATGCTAGTTTTGGATGCAAGCTTTATTTCTTTCGATCTTTCCTTTTCCTTCTTCTCTGCAGCCAATGCAGCAGCGGCTGCAGCCTGGACAGCATCTGGTAAAGAAGCTGACTTCTCATTTGATGTTATTGTAGCAGCAGGTGCAGAAATAACAACTTTTCTACTGTTGGAACCATCTGCTGCCTTGGTGGTTCCACTTTCACTTTCAGCTGTCTTGCCATTCTGATTGGTGCAGGGGATATACTGCTGGGTTTGTTGATCAAATGAATACCAGATACCATTGTTGCCATCATAATATAAACCTGCAGGGCACAGTAACTTCAGTAATCAACAATGAATGTATTCGTTTGGCTTATTTATTTAGTTCTACTATTCACAATTTTTTGCCCCCCAAAAATCAAATACCTATGTTCTATTTTTTATATTAAAAAATTAATTCTATATTCAAACTTCACATCAATTCCTATTTATATCACATCAAATAATCAAAAACCCCAAACAAACACACCCAATCATTTCGTCAAGATAAAATCAGAGCTCCAGTTAGCAGTATGTCCTCGAGACAATCATGTATCAAATAAGCTCTGAAGTCATCAGATAAGATATCAAGGAACTTAAAAGAAGGCAGGCAGCATTTGTACGCATATATAAAAGATGCTGCATTTACCAAATTTATTACTCCCTCCGTCCCACATCTCATGTCCACCTTTCCATTTCCGTCCGTCTCACTTATTTTGTCACTTTCCTTTTTGGGAAAAAAATTATACACTTTAATCTTATTTTAAAAAATTAATTTGTAATTTTTTTAATTTTAATTATACTAATCAGTTATCTTAATCTTAATCTATAATTATTTTTATTATAGAATAATTATTTTTACTAATACATTTTTAATTATTTACTAATTATATCCTCCTAAATTCCCATGTCTATAGTAAAGCGGACAAAATATCCAGTACAAAGGGAGTATTTTTTTTGTAAAAAGATTTAATATTAAGACATCAATAGATCATGAACACTGTCCATAACATCAAATACAGGAAAGATTACTGCTTAGATAGCAAAGGAGGCAAAATGACTATTCAAACAGAAAGAGAACAGTGAGATAGGAAAACCTGTATTTCCATCATAGTAGAACCCAGACGCCGCATCATAATAATAACCAGAGGCTTCGTCCCAAACAAAACCAGATTGCGGGGCACCTGCAACTTGTCCACCCTGCTCTTGACCACCAGTTGCTTGATTATCATCTGGATTATATTCTTTAGGTGCCCAACCAACTGCATCATACTAACAGGCCAAAGAAGAAAACATGAATATTGGCGCATGTATGGATCACCAAAAGCAGCAAAAAATAAAACATACATAACATAGAAACAATTACTGCTCACACAAGATTACAAACTCAAAATTGGATGGAAACCGCATTAACATGTAATGTAAGAAGCAAGTAACTAAGTTTTGGACATGCTTAAATAGCAAATGATATGATACACTTGGTCATTAAATGGCCAATGCAATACCACAATGAAATATAAATACTTCACAGCATCCAATTCAGACAATTATCGATTATACCACCTAAACTAAATGTCAAACATTGCAAGAACTAACTACAGCACAAAATTCCTAATGTGCCCATTAGCATATGTGTTGCAGATATAAACATAATACCTGCTGAGCAAATGTTGCTGCTTCGATTGCAGCAGCAGCAAGGCTGCTTGACTGAGAAGCTCCAGAAGCAGCTGAGCCGGGTCCAACAACACTTTTGGCATAGGCGACTCGAAGAATCTGGCCATTTTTTTCCAAATTAGTACCGTTTGTTGCCTCAAGTGCTTTAGTAGCATCCTCAACCTGAAAATCAGGTTATAGACAATCATTGCAATTAGTTATAGATATAAGTTTTATTTTGTCAAAAAAAAAAAAAAAAAACTGCAAATGGTTAATATTACTACAGGATAATAGATACGTTCTGGTCCTACAAACAACATAAATATGTTTTTACAAGACTAAGCAAAAGCCACTCTAGGCAGAGAACAAAGAATCTACATCGATAATGAAAATCATTAAAAAAATTGGCTTAAGTACACCCAATCTCACATACAAGGGAACTGGAAAATAAATAAATAAATATCTGAAATATAATAAACAGATTTTCTGATCTGTAGAAACAGAAAACCCAGCATCAGAAGGGCCAGCATCAGATATCCGATCAAAGAGAACATTTGCATACACAATCAAAGTACCATTTGGCCATGAATAATCACTTTAAAGAGTATTTATCATCAGAAGCAGGGAAAGGTTGAGCCAAATCTATATTGTGAATACAGTTTACATGAGTACATAATTGCCATGCATCATATTTATAATTAAATAAACTACATTTTGATGCATTTAATAATAAACTTATTACCAACAACTATGTAATAAACCAGTGAAGCTATACTTACTGAAAAGAAATGAACAAATGCAAATCCTCTTGAGACATGTGTGAACTTGTCTCTAACAAGTCTCAAATCCTGCAGTGACAAAATCATTATAGATATTAATAAAAGGAAAATCAAACAAATAGGAGGAGATGATAAAACGGGGGGATTTTTGCACCTTAATGGGAGCATGCTTAGCAAATTCATAACGAAGCATTTCCTCGTCAGCATTTTCATCCAATCCACGGACAACAAGAACATGGGTGGGACCTGAAATTTATCAAACTAAAATTCAGCAACAAACAACCACCATACAGTGGACAGAAATTGGTGTGTAAGGTAACCTGCTTCGCCTCTCTTGCCAGTAGATGTCGGATTTGATGATGCCATATCAGCTGGGGGAGCATCTTCTGTTCTAGGCTCATTACACTGGTGGGACATGCGGTAAGGGATTCCAGTTAGTTTCATAAACAACATATCATATAGTGAGGAACCACCAGGTTTCATAAGCAACATATCATGGGATCCAACTTGTGATAAGTAAACAAGGCATCTACTTTCAGTTGTCAATGCATTGACAAGATATGGAGATGCAAAGGCAAGATAGATCATACGATTTTCATGTCTAGAAGAAGCACCCCTTATCGCAGCTCCCTTTGAAATTAAATACACAAATTTATGCAACATTGGAGGCATATAGTAAGATTATTAGAAAGAATAATGAGAAATTTGGTTCTGCATAAAGATGTAAGATTGCAACCAAAAAAAATGACATAGTAACTACCCATAAAAGGGTGCCAAAAAAATAACCTGAAAACAAGATGTTCTTCTCGCAAAATTGACACAGCCACATATGATGCACATCCAATCTGATGGCACCATGATACTTCTATGGCCACCTGACCTGGATGCACCATCAGTTCCAAGAGATCCATTAGCTCCCCCAGTTGGCTTACTACTGCAACAATAGTCAAAGCTTACAACAACAATTTGAAATCAACATTAGCTTACCACGGTGGAAATCAGACGTCGTAGAAGAAATAGCAGTTCAAAAAAAGATATAGATGGAGTGCAACACTCTTGAAAGAGAACAGTGCAACACATCTGATGTCTAAATACAAATATACAAAGCACAAGGAGTTTGGTCCAGTTTCAAATAAACATGCAACCATTCCATTTATGGCTGTCAATAACATTGTAGTTATGCTTGCAGTCAGTATTCTGATGGCTGTGTTCCACAGAAAAGTCAACCATTTTCAAGATATACTGCTCAATTAACTGAGCAATCCAGAGATGAAAGAATGCACCAACTCCATACAATGATTCCCACAGCAAAAAGATGCTTCAATATCATGAACCCATGGCAAAGTTAGGGTATATATACTATACCTGTATTCAAAGAAGAGCTTCCTACCATCAACAAGTAGACCTTCATTCCCAAGTTTATCCATCATTGCTTGTGCTGAACCCTGATAACAAGACTAGATTCATTTAATTTAATTGAAAAGATTTTAAAATGTAACAGAATAACAGTAATTTCATACCACAGAAGGAAAATCAATAAAGGCAAATCCACGAGAGATATCAGTTCTTCGCTCTTTAATAACACGAACATGGCGAAGGGGGCCCCATTCAGCCTGGTGTGGGGAAACAATAATCAAGCATGTGCCAAACAAGAAACAGTACCAAAAATGTGGCAGCTGCCCTAATGTTTAAGTTTTAAGAGAAAAGTCTTAGGGTGATAATAGTTACAAGGATCTGATACAAATCTTCCTCAGTTGTCTTTTGAGAAAGACCCTTTACCACTACTGTAGCAGAGGGAGCCTATAAAGAGAGAGAAAAACTTGTCAGACCATTTCTAATAATAATAATAATAATAATGATAATAGACTTTGGCGAATGGAACGTACTACAGAATAATGATCATGGTATCGCCTATCATCACGGTCTCTTCGCCTATCCGATCTATCATAGCGGCTGTCATCATAGCTGTCTTCCCTGTGACTTCGACTAAGACTCCGGCCTCGAGGAGATCTAGATTTTAGCCTATCATCGCGACCATGGGAACGAGATCGAGAGCGTGAAGGAGAATGTTCATGTCTCCTATATGGGCTTTCATCCATTTCCCGACTCACACCTCTCCTGTCCCACTCACGGTCCCGAGATTCACGCCTTCTCCAATTACCATCCCTTCTGCTGCCTCGATCATAATCTGAATCATAACTTGATCTTCCATAATCATAATCTTTATCACGGCTGTCCCCCCTGCTTTGCTGAGTGCCACGAGATTTGTAGTCATAATCATCATATCCATAGTCATCATGGTCACGCCCTCCATATCTCGCAGGCCTGTCAATCCATGAACATGACGGGAGACACAGTGGTTATAAGCATATTGGAGCATAGACTTATATTGGATGTATATGAAAACTAATCTTGACAAAGAGAATGAAATAGTATCACGGTGCAGCATCACATAGTACCGTCTATAATCCCTCTCATAATATTCCTCCTCATATCCTCTCCTCCTTGTTTGTGGCCACATACCAACTGACAGCGGTGGAGGGGGATAGTTATCACTCTCCAAGACATCTCGATGAAAGGCACCCCTTGGGTAGACATTTTCCCTTGAGAACCTTTCATCTATAAACCTCCTATCATCATAAGATCCACCATCCCTGCCAAAAAATATGAGGGGCAGAAACATAGAAATATGCGATAGGAACAGGGTAAACCATCACACAAAGGAAAATATGACAGAAAGCATATCTAAGAAATTCGCAGAAACACAACACTAATAAAATTTGGGGAGGGGGTGCAAAAAAGCATCAATGTACACTCACCGAAAGTTTGAATCATGAACAGCACCATAACCCTCCAAAGCCTGTGGATTCAAGAGAATAAGCTGTGTCAGCAAGTAATAATCATGCTAAAGGTAGGCAAACGATTCCACATCCTCACTGTCCCATGGCTTCTCTCATGTTCTTTAAGGAAGAGAGGCCGGAAAAAATGGACAATCACATGAGCTTAATTTCTTGTATATCATCCCATATATGTGATGAAAAGGAAACCACAATTACGCTGTTATTTTCCCATCCTTGATGATGACCATAGCGGCCAGGATCCATTGCTCGACAAAGGAGCAACCTTTTACAGCAAAGCTTTTCCAATTGATGTGAAGTAGCACAAGATATATTCAAAACTTTCCTGTAACCAATGAACAAACAGGAGTCACACCATCAGGAGCACAAGCACTTATCAGCCTCCTTTATTTGGCCAAATCTCTCGTCAAGTTCTTGTAGCAAATGAATTAAGGTTCTGAGGACAAATATCTGGTTATTTTCTCTAACATGCTCATATTGATCACACCTAGTCATTTAACTTTGTCATTTTCATTCCCATCATTGGCAAATATCTGGTTATTTTCTCTATCAAATGGCATTGAAAAACTTGTTCAAAGTGGTAAAAATTCAAACAGCACAAGCCCATCAATAAACTAATAGAAATTAGCAGCAAACACTTTCAAGCCTGAGGACAGCACAGCAAAACATAGAAAAGCTACAGAGCTAAAAAAGTACAGACAGTATGTGCTATGTAAAATCTGGGCGAAGTACAGCCTTTTATTTCAAACTCTACCATCAATAAAGAAAAGGAAATGAATAAATTCTCCGTGAAATTGGGGTAGTTTAAATGTCAATCTTCCGACACAAACTTTAGAACCCTTAAAACAGTTCACTCACAACCCCTGTCGCCGAGAATCGATTTTCAAGAATTAAGGGTAAGAGAGACGAATGATGGTCACAAAACCTCGTTAACCTTAAATCATTGTGAGCCCAAAAATATTGAATGGCCCCACGATGAGACAAGGGTAAAGAATATCCTACGAACAAATCTTTCAAGATCCAAACATTGTTGTCGTAGAACATTACAAAGAAGGAGAAATCCCAACTTTTCTCAAAAAAGAAATATATATGTATGCAATGTCTAATTCACGAATCTCTATTGTACCTCCAAACTAATTTACGATGCAAATAATTGCCTCGATTGATCCTTAGACTGGTCGCCCATCCCTAGAGGAGAATTAGACGATAACGAAACACACACGCGCACATAACCAAATTCAAGGATATACGCCTAAGAAAACGGGACACAAACTGATGTGGGAAAAAAAAAAAAAAAGGCAATCATCGAGACATCGTCGTAGTCGAAACACATCAACAAAACTCGAATACCGTTTCAGGCACAAAACTCAGAAGATCCGAGCTTTCAATCAAGAAATCGCGTACCTTGAACAATATGTTGGACGACACTAAATAATCACCCACAATCTCGGCCCTCGACAATCTAGTGCTCGTATTCTACGTCTAGATAGTGTGGATTACTACGGATTAGAGTGATTTCGATCAACGGAGAAACGCCTGCCCTAATCGGCATCGATGAGAAAGAAATGAATGCCAGCTGAAAATTGGGTGTGGGCTTTAAAGACTCGGATATATATTAATAGTACCATAATGCGAAACTCGTGGAAGATATATTGGGCCAGGCCCAATTTGTTAGCCCATAAAAATACCGTAAGCCCAAACGATACTTTTAAAGATGGAATCGTAATTAATCAATTACTTAAATGATTACTGGTCAGTGTTTGCTTAGCTTACTAAATAAATTTTTTTTGACACAACAAAAAAGTATACTATTGTCATCTCACGCCAATTTTTATAATAGATTTAGAAAGGTTAGTATTTTATTAGTTAGTTTTTGATATTTTTATCATTTTATTTAATTATATGTTAATTAAAGCACAATAATAAAATATTATAGTGTAATAATTTTTATTATAATGAAAAATATTGTTTTTGAAACAAACAAAAATATTACAAATAATATTTTCAATTACAACAGATATATATATATATATATTGCATTGATAAAATACAAATAATGGTCTAATAATATGAGAGAGTGAATTTATGACTATATTTAAATTTAGCTTATTATCCATTGATATATTTATTCTTTCTTTATTAAGGTGACTGTGACATTGTTAGCCTTAAATAAGCTGAGCTACAAATTACTTTTTCTCTCATTTCTTGCCTCCTCCTTTGGCACTTGATCCCTAAATTACCAAACCCATGGAGTTTTTATTTTCACGATTTTTATCTACGTCTTAACAAATTTAAATTTTAAATACGAAACCTTAAACCGTACCTTTTTCTTAGGTCCCCTCGGTTTGCGAGGGGCTCGGCCTTGTTTGGGGGATGCGATAGAATAATAACTCGGTGTATAGTTACATCGAGTGCTAACTCAGTTTATGGCATGATGCTGGGAAAAAAAATCGAAGCTGATATCATTTGAGGATATAATCCTCAATGTTTCGAGAAAATGTTCTAATTCCGTTAGCTTAACCTGCTCCATGCATCGAAAACTCCATGTTTATATCTGTACTCAAAGCCCGTGTCTCTCGTGATGATGTAAGGTACAGACATCTCAATTTATTCAAAGTCGAAACAGACAAAGTGGAAACTAAAAGATCCATACCTATAGCAGTTTAACGTTATATTAAAATGTTGACGGAGACGATTATCCGGTGTTCCTCATTCCAGCAGCAATGCCATTGATGGTGATCAGCAGGGCGTCGCGCAGTTTCTTGTTTTCGTTGTCTCGTCTTAGCCTTTTAAGAATCTCGACCTGCAGCATGTTCATTGGATTCAGATATGGAAGCCTGCTCTCGATCAGCTTCCTCAGACTCCGGTTGTTTTCTGACAACTTTTCATGTCCGGTGATCAACAGGACATACTCCTCCGCAGTCGAAAGCTCCCCCCTGAGGTCCTTCCCCAATGGCTGCCGGCTCGATGACACCAAAACTTCATCATAATGCTTGGCTATAGGGATGTCTGTTTTCCCCAGAACCATTTCTATAAGGTCGATGGTGGATTGGAAGAACGGCCACTCTTGGTACATAGCTCGGATATCTTCAGTGTGGCCTTTCTCGCAGACGCCCTTCAGACCAGCGCCAACGCCGAGCCAGGCAGGGAGGACGAATCGAGTCTGTGTCCAGGCAAAGATCCATGGAATGGCCCTCAGGTCTTTGATGCCGGGTGATGACTTTCTTCGCGTTGGACGGCTTCCAATGTTGAGAGAGCCGAGCTCGGCCTGAGGTGTTGCCTCGTGGAAATAAGCAAGAAACTCTGGATTTTCGTAGACTGTGTTGCGGTAAGAAGTGCAGCTGATCTGTGAAATTTCGTCCATCAGGCTACGCCATTTTAGCTCCTTCGGTGGCAATGGAGGCCGGAGGGTTGCTAGAAGCACAGCCCGCGTGTATATCTCTAACTGCCGGACAGCCATTTGGGGTAGTCCAAACTTGGCCTGTACCATTTCTCCTTGTTCTGTTGATCTCAGTGTGCCCTGCTCAATGCATACAAGAAAATCATAGCTGTTTTTGTAACTGTCTCGGCGCATTTCAGACATAACAGAACACTAATGTAAGGAAATCTAGAACATGGATTCTGTTATAAACTTGATCTTACCATGACTGAGCCAGGAGGCTGGGATTGAATGGCAAGATATGTAGGGCCACCGCCACGTCCAATGCTGCCCCCGCGACCGTGGAAGAGAGTAACTTTGATTCCAAATTCATTGCATGCGGCGACTACATCTTCTTGAGCTTTGTAAAGTTCCCAGGCAGCAGAGAATCGACCGGCATCTTTACCCGAATCAGAATAACCAACCATCACCTATTGATGTTTGATTAAGACAGTCCAAATCAATGACAAGAAAGATTGAAGGAGTGTTTTACATGAACTGAACAAGTTTGCACTCTGCATACCTCCTGGTGCCCGCCGTGGTTTTTAATTATATGTTCACGGTACCAATCAATTGAGAGTAGCTTACGGATTACTGAACCAGCATTTCTCAAGTCTTGCACGGTTTCAAATAGAGGAGCAACCCGAAGCCTGTATAAACCAGATATATATATATATATGAAGGATGTTTGTTCTATTTATAGCTTTAAGGAAAAGTATCCCATTAGCTAGTAAAGTATAAACTTCTTCCAATTGCGGGGCACAAATAAATATGAGAACCAATTTCTTACAGTTTTAACACAAAATCCTACAATCTGTTACTGGAAGTTGGAGGTTCATAACATGTTTGGACACTAAGAAGTGATTTTACCGTTCACAAGTCATTTAATTCAGTTTAACTTATTTCTTATAGATGGAAGTAGAAAAGTAGATCAAACTTATGTCATTGTAATCTTTCATTCTAAAAATCCTATATATTAATGCAGGTGTTCTTGTCACATTTTAAACAGAATTGAGGAATCTTACGTTCCGCCAGGACATGGCCTGCCCAGTTCTCCAGCAACTGCCAAGCGAGCATCCTTCTGTAAAAGCTCCACTGCCAGAACATCGCTGGCCTGACAGTTCATTAAGGTAAAATTGTTACTAAAATCACAGAGAGCAACAATAAACTTTGACACGAACTGTTAAATTGTATTAGCACTTGGAGTCCATAGATATCATACATTGGAGGCCATAGAGATCACATATGCTCCAAGGGAATCGCTTCCCAGTTCAGCTGCTACCCTGAAGGTGTCCAATACTTCCCTTATTTCAGGAGTAACCTGAAAGAAAATAAAATATTCAGAGCAGTAACAAGGCATACATGATACCACTAAAGTGTGTTACTTAATTTAGAAAAAATGAAATGTGCAAGAAACAGAATGCGATGCCACCATGTTTAAGACCACAAGATACACTGCATGTTCTTATAAAATGAAGCTAGCTGCATGAAAACTAACAAGACAGGATCTAAATGGAGAATTGTCATCAAGCTACTAGTGGTTTCAAATTTTGAACTGCATTAGAAGGTATGTGTCCTTTACCGATCACTTCATAGTTTTCAAGCTCAATGTATCTCTAGATCATTGGAATGATAACAGACAACCAAATCGTCAAACAAATTGGCCATACAATGCTAACAATAAAAATAGCAGTTAAACACGTGCTAAAATTTTGGATAAATAAAATAACACAAGCATTACTTCAGCAAGCTCAAAAGACACCACACATGACCATTCAGTTTACATTACCATTCGGTTAGGACATAATACATGTTGCTTAAAGTGTTGAGCAACATTACATGTCCTAAGTTTAGAACATGAAATTGAGAATACATGAAAAGATAAAGATTCAAAGTTCAAAAACTTAAGAAGGAACCATTGACTCCAAGGAAATACCTCTATAGATGTAGGGACTAATGGCCTCTTCCCTTTGAGCTCTTTTGTCAGGAATTCAACTTTTTTATTTTCATCCCACTCACTATAGGTACCCATATCTAGATACTTCGTTATAGCATCAAGTGTTTCTGAATGCTTACCAGATTCCTGGTTATATCATGAGAGACATTTAGCAAAATTCACAGAACTAAACTCAGATTTCTAACATAACATTACCTGACGAAGGTCAAGCTTCATTAGACCCATGCCAAATGTAGAAACACGTCTTATTAGGTCAGCGAGCCTGCCGTCAGCTAATATCCCCGAACCAAAAGAGTGCTGCCAATGTTAGAGTTAGTCAGTACATCCGTTCATGCATATAACAAAACAGATAATTAAAGCGAAGATACCAGCGAGTCATAGCACAGAAGTAGAGGCTCCAGAAATTGCTCTTTTGTTTCATAATAATCCCCAGAATTATAATCACAAGGAAGGTCCTCAAGGAGAAGTTCCAATCGTCTTCGTGTTTTCAAAAGCTGAAATCAGAGAAAAAGACATCTTGTAAGTATATTTGAGTGAACTTCTTATGTCTCATGACTCTCATCAATTTTCAAGTTCCCCTTACATGATTATACCTCAAGTAGATGTAGGGCACACATATACAAATTACATGAAAATTAAATGAAATTCAAATATTTGCATCTTACCCTGCCTAACCTGCTTTATTAAGAGACTAAAACCAAGTAGCAAACAACAATGTTACAGAAAGCAATCAATTTTTCTTCATTTTTTTTTATCAGAAAGCAATCGATATTTTTGTGCGAACTAACGTTTGCATGAGAAGTCACTGCTCAGAAATCATAAAAAATGGTCATATATACGCCATCACAAAGAACATTATATACACAAGATATTTATCATGCAGAACTCATTTTTCACATATAAGTAAAATTTACCTAGAAAAAGTCATTATTAACGATGAACTACATAATTTCAAAAAGAAAACAACAGGCATTATCTGGAAGTATAGTTGATATCTAATAATTTCAGAACCAGAAAGAGAACCTTTGCTTTCACATCTCCAAGAACAATTCTGTAAGGAGCTAATCCAGGTATATGCGAAGAGCTTGGTTCCAGAAGCTTGTGAAAGCTTGTTCTTCCTGTTTGAGACTCAGCGAACAGTCTCCTCTGAGCCAAAAGTTGGGCTGAGTTAAGAGAAGATCCTCTTGGTGTCACAGGCTGAGGCTGAGCATTTCCTGAGTTGTTAGCATTGTTATTTCCATCTATTTTCACGGAAAGTCCACCACCATCCTGCCAGGAGAGGAGCAATGTACATTAAAAAGGTATGGAACATATAGGATACAGAAGTCTGAGAAATAAAAATTGATTCTTCCATAATAAACTTAACCTTGCGATTGAATGGCTTGAAATCTGAACCAGGAAGATCTAATGGATGATAGTGAGAGTCCACGTCATTGTGATCTACAAGAGACATTCAAATGAAGATAGAGGGAAAAATTAAAAAAAAAACTGCCGTGAACAAAATGCATGCAGTTGTGAAACATTCTGGAAAGTGCCGAGAGTTTTTCCAAATGGGACTCCAAAACAGCGAAATGGACTGATTTTAAGGAACAACAGCACAAATTTGGAGCCTGAATCAACATGAATGACAGTTTTCGTGTCAAAAACCTCACTCTCTCAATATACAACAAATCTTCACACAAATTTATTTGGTATAATGAGATTAACGGATAAACAAAAGATATAAAGTTGCTTAAACTCAGGAGTGAAATGTTATACAGTCATCAAAACTATCGAGATCGTGAAGTAGAACCTGCGCAAGAGGGTAAGCCAGCCCTATCCGGAAGTTGGGTTGGAAGGGGTGAAGCAGAATTGTTATGATTCTTAAATTGGTTCCAATTTTCATGCCTGTCTTCAGCTGACTTCTCTGAAATAAATGTTAGATAGAACGAGTTTAGAATAGAAGTGCAGCTAGATGTAGGATCTAGCATACAAAGGTAGCTCAAAAACATTACACCATTTATCATAATTTAACTTTGAAAAGAAATGCATTCCTAATAATATAACAGCATGCCAAACCGTTTTTTAAAATTTGATGGGCCAGTGCTGATAATTTCTCATTGCATTGATTCATGGAGAGTTCAAATCTTAGGTTGTCAACTTCCCGTAGAAAGAGATCAATGGACATCCACCTTGATAGAAGAGATACATCTCTTGTAACCTGAACCAAAGGAACAACACACAGCAATCAAAAAATTAGTGTATTACCATAAGTAGTTTAGCTTTACACTATATTTTCTTTGGAATTACCTTTGCTGTTACATTCGGATTTCCGTCTCGATCACCCCCCATCCAAGATCCAAATTTTATTGGGGTGCATGTCAAAGGCAGTGCCTTCCCAGTATGCTGTGAAAAGTGAACCAGTCTTTAAGACCAGAAAATAAACTGCACAATACAACTGTACGACAAATGAAATTAACCTTCTTCAAAGCGTTGCTGAGACGACGTAGAAAATGAGGCACGGCTTGCCAAAGTGATTGCTCCACGATATTCAGACCTGAAAGTGCAACATATTATATTGCAAAAGTGACAACATATCCCTCTAAACAGATATTATGAAATGTACCAGCCCTGGCTTCATCAACTGGAGTAGGCTTGTGCCTTCTGAGCTCATCTGTTTGCCATATTGAAGAAAGCTCCCTCACCTACAGTACCGAAAGTATTCAAGGACAGAGAATCTCAAGAAATCGGTTCTACAAATGTACAATCTTTCAAAGAAAAGCACCTACCAGATCTTCTATCAGCACTTCTCGATCTTCTTGCCCGAGGTCAGGCCGATCATTATATTCTAAAAGATGCTGCAAACGATAGAAGCATACTATACATATCAAAGTGAAACGCTATACCCATACTCAATATCCACTAATAAAAGAGCTGGAAAGTTTTTGCAAGAAACATACTGCAATTCTAATATGTTTGTATTGCAATGTGCGTCGATTTATTTGAGTGGGATGTGCTGTCAGGACAATTTCAACTTCCTGCAGTAGAACTCAGCCAACATCACTTTACAAATAAATAAATAATAGCTATTGAATATTAAAACTAGAAAGAAGGAAAACAGAAAGTATTTACCTGCTTACAAACTGCCTCGTAGAGCTTATCCGGAGAAACACCTGCCTGCACAAGTTGATTTAATGTATCATCAAGAGCTTTTGCTAATTGTACGGTGCCTCTAGCCTTAGTTACCCTGCAAGATTGCAACAGATGGTCGTTATAGAGAACATCAAGTCTCAACTCACGTGCTTTTATCATTGAGACCAATAACATCACTCAGAACATCAAAATATTGTTAAAAACGTGAGTGGTGGTGGATATATTTAGAAGATCTAGAGGGTAGAACTTCTCCAATTTCCTTGACATGATTTCTCAAGCACAAGTTCACCAACATTCAATCTCTACTAACTATTGTAACACACACATTTCTTTCACAAGACAGCCCTCTTGGCAAATGATACACTAGTGTCTATTAATAACAGTAAGATCAAAAGTACCTGTGATGAGTTTCTGCAATCCCTGTCAGGTTTAAATAATGGCTGAATGCTCTGGCTAGCGCCAATGCTTCCTCAAGTGTCATTTCTGACAACTCTGCAGCCAGTTGCTTCTCAAGAAGCTCTGCTGTGTCCTCTATTCCCGCCGTCCTCATATTGCATGCACACTACAGAACCCACAACATTTTAAGTTATTAGTAGTTTACGCCCGCAATTGATAGACATGAAGAATTAATGCATAAATCGCTGCCATGTGCTCATCCACAGAAGACAGTGATAGAGCTGACTTTCTACAGAAACAAAACATGAGTACTATTCCATAAAACTACAGTAGTATAAGGAAACCAATTGCCTCTGCAATTGAAACGTCTCCTTTCTTAAATCCGTAGCATGAAGTCATTCGCCAGGTGTAAAACAGGAGACAGCATTGCAAAAACCAAAGACTTGCTAGCCATCCATGCGAATCCAAAATAACAGCATGATATGCATGGAGCAAAGGCACTCTTTTAATATAATAAAAACTACTCCTCGTCCGTAAGGATCAATCCAGGAACACTAAAACCGGAAGAACTACAGGAAATTCTGCTGTTACGTAGATGAAGGTAAAAAACAGGAAACTTCACACACAAACATACGCATAAAAGCACTGAGCAGTTCTGCAAGGTAATGAATCGCAAATAAATAAATGCTTTTCCGGCAAAGCTAAAAAGAGCAAAGACCTGAACATATCGAAAGCAAATTAATTGACAAACAAAAGGAAATGGAGAAATCCAACCATAGTACAACCAAACAGCGGTATTGTCCAAACAAACAAAAAAAAAAAAAACGATTTGAAAACCGGAGACAAACAAATAAAACTAAAACCTGAGCGAGAACTTTCGTCTTCTCGAGTTTCTCCACGAATCCAGATCCGACTTCTCTATGAAGAACGTCGTTGAGGAGGTTCCCCAGTAATCTGCAGTCATCTTCAAATCCCTGGAATGATATTTCCTCCGCAATTTCATCGATGATATCCGTCATGATCCGTCCTCCGAACTATTGCCTGCGAAGAAAAGCAAGCGATTTGATGATTGGCTAAGTGTGGCGATTCACGTTTCACGCTTATTGGAAGAACAGAACAGAAACACAACAGACTACAGAGACGCTCACCACTGGGCGGAGATGTAAATGGTTTTACCGTGCGGAGGGGCGAATGGAGATCGCGCCACGTGGCAAAAGCACCATCGTTTGTGGTAATTTGTTGGCCCTTGCTAATCTATCCATACTTCAAATCATTCCTTTTCTGCATTTATTAATTTACTATTTTACATATATATATATATATATTTTTACTTTCGATATGAATTATTATTATTATTATTATTTTTTAACGTTTATGAATATGGAAGTTTGTAAAGTAGCTTTAATACTTTATTAAAGATATTTTTATTTCACGAATCAACTACAGTTATTTTTACAAATATTAAGGTTATTCAGGGAAGATCCCGGGATCTCAGATCCCGATAAACTATATCAATTTATTCATATGCTCCGGGTGTTGAGATCCTGGGACCTCACATAAATTATTTACATAATTGTTATGTACTATTACCGGAATGGAAAGTTACGATTTGACTGCGAAAAAGTTAATAATGCATGATTGCCGTTATACTAATGGACCCGTTAAAATAATTATTATTACTATTTTTTATTCTGCTTCATCAATGATAATCTTGAAAATTAAAATATTATCCACTTTACTATTATATATGCATATACAAAACAAAAGTTGGCCAATGATTTGCTAGCACTTCATGATAGTTTATCTTATTTAATCATTTAAGGAAGATAGATTATATTCAAAGTTGATTCTATTACCACTTAAACCTTATCAACCTGCTCAATCCATATTCAAAGTTGATTCCATTACATTACATGTATCTTCTTTTTTCTTTTTCTTTTTTTTTTTTGTTACAGCTCAAGCTGTTTGTTTTTATATTTTTAGTTTGAGAGGTATTTTGATGCATATTGATAATATAATAAATAATATTCTGTGTTGGAATAACATATTCATAGTTTTTTCTTATAAAATATCACAAATTATTTAGACTAAAACTCAAATAAAAAATACAAACTCGAATCAAAACCAAACAAACCCATTATATTTATTTTATTACTCAAGACATAACAATAATAAAGGGTTTGTTTCACTTAATGTTTTTAAGTACAACGATTTTTCATAAATATTATTTTTAAAAAATTACAATATACACTTATTAGTAAAATATATAAATTTGCTCACAAAAAAGTAACAATTAAATACGAAAGTATTTTTTTTATAATACTACTAGAATTACTCATATCTAAGATAAATAATAATAACAATAATTTAATCTAAAACCACAAAATAAACAAACCCAAAATATCATTACATGCCACTTGCAATTATAAATATATCACTATATTAATTTATGATTTATCTATTATACTTTTAGAAACATCTTAATGGATACACTCTTACGAACTACTTGTTATATACTAAAATTTGCGAATATTCCTTAATCAATTTAGGTGACAAAAGTAACTAGATAAATGATTGAACCATATAAAATTTTATTTTCCGGTTAAGCCGGTGCGGAGAATAATATTTAAATGAAATGGGGATATGAAAATAAATTGTAAGATATGGACTTTAAGTGAGTATTAGTGGGTCCCACTGTCACATGCGTCTTGTTTGGCCAAATTTCGGATTTGGAGTTTATATAGGGCAATTTGTCTAAGCCTGAATCCGTATTATAATACTACATTACATCAAGTGCTAAAAATATTTACTCATCTTCAATCAATGCTTACAGAAATTTTCACAGAAAATAGAATTTTGAGAGCTTTAAAGTTTTGAAAATTTTAGAAATTAGAAAAAAAAATAAAAATAAATAAATAGTACTAACTGCTCCATCATTAAAAAATTAACTTGAATTTTAGATACAGAACTCGTATAAAAGTAAAAAAATAGTTGTAAAGCTGTTAAACGAACCAAGCCGTTCGTAAACTCGGCCCGATTCAGTTCGGTTAAAGCTCGTTCGCGAACGTTAACGAGTCGAGCCGAACAACATAAACAGACTCGTTTGGTTAACGAACGAGCCCGAACTTTGTTCGCGAACATTCACGAACGTTCGTTTAAATATTATATTTATAATAAATATTATATATACATATAAAATTATAATTTATAAATAAATAAAATATTAATTTAAAATATATAAATAAAATAATTTTAAATTTTCTTTATAATATATATATAAATTTTAAAAAATAAGACAAACGAGCTCGAACGAGCTTAAACGAACCGAACACAAACACGAGCTCAAATAACAAAAATTCTTAACAAGTCGAGCTCGAACACTACGAATGAACTCGAAAACTTAACAAACAAACACGAACCTTGTTCACGAACGTTAACAAACACTTAAAATTTAGCTCGACTCAAGATCGTTAACCGCTCTAGTGGCAAATTAGCAAATATAAAAGAAGAGTGATCAACTTTGAAAACAAATCAAATATTTAATATTATATCTTATGAAAATAAAAAAATATTTAATATGATATTCTTTATAAAGAAAAAGTCAACATAGTCCATGTATATAAACAATATGCTTCCGGGTCTCTAATTAAAAAAGTCTTTTGAATTTTATAGTAAATTTAAAAGTAATAATATTTTAATAATTAATAAAAGTGTCTATAAATTTTTGATATTTTTTTTATTTATGTATAAAATAATTGTATATATAATATTTATATATATTATTTATTTATTTTATTTTATTTTTAAAAATTAAATATTTCTAAAATTAGTCCCTATCAAGCTTATTCATCTGGATTAATAAATGTTTTCTGAGAAAGATTTATGAGAATGACAGTCTGCTTCATTTTCAGTGGAATCGTTAGAATAGAAACACCATCAAAATATTTTGTCGGCTAGCGACAGAGTAAGGCCCGCTTGCCAAATACGACGCCGTATCAACTCATGACATTGCAAAAGACGTTAGTACTAAGTACACGATGCCGTGCATTTATTTAGTGCTACAACTATCTGCGTGGCCAAACTCCTCGGATGATCTACACCATTCCGTACACGTGGGACCAGCACTTTCTACGGTCCCGATCGTTCCGCAGGTGGGCTCCGTAAGACATCGCATGACATGCTTTCATACTGCTTTCTTGAAGGATCCGATTTGTTACAAAGAAAGCGGGTAGGATCCCGACGCATTTGAAAAAAGGCCCAAATATTATAGATAAACCCAATTTTAGAAATAAGGCCCAATTTACCTTAAATTATATCTGGGCTTAGTTTTGGGCTAATAAAAAATAATACAGCTGGGCTTCGTATAGGCCCATGTACAACCCGTCTTCTACAATTTTTTTTTTTTTTAAAAAAATTGCAATGCAATGATAAACGAAAATTAATATTGATTTTTATTATTGAAAAAAAATATATAATAAAAATCAATATTAATTTTCGTTTATCATTGCATTGCAATTTTTTTCCATATATATATATATTTATTAATTTATCCATGCATGTTATCTGAAGGTGTGTGAGTGATGGTCAAAAGCTCCTTAGATGTGGATCTTACATCATTAGGTTATTACACGTTCTTGATTGTATAATTAATAAATAAAAGAACAAATTTTTAGGTGTATGATTAGATAAATAGTCCATAAAATTCTGCACCCAATTTCTAAATTAATGAATTTTCACATTAGGGGACTATAGTCTATACTAACATGTGGGGCGAATAAAGACAAAATCCTAAATAATTTATTTAAATCAATAATAATAAAATAATAATAATAATATTATTATTATTATTATTAAGATCCACTCACTAATTGTTGTATCTTAAATTCAACAATTAAAACTAAGTAATCATTGTGGCCAGGCCACTTTCCAGCACATTCTTTCTTTTACTCATTAAGGTTTTATTGGCTCGATGCTATTTTTGTCATCATTACTCACTCTTCTTCTCCTCTTTAAATAAATTTTAAAATAATAATAATAAATTATTGCGGCAGAATTGAGAGAAAAGTAATTTTGTTACACTTAATTTAAATTTACGATCATCAATAATATTATCTCAACATTAATGCCTCTAACTGTAGGTGTCCACGGCAACTATCCGAAAGCGCCTGGACCACAGCTCCAAAAACTGGCACACCCTACACTCAATCCTGCATGGCCTCGAACTCCCGGACTCCCCAAGAATGTTCATACAAAATAAAACCAGACAGGAGCCCACAGTGCTAATAATTTCCCACTCAGCTTTGATTAACTAAAAAAACACCAACAGTGTAGCAAATTAAACCCCTCCCAGCAATAAATACAGTGATCGAATCCACAATTTGTGGTGTCTTTTTTAGGAATTAATCTGTTTTATTTTCCCACAGATGGTTTTCGATGATCCATTTATTCATTCATTCATCGATCTCTCATTATCATTACAACTCCCTCAGCAAATCAGCAGCCCCCACCAAATTAAAGTCAAGAACAATTCCCTGTCTGAATCCTCTGAATTCCCCCCTTTTCTTTTGTTTCGTTTCTCACTCCAAAATCTGAATCTGAAATCTCACCCGTTTGTGGCCTTCCTCTGTCGAATTGCTGTCTCCATTCTTCTCTGCATCCCTCGTTTCTGCAAAAATTTTTGCTTCCTGACCCACTTTGGTGGGACAATCTCAATCCGAGAGGGGATTATTAATTCGATCGAGGGTTTCCATTAATTTCATTACAAGAAAAAAGAAAGAAAGAAAAAAGGAAACTCGATATGAAGACAATAATGGCGAGAAGCCCACACGATTCGTTTTCATTTTCATTTTCTCGGAGGTACTTTAACTGGAAGAAGAAATTTTCCGAGGAGGAAGAGGAAGAAGAAGAAGAAGAAGAGGAAGCTGAAAGAGAAATCCCGGCCGTTGATCCGTCGAGATCTCAAGATCAAAGGGGGAGGAAATCTCAGCCGTCGAAATTCCCGCTGCAGCACTCTCTGTCGGCGCCGCGCCCGGCGTCGAGAACTCCGAGGAAGTACAAGATCTCAGCGATGGCCGTGTCCAAGCTGAAGTCGGCCCTGGCGGTGGCCCGGGCCCGGGCCCGGGCCCGATTCTCGTCGGGGCTGGGGTCGAAGGTTGTCGGGACCCTGTTCGGACAGAGGGGCGGGAATGTCCATTTCGCGTTCCAGGAGGATTTTAAGCAGAGCCCGGCCTTCCTGGTCCAGCTGGCGACGCCAACGAGCGCGCTTGTCCGGGAAATGGCGTCGGGGCTCGTACGGATCGCGCTGGAATGCGACAAGGTTAAGGTGGAGAAAAATTCGGGGGCGGGAGTGAAGCTCCTGGAGGAGCCGTTGTGGAGGGCGTACTGCAACGGGAAGAAGTGTGGGTATGCGACGAGGCGGGAGTGCGGGGTCCAGGAGTGGAAGGTCCTGAAGTGTGTGGGGCCGATAACGATGGGAGCTGGGGTCCTGCCCGGGGAAGAAGGTGAAATAATGTATATGAGGGCTAAGTTTGAGAGAGTTGTGGGCAGCAGAGATTCAGAGGCTTTCTACATGATGAATCCCGACAATGCAGCCAATATCACTTCCACTAATTGCAATGGAGCCCCTGAACTTAGCATTTATTTGCTTAGACTTTAATTTTAGTTTCTTTTATTATTATTAATATTATAATTACAATCAATCCTCAAACAACATTGGTGTATGTATGTATGTAATGTTCTTGAGTAAGTCAATGCTGGTTTTTGGATTTGGAAAGGTGGCGGTATATATATATATATATATATGTGTGTATGCAAATGAGAAAGATATTGTTGTAATAATTGTATCCTCGTGTTAGGTAATATAGTTTCTTTGTTAATCTCTCTCTCTCTCTAGAATGTTTATGTTTATCCCTCTGCAATTGGAATCATCGATGGAGGATGAAATTGGGAAGAAATGGACAAGGGGACAAGAAAAAATTAGTATTGTTTGCAATGATTAGGGATGGTTTGGCAAGTACATCACATGTATGTATGTATGTGTATATATTCTTTATTGGATTTTGTTACAACCATTTGTCATCTAAAAGAACTCATTTCATTTTCACCGCCCAAGGCCCAATATGGCTAATTGGGCCTCTATTTAGCCCAATATGTAGAAAAGGGTGCAATAACCTGAAATGGCTATTTTCAAATAAATAAGAAAAAATGTCTAAAACAAATAATCATCCTCAACAATTAGCAAAAAAAGGACTACCTTCATTTATTATGTATACATCAACTGTACATCAAGTCGTCTTACAAAAAATTCTATGATTCAACACCACCAAAATTATACAATGATGTCCTAATATAAATAGGCTCATCACTATATAGATCAAAAAAATAAAATAAAATAAATAAACGAACAATACCGATATTAATTGTGTCTCTTGGAAGGCGCGGACGGAGGAATGGGTGTCCTTCTCGGAAGCTTAGCAAGATACAAACTATCACGATATTTATCTTGTAATAACTTCTCATTGTCTTCCAGATACTTTTTTGTGGCATCGAAACCATCCAATTCCCTCGTCGATAATAATGTCTTCCCCGGAAACCTTCGTATAGCAAAACAAGAATTGTTGAAGAGAAGAAGTCCCACAAAAATGATGCATATAATTTTTGCCATAGAAGATATTTTTTTTTTCTATGCCTTTATTAAGGGTCTTAGGGAAATAGGTATATATTTATAGACAAAAAAGGTAGGGAAAATGAGAATTGGAAAATGAGAGCAGCTGGAATTTGGGACCAAAGTGTTTGACACGTAATAATGTTGACTTTGAAAAAGTCAACGACCAGGAAAATTGCAGGGGAAGCCGGCGGTAATGTACGCATCATTTTTACATTAATTTTCTCGATTTCTTGACGGATATTTGGGGGAAAAAATGTTATTCAGTGAGAAAACTTCCCTGCTGCTTCTCGTATATATGTTTTTTAAAATGTTTGAAGTCAGAATAAGAACAAAACGATTATAGAAAAGAAAAAATGAAAAGTCAACTGCTTAAAGTAGGTCTTGACCACGAAGTGGGATTTGGACATTTGGTGTTTTTTGCAGTGTATGTTACGGACAAACAAAGTCGGCGACGAAATCCATCGTCATTATTAATAGTTATTTAACATAACATATTAACAGTAAATAAATAAATAATGTTAGTAGTGGATGTGCCCCAAACTTGTCTTCAAATTATTGAGTTTTTGTATAGATTACATTAAATAATAAAAGGAAATGTTGAATTATTATTTGAATTAATTTAGTACGAATAATATATACTTCTTTGAAAAAATTTCTAACGTTACGGCTGCAAGAGTTGAAATTTTACCAATGAGAAATCAAAGCAATTGCTGTAACAATTTCAACACCGACCAAAGCCTGCTTTCCGACCTGTAATATAATCTACTCATTGTACACAACACGGCCGTGTTAATCTCGAGCCTTACAGCCACGGCCATTGACAACAGTTTTTGAATCACACAAACATGTACGAGAGGATGTCGGATTAGAACAAACCTGAATCAGAGCTATCATCGCATAGTGATGACGAGAGTCCGATCGATGAATTTGGCACCGGCGACCTTCCCCTGAATCTGAGACGGAAGCTTTACGATGCGCCTCTGATCCCCGGCTTCAACCAGAAGCTCCGATCTACCTCTAAACTGCAAAATGTTTTTAAAAAAAAAAAACCAGACACAGTTGAGAGAGATTTGCATGGCTTTACGTAGACATAGACAGCTTCGAACCTTACTTGATACAGCTTAATTTCTGACTTGTCGAAACCCGGCATGAAAAGCTTCACGGTTTTATTGGGCGGATCGAATTGCACTGAAGACAAGAAGGCCGTCTCGGCAGTGTCAGTAAGTAGCGCCCGGGCGTCGTTGCTTTGACTGCTCGACAAGATATCGTTCCAATGGAGATCGCCGCCGATTTTGAGATGCGGAATGAAAGTGCAATGCAAAGGCGAAAACTTGAGCTTCATCAATTCGGCTACTTCTGTGGCAGAAGCTTCCGGAGCTACGCCAAATGCACCCGATATTTGAGCACCGGCTTGAATGACACAACCCCAGTAGCACAATGCAGAGCTTACAGACAAAGAATTGCTCGGGTCCATCACAAGATAGCAGCCAAATTTACGAGGCTCTGCAAAGATTGCACACGCTTTCTGTACAAACAAATCATATTGCACATTAGTATTCTGAAATTCCCAAATGATTGCCCAAATAGTTATCACTAAACACCGTATCGACCTCTAATCTTTGCTCCAGGAGATCCCACATTTCGGAACTGATTTTTCCATTTAGATTGGCACCACTGCCACTTAGATTGAGGGTTTCATCAGCTAGTCGCAAGAGGGACGGACCCGCTACCCTCCCGAGATCCGTCTTTTCAGCAAGACTTCTCAGGTATTTCAAGTATAATCTTTGCAAGGAGCATATAAGCAATGAAATAAGCATAAGAACACAAACAAACACACATGATGGAGGAGCAAAAGGAGTCTTCAGTTCACTAACTAACCTCGATTTACTAGTTGCACCAATCAAGCGAATCGTTTCTTCAGTGCTTATGCCATCATACACGACCACATCGAATTTTTCCTTCTCGGTGTTCCTCCGAGTCATAATGCCAAAGAATCCTATAAGCCGTTCCAGCTCCAAAGCAGAAAGCATAGAATCCATCCCAGGAAGTACACCAAGCTCCTCACCCACCACCTACAACAATGTCGAGAGCTGCATCAACAACATATTCACTTGGATAAAGACAGAGAGTTTGGCATTGGGTAATGTTCAGACTGTTAAAGAAGGCCATCACATACCTACCCCTTCAAGAACACCTTGTGTCAAATTCAGACGCGCATCAGCTTGTTTGAGCAGCTTAAGGGGTTCCAGGATCATCTGAAATAAAAGAGCACCACTCGTGAGAAGAGAGAACATATTCGAATAGGTACATCTGCTTTACTTTATACGTAATATACCTTTGTTGTTTCAAGCCTAATGACAGACAAATTGTCGTTGCATTTGATAGGTGATGATGATCCAATCTTACAGTTTAGAAGATATTCGGCTGTCTGATCTCGAGAATGTATCAACAAACATGTCTTCAGCCCGCTGAGTGCATAGTGCTGGGGAGAGATAGTGTGAGCATCTTATAACATACACAAAGAAACAACATAATTATCTTGTGAGAAGAAAGAACAAATTTACAGAGTGGTGACACACAAACGTTCATCTTTTGGAGATAAAGAGAAGAACAGAACATTTTTTCGAAGAGGTCTTATTGGTAACTGATAATGGCGATAGATAAGCAATACATTCAATTGGATTACTCTGATTCATCGTATTGCTATCATTTTCCATTATTATAAGGTATCTCATTGCCAATTTTCTATTCAATAGATCATCCATGCCATTAATGTTAAGAATCCGAAACGATTTCTCCTGATTGAGAGGATTTTCAACCTAATGAAGCCCTAATTCAAGTGCAGCACAAACCGAAATTATCAAATTAGGGCAAAAGAACAAATGAATCATTAGCACGCTCAAACAATAACAGCCTACTGTTCCCCAAAAACTAAATTGAGTATCCGATCCAAAAAAAAAAAAACAAAACTAAATTGAGTAGATAAATTGCGAAATGTCAGCCTGAAAAGACAAATGCCACGATCGACTTCACAGCCTAAGCAGTCAGGATTAGACGACAGAAAACACAAATTCACACACACCTGAGCTGCAAAAACGGCAGCAGTTGTTTTTCCCGAGCCGCCTTTACCCAGAAACGTAACCAACCTAGTCGGATTATCATAACCAGCCTCGCCTTTTACAGCATTGGCAGCCATCACAGTCCAAGTCAAACCCCCAAACCTCTTCGATTTCCTTCTTCTCCGAGGCGTTTCGGGTGGATAAAAAGTGTACAAATCTGGAACCGTCGAACGACACAAAAGTGATTGCCGGAGGAGAGGTACAGCGCACGACGCCATCGATTAACAGTGAAGCGTCTGGAGTTCCGACGGAGCGATCGGTGCGGTGGTACAAAAGAGGATAAAATATAAATTGTATTATTTGCAAATCAGCCCATAAGGTTTTCAGAATACCTCCCCCGCCCCCATCCTTAGCACGCAAATACTTTGTATAATGTACAATATAAAAATTAACTAACATATGTTTATAATACTAATCCTCATAACGAAATTTATGATAGAATAAAAAAGTGTACAAATTTAAGCAAAGACTATATAGCCACACCATCTTACAAAAACAGTGCAAATCTATTCCTAACTAACATGGGAATCAGTAAACTGCAGACGTGTCCAAACTCCGGCCGTCAAAATTCCGCAAAGGGCTGCCGGCGGCGAACGCCGCCGCCCGGCAAGGTGACTTGGGCAGTTCAGACACCCGGTTGCCATCGTAATCATAGAATATAACGCCGGAGAAGTCGAGGGGCTGGCACTTCTCCCCCATGAGGATGGCCTTACGCCACACTCCGGCGGTGGCGCCGTCATTTTCATTCGGGCCTTTGTTGTTGCTATTGTTCTTCTTGACCTGCTGCAGCAGCACCAGTGGGACCATCGCCTTCTGGCTTATGGCGGTGACTAGGCGCTTAGGCGATCCAAACACGGCCTTAAGCTTGTTTGAATCGTCGGAAGACGATGAAGACAATTTTTTGGCAATTTGGATTCTGGCGTGTTTGGCGCAGAGAGATACGAGTAGAGAAATGGAAACAAATATGGCTATGGCGAGAGGGATTGGGGAGGAGAGGAAGGGTGCTTGGAATTGGGTACTTAATGGAATTGGCCTTACCATTTTGTTCGTCTTGTTCTTGATCTTGATTTTGTTTTTGTTTTTTTTCTTCTTTTTTTCTTTGTGGGTGTTTATTTATTTATGTATATTTATAGGGGGGGATTAAATTGATGAGATGATATGATATGTGTAATGGATGAAGGCAGTGGCAGTTGGGAGGGGAGAAGAGACCAATTCAAGTTCAACTATATATGTGCTGACTAATTAAATTAATTGGGGGTTATTTATTACATATGGTATATCGGGGTGGTACTAATAAATGATTGTGTCATGTGTGGGATAATTAAATAAAATGTGGATGTGGAGGTATATTATGATGCATTATTGGGACAGTGACAGGGAAATTAACCTTTGATGTCCAAGAATGGACATGGATCACACAATTTTGTTACTTACGACTAACTACTATTATATGTATATGCATGCTTCACACTTGACACTTGACATTATTAATATTTAAATATTAATAAAGGGTATTTGGAATGTCAACTGAGATGTGCATGTAGCAGTACTTGTAGTGTAGTAGCATCTATTTATGACTTACTACTGAGGTGTGAGGGAGGGGGCATACCAGCATCAAGTGGAAATAAATTAAAATAAATAATAATAATAATAATAATAATAATAATAATAATAATAATAATAATAATAATAATAATGTCAATTATATATATATATATTGGTTATAGTATTGATTTATGTAATTCAACATAGTGTATCACATTACGATAGATCAATATATAATTACTATTAATATTATACAAATATAATACATAAACTAATATCATATCACAATAATTTCACAATATATTCATTAATTTCAATATACACAATTATTTTAAAATATTTATATAATCAATTTTCATTTATTTAATACTATTCATTTTGGAAAAAAAAATGAATTAAATACTAAATTTTTATTATTGTAAATTTTTCAAAATTTTTAAAAAGTTTCAAAAAATATATTTGTATTGAAAACAAGTAGTCCCACCCTATTAGTGTCCATCCATCTGGGCAGTTAGTTGGGTTGAGCTTATGAGTCGAGTTAGTCAACTGTCAACTGTAACTGTGCTACCATTGACCTCGTCTTCCTATCTATTCATTAACTTGTGATTTTATTCTTATTTTGCACTATTTATATATCAAATATTTTATCAAAAATAGAATTTCTATTTAAAATATTATATCTATCAATTATTTATTTATTTTTTATTACCCATATGTACTTTTAGTTTAATTTTATTTACTATTCTCGATACAATCTATTTAAAATAGAAATAAACATATGGCTTAATTTAGATAAAAAATTTATAAGTTATAAATATTCACTATAAAAAAAATTATTTTTTTAACAAAATTTTTTTGTCTCTGAATTTATTTTTTCCATTACTAATGACATTAGAGACGAAAATAAGAATGGAATTACGTTAGCTACGTAAACTTTAGGGACGGAATTCCGTTACAAATATATTATTTTTTTTTAGTGATTGAAGATTTAAATATTGTATCTTATAGTGATAGAAAAATAGATGCATAAATTACTAATATATAATAAAACATTGAATTTATTCACAATTTAGTTTAATACTTTAAAAATTAGATAAACATTCGTCACTCCCTAAATTTTATTTATTTATTTTGTATAACATGGGAATCCGTATACACAAAATTTTATTTATTTATTTTGTATAACATGCCTAAAAGATACACCTATTTTTTTGGGAGAAAGAATCAATCTTATTCTTTAATGTGTATTTCAAATACTCAAATAACAAATCATATTTATAATTTTATTTTAATACTTATTTTGAGGATGGTTCTATATTGAGTATTTAGAAAAAAAATAAAATTAATAACTATATAATATATTAACTTTTTCCTATTCAAATTCTAATCCTGTTCATTTTTATGTTATTCTATTTGAAGCATTACCAACAATAATATAATTAAATATTTTTAACGTATAGAAATCCGTAAAGAATAATTACTCCCTCCGTCCACAAAAAAGTACACAATTATTTTTGGTGCGGTGTTTAAGAAATAATAGTATTTTAATTATAGTGAGTAGTTAAAAGTAGTGTAATAATATTTTTGCCCTTGCTTTTTGATATAAAAGTAATGATATGATGTAAAATAGGAGTATTTGTGGAAAAAAGTAAGGTATTTAATGAAATGTTTACTTTGTAATTGGACGTCCCAAAATAGAAACATGTATACTTTCTAGCTGAACGGAGGGAGTATAATTTATCTCTTTTATATTGTAATAAAATTTACTAAATTGTGCATCCACTTAAAAATCTATTCGATGAGTGCGTATTAGGTAAATCTTCAGTCGAATATAATATTCTGCAAATTAGGTCCGGCAAGTCAAGTCACACTAGGCGAACCATATGTGATAAGTGGACCTGGAGGCGTCGGAATTTAAACTCATGAGCTAAATTTTATTATTTTTGTTTGTTTAAATATAAATTTTATATTTTCTTTTTAGTAGGTTTGACCGTATTACCCAATGCGCGTGACTGCAGATTCCCACGTTATAAAAAAAATATAGAAAATAAAAGAGAGTAGTATATTGTGGCAAGCAACATTTATGGCTTATTATTATGCACTCTACAACAGCTATATAACTCATCCTACGGAACGGAACGGCAAGCTAAGGCAGGAAACATGGAAATTTATAATTTACCAAATCATTGAATTTACAGCACTGCACGGCCCATCACGTGCGTTGAACGTGACCATAATTTAATTTCAAAGCAACCGCTGCTGCTGCATCAGCCCAACCACATCATTAATTAATTGAATAATTAATTAATACGGTTGCATTTGTTAGCTTAACTATCCGTTTTCCCATCATCACCTGCCGTGCCGTTGCAGCTAAGGTAATTAAAACTCACAACGTCTACCTATTCATTATTACATCCTTAATTATACCAAACAACAACAAAGAACAAGGAAAATCAAAATGCAAAAAAAAAAAAAAAAAAAAAAAAAACCCTCATGCATGTAGAACCAAATCCAACCATTCTCATTCCATACAATTTACATATTGCTCAAAATCAACAATGTTCATCATACATCTCCAAAAAAAAATACAAGAAATTCGAAGAAAACGAACAACATAGATAACCATATAATTCTACTAACCGTTTTGTTCGTTCCCATCAACTATATATCGATCATCATGATCAAATTGGGCCTAATGGTGCAAAGGGTTCGGCCCGGTTGGAACGAGGCGCTTTTCAACGTCAAATCGCGGATCAACCTCTCCCAACTCGATATTATCTTGCCTATGACGACGAATTTGGTGGTGGCGATGCTTCAAGAACGGCGTGAAGTCAAATGTTTTACGACCGCCATTCAACAACAATTTTCTTTGCGTAGCCGCGAGAGAATAATGATGTCTTGATAGAAAAGGGCCATCGCCCGCGAATGTATCTTGTAAGAATCCGGACGAGCCGAATCCCTGAAAGAGTAGAAGAAGGACAAGGAGACAAAGGAGAGGGTAGAATAGAGAAGGGATTCTCATAATGGTGAATGAGTAGAAGTTGAAGGAGAAGCATGGAGGAATGAAATAAGGTAAAATTAAGGGGGGAGATTCTTTTTAGGGGATTGGGAAATTAAGTTTGAAGGGATGACAGCTTTGAGTGTAATAAGCCAAATGCAAGAGTTTGTGTGTGTAATAAAAATGCTTGTGTTTGGGACAATTAATTCTTTGGTAGAGTTTTAATTAGACTTTGTGCATATCATCATCTATAAATGCAGTTTCCAATGAAGGGTTTGCTTAAAGATCAAGCAAGAAAAGGGGTGTTGTGATCGATTTATATGTTATGTGGATTGTCAATTCTTGAATTGTATAATGTTTTGGTTGGTTTCTTCAAAGTGTGAAAAATTGGTAGTCAAAGGCTTGTTTTTTGGATCTTGGCCGGCTGAGGAAATGTTGCCTGTGGTTCATTTTGCCCTTTGGGGAGTCAACATTCATTGCCATTCTTGATTTCTAAAATGTCAACTTAAAAACAAAATTGGAGATGTTAATTAATCTACGAGTTATTGGACAGCTTGGGGAAGACCATGAAACTAGTGTCCCATTCAAGATTGAAAAAAACAAACAAAAAAAAAAATGTTATTACTTGTCCTATTTTATTTTTTTTCTCTATTTTATATGCTTTTATGATCCGTTTAATGTAGAAATTAAAAAGAAATGATTTAATATACATATGTGTATATATATATATGCGTGGGTTTTAGTCTAAAGACTTTGTTTATTTGTATTTTTAATACTCTTTATTATTGTCCTTCATAATTTATAGTAAATATTATTTTCTTTTTCACAAATATATATATATATATATTAGACATTTTAACATCAGATAAAGCATCAAATTGCTATTTCTCAATCCATACTGTTTGAATTTAAAATAATAATAAATATTTGAAAACACGGCGTATAAAAATATATTTCTCACCCTGTACGTGTGTAATTTAGTGATTATTTCAAAATTTCTAAGGCTATCTCTAACTCATTCACTCAATTTATCCAGTTTTAACTCCAAATATGCAGTTGCTACAGTAATTTTATTTTAACAATAGCTACATTTTTCACTATTATTCTTCAAATATTCAATTTTTCCTATTATTTTAAACAACTTTTTATTTTTATAATTTAAAATAAAATTTTTAAATAATAAAAATTAAATTTAAAAATCAAATTTATAATTTCAAAACTTAAAAAAATAAAACAAAAAAATAAAACAACGCCAAAAATTTGTGTTGGATTTGGCGTGGTTGTAGACAATCCACACCAAAAAAGCCAACCCAACGCCATTAATGGAGATGCACTAAGATTTAGCTTTTATGATATTTTTATAAAAAATACATGTATTAAATTTTACAATAATATAACATCTAAACTAAAATCTAAATCAATGATTCCGAGAGTGTCTTAAATCAATCTTTGTTGTCATCCAAAGGGGAAGAAATGTTTTGAAGTCGAATTGTCGATTTAGGAGAGTTATTCGAATAGAAAAATACTTGATTCTACCAAAGATATTACAGAAATTTATTTTTCATTTTTTGGAAAAAATAATAATTCTCATGGGATGAACAGAGAGGAATTGGGGAAGGCAAGTAGATATTGGGTTGTAATGCAAACTGGGCCCGTGACTTCTTTTCCCTTAATTAATAAAGAATTATGTAACGGCCCAATAAATTGAGAAACGATGCAACGGCCCATTGTAGTGATGGTCACATGATCAATCCAAATCCAATAATTATATTTATATGTATATTTGATTTGTGGATCCATCCATTGGATCCTGTCTCTGCACAAAACACCAAAACCTCTCAAATTCCCATGCAATTTATCATTAAAATAGAAAGTACAAAACTTTATTGGCTCCTACCATATACTCCTCCATATGTATATATTTTCATTTTTTAAATATTTTTTATTGATAATAATTTTTTAAAAATTATTTATTTTAATTATATTTTTAAAAATCCCAAAATTTAAATTCCATTTACATAAAAAAGTGAATTATCGAAAATTTTGAACATTTTAAAGATATTTTATTAGAAATAATAACTAATTGATTTAATTGTATTTCTTGTAAAATTATTTTATTAATAAATAAATATCAAATTTTATTTAAGCAAAATCTAAAATTTCAAAAACTCTTATCTAATCCGACAAAATAGTATAATTCAATTCACGTTACTTTTCATAAAAATAAGTAATATTTTATTTTATATGTATCAAATGAAAATTATATTTAAATTAAAACTCACTCAAGAACCAAAACAAAACAACTGAAAACAAAATCATTTATTATTAAGTCGAAAACCCAAAAAAAAGAAATTCTCATCAGGCTCTCCGTACGCCCTTTTCCGTAATTTCACAAAAATCAGTCATTAGGAAATTCTATCAAAACTGCATTTAGGAGTGTGTAATAAAAATGAAATACGGCAATTAAATAAGTTTGATCAAAATTTATTTTATTTTTATTTTCTTACCTGTGCCTTCCCTGTCTTAAATACTGCTTCACTCACTATTCATGTTTCTCTCAACGCGTCTTCTTTCTTCTTCTCACAGTCGCCGTCAATGGCGTCATTCATTTCTTACAATTTCTTCTTCATTGCCGTCTTCTTCCTTTCCTTACAGCTCCACCATTGTTCGCCGCAGTACCTCAAATTGCCACTCCTTCATAAAACGCCACATCCTCCGGCGCCGGCGGAAGCTCTCTCCGCCGACAGGCAGCGCCTGTCCGCACTTTTCAGCCGGCACGGCGGACAGCGCCCTAAGCTTCCGGTGACCTCCGCCGCCGCATCCGGTGCCGGCCAGTACGTCGTCACCATCCACCTCGGCACTCCTCCCCAGCGCGCCGTCCTCGTCGCGGACACCGGCAGCGATTTGACCTGGGTGTCGTGCTCCGCCTGTCGAGCCGACTGCGCCGCCACACGCACCGGGTACTTCTTCCCTCGCCGCTCGGAGACTTTCTCGCCGTACCATTGCTTCGATTCCGCCTGCAAACTCGTCCCCCGGCCGGAGAAGACCGCGCATTGCAACCGCACGCGCCTCCACAGCGTGTGCCGGTACGAGTACGCCTACTCCGACGGCTCCACCACCAACGGCTTCTTCTCCCACGAAACGGTGTCGTTCAACACCAGCGGCGGCGGCAGATTGTCGGAGTTCCGGCGACTGTCTTTTGGGTGTGGGTTTTGGAACTCTGGGCCGAGCATTTCGGGCCCAAGTTTTAATGGGGCCGATGGGGTTTTGGGCCTGGGCCGAGGTCCAATATCGATTGTCTCTCAATTGGGGAAGGAATTTGGACACAAATTCTCCTACTGCCTGATGGACTACAGCCTGGCTCCGTCGCCGACGAGCTACCTTCTGATCGGCGGCGCGTCGGGAAACGGCGTCGCCGGGAGAGGCAAATTGAGCTACACTCCGTTATTGGTCAATCCCCTCTCCCCGACATTCTACTACGTTAAAATCGAGAATGTTCTCGTCGAAGACGTGAAATTACGAATTAGCCCCTCGGTCTGGTCGATCGACGATTTCGGCAATGGTGGAACGGTGCTCGATTCCGGCACGACCCTGACGTTTTTAGCCGCGCCGGCGTACCGGAAAATCCTCGCCGCTTTCGAGCGACGCGTGATGCTGCCTCGCTCCGCCGCCGGTCCGGGTTCGGGATCGGATTTGTGCCTGAACGTGTCGGGAATTTCAAGAGCGCGGCTACCGCGGCTGAGCTTCAAACTCAGCGGCGGATCTGTGTTCTCGCCGCCGCCGAGGAACTACTTTATCGACGCGGCGGACGGCGTCAAGTGCCTGGCGCTGCAGCCGGCGGCGGCGGAGACCGGTTTTTCGGTTCTCGGCAATTTAATCCAACAAGGTTACACTTTTGAGTTCGACCGGGACCGGTCGAGGTTGGGCTTCACGCGGCACGGCTGCGCCGTGCCGTGAGTCACGTCGCACGCGCGTTGCACGCACACTTCTGCAAGATTGAATTATCTCGTCCATTACCACAAATTTAATTCGTATGATTCAAATGAAATATTAAATATATATCAAATATATATATATATATATAATGATGTACTTTTATTTATATTTGCATGACATAGAAAACAGCCAATGTGCAGAAAAAGTTTGTCGGTTTTTCCATTACCTTTTGGATCGGAACAGTGTTTATTGGATTCTTTTGCTTTCCCGTGACATGTCACAATTCAATAAAAATTTGATTTCAAATATTTTCTCAATGATAACAAATGAATTGTATTCAAATAGGCATATAATGGTCAAGGGTCCCTAGTGACTCCAAAACAAAGGGTGTGGAGAGACAATACATGGAAAAAGGCTGTAATAAAGGGGCAACATATGTATGTATCATATCATTAATAATTTGCTTTTGTCCCCATGCATGTCACAAAAAAATGATCAATTATTTTAGCACAATGAGGGGTCCTCAATAATAAGCATAAAATTCAACCATTTCAATTATTCCAACACCACTAGTGAAAAATGCAAACAATTACGTGGCCAATTATTTTATTTGGTGCGTTTACAATGTTCTTCATTTACAATTCCATACATACATATATATATATATATATAGGTTTGATTGATATTTGGTAATATTAGGACATTGTTAAATTGTTTGTTATGTGAAGGGCAGTGGTATATAAAAATTAATGATCTTAATTTGGCATGCATTATGTATATTTGCATGCCCATGCCACTTGGGCATGATTAAGATAAGGCTTTTTTAATTTATTTTTGTAAATTCTAACTATGTTATGTCACGTGATATATTTATTACATACAACTGTACTTCTGTCATATTTGTGAACCATGCCATGTCGCATCGGATATCATATATGGAATTAAAGTTTTATGGTATATATATTATGACCATTCAAATAGCCAGATAACGCCAAATTTATTGCAACTAAAATAAACAATATGTTAAAAAATAAAAATCAATTTTTGGTATCATAATTATTAGGGGCGTCAATTCGTGTTTTTGGGTCGTGTTCGTGTCTGATTGAGTTATGGGGATAACAAAAGACTGTTAACCCGAACCCGAAATTTGACCTGAAACTCTAGACCCGAACATGACACAAATTCTTTCAGGTCGTGTTCAGGTTGACTTGAATTAGTTTCAGATCACCCGAAACCGGAACAAACCCGATAAAACCTGACACGAAAGAGACCTGAAATTTTTAAAAAAAATTAAATTGACCTAAAAAATATCATTTTAATTTTAATTTTTATATTACTTTATATTTAAAATAATATAAATATTATAAATTAAAATAATAATAATAATAATAATAATTTCAGGTCAACCCGAAACACGATACCCAAAACCTAACCTGATTTTGATATTTCAGGTTATTAGATCAACCCGAAACACAACCCGAACACAACACGAATTTTTTTCGTTTTAGGTTCGGGTCGACCCGATTATTTTCAAATTCGAAATATCCAAACTCGAACCTGAAAAATTTCAGGTCAAACGGGTTCGATTTTTTGGGTCAGGTTTACTTTTGATGATAATTATGCCCCATTTCGGCCTTCAACTATAAACTTAAATTGGGCTGTAATAAATTTGTGACTATTTTCGTCGTATGTTCTGCCCAACAATAAGCATTTGCGTAATGGGCCTAACAACTCACCTATTTTAACTCATCCATATCCTTTTCCAATTGGGCTATATAAAAACATAGCCCATTCAGATTACCATGCTGTCAAATAATTAAAATATAAATATGTATATACAATACCCTCTTCCCTACTTAAAAATTAATTATTTATATTTTGATACAAGATTTAATAAATTTAACAATAGTTAGTAATAATTTTACTATATAAAAACTATTTTACCTCTATAATACTTGGGTTAATTAAATAATATTAATGTAAATAAGTATAAATGTATAAAAATAAAAACTTTATACTTAGACAATAAGAATATATAGTCACGAAATTCACATAAAGAGTATATATATATATATGTATAGAGTGAAATATGCTTAGGAGTGCAACCACGTGTAGTTATTACTCCCTTCGTTATTCAAATTTATGCTCACTTTTTTTTTTAAATTATCATTGAAAAATATTCTCGTTTTTATTTAAATAAAAAATTATTATATTTTTGTAGTTTTTTTACTATATAAAAAAAAGTAACTATTATTACTCACTTTTATTAAAATCTATGTCCGGTCAAATGAGCACATATTTGCATGATGGAAGAAGTATTATATTTTTTTTAGATGAATTTATAATGAAATATATAAATAAATGCAAATAAATAATATTAAAATAAAATAAAAAAATAGGGGTGGGGGGCGAGCACCTGCAGGTATGCATAGCCATTACTATTAGTTAATTTGGAAGGATATGAGGGTTGCTTTTACTGTTGCTTTTCTTGTTGGAAAACATACATACACACAACACTCCCTTCCCCACCCTACCCTACCCTACCCCCTCTCTATATATACATATATATATATATATTTCATTGAATTCAGACAAGACCGATTTGAGTTGCTTAGCTTGCTTCCACATTGCAATAAATTCCGAGCTCCTTATTATATATGTTGGATAAATCTATTATGCTAAGGAGACCAACCCCTCTCAATTTATGCGAGTGGAAAATGTAAAAAAATAAAAAAAATAAAAATAAAAAATAAAAAAAAAAAAATAATAATAATAATAAAATTACTGTTCATTTTCTTTATTTATGTAAATCACAATATTAGATTAACAAGAATTTAGAAACACAAAAAATATCCTTATCTATTTTATAAAAAATTATATATTAACTAAACATGATAATTTCTCTATGTTATAATAATTTGATGTATGTCTAAGATGTTGCCAAATCAGAAATTTTAGTACGAGTATGTACAAAAATACTAAACATTTGTTTGATTAGACTTAATTGGTAATAAATAGTGTATAATCTCATGTACAATGTACGCTCAATTCGTGCCTTTTGTACGATGTATAAATCCTTCAGGTCGTATACGATCTGAATTTATTCATAAAATAAAATTGCAATAAGGAGACATAGCCACATGTGGAAGACAACATTAATTTCGATGCATTAAATGTCATGTCTGATTGTATCTGTAAATTATATTTAGTACTCCCTCCGTCCCATGTAACATGAATGTATTATTGTAGGCACGAGAATTTAGATAAAATATAATTAATAAATAATTAAGAATTGTATTAGTAAAAATAATTATAAATTAAAATTAAAATAAGTAAATAATTTAATTAAAATTAAAAAAATTATGAAATTTAAAATGAATTAAAGTGCATAATTATATTTTCAAAAATAAAAAGACAAATTATGTGAGATGAGCAAAAATAAAAAATAAAAACAAATGACGTGGAACGAAAACAATACTTTTTAAAATTAAAATTAAATGATGTTACATAGTTACGTTATTAATACCTTTCATTTCATCATGCCACGTATGTCCATTTTATTTTATTAATATTATTGTTGTTTGTGGCCAGCTGGGTATGGATCAGGAGCAGCAGTGGAAGATGCACGTGAGCAAGGATAAAGTTGTGCTATTCTGAATCATCATGTATGAATGTGGGTGCCCTTTTTGAGAGCTTTTGGACCTTTTTGCCCCTTTCATTTAGCTTACGTGGCATAGACACTCCCTAATTTATCCTTATAATTGTATAGCTTGTTGGTATTTTAGAATATTTTGTGTTACTTAAATAATACTCACTTTCAGTATGTTGTTACAATGTTCATTGATATTAGTACTATAGTCCCTCTGTCCAATAAGCAAATATTGATTTGTTTTTTTGGACGTAATTTTAAAAATATTAATATTATATTAAAATATAGTAAAAATAAAATAAAAATGATTAAAATAATTTTATTAGTATGTGTGATATAAATGTAATAGAATTTGTGTAATATATTGTAAATTGTAAGGGTATTTGTAATGTTAGATATATAGTACAATTATTAAAAAAAAGAAAATTGATACTTTTGTTATGGGACGGACTAAAATAAAAAAATAGATACTTTGTTATGGGACGGATGGAGTATTTTAATCATAGTCGATGAAATTTTTATATGTAAAAATAATTTCATTTTATATTTTAATTTGGTGTAATTATAATGATACCGATAAGTATATACTCCCTCCATCCAGCTATAAAGTATACATATTTTTATTTTTGGACGTCCAATTACAAATTAAACATTTCATTAAATATCTCTTTTTTTTTCACATATACCATTACTTTATATCACATCATTACTTTTACACCAAAAAGTAAGGGCAAAAATATCATTACATTACTTTTAACTACTCATTATAATTAAAATACTATTATTTCTTAAACACCGCGTCAAAAGTAATTGTATACTTTATGTGTGGACGGAGGGACACTACAAGAAAATATCATTTTTGTAATGAGATTCTTTTCGTCTTTAAATCCACTTTTTTCCGTTACTAATGATATTAGAGACGGAATTAATGATGGAATTACGTTAGCTACGTGATCTTTATGGACGAAATTCCGTTACAAATATAATGTTTTTTTTGTAGTGGGAGTATTTAAAATATTTTTTATACAGTATAATTCGTATTAACTAAAAATAAAAATTGTACATAGATGATCGAAAATAACGTTGAATGGACTTAGAGGAGTAATGATAATAAATAAATATTAATATGATTTTTTTTATATGTATTATGTTTTGTGATATAAAAATATTTTTACTGTTTAAAAGTAAACAAGGGTGTCTTTATTCGTGTTTCTATTTGACATAGTTGTTAAAATAATTTTTTGAAGAAATTTATAAATTATATTAAAATGATAAGATACAATATAAATAAAAGAGTTGATTTAATTGAAAGGTAAGGAGTGTTAAATTTTGATTTCATTTGAAAAATGAATAGAAACTTCTTTAATTTGTCAGTGATTGATGCAATTCATGTACTACTACAACTTCTCAAGAGAAAATTATTCATTTTAAGGGTCTTAGAGAAATAATTGTGGAATTCAATTTTATTAAGTTTAAATTTTCAAAATACTAAAAAATTTATATATTTGATATAATATTTCTGTGAGAGTAATTAGGTATTTGATATTTATTTATTTTAAATTACCACTAATGATGAATAAACAAAAATTCAAAAGTATTAATATAAACAAAATTCATGTTTTTTGGAATTTAATTTCAGTTCTTAATGTTTTAATATATAACCACAATAAGTTTTTATTTATTTATTTATTTATAAAAATACACTATTTTATCTCCAAGTGAAAGTGAAAGATTAAAATTAAAACATCAAAAGTAGTTAAATTAATTTATGATATAATTCGAATTCTTTATATTATTGAATAAATTTATAAGATATTTTATTTCATTTAATACCTTAGTTCTTATTTCATCCGTCCCACATAATTTGTCCATATTTTATATTTTCGTTTGTCCCACATAACTTGTCATTTCTATTTTTGGAAATATAATTATGTACTTTAATCGTATTTTAAATTTTATAATTTTCTTACTTTTAATTAAACTATTTACTATTCTTAATCTTAATTTATAATTATTTTTACTAATACACTTCTTAATTACTTACTAATTATACTTTACCTAAATTCCTGTGTTATAGTAATACACTCCTATTATATGGGACGGAGAGAGTAATATATAAAATATTAATTTTTACGTCGGAACTATTAGCCTAAAATAAGAAACTTCTATTCTGTTGACAATGTACTAAAATGTAAAACTATATATATCATGATTGGGTATTCAAAAAAAAATTATTATAGTTAAGACGACTAAAATTGAAAAAACGTGTCGCTTTTAGGCATTAAATAGGCTAATTTTCTCAAGTTTTCTAGATGCTAACAAAGTAGTTGTAATATCACTATTATGGGTATTCTAGACTATTGTGTGCTCGTTTTGTATTTTAGTATATATATATATTTTTAAATAGACTAAGAACTTAAATATTCTCCTAATATTTTATATAAGGAATGATAATTGAAAACAATATCTTTTACCGATTTTATTTTTATTTTATTTTTTAATAATTGTAAAACAAACAAACTCATCTGAGTTCAATGAATACCGAATATATTATTACAGGTCTACATATAATTATGTCAACAAAGATCAAACCCACAATATATATTTAAACATATATAATGTTTAAATTTTGGTTCTGAACCACAAACTGCCAAATTATGTGACTGGACATCTTTATTCCAATCCAAACATACATTTAACATTTCCATCCAAGTTTTAAAAGTTTTGATTTTGGTAATGGATAATTATCTTTTTTTAAAAAATATTATATTAAATATGTATTTCTTTATAATTATATTTATTAAATTTTGAAAGAAAAAAAAAAAAAAAAAAAAAAAAAAACTCTACAGCAACTTAAGATAGGCAAATTATGATCAGGGGTCCCACAAAAGATCTAGAAGCTTATACGTTACAGAAAGTTAATTCGTATTTGGTGAGCTTTAATTAAATTAAATGAAAAACACCCCTAACTATAATTAATCAATTTTCATGCTGTTTGATTCAAGACAAGAAAATATTGACAAGATCGTGTAAGATACAATCAATCGGATTATGTTAGGACAGTTTTAACGTCTTCCCCTAATTCTTAGTGTAGTGTAGTGTCTACTGTCTCACAAGAGATTAAAAAAATACTGTACTATACTATATTTTATATTTTTATTATTATTTAAAATTCATTTAAAGAATAATTAAAATCATATTAATAATTTATAATTTTTTAGTAATAAAATTAGGCATAAAATCAAGGTGGGCATATAATCTGGCTCCCTAATTAGTATATAGCAAAATATACAAATACACAACCAAACACGTCCCTAAACCGAGATTTTTTTAGTGTTTATATGTAATCAAACGTCGGCCATTAAACGACAATAAATCTAGATTATATCAATTACTATTGATATTAATATTAATAAATTTAAATATTGTTGAATAATCAGAGACGTGCCTTTCAGCAGTACCCAAAGGTTGGCAAAAGTGTTTGACTAATTATTGGAATATCAGAATTTTGTATTCCCAATACTGATATCAGAAATTACCATTTTTCTTAGGATACTTTGTTAGAATTTTAATTTTCTTCTTCAATAATGATTTTGTTATATCTGTAATGCTTCTGTTGTCTGAATTAGTACAATTCTAAAAAATCGAAAAAAAAAAAAAAGAGTTTAAGGCAATGTAAGAGAGGATGAGAGGCAGACAGAAACTAGTTTGTAATGAATCTATTGTATATGTACTCGGTAATAATCATAGTACAAAATTGTGGAGATCTATATATATCTATGGCGGCTAATCAGAGATATTTACAGTTCCGACAAATTCGAAGAACAAAAAAGGCGGATTAGAGAAGCGAGATAGTTTGTCGTCTTCGTCGGCGATCGAAGCACGCGGAGGCGACAACCTCGTCGTCGGTCTAGAAATCAATCGTGGTAACAGAGCAGCATGACTACGCACCGTCGGATGATGTAAAGCCTGGCTCTCTGCTCCCTGAGAAGTCCTCCCAAACCTCTGCTCGAGATCCTCTTCTTGCTGCTGCTGTTGCTGGTGCTCATCTTCATAGTTGTGCGAATTTGTTGATGCAAGAAATTTGAGGAGGAGAGACAGTGGACTGTAAGAAGGAATCGGAATTGGAATTGGAATTGGATTGCAATTGTGTGTGAAGTGAGAAGAGAAGAGGGTGGTGGGCTTTTATAGGGTGGATTTGGTGCAGTGGTCTGGTAATTAAGGATTGGTCGAGCAAAAAGCCAACTGTGGGGCATCAAAGGGCGTGCAGTTCCCCCTTGCCTTACATGACAGGTATCTGTGGGTCCCAACCTCCAACTTGTTTTTAAATTATTAAAATTTTTAAAATAAAACAATTTTTTAAAATTATTATATTTATGTTTTTTCAAGTTTAGATAGAAATTTAAAAAAAAAAATTAAAAAATTAGTATTTAATTTAATATTTTATAAGAAAAAAATATATTTGATGTGATATTTTTTTAAAAATAAATAATATCAGTAAAAATTTGTTGCATAAACAAAATCGAAAAGGCTTTTCAGTATTTATTAGGAACATAGGCTTTCATAGGCTCGTGTAGGCTATATGCCATTTTATCCCTAGGTTTTACCTAACAAACATATAATGGGTCGACCATTTTTGCTATTTTTAAAATAGCCTTTAATAATAATAATGATAATGATAATTTTATTTGGTGAACAAAGTCTTGTTTGGGATGATTTTTTCGACTAATTGGCATAGCTTGCAAACTACTTTTTTCAGCCTCAATACACACTCGAAAAATGACCTTGTAAATTCTCTACATTTTAAAAAACGGCACCAAATAAACCAAAACATAATGGCAAAAGGAGAGTCTACTGTTCGAGGGTTAATTTGTAATTGTAATTTTCTTTTGAAATAAAATAATATTAGATGTAATTTTTTAAATTAGATACAAAAATTAACGTATATATTGCCTATCAATAAAAAAAAAAAAACAAAAACAAAAAACAAGGTTAAGGTATATATTTATTTTACAATTATTTATCAAATGTTTTAAAAAATACTGGTGTGTTTGTTTGGGGAGTGGATTTTAAATTCACTATTCATACTATTTTTTCCCAAAAAAAATATCAAATCAAATACTTATTTTTTATTTTTTCTATTATATTAAAACTCAATTTTACATTCAAAACATCTTATATGCACCTACTATTTATATCACATCGTACAACTATTCAAATTCAAAATTTTTACTATTCAAATCCCAATTCAAAATACAAATCCCAAATAAACACACCATGGATAAATTCTTGAATTTGTTTAAATTTAAGTTTGGTTTAATATATATATATATGTGTGTGTGTGTGAGAGTGCTTAGTTGAATCCTACAAATCCACAAAACCAATTAAGCATGCACCTGATTCGATCAAATATATCAATTGAGATACCTTTTGACTAATAATTGGTGAGGAAGATAGGTCAAATTACACACTTTATGTCAGTCACAGATTATTGTAATAATTATCTCAATTAAGTAGATTAATGCATGCTTATTGACCCACCATTAAAGCTGAACTAGAGGTATCGAGCCTGAGCCATAATAATCAATTTAATTTCAAGTGGAGTTTGGAATCTTTATTTTATTAAGTACTATTTGGAAAATCAAATACTAAAATTCGATCAAAAAAAAAAAAAAAACAGAGTCAAAGTCACACACGAATTCCAAGAAATCGAAATCTTTATAAAACTGAATAAATCAGTAATAGCAAGTAAGTGTTCATCAATATAATACAGAGACAGCTATGTACTGTTAATCCCAAGTAAGTATAAGTAAGTGTGCATTAATTAATTAATGAACTAATTAATTTAATAATGTCTGATCTCTCTCTACTAATTAAATATAATTATAATTTTATAATGTTTTAAGAAAGAGGCAATCGAAACCATTTGCTTGGTCTCGTGTTCCTCCCCCAACAAACCCTAATTTTACTTAATTGTGCTCCCGAGGTCTTCTGTTGTTCAATACGACGTCGTTCCCGCGAGAATCCCGGGCCGGGGTTCGAAGTCTAAGGGGGGAGCGCACGTGACCTTCACGTGGGGGATATGGCCGTTGCACCTTCTGTGTTCGACAATGTACTGTTATTAATAATTAATAATAATAATGATAATAGTAGTTGTTGATTATCCCCTGATTTGGTCTCAGGTTTTGACTGTTTTATTCTTTCATTATTAATTTCAAACTGTAATGGTCCATGTCTTAATGCATAATGGACCCAATTTAGTTACTACATTGGGCCATATGGCCCAACTAAAATTACCACAATTATAGTCATGGGCTTCTCGAAGCCCAATAATAAGCCCTGTTAACATTTAGTAAAGAAACTCATCAATAATTAAGTGACCAATCAATTTATTATTATTATTTTTTTAACAAAAGCAACTTTTTGAAAAATATATACATACTCATATATTATCTATCACCACATCAATATCAGGACAGCGTTGGAAAACGACAATAGGAATCAAGAATCTCCACATACATAACATAACATATCCAATCCCATTTACCACAAAGCTACAAATCCATTTTATTAAATTAAGCCAATAATTTCAGCATATGGCCGAATAACAACACTCTAAAAACTCAATTTTTTTTAATATTCACATCCATGACAATGTCACGGGTTTTACTACTCTATGCTACCCCAAAATAAAAACCCACTCCGACAATGGTGCATATATTTGCACCAACTTCTGTCACATGCATTTAATTACAATAAAAATAATTGCATCTATTCACTACCCTAATTAGCAAATAATTTACTCCAAATCCTTGTGCAATTAGGAACTCCAGGTCATAGCCCAGAATCTAAGTAGGGGGTCCAGGGTCTTCGACTCCAGAGCAAACTTATTCTGCATTTCCCTACATTCTTGAGAATTAATGGCGTTTGTGCAGTTGGTAGTTATTACATTATTATTAGAATTATTATCCTAGATGCTGTATGAATATGAATTCAATTAATTAATGAGGTGGGAATTCCAATCGATGATAATGGCGATCAGTACAAAAGCAGAGAAGTGAATGCAGAACGAACTACTCACGTTAAATCCGCTATTGAAAAGGTTGTAAATGATATCCACCCTGACCTTGTTGTGAGGTCCCGGACTTCATGGCCGGAACGACGAATCTCCTGGTGGCGTCGAAGGTCCCGGGACCTTCGAAGATCTATACTGCTTTCTTCGTCTCCTTCCCCGCGGCCCCATTTCTTGCTGATTCCCCCAATCCGCTGGAATGTACCGCAGATTAACTACTGCGAAAATTTTCTCGATTTACGCACGTCATCGTCATCCCATTTACTGCAGAAGTTCCTCCATATGCTTAAACGACGGCGTACGGTAGCGCAAATCTCCGCCGTGGAACCGCCATGTCCGTTCTTGCTGTCCTCGTATTTCTCGCCCTTATTCGTTCCTCTCTTTCTTCCAGCAGTAAGTTGAGCTGTTCTTTAATTTCTGTAACGATTTTGAATTCTTCGTCTGAATTTTAAATCTCCGCCGTTTCGATTTCCGCAGGTTTCAGTTTGCACATAGACTGCGGCGGTCACGTGAACTCCACGGACGCCTTCGGCGTCACGTGGGTGTCTGACCGGTTCTTCTCCGGCGGGTTCCCCGCCGTCGTATCGGAGCCTCTCCGGTTCCATCACCAGCAGGAAAAGACTCTCCGGCACTTCCCCATCTCCGCCGGAAAGAAGAATTGCTACTCCATACCCGCCGGCGCCGGCCGCTACTTGCTCCGGACATTCACCGTCTACGATAACTTCGACGGCAAGTCACACTCCCCGTCGTTCGACGTCTCCGTCGAGGGCAGTTTAGTCTTTTCATGGCGCTCCCCTTGGCCGCAGTCCATCTCCACCTCCGGCGCCTACTCCGATCTCTTCTTCCACCACGACGATTCCACGGCGGACATTTGCTTCTACAGCATCGCCACCGATTCCCCCGTCGTCGCCTCTCTCGAATTGACACAAATCGACAACAGTTCCTACCCGTTCGACTATCCAAAGAATTCCACCGATTATATATTGGTTAATTACGCCAGATTTTCCTCAGGGCTAGGGCACTGGGGCCCCGGATTCACCAACGACACCGACATCTTCTACCGATCGTGGCAATCCGACGCAGATTTCCGGCTGAAATCATCCTCAATCACAAACGGCGCAACAATCAAAGCGATTTCAGCGATTAAGAGCATAACCAACGCGGATCGAAGCCCTAATTATTTTCCCCCAAAACTTTACGAAACCGCAATTACCGCAATCGGAAAAGGAGGCGCTCTGGAGTACGAAATTCCGGTCGACGCCAAGCTCGATTACCTCCTCTGGTTCCATTTCGCTGAGATTGACGTCAGTGTGACGAAGATCGGGCAGCGTGTCTTCGACGTGAAAGTGAACGGAGAGAAAGTTCTAACACTGGACGTGTTCAAAGAGGTTGGGGGTTTCGCTGCGTACGATTGGAGCTACGTAGTTAAGAATTTGAGCAGCACCATCTTAACTGTCCGGCTTGAATCGGTGGCCGGCGCTCCGCTCATCTGCGGCCTGGAGAATTACGCCATCGTTCCCGTCGATATCCGAACTTCACCTGATCAAGGTACCGCAAACTACTATCAAATTCTTCCATCCTTCAATCATGCTCTTGCTATTCTACTGTAATTGCTATCTACAATGCTCTGGATTTCCGGATTCTTGATAATTTCAATCGCTTGGATTTACCATTATTAGCGTGCAATTATGATTAACTTGGTGTGTAGTCGGAAAGCCGAAGATGTAGATGATGATGATGATGGTAGCCGTTAGTAGGGACTGGTTCGATATTTTATATTTAAATTTCGTTACATATATTAGTTTAGATTAGGCCACTATTTCACCATCAATAATATACAATTTTGAAAATTCTACCAAATGTAACATGAACATTCAATATATTGGTTCTGTTTCTTCTGATGAACAGGGCTGGTTTAAGTTGAAAGATTGTTGTTTAATATGCAGTTGTTGCAATGAGGGCTCTAAAGGAGTCTCTCCGGGTACCCGATAGAATGGGTTGGAACGGCGATCCTTGTGCCCCGACTGTTTGGGATGCATGGGAAGGTGTTACGTGTCATCCAACAAAGGATGAGACTGCACTCGTCGTGTCTCAAATGTAAGCGTTTGATTTCATCGATTTGATTTAACCGTGTTTGAAGCTAACGATATTTAATTGTAAACGACTTCTTGAAACTGTTGCAGCGATCTCGGGAGCCAAGGCCTGAAGGGTTATATAAGCGATCAAATTGGCCTCTTGACAAACTTGGTAAGCCTGTAAGTATCCAGTTTTCTTTCTCCCCCGTTCCATTCGATCCCTTCATAAAGTTTGAAAGTTGCCTTAACTTCTTTTCATTATGCAGTAACTTGAGTTCGAATTCTTTAGGAGCTAATATACCATCGGGATTGAGTCAAAAGTCGCTCGTGAAGCTGTGAGATTTCCTACTACTTTGTTCGATTTTGCAAAGCGAATTCGTAGCATTGCCTTACTCTGGTAGCTAGTGCAGGGACTTATCGAAGAACAAGTTAACCGGGTCCATACCCGACACTCTAACCTCATCTTCTTTACAGCTCGCGTAAGTTGAATTTCTTTGATACTTCAAGAAAATCGCGTGCACTTGCATTCATTATTTACTTGAATTTTCTTGCTGACGATTTTGTCAGATTATTGAACGACAATTTGTTGGAAGGCCAAGTCCCGGAGGGTCTTTTCTCCATTGGAGTTCACGGTGGAGCTATAGAGTAAGACACGACCTCTCGACCCGTATAATCTTGTACTAAAAAAAATCTTACGATGTTTTTTCACAGCCTGTCTGGTAATAAAGGACTCTGCGGGGGTCCATCTTTGCCCGATTGTCCACTGTTTTGGGTGAAAAATGGATTATCTCGGGGGGCCAAAGTCGCGATTGTTGTATCGTGTATGATACTGTTGTCGCTGCTCGTGCTCGGGATATACTATTGCTGCATTAGGAAGCACCACGACTACGATTTCGGGCTCCCACCTGAGTTAACATGTAAGTTTATTACATAAATTGTTATTACCGTTTTGTTTGGTTCGTTCGAAAGTATGAATATATCGATGAAAATGTTGTCGTAGCTCTGGCGTCGAATCGAAACCGATATCAAAGGCAGAAATCGCTTATGGCCCTGGAAATGGAAAGCCAACATGCGAAAGGGCTGATACCAAATTACAGTACAGATTGATCAGATCATTTTGTAAATTCAAAATTATTTTTTTCGATAGGTTTTTGGATCTCATTCATAAAATTAAGCAAATATTTTAGGTATTTATAGATGTAACTTGTTCTGTACAATGAATGTTGTGTTTGTAAGATAATTGCATACGTTGTTACGTGAATGGGTTCTGTTGTTTATTTCAATTTCATTACTAGAGATGATTTTCTGATGTTATGACCACTTCAGTCAGCTTGAAAATAATTATGACAATGAGAGACTCAATGGAACATTTATATAATCTAAATTAAAATTTAATATCAAGAAAATTAGGCAAGTTGACAACTGAATTATGTGATGTTGACTTTTAGGCATGTTTCGTATGTGACCTAAAACATACATATATTTGACTTCTTTCATTGGAACTAGTTTTAGTATATTCTTAATATACGCTAAATGTTATGATTGATTTTAACACAGAAATATATCTATACAAAATGCGTTAAAAAATATGAAGTAATAATATATGTGTTTATTTAATACAAAATATATTGTTTATATGAACAAATTGAAGCAAACCAATTAGCACTCCTTTATTTATTTATTTTGTGATATGATAATTTGTAGTTCCTTAATCTTTAAGTGAGTTTTGAATAAATTTTTATAATTTAATAATTTGTAAAGTAGGCCGGTAAGACAGATCATAGGGGCGAAACAGTGATTACTAGAAATGGTGTTAGAATAATATGAAGTAAATGATGTTATTAATCAAGTGTCATTAAATATAGATATTTACGTTAGGTCCAAATTGAAGCCTTAGATGTAAGTAGTTGACCTGGCTACTTAGTTGCATGCAAACAAGCTAAGGTAACATTAGATATTTTTAAATGGGACAAAATAAAATGTTTGACACTAGCTAGTCGAACACTTGACTTAATTTAAAATCTTATTTCATTACTCGATTTTAATTCCCATCAATTACAACAGTCCTACGATTTTCATTTCCGATGGTTGTGCATGAAACAATTCGAGATTACAAATAGATGCAAATTATTTTCAAATTAATTAATTAAAATTCATTATATACTATTTTAAAATTATATTTATGTCTAATGAAGTCTCCTCTTCCCTTAGGGCAAGTGGCATTTTAATTCCAAGTGTCCTTGGAAAAAGAAATACATGTAATAAATATATTGTAAAAAATTGTAGCAATATATATATATTTATATAATAATAAAAAAAAATAAAATAAAAGTGAGTCCAAGCCGCGTAGTTGAATCCATGATCCATGTACATGATCATATTAATATACTTTAATTAATGATTTAATTATCAGTTTTAGGCAGTAACACGTGCTTCTAGTAAAGGCATAATTCCAGAAGCCTACTCTACCTATCCCATGTAAAAGAATCTTTTGAAATTTCAAAACCCGATTACAATAAATAATAATAATAATAATAATACCTAAAAGTAGTAATGGGGAATGTATATATTATCGTATATGACACCACATCTCAACCAATCCCACACCTGATAATATGGTACTTAATAATATAAAAGTAGTATATTTAATATTTCTATGGATCCAATTAATATATATATATATATTATTTTTATTATTACAACACTTGTCGTCAATAAAAGCAACTTGGCTGTTTGCGTTTACAAGTCACAACTGTCCCAGCTAGCATTAGCATATACATTATACATATGATATATATATATATACATATATATATATGATCCACTGCTTCTTATTACATCCCACCACTTTGACAATTTTACATGTTGATTTTGACTTTTGATGCTCTACATTATACTGCACTTATTATTATTATTATTATTATTATTATTTGGCTTCACATGCATTTGTTGATTAACTTAGGGTGGTAACCGTTACATGTTTTTTGTAAATTTAATAAGATATATATATTTAGTAGCAAATTAAGCAAAATCTTTAAAAATTTGTGTAGTGCATTTTGGCGTAATCAGCATGGCATTGTCTACACTAAAATTTGTTTTGGTAACTGTAAAGTCGCGTTTTAAGTTGATATGAATAACCTTTTAGGCGTTAGATTGCAAAGTGCGCTTTTGTTAGTGTAGTAGATAATGCATGGATTGAGTCACGCTTTTGCCCTTATGGCGGCTTTGGCTTTGGCTTTTACATCACACGAATGGAGGAGTCACTGTGTTTTAATTGAATACCTATATAAATATTCGCTCAATCCGTTTATTTTAAATAAAAAAAATAAATATTAATGTAATTTTATTTATTTATTTTTAAACAAAAGAGGGGTAAAGTGATCATTGTGATGAGATAAACTAGAATGTGGGGAGATGATTATCACAATGATAATTGATGACTAAGAGGAGCACTATACACACACATATATAGATATATATATATATATATATATAGTAGTTGGTAGTTAGAGAAGATTAAGGTAATATCTTCGTGTCCGATGACTATTTCACCAACTAAACTATCAGATGAATGAATGATATGTAATTTAATTTGTTGGGACAAGATAATATAAAGTAGTATATATCTAATCTATGTAGGCATTTCGGATTTGGATTAATGTCCCACTTGACACGAAAAGGACTGACGGGACCAATTATATTATTTAAAAAATAATATATTTTTGTAATGCAAAATTCCATTTTGCTTCCTCAATGAACAATTAATTAACTGTTTAATTACTGCTAATTAATTATATATACGTTGTACTGCCTAATTTTGCATGTCTATTGGCAGCCTGATTTGATTGGTAACATCTGGACTTTTATTACCATAATTTTCTTTTATTTTATTTTTGAGAAATTATATAATGTCTAGATCACATTAGTGAGTCCCATTGTTTGTGTGGTGTATGATGTAATTATTCCAATTAAATTAATTAATTGACAACGTGTATTTCACTACATATAAAGTTGTTGCTTGTGTGTCTATATGATGTATGTGCTGATGACATTTGAAATATGCATTTTAGAACAAATTATAATCATTTAATTATGCGTCTACGAATATTATCGTGTCGGTATGTTTTTAGTTTTATAATTTAAAGAAATGAGAAAAAAAAAAAAAAAGATAAGACACGTGGCAGAAAATCAGGCTATCTCGGACTCTCGCGTTCCCACCTGCGAGGAGTGCTGAGTGCCAACTGTGAAGTGTGAACGAAATCTCTACCGTCTATAAGGTGGGGTCCACCACAAGTGCATCTAATAGACGGTGGAGATTCACTGGGAGGTGTCCCAAAAATATTCCTTTTCAAGCATTATTATTATATCAAGAAAAAAAAAAAAAATTATATAAACGATGATTGAACCAAAACTGGGGAACTATATGTTAAGACAAGACTTGTTACTAAACCAGTGAGTGCCTTTAATTATGTATCGAAATAATTCCTCAACTCAAATGGAATCTTCAAAATTAAGGGCCCATCCATCCCACCAAATAAAATTAGTTAAAAAATAAAAATTCAACCATGATTGGGTTTATCTTCAACTCACAATGGGACACCTACGATACAGCGTAGGACCTGTCCGTACAGAACAACCCATGCCCATTCCCATACATGTATGTATATGTATGTGTTTCTTAATATTCACAAATACCAATTATTATAATTATTATTATTATTCGATTACTGTTATGGAGATGAGTGAGATAAGGTTTTGGCTTGTCGACATCAACTACAAACTATGTAGTAAGTTCAAGAAATTTAATAAATATTGAAATTGGGGGGACGAATGAGAAGTCGCCACGTAAGATTTTATGGGAAGGATTTAATTGGGTGTGTGAAAGGTTATATAGATAGATATATCTATCTATCTCTGTGTATGTATGTATATAATCTTTTTATCCATTGGTTGGCGTTGGCCCATAACAATAACAATAACAATCCCCATCCTGGTGGAAGATGGTTGGTTGGTTGGTTGATTCATTGCTTATTCATTTATACATAATTATTTTATTTATTTTTATCTTCATCTGACACTGATACTTGAACAATATTTCCCCACTGTTATTATTATTAAATTATTTTGGGTTTTATTACATGGATTTTTATCGGATAAAGGCTACACCCTTGATCGTGGTCCATCCTACTGTTTTTGGATTGTTCCAAATTTCTCGTTAATATTCATTGCTTTTATTTATTTAATTTATTTTTACTATATATATTGGATTTTGGATTAATAATGAGGGAGAGGAGGAGACCATGCTGACAGTAAGCAGCAAATTTCAGGGGGGATGAACGAAGTTGATATAGCCCTGGGCCACAGTCATGTGACATTATCTTTACCCTTATTATTACATAATCTCAATATCACTATTATTATATTACTACTATTTTTATTTTATTTTATTACTACACGAAAATGTGTGTATATATATATTCATCCGCCTTGCGCTGTCCCAACTCATTTCAATTCCCCAATTCAAAATTTCTCCGACGATCGGAATTCCGCTTCCGGCGATTGAATTACTCAATTAATATGGACGCGATCAGCTGCGTCGACGAGAGCACCGCCAGCGAATCGGCGGCGGCGGCGGCGGGAGGACTCTGCCGCGTCGGGAGCGGCGCGAGCGCCGTCACCGACGCCGGCGAGAACGGCGTGGAGGCGGAGTCGAAGAAGCTGCCGTCGTCGAGATTTAAAGGAGTGGTGCCGCAGCCGAACGGCCGGTGGGGGGCGCAAATCTACGAGAAGCACCAGCGGGTGTGGCTGGGGACGTTCAACGAGGAGGAGGAGGCCGCCAGGGCCTACGACACGGCGGCGCAGCGGTTCCGCGGCCGCGACGCCGTCACGAATTTCAAGCCATTGTCACCGGAGTGCGACGAAATCGAGGTTTCGTTTTTAAACGCCCACTCGAAATCCGAGATTGTCGACATGCTCCGGAAGCATACCTACGCCGACGAGCTCGACCAGAGCCGCCGGAATTACGGCGCCGGAAAATCACCCCAACACGAAATTGCCGGCGCCGGCGCAGGCAATTCCTCCTCCCCCGCCGGCCGCCGCGAGCACCTATTCGAGAAGGCCGTGACGCCGAGCGACGTCGGAAAACTTAACCGTTTAGTGATCCCGAAACAGCACGCCGAGAAACACTTCCCATTGCCGATCGGGAGCACGACGAAAGGGATTCTTCTGAACTTCGAAGACATTTCAGGGAAGGTTTGGAGATTCCGATATTCGTATTGGAATTCGAGCCAGAGCTACGTTCTGACCAAAGGCTGGAGCCGTTTCGTGAAGGAGAAGGCTCTGCGCGCCGGCGACATTGTCATTTTCCGGCGATCGGCCGGCCCGGACAGGCAGCTCTACATTGACTGGAAGGCGTCAGGCCGAGCTCCGCCTGTGCAGACGGTGAGGCTGTTTGGCGTCGATATATTGTTTGAGAAGGCCTCCGGCGACGGCGACGGCGCCGGTGACCGCTCCGGTGGCTGCAGCGGGAAGAGGATTAGGGAAATGGAGATTTGGGGGTCATTAGGGTGTGCGAAGAAACAGAGGGCCATTGATGCTTTGTGAAATTTTAATTCAATTTTAGTTAAATTTGATTTTAGTAATTTCTAGTCTTTTTTTTTTTTTTGTTTCTGATTCTGCAATTTTACTTTTTTTTTTTTGGTATGTTGCAAGTTGCAAGAAAGTTCTAATTGTACAGTAAATAGGAAATTAATGAAAAAGAAACAAATACTAGTACTATACACTGGTTATATTTTTCAAACTTTTGGGCTGCTGCCATTTTAATTTTGATTAAATTTAATTAATTAATTAATTCTGACCAAGTATGCCTGGAACTGGAACTGACATTATATGTAAATCCAGATTTCATGGAATCGCAGATAATCATGTCGGATTACCATTCAACACTTTCGGTACACCTGAAATGAAATGACAATAAATATAGATATATAGAGAGAGGGAGAGAGGATCTTTTGATATCTTTTTAAACAGACTAATCTGATTTAGGAGATTGAGATACTGAGCAAATCACAAATGCAATCTCTAAAGTATAATGTTTTTCCCATTGTTAATTTGATTAAATTAATCAGTGTTGAGTAGGTGTCTTAGTTCCGAAGGAGATCCCAACTAATTAATAACCCAATTTGACATTAATTATTAAGTTGGCTTAATAAACCAATTAATTAATGAAACCTTTTGTGGTTATCTTGACTTGAGGGCTGGCTTCATTGTCTGTAAAATTGTGGCCTAAATAATATCTGCCAGAAGTGATCAATTTACAGATAGACTTATGTCAACTTGACTAACTATTTGACGTGTACACAATTATTATGCATAACCATGCAATCCAATTAAAATAATGATAAAGACGTGGTGGGATTTTATATGTGACAAATTGATGTTCTAAAATCAATAAATGATATATATATATAATGTCCGAAAATGTCAAAAACTTCACACACAGACACATGTGTCTGAAAGTAAGCTTGTTCATGAATTTTTTCAGGAAGTCATCATATTAATTAATGATGTCCACTTTAAGTTGTTGGAACTTTCCGGGCAAATTCCTAAAGCTTCAAATCTTATGCTTTATGCACGTTGATCCCACTCTTCATTAATTCTGTCTACTTGATTTTTATAGTTGAAAATAAAAATTTTGTTTTAATTTGTGTGTTATTTATATTCAATAGTTTTCAGTAACCACTTGATGGAATATTTACAATTCTGATTTTTTTTTTTTTGGGGGGGACTATTCTGAAGTTAATTTATTTAATTATTAAATATACTAAAATCATGTAACTAGCAATTCCGATGTGGGCCTATTTACAGGTTTAATAGGCTCGCACTGGGCCTTTTACACTTTGATTTCAATTGGGTTACCTATTGCAGTCACAGACAACCAATGTGGGCCTTTTTTTTTTCTTTTTCTTTTTTCCTTATAACGGTTCCGCATTAAAAAAAAAATAAATAAATAAATTGCAAATTATTGATTAACATTTGCATTTTATATTTATAATTTTAATATTAAAATATTATTATTCAACCAAATTATAATTTTTCAGGATTGAGAGAGAGTATTTAAAAATTAAAATCCAAAAATAAAACCAAAGCGCCGTACAAACAGAGCGTCACAGTTTCTTTACCACATACTGCATTTGCGAAGAAGATTTTTTAAAACGAAAATAAATTATTACTAATAAACGAGGTATTGTTGGATAGATTTTTTTCTTTCGTCTGCGCAGGTCGACTGCAGAGGCAGTTAACGGCGACAATGGCGGTTCCAAGTATTTCCGCCTCGCCAGCGGTGGCAGCGTCCCTCCAGTTCTCATCTTCTCTTATCCACGAAGAAACGAAGCTCTCTGCATCCTCCATTTCTTTTTTGGGGAAGCCGCTAACCTCCCGCAACGCTTCTCTCTCCAGTATGCGCCTCTGCACTAATCATACTTGAATCCTTGCTCATGGAACCTAATTATATAGCTCATGTTTTTTTCATATCAATTTATGGGGAGCATTCGAGATTAGATTAACTATTATTGAATTAAATTCTATAATGTACCCTAACTTGGTGAAGATGTATATAACACTCCTGGATTTGATTATGTCGGGTTGAAAGAAGTATTCCTAAATAATCGCTAGAGTTTTTTCTTCTACAAACTTTGGCGAATTAGAATTTGGAATACGTTCAGAATATCGTTGCTTGCTAAGCATGTAGTATTTTATTCTTTCTTGTAACTTGTCTGCTTCAATTTTCGTGACTCCCGTTTTTGAATGGCCTTAAGGTTTAAACGTCACGAGGGTGTTTGTCGTTAATGCGAAGAGGTTATCTGGTTTGGAAGAGGCCATCAGGATAAGAAGGTAATATATACTTCTCGAAGATCTTGCATCAGTGGCCTACACAAATGTTTTTCGCTAGTTTCTAATCTATATGAGAAATATTGCGCATGTTGTTACCTGTTGGCTGAAATCATTTTAAAATAAAAAATCATTGAAGTGAGATAATCTTGTTGACAAGGGGATTTTCATTTTTCAGGTATGGGGGATATGCTTGTCTGTGATGTGGCTACTCAATGTGAATCACTAATTTTCTTTGCTGATATCTTGGAGCCATTTTTTCATATATCTTCATAACAAATTTTCTAAAGCAATGTTTCAAATATGTTCATGAGACAAGAATAGTTAGTAATATCCCTCACTTCTCTTCTGTCGTGCCTAAATTTATTCTCATTGTAGTAAGTCTGATCTAATAATGGTTTTCTTTCCATTTTATGTTTGTTTGGATTTCTTTTTTTTCTGATTGCATAGGCATGATGTAAATGATGTGCTCTTGTTGCATACTTGCTTTTTTTCCATAAGATTATTGTAATTTATTCAGGGAGCGTGAACTTCGAAGTTCACCAGATGCGAAACGTAGGCCTCCTTTGAGGCGTGGAAAGGTATCACCGCAACTTCCTGTGCCTGATCATATTCCAAGGCCTCCTTATACAGGTTCAAAGTTGTTGCCAGAAATTGCTAAAGAACATCAAATCCATGATTCAGAAGGCCTTGCTCGCATGAGGGCAGCATGTGAGCTTGCTGCACGGGTGGTAGACTATGCAGGAACATTAGTTAGGGTAAGAGTTTGGAGGTTTTCCTTCACTGGTACAGAATAATGTTCCTGTCTGAATACCAAAACTTTTAAGAGCCTAACTATTTGTGAATGCTGACATTATGTACTTGATTCATTGCTTGTCTTTCTGAGTAGCTTAGTTGATATGGTTTATTAATTTATTGAAAAAAAAATCATGTTTTGGAGTTTGGTTTGCCATGTTTCAGAAGCAAAACATATATATCCATGTAAATCTCTTTATAATGCTTGTCCAAACATAGGTAGTCGGTCTAAATTGAATTCTAGTGGTGCCCTGTCCTCGGGAAAGCTAACAGTGTATTGAGTCCATTCCTTTGTGTCTTCTGCTGTAGACTACATTGTCATGTTAGTTTGTTTTTACTATTATTTATTGTTCTTTATAAGTTCAATGGTATTTTTCATCTTTTTAAAGGCTTACATTTTATCCTTTTATTCTACTATAAATACTATTTTTGAGGATTAATTTGGGAATATTTGATCATAACTCATACATGCAGGTTCACTTACATGATTTTATATCTCATCTCAGCCATCAGTTACAACAAATGAAATTGATAAAGCTGTTCATCAAATGATTATTGATGCTGGTGCTTACCCTTCTCCGTTAGGGTATGGAGGCTTTCCTAAGAGTGTTTGCACATCCGTCAATGAGTGTATGTGTCATGGAATACCTGATTCACGCCAGTTACAGGTTCTGTGTTTGTATTTTCGGCAATATCTGCCAGCTATAATTCGATTGTTGTATTTATAATTGCTCCCTCTATTGCAGGACGGAGATATTATAAACATTGATGTCACAGTCTATCTAAATGTGAGTTTTAGATTATATCACTTTCAGTGCTCTACGCTGATATGCATACACAAGTCGCCCACAATATGCTTCCTGCATGTGTACTTTTTAGAACATAATTATATTGTTCTTCTTCATTTTTTCTCCTGAGATGGTTGAGCTTGTGAAACAAAATTTTATGAATTCTTCTCCATTCCTCTATTCAGGGTTATCATGGTGACACTTCCAAGACTTTTTTTTGTGGCAATGTGAATAATGCAATGAAACGGCTAGTTAAGGTACTGCTTGGTTTCGAGTACACTAGTTTGAAGCATCCTTCTCCACTACTCTTAACTTTGGTGCAGGTATTCGTCATTTAATCTATCCTTTGTATAAATTGATAATTTGATATACCATTTCCATCAATTACAGGTGACAGAAGAGTGCATGTACAAAGGCATTGCTGTTTGCAAAGATGGTGCCTTGTTCAGGAAAATTGGAAAGAGAATTAGGTGCATAATTGCATTTAGCTAAGAATGTAGAGTAAAGGCAGCATGTGGACTTCAATTTGAAAGCAATTATTATTTAAATTATCTATTTACTGGTGGCCACAACATGATTAAATCTCATACTTATCTTAGTGAGCATGCTGAAAAATACGGCTATGGAGTTGCAGAGCGTTTTGTGGGACATGGCATTGGGACTGTTTTTCACTCTGAACCACTCATATTACATCATCGTAAGCAATGGCTCAACTGTTTGTCTATCAATCACCTTATTAGTTTTCGCTAGCAAGAAACCTGTTAAGACTAACCTGAATCACATTATCCCCTACTAATTGCATTGTCGTGCCAGGTAAAATTCTTGTGTCATTATTACTATTTTTTCTTATGATCTTACTTTTGGGAATAGGTAATGAAAAACCCGGTCACATGGTGGAGGGCCAAACGTTTACTATTGGTGAGTAACTCAGGCAAATGAATTCATTTAGTTACCTGCTTGAGTAATTTTCTGTATTGTACCCTCTTTCAATCAATACGTTATGATCAGTTGAAGAATTGAAGCTACTCTTCTTGCAGAACCAATTGTCACGCTGGGAAATATCGAATGTGTAACTTGGGAAGATAACTGGACAACTCTAACTGCAGATGGCATGCCTGCCGCACAATTTGAACACACAATTCTCATAACGAAAACTGGTGCTGAGATTCTGACCAAATATGAAGAGGTAAGTAACTTTGTAATGTCCTGTTTTGGCTGATATACAAAATTTAGAAAGCCATAACAATACTTCTTGCTTCCCTGTGACACTAACTTGATGACAACCTGAACGTGCCAGTGAGGCGGCGTTATGTGAATTGTGCATACCTGAGGCGGGATTGAAATACTTCGACACCGGATACGCCGCAGCCCTTTTCCTCAGGAGTGATTACAACACTGGGGACAAATGAGGTATACATTCATTCCCTGATATAATGTATACTTATGTTACATGTAAAATTTCTAATTTTATGCAATAGCTTGATGCAATATTTGATATGAATACATCCGAGCTACAAAGCCTCTTTTTTTTTTTTTTTTGATATTGTTGATGTATTTTTTCAACAAAAATAAAGTAAAATTCAAAGATATAGAAAATATCCTTAAACTTGATTAATTAGTGCCTGAGATTAGGAATCTCTAAACACTGTAAGTACAGAAAATAAACTGGAAAATAAAAGACTGAAATTTAAAGTGGTGATCCCCAAATCTGACTTTGCTTTGTTGAAGTTGATTGAAGATGCCTTGACAAATGATGATCCAAATCCTTAAATATTCCCTGGGAAACCGTACTGAAAACCGTCACCCGAACGGTTACAACGTCTCCTTCTCAACCGTCTTCCAACCTTTCTCATGCTGACACGTGTCCTCAGCAGACCAAAATTCCCTATATTTCACTCCTTGAGCCGACCACAGACCTTCCGCTCTTTTGGCCCGACTTCGTCCTTCGATCCGACCTACAGTTTACCCGACCTGCGGATATCCCATCTCGACGACTTTCCGTCTCGAGGACCTCCCGACTTGAAAACCTTCCGACTCATCGTCTTTCCGTCTTGCGGACCTCCCGACCTGAAGACCTTCCGACTTGAGGTCTTTCCGTCTTGCGGACCTCCCGACCTGAAGACCTTCCGACCTGAGGTCTTTCCGTCCTGAGGACCTACCGACCTAAGAACCTTCCGTCCTGAGGTCTTTCCGTCCTGAGGACCTACCGACCTAAGAACCTTCCATCCTGAGGTCTTTCCATCTTGAGGGCCTCCCGACCTGAAGACCTTCCGACCTGAGGTCTTTCCGTCCTGAGGACCTACCGACCTAAGAACCTTCCGTCCTGAGGTCTTTCCGTCCTGAGGACCTCCCGACCTAAGAACCTTCCATCCTGAGGTCTTTCCGTCCTGAGGACCTACCGACTTGAAAACCTTCCGACCTGTATTTTCCTTAGAAATAAATAAATAAATTTATTTTCCTTGATTTCCTCACGGTGTCCTTCAGCCAGTTCAATCAACCCTATTGCCAGGCCCATTCTTCTTTTTACCTTGGGCTTTTAACCTAATTCTAAATTTCGTACGTAACAGATATAAATATGACAATGCGTATGCAAAGTAAAACAACTAGAGGGGGCTTTGGTAAAAGTTTCGAGAAAATTTTATTTTAGTTTGATATTAAAATAATATTTAATAAAATATTTTGCAATATATATATATATATTTTTTTCCAATAGAAAATTTTGGCAGACTTCATATGAATCTGGACCCCTCCTAGTGTGAACTCCAACGAGCAGCTGTGACTCGGGCTCCTAGAAGTATTAAAGATAAAACAAAATCCAAATTTACTTAACCAATGGTCATCCGGCCCAAAACCTTTGGGCTCATATGGCTGGGCTTATGACGTGTCCCAAATAAAGTGGTCTGCATACAGTTTATTTAGATTGTTTGCTTTATTTCAATATATATCCCATCTGTCCATAAAAAATTGTTTAAAATTTTTACACATAAAAATTGAGAGAGAATATTTTATTACTGTTTTTTACAGGGGTTAAATTAAAATTTTTATGGAGTTAGCAGTGTAATTTTTTGTATTATAGCAGGTTGAATATAAGAAATGTGTTGAGTTTGTTAGTGGCAATAGCGTAAATAGAATAAAAAATGATAGATTTTTTATTTAATTAAACATGACATGACTATATTACTGGTTTATAACCTAAAATAATCAAATAATAATACTTTTGGTACATATAATTGTAGATGTATTATTATTACTATTAAGTCTGCACCACAAAGCACCTCTTTTGTGCAGCCCCACTCCCCTAGAGTGGTAAGTGATGTATGAGAAGTCCTTAAGGATATGAATATTTAATAAATGGCTGTAAAGAATTTTGCAGCGTCAAAAATAAGGTCAACAATTATTTTAAAAAGTAGGGACTACAATAATAGCGTAGATTATTGCTGCTGCAGGTGCAGGTCAATAGTTATCCTATAATAGCTGCCCCAAAAATAGACCTAATTGATATGTATAAGTCTTCCAAGTTCCAAGGCCCTGTCCTTTCCTTCCTAGGAAAAACTCAGACCTTTGTTTGAGCTTGTTCACTACCAAACAACCCTATATTCATATCAAAGGCCATCCAAGAATGCCCTAAAAGGATCTGATCATATTCCTATTCTTGATCAATGGTGCAGCTATACACTTAGAAGAGTGTTTACTTGAAAATATTAATTAATTTTTCTAATCAAACATGCCCTTATGATTAAATAGTTTGAACTAGATTCTTCTTTCTTCAAACCTTTTATCTACACGGCCAGGGGCTAACTGACCCCCCAGTATTCAAATATATATATTTTTTAGTATAAAAAATAATAAAATTATGCATTTTTTAGTAATTTGTTTATTTTATTTTTTTTATTTTATAATGTAAAAAATCATAAAAATTTTGTTATTTACACTTTTAATTTTTAAATTTTTTAAAATATTAACTTCTATGTACTTTTGTTAAATTTGGTTCCGACATTGTCCACGATTTTGTTGTATCAACTTATTGCTTTTCCTGAAAAGTCATTTCCGTACCCACACATCGACTTCTGCACTTTCATAACATGCCTTTTCTGTGATCCTGTAATCTTCTTTTAATATACCCGTTTTATGCATTCGGGTTTGGGCTTACCCATACCCTGATCCGGAAAATTCCGGGTGGACCCTCCGTGTTGTTAATTGTGTCCCGGGCCCACATTACAGGCCCTTCATTGTAAATGGATATAGTTGGTGTACTGTAGGCGTGACCTTTCGAGAACCCGAAAGGCCGAGTTTAATTCATACGCGGCGGGCAGGGGCGTGAAGTTCACGCTCCACGGAAGATTCCACTCGCTTTGGATGTATCTTCAGATTCTGGAGTATATCCAATCCACCCCACAATGTACTACTACATGAATTGAATGATTTCTTTAAATTGTGGCCAATAAATTGCAACTTCCCCCCATTGTTTCTTTCTTTTAACATGGTCCTTGTAATTAAGTTTCATTGGAAAATAATTAATTTTTTTTTTGTGCATGAAAATATATGATTTGTTCATATATATTGAATGATTTTTTTATTTAAAATCATTTAAAATAATAAAATTATATATTAATTTAAAATATTTTTTAAAATGATAAATAATACTTTTGTTATTTGGCCGAAGGATATATATTTTATTATTTTTATCTGTTCAAATATAAATATATACTTTTAGTAATTTTACCATACTTAGAAATTGTAAATACTCTTATATTTATATTTATTTGCAATAATATTATTCAATCAAACTAAAATTTAAAAAATAAAAGATTTTACACATCAAATAAATACAATTTTATGAAAAAAGGGGCAATGTTGACATATGTTGGCCAAAATCGAAAATGTTAAAGAAGGTGAGGAGCAAAAGGAAATGATCCATCAAGTATTAAGCACGAGGCAATTTTAGGTCCTTGTTGTTATCGAAATTACAGAAAAGGCAGCCCACATTCGAGAATCGCCCATCGAATATTCAATTCAAACATCGGCGCTTGTCGCAAGATTCGTCTCTACGCGACGTCCCGACCTTGACATTCTCACGCTCTCCTATTTCTCAACAACTCCTGGGACCTCAACGCCAGCTCCCTCAACATCATGCAGTCACAGCCATCCGGTGTTTGAACTCCATGGATCTCCCCAAAAAACACCGCCTCGTTTGTTGAATCAGGAACAAGAACTGCGTTTTCTTTTTGCCCTTTTCTTGCTATATATAATAAGAAATATATATATATATATTTATATAAATTTTTGTAGCTATACCTACATACATATATATATTTGTGTGTACCCACAGTAATTCATTCCATATATATACTTGTTCCCTTTCCTTTCTTCTCCATTTCTTTCTTGTGAACCAAGTTTTATTCCATCTGTTGATTCTACTCAAATCCCTTCATACTCTGGAATCATCATTATCTTCGGAACTGTCTATGCTCGGACAAAACTAAACTCTCCCCTTTCTCCCTCATTAATAAATACCCTCCCTCCCTCCCTCCAGATTTATTACCATCCAAAATGATGATCAATTCCCATAACCACCCTGATTTCTCCCAGGAAATGCAGACCTGCCGAGATTACATTCAAGCCCTCGAGATTGAGCGTCGCAAGATTCAAGTCTTCCAACGCGAACTCCCTCTCTCTCTAGAACTTGTCCAACAAGGTATATATATATATATATATATGTGTGTGTGTGTTTTTGTGGGTGGGCATTGTGGAAAGGATTGTATTCTCTATTGTGTGAAATTTTGGTGTCCGATCGAGAATTTTGGTGTCCGATCGAGTGTGGTTTAGATTGAAAATTGGTGCCCTAATTTTGGTTCTTAATTGTTGGCAGCAATTGAGGCGTGTAAGCAGCAGCTGTCGGGGACGGCGGTGGAGTGTAATTTACGCGGCCAGTCGGAATGTTCGGACCAGACAACATCCAGCTACGTGCCTGTTTTTGAGGAATTTTTTCCCATCAAGAGGGCTTCATTTCACTCCGATGGCGAAGAACACCAATCTGTTCATGACAAGCTCAACGAAGACGACGACGATGCTGGCAGCGACGACGGCAAAATTGGTAGGGATGATAAAAATCCTATGAAATCAGACTGGCTTAGATCTGCCCAATTATGGAATCAGACCCAACCGAATGCTTCAGATCCATCCTTGAATGAGGTAATTAAGTCTCAATTTTGCTGAATTGAATTCAATTGATTTAAATTGTGTTTTAGGGTTAGGGTTTGTTCTGATTTGGGGATTTTTTTGGGGGGTTTAGGAATCAACCCAGAGATTGGACGCCACCCGAAATGACAGTAATGCACTTCCAGCGAGTGGAGCTTGCGCCACCTGCACGGAGGAGCAAGGCGGCAGCGGCGGCGGCGGCGGCGGCGGCGGAATTAAGAAAAGCGACGGAAAGGACTCACAGGCCAACAATCGAAAGATAAGACGATGTTGGTCACCGGAGCTCCACCGGAGATTCTTGCAAGCCCTGAAAGAACTCGGCGGCTCTCATGGTAATTAAATAAATAAATTATATATATATTTATACATACAGTCCAGTCCTGTTCGGGGATGTCGATAATTAATTAATTTACTACATTCACATTTTGCAGTCGCTACACCTAAGCAGATCAGGGAGCACATGAAGGTCGACGGTCTGACAAACGACGAGGTTAAAAGCCATTTACAGAAGTACCGCCTCCACACACGGCGGCCGAGCCCAACAATCCAACCGGCGGCGGCGGGGCAGGCGCCGCAGTTCGTGGTGGTCGGAGGAATCTGGGTCCCACCGGAGTACGCCGCCACAGTGGCCGCCGGAGAGGCGGCCGCATCCACCGCTGCACCTCCCACCGGAATATACGCCCCTATTGCAACGCTGCCGCGGCCGGCCAGTCTAAAACAACATAATCCGATTATGTCCGACGGCGGCGGTAGTGCCGCCGGAGTACGGTCGAATTCCCCGGCGACGTCGTCCTCCACTCATATGACCGCCGCCACCGCAACCTCGCAGGATTATTAAATAATATTTTTTGCAAATTTGTGTGACAGACAATGCATAGAGGATATTATACAGGGATTTACTATTTCTTTGCAAATTTTCCTTCATATTAATAAATTGTAGAGTCCATTTTGTTCATACCTCTGGCGTGCATTTTGGTTGAAATAATAATGGAGTAATTCAAAAATTTCTTATTACATTGTTTTCACTTTGTATACAAAATTAATTTAATAATAATTCTTGTGGTCACATTTTGGATTGTGACAGTCAGCTTCACTCCATCTCATCTGGAATATATATATATATATAAAGATTTAAATAAACTTGTTTAATATAGTGAAGGCGATATTTGACGATCAAAAAACAATAAATGAAATGACAAGATTGGCTCTGAGCACGTTGTCTGCGGAAAATAAACTATGTCTTGAAATCATTGTGGGACCCACGAAAGTATATTCTTCGCATAAGAAGCATATGCATGGATAGGGTTGTCATTTTTAATTACTTTGTTAATTTACTACTTATATTTATTATTATTATTATTAAGGACTATAATTCTTTCTTTATCTTATCTCTTCATGTATACATATTCTAAATCCGCAAGAATCTTCCCCCTTGTTCAAGAAACAACAATATTTTATTTTATTTATTTTTAAAATATATATTCACTTACCAAATAAATACTTTTAACATAGAGTTTTTATTTGTTAACCCTCATAAATTAAAACCTGCAATTAATATCAAGGATTGAATTTCTTAATTACATCCTAGTCCTAATCTACTTCCAAATACAAACACAAATCCAAAACAATAATAGATAGAGATCTTGATAAAATTGACAACTCTTCTCTAATCGCAACAACAAAAATAGTTATAATAATAAAAATAAATCGAATTTCCATTGCAGCACGATGTAATAAGTTATAGGCCTACATGATGCATCCTTATAATTTACATACGGCCGCCACGTGTCCTAATCCCAAACAAACCTTGTTTTGAAGCAATTTACTACAAAGCAAAGACGGAAATAAATACGACCCTTGGAGTCAAGATTGGGGCAATTGTCTCTTCCAATATCCTAAACTCCACACATTTATATATTTTTTGCGTGTAAAAAATAGCCGTTAAATATTAATTTAGAGCAAATTATCTCGTACCAAATAATATGTTTGACCTAACTTCACACTTGATGGACGGTCACGATGAATCCTTGGTTGGTGCTTATCCTGCTCAATTCATGTCAACATTTCATTTAATTGTTATTTATATTTTAATATTTTATTTTTCCATGTACAAATTTCGTGGGTCCCAATAGTCCAGTCTAGTCTCTCAACATTTCTTTATGTATTTATATTTATTGGTGTATTCAATTATGGGAATTTGCTTATTGGTTCCAGCTATATATGTATGGTTGTCGATTGATTTTGGATAAGGTTAAATAATGACGAGTGGTAACAAATAATATGGATATTGGAATATTCTTTGATTATTGTGGTTTTCTTTATGCCGTATTTGTACTAACAAGACATCAATTCGATTTAATCATGGTTAGTGTTTACCAACATTGTGTTTGTTGAGATCTTTTTATTGTCTTATTGTTTGACACTGTTGTATCACGCTCGAAGTTAATTAATTATACATTTATCGATTTAAAAGTCAATTATTTGTTAGGTTTAATTTTTATATTAAATTAAAAATTAATTTTATATTTAAAATATCATATTAATATATAGATATATATATTTATTTAAACATATTCACATATACTTTGTTTTTAGATATCAATCTAACTGGCCAAAAGATAAACGGGCGCCTTGACGTGGTTCAAAATTGCACATTTGAACCTATTTTTAATTTATTAATAATTAATAAATGGGCTTACACAGATTTGGACCACTAAATATTAGAGAGCCCATTTAATAGCCCAATAATAATTTTATCCGAGCCTACACAATGCCCCCAATTAACGACTCAATAATTATTTCGAAGCCCAGAGGTAGGCCCAATTTAGGCCCATCACAGAAATAACATGGTGAAAGAGATTGCGGGCGGATAATAATTAAATATTTATTTAAATTAATTAATAAATAAGTATATATATATATAGGAAATGGAGAGTTGTAGACTGCTGGAGAAAGACGTCGTCCTTGAAACCTCGGAGATTCGATAGATAGAGAAAGAGTTGGTATCAGCGCATGGTGTCGAAGCAGTTGATCGTCGCCGTCGAAGGCACGGCCGCCATTGGACCGTACTGGAAAACTATCGTCGCAGATTATCTCGACAAGATCGTAAGGTGCCCGCACTCTCTCACTGCACATATTCGTTTACTGCAGTTTTTCCTTTACTGATTGTTTTACGTGTTTCTGCTGAACAAACGCCAGTTCGATGCAATGGAATTGTAGTGTACTTTATGCGTTTTGCAACAATTAACGCGATGAGACTGTTTGACGTGTTCGATTAGTTATTTGTGATTTCTGATTCGATTATGCTGTCGTTCTTGCTAAATCATCGTCTTGTGATCACATATGTATGAATGTGATGATTTCCGATTCCGTTGTCTCGATCAAGAGGTCGAAATTGATTCAATTTCATTTCCTTGTTGTGTGTATTAATCTTTCTGGTATGTTAACCTGCGGAGAAATTCCGTCCTTGTTGTCTTTGTCGTCTTTTCCTTCATATGTTCCACAGTTCAATTTGATAAGATTTATAATTGCGTCACAAGGTTTGTATCCATTTATGATTTTTCGTTCTGAAAACAAATGAGTAGCTTCAGAAGTTGGTTAAAATAATGGTTAAGCCCTAAAGTAAGGAAAGAGCAATTTGAGTTGCAAATAAATCATTAAATATTTATTTAATCATCTATACTTATAAATATAAAGACTGATTGTCAGTAGAAATATATGTATATACACACAGATACAAACACAAATCTCCCCTCTCTAGATATGGAAGGTTTTATAAAATGTAGCCAAATTTACCTTAGTTTTTGTAGACACTGGAAATTTTGCTATTTCTTTAATATTAGTGTCTTCAGCACCCAAAACCACAAGTTTGAAAACATAACACCAATGCAGCACATATACAGAGTTGGCTATTTTCCTTGATTGGATGTGGCAGAGAAATTTTTGAGATTGGTCTTAAATATTATTTATAGCCAGTAGCCTTTCTGGCATATTGATTGTTTTTTGCTTTCTTTCTCTCTGTTGATTTCTTCTGTTATTAAAGCAGTCGAGGATAAAAAAAATATTTATGCAAGTTAAGTGGTAGGGTGGGGGTGCCCTTTTATTGTCCTGTCTCTTGGAAGCATTGATATTGATATAGCATATACATCATTGAGTTACTAGAATATGGTTCCAGATGATGTTCTCTCTCTCTCTCTCTGAAGTAAAAAAATTATGGGTAGATTTTGGTTAAGCACTTGATATTAAAAAGGTTTTCTGTTGTATCTCTACAGATGCTTTTATGGAAATGAATCAACTGGTCAGGTATAAATAGGCACTTAAAGTATTTTCTTGAGTGAGGGTTTTTATCAACTAGACTGATTTACATATAGTACTCTTGACATCTTCATTTCAAGCTCTTACTATTTATCAATATTTTCAGAACTCTCCTACAACAAATGTTGAGCTTTCTCTGGTCATGTTCAATGGGCATGGCTCCTACAGTGGTGCGTATTTTGATCTGTGAAGTATTCAGGAATTATATATATATATTTTTTATGCTGTTCCTTTCTTGTAGGGAAACTCAAATTTGTATTTGAACATGTTACTTTTTGTTCTGCTTTTCATGAATTCCCTGTATATATATATATATATATATATGTTCTGAATTATGAAAATATGTAGTCCATCTTCCCCTCTGTTTCCCATGGGTGCTACTATTGGGGGATTTGTATTGCAATTAATCTTCCATTTAAGTGCTTGAGGCCTTGATTGAAGTCTTTTAACAGCTAACATCAACTTGAAAGATCAGTATATTTCTGTTCTTCTGAAATGCTCAAATTTACTGGTCATAGGACTAAGCTGAATTCTACTCACAAGTTGTGAAATTTTATAACCTTGCACATTGAAGTTTCTTTCCCTTTATTAGATAAATTTATTTCAAGTTCTAATTTGTGGGAGATTATGAAAATATATTCAATAATTTTAGTTTGTATCATGCATCCCCTATCTTTGGTTTCTCTTTGTTTATTACCCTTTCCATGATCCAGCATGCCTTGTGCGACGAAGTGGTTGGACTAGGGACATGGATGTATTCTTACAGTGGCTTTCAGCTATACCATTTTCTGGCGGTGGCTTCAATGATGCTGCAATTGCCGAAGGGCTAGCGGAAGCTTTGATGGTAAATATTTATCTATCATCCTTGAGGCACATGTGTTCCTTCAGGTTTTCTGTAAACGACATGTTTTTCATATGCTATTCCTTCTCAAATTTCTATAAGCAATGCACATTTCAGATGTTCACTTCTCCTAGTGGAAATCAAAATCAAAATTCCGAGGCACAAAGGCATTGCATTCTTATTGCAGGGAGCAACCCTTTCCCATTGCCAACACCTGTATTTCGACCACAACCCCAAAATATGGTAGATGGAAACAGCACTGAGATGCAACCTGAAAATCATCTTTGTGATGCAGAGACATTAGCAAAGTCTTTTCCTCAGGTGCAGATTTAAAATTATCCTTTTTCATGTCTCGGACTTTGTTTATACTAAGTTTCTAACGAGCATTTGCATTTGGCAGAGTGCTATTTCTCTTTCTGTTATTTGTCCAAGACAGCTTCCTAAGCTAAGAGGAATCTATAATGCGGTACTGAATTGACTTTCATGAACTTTGTTCTTTTCTTCCATACTGGGAATCCATAAAATTTCTCGAGGCATATGTGAATTTAATTTGTTCATCTTATCTTTGATTATTATCAAATCTCAACCTGGACAATTTGGAGTTAAAAAGCAACAGTATGACAATGAACATAACTAAATCCTTTTTATTTATGTACTTTGTATTGATATTTGCATCTAATTAACTATAAAGCGAATGTATTTCCTTTTATTGAATATTCAAATATGTGCATGTTTTGGCCGCTAGTGTGGTTAATAACTGGAAGGAGGTTCATCAAATTTAAATAGCTGAATAACCAAAAAAATGATGGGAAGATTCTGGGTTTGTTTACTTGTGGATTTTTTTTCTTTTTTCTAAATAATTTTAAGATAAAATAGTTGTTCGATGTGATGTTTTGAATGAAAAATCCGTGTTACATTTGATGATTTTGGAGAAAAATTGGAAGATTAAATAGTAAAAATGAGTGTAGAAATCACAAGTAAACAGAACCTATATTTTAGGTTTCTTTTTCATTGTTTCAAGTACTGCTTGATATGCTGATGCTATTGTTCTCATATTAATCTAGGGAAATAGCAATCCAAGAGCTGAAGATCATCCTGTAGACACTGTTAAGAATCCTCACTTCCTTATCCTAATATCAGAAAATTTTCTGGAAGCCCGTTCTTGTGTAAGTAGATCGCCGGTGACAAATTTGCCATCAAACCAAAATCCAGTCAAGGCAGATGTGACTCCTCCTTCAGTTTCTGTGCCGCCTCAAGTTCCACCAGGTAATTTTTTAGTGCTCCATATGTCAACTGTTTCTTCATACACTCCTAGCATTGCAATATACTACAACTTGGGTCGTTAGGATCTGTGTGCAGTTATGATGTTACAGCTATGAAGCTTATACCCTTTGAGAGCAAGAAATCGAGAATTGTTCTCTCTTTATATAAATTGGGACAATAAAATCTCAGTTCTTCATTGTTTTTTTTTTTTTTTTACCCCACACACGCACACACTCACACCCCCAACGGGAATTTCACCCAATACATGCACACATGCGCCCACCAGGATCGAACTTGGGACCCAACCCTCAAACGAGGAATGTCTCACCGATTGATCTACAAGGGTTTGACATTGTTTGTTGACTAGCCTTTTGGTCCTCGGTATTACTAATATAATTCATCTATTTGTCTCTAAGAAATATTTGTGGTTGATTGAGACTTTTATAACTAATAATATAATTTTGGTCTCTTGGTCTCAGTCTTTATTTCTAGCATGAGTTTTGCACAACTAATATACCTCTTTTTTCCTCCTCTCAACTTGGCAATTGTTATTAGGAATGAGGGTGATTTTATGCTATCCTTAATTGAAGAAGATTCGTATACCAGTTGCATATTGCACTTTGTTTCATTTGCTTTACTGGTCCATGGAACTTAGAGGAGGAGAAAACCTTTTAACAAACATCTCTTGAACATTTTAGGAGGCTAGCAATTAAGAGTGTTTGGTTAAGATATTTAGAAGGTCAAAATATCAACAATTTTGTGTGTTTGTTTGAGAGATTTGATTTGTTTTTCAATATTTACAATTTTTTCCCCCCAAAAACATCAAACCAAATATTTATTTTTTATTTTATTATATTACACAAAATCAATTTTACATCCATAATATCACGTCAATTTCTATTTATATCACATGAAATAATTATTCAAATCAAAACCCTCAAACAAACACACTGAGAGTTATTTCATATAGACCTTATTATAATGCTTTTGAGTGTTTTGTATGCATGCTGATAATACACATTTCACCCTTCAGCAAATGGATCTGGAATGGTACGGTCACCAATATCAGTTGGAAACATACCTCCTGCAACTGTAAAAGTAGTAAGAACATCTGTCTAAGTTTATTCTCTCACCGGTGGCAAAGTTTAGGAAATTTTCCTAGTAGTCTGTCATTTTTTTTCTGACATGGAAAATTCATCAATCATTGTTGGACAGGAACCTATCTCCTCTGCGACTTCAAATATCTCTTCTGTTCCTCAAGCAGCAGTTGCAAGCTCGAAAACTTCTTCCCCTGTGTCCACATCACAGGACATGATCACGACTCTGAGTAAAGAAAATCTACCGGATGTGAAGCCTCTGGCCAATAATGTAACACCCTCCTTGCGACCAGTTAGCCCAGCAGCTAATGTGAGAATTTTGAACGACGTTGCTCAAGCTCGTCAAGTCCTAGCTGGAGGAACTTCCATTGGAGTTCCTTCCATGGGGACACCTGTACTTTCAAATATGATATCCAGTGGAATGCAATCTTCTGTTCCCCCTACTCAAACTGTAACCTCGTCAGGGCAATCAGGTCCCATGGGAATATCAGGACCTTTGTCAGTATCACAAAACTCAACTCCTACATCACAAACTTTAAGTGGTATCCAGACTGTTAGCCTGCCTCAAACACCACCAGGCATGAGCCAGCTTCCAGCCACACAAATGTTGCAGGGAACAAGTCCGAACATGAGGAGTGTCAGTGCTCCTGCCAGTATGCCCTCTGGAAGTGGCTCAATGACGTCTACTCCGCGAGTATCTCAGCAAGGACAACAAGGGGTGCAACCTGCTGTTCTAAGCAACAGTAATTCTGCTACAAATATTCCCTTGAATCAGCAACAAACAAGTTCAGCAAGGCAAACTCCGCAATCAAAATATATCAAAGTGTGGGAGGTAAATAACATTATCAATATAATGAATGTTTGAGATTCTATTTTGATTAAGTGAACGTGACAATTCGCGTCAGCAATTTTCGTACTTTGGAAAAATATCCAAAAACATTTAAACTATTCTCTGTTTCGGAGTCCCTTTCTGTAGTAGCTCTTTTGTAAAAATAGTTGTTAAAGTTGACTACCCCTCTTGATTTATAGTAGACTGCTGTTTCAGAACCTTCCTAACCATTGACACTGAATTATTAGTTTAGTGATTAGTTCCATCGAAATTATGACATTTTTTACCCTCATCTGCCTCTAAAATTTTGTTATTGAATCAGGGCAACTTATCTGGACAGAGACAGGGCAAGCCTGTTTTCATTACCAAAATGGAGGTATGTACCAATTCCACAATAAAGTATCTTGAACCCGGTTATTTTTTGCTTTTCCGTTACCTAGTTTTGGAGTAGGAAACACTTTTTTGAGTACATTACTCTCCTGGTTTTTCGCATGCCATGATTGCATTATCTCACGATAGCCTCTTTTGCATCTTTTATGTGGCAGGGATACAAGAGTTCATCATCGCAGGGCGCGTAAGCCAATTACAGCTATATTAAAAAAACTCAGATAGTCATATAATAATACTGGCGTCTTTTAGTAGTTTATTAGTCTTTGCTATGAATTTACTGTTTCTGCATTAAGATATGTTGCATTCATACCCATGGAGATGTTCACCCTTTTCAGGATTGCGACACATTGGCCCTCAACAATGCAGATAGTTCGCCTGGTATCTCAGGATGTCATGAATAACAAGTAATGTCGCCTCAAAGAAGCTACAATTTCATAGTGTCTGCATTTGTAAAATCTAAAATTTTTTATATCGTTTGCGACATTATGCTAGGCAATATATTGGCAAAGCTGATTTCCTAGTCTTTCGAGCAATGAATCAGCACGGTTTTCTTGCACAGCTTCAAGACAGGAAGCTTGTAAGTCTGTCCCAGTGCAAATCCTCATTCCTTTGTTAGAATTAATTACAAGTTTATGAAATTACGAAATCTTTGTCTTGACATCAAAATTCTTTTTGCAGTGTGCTGTAGTACACTTGCCGAACCAGACATTGCTCCTCTCGGTTTCGGATAAGGCTCACCGTTTGATTGGAATGCTCTTCCCTGGGGTAATAATACTAACTACTAAATCCCTCCAATTCTCCATATATCATATATTTAATTTTCTCTACACTCTCTATCTCTACATCCTTCTTGTGCAGAACATGGTTGTTTTTAAGTCTCCCCCTCAACTACAAGGTCAGATGCAAATCCAGCAACAGCAACAATCACTACAGCAAATGCAGCAACAACGCCCCATTGCGCAGCAGATGAATCAAGGTGGTTCCGGGCGATCTCAGCTGCTGCAGCCGCCAGGACAAACGTCGTCTCAGGGATCAACAAGCATGCCTGGTGGCTCCTTTATAGGTTAGTAAATTTATTTTTTGCTGGTTAGATCAAGAACTAGGAGTTTCCCTTATGTTTTTTTACCAGCTTTTAAAATGGCCATGCCCCACACACTAATTATCAAAGCCTATGCTCTTCTTGGGCCAGAGATGGTTTGGTAGAGATCCATTTATGATTTTGAATTTATTAAAGAACTAAAGCCAACACCCTTTCCTACATCATTGAGGATAGGATTTGAACTTGAAATGGTATCTTTGCTGGTAACAAAATTAATTAATAAATAAATTTCTTGTATTTTGATTCGTTGTAATAAATATTACAACGAACTGGGAGCACACATATAAAGAGACAACTCGCAAGATGCTTTTTTTATTTTGGTTAAAGTATAATTGTGGGACTAATAAAGCATGAACAAATAGTATATATACATATGTGTGTGGGTGTGTGTGATAAAGTCATAAAGATGTTAGCATCCACAAAGCTAATTATTGGCTTTTTCAATGTTGCTTTAGTCAATTTTGAACCACCGCATGGTGTGAAGGTACTCATCACATTATACTTTTATTGTCATAATTATTAAATAAATATGTATATAAATATATAAATAACTATGTATTGAGATAGTTTTAGGATATTGATTAGATACATAGAAATATACTATATATATATATATCACAGCTGGAATTAATATAATAGTATGTGCATTGTGCATGTTGTCATTTATAATCTGTATTTATGTTATGTTAATATTTAGCATTTGTTGAAATCCATATGTATTGTTGGTATTTATGTTATATATTGATCTACAATCTTTTGCTAAAATTAATTATGATATACATTATGTGTACTATTACCGATTAAAACAAATTAGCATGATGCTAATAATTGTATAGCACTCTAAAAACACAGGCAATTATGTATATATGGTTATCCATCTATTTAAGTATTTATTATTTGACGTCAGGTCGATCATCATACGTTGTAGTTCTTGTCAATGTTAGAAGTAATGTACGTAAGCATCTTAAATGCTTTTACTTTGTAGTTCCAGCCAAAAATAAAATAAACGTTTAAAAAAAAAGAGGATGTTCTGAAGGAATATATATATATATTATATATATATATCGTTCCATAAATAATAAGCATTACGTATATTATTTTATTTGAAGAAAGTACTTTGTAAAGAAAGTTGGAAGTTGAAGCAAGAATTAGAAACCCTAGTATTATTATTAGGGTTTCTAATGGTTTGATTAATTTCAAAAGAAAAAATTATACTGTTCAACCGTTTAATAAAAATATATATTTTTTTTTTTCACAAAATATTATATTAAAAAAATTATTTTAATTAATTAAAATTTAAATTCAAATCAAACAAACTCTAAACAAACCGTTAGATGTTTATTCATATAGAATATAGTATATGTATATATATTAAATATTATACTATTCTCATATATATATTCATAAAATATTCTTTTTTATATTATTAAGATTTTCAAAATTTTAAAATTTAGGCTCTATTTATACAAACAATTTTAATCCTATTGATCTGTAATAAAATTAGAAAAAAAAAAAAAAAAAAAAACTCACGTCAATTATACTTTTTTTTTTTTTTTTAATTTTATTTTCAAAACTTTTCGATACTACTTTCGTCTATGTATTTTGTATATATATATTTCGTGAATGAATAGTGCAAAGTAACATTTGTTATCTGCAACAGTGCAGATAGAATCATCATCATCAACCATTTAATCAGTCAGTCTGTCCTTCCTCTGTTGGCTCGAATCCCACCGACTCAGCAATGTAACTGCCCCTTCAATTTTCTGCAAAATATTATGATTGCATTACGTACAGAAGCAGAACCATCAGCTGCTGCTGGTGGTGGGATCGATCTTCAGCTATATTTAATGGCATCTGCGACACAGCGCCATTTCTCCACTTTCCTACTTCCCCACTAAAACCCACACTATACTCACTCTACTGCTCTCTCATGATTAATAGCTTATACTATATCAACCACCACTAACCTACCTCACTGCCTCCATACATACGTACATTAGCATCTTCCTTCCATTCATCCATCGATCACTTGCAGCACCGTTCTTCAACAACAATGGTTTCAGCCACAGCTTCTCCCCCACAGTTCAAAGTAATATTAATCTATCCATTTTCTACTGTTTGTGTTCAGAAAATAATGAGTATGAAGAAGAAGAAGAAGAAGAAGAAGAAGAAGAAGAAGAAGAAGAAGATATTTTAATGATGGTTGCTGTTGCTGTTGCAGGAAGTTCCGACGTCCGGCGAACGGGCTAGAAACGCGAAATGGTGGTACTCGACTTTTCACACCGTGACGGCAATGGTCGGCGCCGGAGTCCTCAGCCTGCCTTACGCCATGGCCTACTTAGGATGGTACGTATCGTCGTCTCAATTGAATTTCAAAAAATCCCCAAATTTGATGAAATTAGGGTTTCCGAATCGAATTTGAATCTGAATTTGAATTTGAATCATCCTGAGTCGTCGCTCCCCAGGGGTCCCGGGACCTTGGTGATGGTGGTGTCGTGGTGCATCACGCTGCACACGATGTGGCAGATGGTTCAGCTCCACGAGTGCGTCCCGGGCACCCGGTTCGACCGGTACCTGGACCTGGGCCGGCACGCCTTCGGGCCTAACCTCGGGCCCTGGATCGTCCTCCCTCAGCAGCTCATCGTCCAGGTCGGCTGCGACATTGTTTACATGGTCACCGGCGGCAAATGCCTCCAGAAATTCTTCCAAATCGTCTGCTCCACCCACTGCGCCCAATTCCGACAGTCCTACTGGATCTGCATCTTCGGCGCCCTCCACTTCTTCCTCTCCCAGCTCCCGGACTTCAACTCCGTCTCCGCCGTCTCCCTCGCCGCCGCCCTCATGTCCCTCTGGTACGTACCCTACTAACTACAAATATATATATATACAATTAATTAATTGATTAATTAATTATTTATTTAATTTAAAATTAATTAGCTATTCGACGATAGCGTGGGTGGGGTGCCTGAGCAAGGGTCGGGGGAGCGAGGTGAGCTACGGGTACAAGAAGACGAGCGGCGGGGACTACATGTTCAGAGTGTTTAATGCGTTGGGGCAGATCACGTTTGCCTACGCCGGCCATGCGGTGGCGCTGGAGATTCAGGCGACGATTCCGTCGACGCCGGAGAAGCCGTCGAGGGTGGCGATGTGGAAGGGGGCAGTTCTGGCCTACTTCATCAATGGCATCTGCTACTTCCCTGTGGCCATCATAGGCTACTGGGCCTTCGGACACGACGTCGCCGACAATGTCCTGGTGGCCCTCGAGAGGCCCGCCTGGCTCATCGCCGCCGCCAATCTCATGGTCGTCGTTCATGTCATCGGAAGCTATCAGGTCTACGCCATGCCCGTTTTTGACATTCTTGAGAGATCTGTCGTCAAGAGATGGAGCATCCCGCCCGGCCTTATGCTCAGGCTTCTTGTTCGATCGTCTTACGTTGGTCAGAAACCAATTACAGATTTCAAATATATATAGATTTAATTGATTCGTTAATTGGTTTATCTAATTGCAGCTTTCACACTGTTTGTTGGTGTAACCTTCCCATTTTTTGGGGACCTTCTTGGTTTCTTTGGCGGATTTGGCTTTGCTCCTACTTCCTACTTCGTAAGCCTTCCTTCTAAATTCTCATCTGCAATTAGTGAATTAATTAAGTTATCATTATCATCATTATTTCAATTCGTGTTTAAATTATATGTTGTCCAGCTGCCAAGTGTGATATGGCTGAGGATTATGAAGCCAAAGAGATTCAGTCGTTCATGGATCATCAACTGGGTAAGAACAAAACCAGCATTCTCCTATCCTATCCTATCTTAGTTAAGGTTAAATCTGATCAAAATCTTGGAGCTAGGTACTAAATAGTGATCCTAAATCATTGCAGCTATGCATATTCATAGGAGTGTTCATCATGGTGGCATCAACCATTGGTGGGCTCAGGAATATTGTTGCTGATTCCTCAACTTATCAATTTTATTCCTAAATAAAATCCTACTAAACTCAGCTTTGTAAGAAATGCTGTTCCGTACAACTGTAATGTAAGCAAAGCAATCACCATCTGGAAAAAGCATATGTAATAAAAAAAGACTTGCAAGCTATAAAGGATTTCTAGTTCAGCTACCATTTTCACAAAACCTGGTTTGGTAACTAGACCCCACAAATATATATTGCTTCAAGAGCAAATCACTTCGCTAAATGCATTTCCTTTAGGTAAATTAAGTGTGTACCTAATTAGGACATCATCTGATCACACACTTTTCTCCAACAAGGCAGGGACGTGCTTTCCGAGCCCGATCCCGCCTCGCCACGCCTCGTACTCTGAAGAGAAATAACAAGACTAATTGTCTAAGGTCATTTCTCACCAACCAAGTAGTTACTTTCCCACTAATTGTCTAAGGTCATTTCTCACCAACCAAGATATTAACTTTGCCTTCTAAAGAGGATAAAACAAAATAGCAAAGAGGTCGGGACATATATCTAATCTTTTCTTGATGAGCATGTGATGATACAATTTGCGCTACCGGGCTTCAAAAGAACTCAATGTTTCAATCACTGCATAATGGTAGTGCCTGTATTTCTAAACACTTGGTGAGTGTGCTGAATGTAAAAGATAAGATTCGAAAAAGCATGTAAACTCAGTTCAGTTTTCCAAATTTCTTGGGATCAAATTGATGGACTGATCTGCCTATCAGTTTGTTTACCCCCTACAATGTAAAGCTGTCCATGTTCACCGAATATCTTGATCGTCTGCAAGTGAGAACAAAATCAAGAAAATCTTGGCATCAGAGTTTTCAAGAAATGACAATAAGAAACCTGAAGGGATTTCTGACTAACCTCTAGTGAATCTTTAAATTTCACGACTCAACTGATGAGAGAAATGATTGGATTCCAAAAACAATGAAAAGAACTCCCCCAGAGAGTGAGACCTACATTACCATGGGTCAAATGGCTAGGTCAGCAAGGATTGAAAATTTTTAAAAGTGTAGAAATCCAGAAACTTACGAATTTTTCAGATATTTGTGTTGCCAAGCTTTTCCCTCCGAGGACAGCAGCAGTAGTGCACAAAGCTTGTCCGCTGATAGAAAACCAAATCAAATCAAACATGTCCGAATAAACAAGTTTTGTATCGAAAATCATGGTATAGATCATACTCATCAACAATTTGAGTAAAAGTATTAGATAGGAAAGGTTACATGATTCCACCAAGAACAACACCCAAAGGATTCTCATCAGCAGCCAAACCAATCGTGGCAAGCTGGAAAACAAATTTTGTCATCCTATCAGAGTTACCTTTTATAAAAATAATCACATATGCACCCAATCTTAGCTTACCTGACTCTTATCACCCCACTCCCCAAAGAAAGTAATGGAGAATGCCTGTGAAAAGAAAATGGATTGTTTATTCATAATAGTGGAATTCAAATACAGATAGAGATTAGATAAGTGGGAAAATTAGAACCTTCAGCAAGATGGGGGAAAAGAATTGAGTAAGAAAGGGTCGACTTTGCTTTTTCTTATCATCAGCATCCTAGAACAACATTAAACAGAAAAAACACAGTTAGGAGATGCATTGTTTCAACTCTGGCAGACATTGATTATAGAGAAGAGAATAAATATCTTTTGATTTATTAAAATAAATCCTTACCTTATTATTTTCTCTGGTTTGCCCACCATTAGCTTTTATATCGGCATTCTAGCACATCATAAAAATGAGGTTAAAAAAAGTGTTACTTCAAGGCAGGTGACGGAACACGAGATACTAACCAATTCTTTTTCAACTTCAGCAAACTCTTCACTCTCACTGTTGTAATAGAAAACAAAATCAACTGAATGTTTTAGTTAAAAGAAACAAAAATATATCTTCGTTCAGCAATAAGTGCGTAATGGAGAAAGGGAAAGTAGCAGTTCATTACCCCTCATTGAATGCATCCCACAGGGACCACAAGCCGAATCCCAGAAACAGTAGTGTTGTGATATGGTGAGTCCACTTACGTGGAATCTGCATCGATAGAACACATATTAAACGTATGTTACAGAAAACTGGTCCCCTATGTCATATAATATAGATGCAAATATTATTTGTTGGTGCAATTTGCTTCCATAATTGACAGCCTAAAACCAAAAAGATGAACTAAATATATATGCATACAGAAAGGGCCAAACCCTTCTGCAGAGTAATATTATAAATACTGCATTTCAGACTTTCAGTCATGATTACTTCAGGCAACTTGGAACGCAATTCAACTACTGGTCTTTCAGGCACAGTGATTACTACATGGTCAATTTGTGATTAATAAAGACGATATGAACAAGAGCCAACAATAGCCATTTGTGCAATTGGAGGTGGTAATAAAAAGGAATGTTTTCTAGCACAAAAGGTATTCAAAACGATCACAGAGAGACGATGGTCCACCTGTTAGAGATATCAATGGCAATACAAATCACTGTGATAGAACTTAGGGTTAGTATACTGTTAGTGCAACTTTTAACATGTTAACTTAGGGTGTGTTTGTTTGGGGGATTGGATTTTAAATGCACTGTTCTATCTCATTTTTTTTCTCAAAAACATCAACTCAAACACCTATTTTTCATTTTTTAAATTATACTAAAAATCAATTTTACATTCAAAACATCACATCAACACCTATTTATATCATATCATATAACTATTCAAATTCAAAACTTTTACTATTCAAATCCTAACTTAAAATTCAAACCCCCAAACAAACACACCCTTAGCCAATTTCTACTCTTCAGGGAAGCAGGAGCTCGGATTGAAAGATGATGGTTTTGACAGGAAAGCGACAGAGGTCAAGTGCAATTTATAACCGGATCAATAATATGTGACAGGTGTAGAACCTAAAAAATTAAATCACAACACTGTTCCACCAGATTTGGATTTCGGATTCAAGTTGAAGGCGGTGGTTGAGTCCTAGAGCACTTTCAGGATTGAAGCAACAGAGCTCTATTTTTTTTATTCTTTCAGTTTAATCTCAAATTTTAGTCATCTGTATCCGCATACCCTGATTTCCATCAAACAACAGAGACTCAGTCATCAGATTTTTTTCTTGGTCATTCCTGAAATTTTCTTGAAACTTTTCACTGTCAAACCTAACTTCATGAACCAACCACCTCACTTCCTAGACTTAAGTCCATTGTTTACCCTACTGTTAGTTCCTCCCATTAATTGACAGCCTCATCAACAGACAGACCATACTTTAGCACTTACCTTAGTTTCATCTTACAGTAGGTTCAGAACCTTTAGAGACTCAAACCAGTTAGAATCAACATGCTTAACCAATTCTTCAGTACATCAATATTCTTTCTACAAATTGACAGTCAGGACCAGCAGAAGTGCCATTTGACAGTGGACCAACTGCTACACCCACATAGTGTTTGTATAGATCCTATCATTGGCTCAACAATAAATATTTATATAATTTTGATTGAATCTGGAGCAATCTTCAAGTCTGTGTTATCATTTATGTTCAACTTTGAATTGTTGTTATCAAGTCTGTTATGTTTCTGTTTGTGTCAGTTGGTACTAGCTTTACACAACACTGTCCCAAGAAATATGTGGCTGCAGAGCATCCACATAAAATAGAAATCGTGGCAAAGTATGACAGTAAGAAACCAAATGTACAGCTTAAATTTAACTCAAGAACAAAGATTCATGATGAAACTACAATAGTATATTAAAGGGAATAGTGGTCCCAAGGAAACATAAATTGCAGGATAGGATAGAACTAAGTGGTTATGGTAACCATAGTCCTACTCACTGTAATTTCAATTTTTTTTCATATCTTATATAATACAAAATAAAAAGAGTATCAATAGAAGCAATCACTATGATCTATTATCAACAGAAGCATTGCTAAACTGCAATTTGGTTAGAACAGTTACCAGATTCGGAGCAGCCCAGCCCACAACAGCTGATAATATAGTCATAACCTAGCCATCAACAAAAATTTGCAATTACTCAAGAACTTTGACAAGTTGAAGTTGGAGATATAGAGTATCTTACAATCAAAGCTCCAAGGCAACCTGACAACACAAGCCTTCTCGGGTGGCGCATTGCTAGTATCTGAAACAAGCAATATTGCCCAATCAGGCCAATAGCTAGAAACTTAGGCTCTACATACATACATCGAGAAATCATTTTTGCCCCTATTCATCTAAGTAACATTTTAAAAAGACATGAAATCAAATAAACTTTTACTATTTTACAAAATTTCCAAAACTACAAAACTTTCAAAATCATATATCTAAACCAAGCCTAAGGAAAATTTAATCAATTATATTATGCTACAAAGATCAAGAAACAATCTGGGCACAGAAGAAATACAAAACCTTAGGACCATGAATTGCACAACCAGAGCAACCAGAGACCAGAACAGTCATCAGAAGCGAGCTTTAAAAACATGATTCTACCTTCATGAATGCATCTTATCTCTAAGAATTTGCACACCAATTTCCATCATTACAGATATCATTTTACATAGTTTGAAAAACTAAACGAGACAATAAAATGCAAACAACATCATTTCAGCTTTCAAACTGCTGAAGAATTTCACTAAAAAACTGCTCATAACAGAACGCTATAATCAGTAAGAAAAATCCAAATTGAACTCCGTACTGTTACAAGTACTCAATTTTCCGTTTCGCAGCAGATCCGAGAAAAAGTAATAACTCCACCATTTAAATCAAAGATTTCAATAAACTAATATCAGCCGAATTGAACATTCATCGAATTCTATGAATCTTACTGCAGCCGCAAAAAAAGTCTTGTCCCCGATCTCGGACAAAATCGTCATTGCTAGGGACTTCGAAAAACCCTACCAATTTCACAAACCACACACGTCAACAATCCAAAAAGGTTAAAGCAAGTCAAATTAGATAATCAACAGCTAGGTACGCCGATTACTTGAACGACAGAAAGATCCATCTTTTCCCCGTGTATCCTTCCGCAAAGAAAACAAAAACAACTCCGATCGATCAACGGAAGGAAATCTTGTAGTTCGGACTCCGTGCCTCACACGGCGGTGGACGGCGGAGGCCGGAGATTGGTGGAATCCTCAGCGGCTGAGATTTCGTAGCGCCCAGAATCAAGTGTCGCGACTCGTCTAGTCTTATGTGGTACACACGATGTTGCCCTATCTATTATTCATTAACAATAATAATAATAATAATAATAATAATAAAATATATTTTATATTTATACATAATATAAGTACAAATTACTAACATTGTATTATATGAATAATTAATTCGTCTATTGTTAATGAATCGTTTAAAAGTACATGACTTTTGAGATTCCCTGTGAAATACGCCACTCACTAATTGTACGCGTACATAGATAACAAAATCAAGAATATTTAAATAATAATCAAATTCAATACCCATATTTTTGAAATAAAAAAGGAGCCACATTCAATACTTTTTTATCATTATTATTATATAAAATTAAATAAAAGATAGCCTTTTTCCACTAAGTGTGAAAGTGGAAGATAGATGGAATCGAGATGTATGTATCAATGTATCTACATGTATTATAATGATAAGTGACTGAAAGCATATGCTCCTTCTAGCTTTAATTAAATATTTATTCAATGACTGTTTGTTTGTTTGAATTTTTGTGTGTTTTTTGTTTGCCATTTTTTTTTATTATTATTATTCGCATTTTTTTTTATACTTTTTTTTTTTTTTTTTTTGCTTAAAATATCATATTAAATATTAATATCTCCGTCCCACATACCGCGTCTGCTACGCTGTAGACACGGTATTTTAGGAGGGATGTAATTAGTAGATAATTAATAATGTATTAGTGAAAATAATTATTCTATAATATAAATAATTATAAATTAACATTAAGATAATTAGTTTAATTAAAATTTAAAAAAAAAATTAAAAAGTTTAAAATGAGATTAAAATGTATAATCATTTTCAAAAAAGGAAAGTGACACAGTACTTGAACATAGTATATGGGACGGAGGAAGTATTTTAATATCAAATTTACATTAATTTTCTCCAAAATCAACAGATTTTATTTTATTTTATTAAAAAAGAAAAAAAAAAAAAAAAAAAAAAAAGAAGAAGAAAAAAAAGAGAGAACTTGAGATCTGTATTTTTATTCGATAAAGGAGAGTTATTGTATAACATCATAATAGTAAAACATATGTATCATGTATAATGCTTCTTCATTAAGATTTATATTTTTATATAGTATAAAATAAAGACAAGATTAAACACAAACAAACACGCCAAATAATATATCTTATATATATATAAAGTATTAGTAATACTATAATTTGGAAGAACAAAATTTATATATATATATATATATGATGTAATATAAATAAATATTGTATACGATGTTTTAAATGAATATTAATCTTTTTACTAATGTATATATCAAATAAAAATAAATATTTAATTTAATAAATTTGGTGATTTTTATTTTTTGATAAATAATGGGAACAGGTCCAATCTCAAAAAATATAAAAAATAAAATAAAAGACTTCTAATGTTACACTCACACATATGTTCATTTTTTGTAGATTCTATTTCATGGTTGTACGGACATTCTGCTATTTTTGTTGACAATTTAAAATAATAACTGTAATAAAATAAAACTACCTGTAATTGAAATTTTATTATAATATACTACTATAAGATAAAGAATAACTTTTAAACTAAACATAGTGGCGGAAATAATAATATTTTATTTCAACATTTCTCCCTAAATGAATTTCCTAATTGTTTTGCAGATCAGCTTTGTCGGGTAAGTATTGTCCCATATTGCTAAATATGTGAGAATTAAGGCACTCCACCTATCACTAATTGGTTTTAAATTGAATGTCCGAATTCTATATTATATATTTGTAACGAAATTTTATTACAAAATTAATAATTTCTTATAGTATTCCTTCTTAATATGCTATTTGAGCGAAGCATATTGGGGAAGAGATATAGATTAATTATACATTGTATTGGATACATGAAAAAATGGCATAGAAATAAAAATAAATATATCAATCTTGTTTATTTGCCCTCTGGGAATTGAAAATAGATAAATAATAATTTTCTATTTTATATTTAAAAAAAAAAAAAAAACAATGTAGAAGAATAAAGAGATTTGAATCTGCAGGATATATATATAGTTTGTCTCAATTCTTTTCATTCTATAAAAGAAAAAAAATAAATAAATAACGTTTTTAAAGTATATATATAATTTTTTCTGTATTGTGTTGTCACACCATCCTTCGCATTCAGATAGTTCTAATATAGATACATATTGATTAATATATTTTTAATTTTATTTTTTATTTTTTAATAACGTGAGAATTTCAACCGCTATCCGAAATGCGCACTGGATAAACTTTCAGCCAAACCTAATATCTTGCAAATATATCGATTAATATATTTTTAAATTATTAATTATATATATTGTAGATATATATATACACATAAAAAAAACAAAAAAAATATCTTTATATTTAATTTTTCGAAGCTGCTACCTGTATAAGTATGATGCAACATTTTTTTTTTTTTTTGTATCGTTTGATTTTTTTATTTTATTACATAAAATAATCTAAAATCAAAGAAAATAGAAAGAACTCAATTGTTGTGAAATAAAATAAATAAAAAAATTTTAAATTAAAATAGTTGTTTAATGTAATATAAATACGTATTCATGAGATGTTTTGAATGTAAAATTAGATTTTAATGTAATAAAATAAATAAAAAATAAGTGTTCATTTGATATTGTTTTTATCAAATAAATTGTAATAATAAAATTAGAGATAAATCTTGCACAAACTTTTAAGATAAATTTATATTGAGTGGTGGGTTTTTACATCAAATATTGGTTTCTCCTTACAGATTTTTTTATTTTTAGTTTTTGGGTCCAATTTAAATGGATATTGATTCTGTAGGTATAATAAAACAAAATTTGAGGATGAATCAAATGGCAGTTAGAGTTTTCTTTTGTTCGTATGTTATGTTTTATTTGAGTTTTTATATAACTATATTTTAATATAATTAGTAAAAAAGTTATTATTTTATAAATGCAAACCAAATAAATTCTACCCTACCCCACCCCACCTGAATAAAATTCATCACATGGCAATAAAATCTACTCGGTAGCTGCTACGTTATTTATGCTTCAAAACAATCAAATATCAATTCGGACCCTACTTTCGTACTTCTATTATTATTACTACTTCAATTGACCATGAGTCATACAGTACTATATTCGTCTTAATTTGTGTGTTCTTATTTTTATTTTTAAAATTAATTATTTTATACTTAGGTTTTTTATACCAATACAATTTATAAAGTAATCGGCAATAAAAGTAACGACAAATTATAAAAACATATAAATATTATGTCTTATGTTCTATAATAGTTGGCAAGTTTTTTTGTTTTAACTTGTCTTTTTTTTTTTTTTTTTTTTTAATATAAGTTTATCAATATCAAATATATAAGACAAATACTATAAATTAACATAATTAAATTATTAATATCTTACCTGTAAAATCTACTTATAACTCTTTTATTGTTATCTATCTCCCTAATTAACTTAATTAAATTTCTTAACATTTTACACATATTCTCAGTCTCACTCAAAAAAAACTTTTATTTTTATATGTTTTCAATAAACATATATTTTTATTTATGTTTAAAAATTTTCATTTTATTTATAAAATTATTTTATATTAATCATAAATAAATAAAAATATGTTTTTATCTAATTGCAGTATATAAAATTATATTATCTACAAAATAATATATAATATATAAAATATTTAAATATATACTTTAAATTTTATTTAATTTATATTTTAAAAATATCACCATTACTACTTACATAAAAATTAATAAAATTATATTACAATATACTATTATTAATTTATTAAACTATATTTCTTTAAATATTTTATCACTAATCAAAAGTATCAATTGCTTTGAGATAAAGGTAATATATTATAAAAATATTCGAAACAAAAATAAATAAATAAATTTAGACGAAGTTAGTACGATTTCATTAACTTGTTTTACTTCTAAAGAAAATATTATGAGTTTAAAAACTCAGAATATCTCAAATTAAAAAGTATAGTAATATAATATTCTTTCTATCTACTAACAAGTAACAAATAACATATATTTTATTGAATAGAATATTTACAAATAATAATTATATTTTCTTATTTAGTAAGTGTAGTAGATCTCATGGCATTAATAAAATATACTGTTCTTTCATACTAAAAATACTCAAGTCAATTTTTTCCATTTTTTTTTTATTATATGAGAACTTGTCACGGCTAGTGTCTTATGGTAAACTTCCGGGATGACATGCAAAATCTAAAGATATCAGAGATTTTGAAATTTTACGATCACAAGTCTACTGCATACTAATAGGGTTTACTTTACGGACTTATCATGCCTAGTGTAAGTATAAATTAGGGAAGTTTGTCAATTTATATTTTACTTTTTTATATTATTATTAGTATTACAATTCATAAAATCATTGTCAATAAATATATTAACTATCAGTATAATATCAATATTGTTTAAGTTTTATGTAAAAAAAAAAAACAAACTTCTTTTTGGAAGAGAGGTAGTATACTTTTCATAAAATCTTACATCTAGATAATATTAAAAAGTAAAGAAAAAATATTATAAAAATAATATTTAAATGGACTATTTAATTCTTATAGAGTAGCTGTGTTTGGTTGGTGTTTTTATATTTACTTTTCTATTTTTTTGTTTGAATTTTGTAATATATCCGTCCGACTCTAAGAGTTCATTTACCTTTTGCGTGTTAATTTTTAAATATTAATTATTATATAAAAAAACAGTATGAATTAAGAAAAAAAATTGCAAAAATACTTCTATTAGTGTCTTATAATACCAATATAAGGTAAAAACAAATTATACAAATATAATGATATTTTTAATATTAAGTACAATGATGCAAAAGATAAATGTGACCTTGGAGGCGGACGAAGAATATTTATTACTCCCTCCGTCCATTTACAAGAGTTACATTTACTTTTGGCGCGGTGTTTACTAAATAATAGTATTTTAATTATAGTGAGTAGTTAAAAGTAGTGTAATGACATTTTTTCCCTTAGTTTTTTGTGTAA